TATCCATGAAGGATTCCTGTAGTGTTCACTCGTAGTGTACAGTGAGGACGTGCCCTAAAGGGTCAGCCCAGGATGTATATAAGAACTACCTGTATCGTAGAATAGTTCCCTAACTCGATCTCCTTTGCTTCTCGCCATACTCAGTGTGACCTTGTGTCCTGGTGTATCCAGCCCTAAGCCCACGGTCTCAGTTCACCCACATTCTCTCTGGGCTAGTGCCCCTAGGACAAGCGCTCCTAGTATTCACATTCGTACGCCAACACCCTCAGCTACAGGGTTAGGCTTGGTTTGGGTTTGGTTAGGGTTTGGCTATAGGTGACGCCTTAGGTTTAGGACCAGGCTACCTTAGCAATATAGCTCGGCAATCATCTCTGGTTTAAGTTTGGCATCGAGGATATGGAGCGTAATATCCTTGAGGATGTGTTTCTTGCGGCGGGAGGAGAGGCGCGCACGTTTTGCTGGAGGTGGGCGGGACGGTGTAACGGAGCGTGATGAAGAGGATGCCGCTTCGTGTGGTTGTGGACCTGGTCTCTTGAAAGGCATATTTGTTTCAGATTGTCTGAAAGGAATGAGACGACAAGACAGCTCAAGAGCCCCGGAGCGAATTCAGAGAAGAACAGCGGTTGAGGCAGGCGCTCAGATGTGTTGACTGAGTGATGTCATCGAAGAGGGGTATTGCCCATTCTGTGTAAAGCCTGCCGCCTTCAGATGCTCCAAATAGCTCAGACCAGGGATATATGCACTAGAGTAAAGGTATTTGATCAAACAGATATATTCGAAGATACTTGACAGAAACAAGACGGAGGAAGGAGCAGAAAAAGTACGACTGGAACCAAGAACGCAACTTTACACGTGCTGGGAAAATGACGTCACGCGAGCCTCCTTCGCAGGATGCAAACCTCCCTCACATCCTTCATTACTGCCTCACACATACCCACAGACCTACAGAATCCATCGCCATCGCCATGCAGCTCTCCTTCTTCAAAACCCATCGACCAAAGACACTTGTAATGGCATCTGATTTCCGTTCTCCATCTCTCCTGCGATCATGGGCATCGTCACCATACAATGCTCTCTGCGAACCTTCCGCGCGCGGTCAGTCATATCAAAGTTCAAGTTCGTGACCAACTCGAATAGGAAAGTCTGGATTTCGACGACACTGTGATACGTCCAAGTTTTAGCATAAGACGAGAGGATATCAAAGGCATTCCCGGTGTTTAGCTAGGCTTACGCACGCGAAACGCCAACCAAGGCATGACCTGTAGCCGGAACCAAAAGACATCCTGAAGAAAACCATGTAGATCAAGATGAATCCATAGATTAGAAGTGGCTCGGGCCAGTCGCGGATGTGCTTACAGATTTGCATACACTCCAACATTCGCGTTCACAGCAGCAGGGTTAACTGTCTTGTCCAGCCACCTCTCAGGCCTCCAGATGTCTGCATCCTCACCCCAGACGTCTTTGTTACTGCAGCGTTGAAGGCCTATCAGAACATTTCTTCCCAAAGTACGACAGAATAAACGACATGATAAACAAGATGACGGATACACTTACAAATTGTACGCCGCACCGGAAACGATAATCCGGATACCTTGCGGAATTGGCACTTCCTTCACGACTTTTCCCGACGTCGTAGTTATAGGCTTTGTGAGCGGGAGGACATCGTCTTGGGCGGCTTGGCGGAAGAGATGGGGAGCGACATTATCGAAACGGAGTGTTTCCTAGAGACATAATCCAGTCGTCGTCGTCTTCTCCGTCAGTTATAGAGCAATAGGCCTTGCAGATGATAATGATGACCTACCTTGATCACAGCATTGAAATACGGCAACCCTTCCATCTCTGACACCGTGACCTCACGACCCTCGGACCCAGCATCTGCCTTTGCCTTTTGCAGTTCTTCACGGAGCTGCCTCTGCGCACCTGGGTGCCTCGCGAGTTCGTAGAGAGCCCAGCCGAGAAATGTCGTAGTCGTCTCCTGATCAGCATTCAGGATTGTACTATGAGAAGCTCAGGCATTCGTCACAGCCGGACAAGCTGCTAGAAGAACTAACCTTAGTTGAGGAACAAGCTCCTCATCCGTCAGACGCAATTTCCCGTTCTCTGTGGTGTTTGCTTTGACTTTTCCGTCACCGGAATATTAGGACTAGGACTACAAACATGTCGAGCGCAGAGAGTACATACCAACCAAGCTCAAAACATCTCTCCCAATATTTCCTTCCTCTAATGCTGCTACCTTCGAAGCGATGAGCTTTCGCGCAATCTCGTTGGACATCTCAAGATTTTTCCTCAAGAATGCCAGCCCATCAGAGGGAAGGTATGGCATAAGGTCAAGAATTCGAGGCGGAATAAGCGTCGTCAGACCCTGCAATAACACTTTTGAGTCAGACGGCAATCCAAACGCTTCTGTCCTACATGAGAGGTCACAAAATCAGCGTCACATTTCCGCCGGCACACCAAGGGTACAGGATGGAAGACGAACGTGAGGTGGTGTAACGATTCTGCGAGTTTGTTTTGCTTTCCATCCAGAGCGCCGAAATTGTATTCGAAGGCTGCTTTGCCGAGAGTATCGAGTGTGGCGCGGCCAAGGACGGTGGGTATGTCAACGGTTTCTGAACCACTGTCGCTGACTGACAGGGTGTCGCGAAGCTGATGAATCAGCTAGGAGGACATACGAGGATCAGACAATTTTCGTAACGTGCAGAGAAACGACGACGTACAGTATGCACACTCTCCCTGAAAATGGGCATGAGAGCCCGGCTCTCAGGACTCCCGAAAGCAGGTAGAAGGATGTGGCGTTGGCGATGGTGGTCCGCCCCTGTAGCCCGTACCAATTTGTTTGAACATGTTATGCTTGATAGGGAAAGACAGTGAACATCAATCACCTTCAGCACCAATCACACCCTTTCCGGTGACCGCATTAAATAAGACCCGGATGTCGTATGGCTTCACGAACCGGTACCCTGGTGTCTGCATGATGTATTGGATTGCCTTGGGATCTGAGATGAGAAGACGGTCTTCCTGTGCAAATAAACAATCAGAAGATGTCGAGACGTAGGACGATGGAGAGTCATGTTCACGTACCCCGAGAGGCGCCTTGAAGCGAACGATGCCCCCAAACCTATCCTGCCACTTATCCCTTGTAGACTGAGAATTGCCACATATTATCGATATCTGCGGAAGGTGAGTTTGAGAAGACAATGAATCCTAGACGAAGATATCGCTGATAGTCGTCGTGGAGTTCAAGGCGGTATATACTATTGGACGTGAGGAATGGGGAGGTATGTTCGAAGAGTAGTGCTGCGAGCGTGTTGGGCGACATGGATGTTCTAAACAACAATAGCGTGACGAAACAGGCCGAAACGCGTCCAGGCTATCGGTTGGCCATTTCAAGCTGTCTGCGTCGCCACAACTCGCCACACAGTTCTTGCGACAGTTCTTCCACAGGATGCAAACCTCCCTCGAATCCTTCGTCACCTCCTCATATATACCACCGCCCCTACCGATACCTCTCGCCACTTCAACTATCATAGAAGACCGGCAATCAACCTTCCAGGCCACCCTCTTTCGCGCTCGCACCGCCACCGAAGCCCGGACAGCAATCAACCACCTTCGACGCGTTATTCATCGTTCAAATCCTGCATCGCATGAGATTGCTGCATGGAGGTGCATGGTGCTGAGGCAAGGGAGGACGGGACTGGGAGAGGATGATTTCATGCTGGTAGAAGGGAGCGAGGATGACAACGAGAAGTGGGCAGGGGCGAAGGTGTTGGGCGTGATGAAGAGTTTGGCGGTCTTGGACACTGTTGTCGTTGTTAGTCGATGGTGCGTCTTCTCATTTATCCCATTGATATTTTAACTCGCTCCCAGTGCATGTCTAGAAGCTGACGAAGAACTGGTGCAACCCAATCACAGGTACGGCGGCGTCATGCTCGGTCCCGTTCGCTTCACACACATTGAGGATTGCACGCGCCAAGTCTGCAACCAAGTCATCGTCAAAGACGAGATTGACGACTCGATCGCAACTCTGACGAATCTCGACTCCACTCTTGCTGCTCTTCGTATCGAATTGGACGCGCTTCGTCAGAGACCTCCCTCGCCACCACCGTCCGCACTGCCAGCGGCCCCTGACGATCTATCTACCAGTAATGGTGCTAGTGAACCTGATAAAGAACTCGGAGAATCTACCTGTGTTGAAAAGTCTCTACCGCCTTGGTTTCAAAACACGCAGCCGGACGCGCATAATCCTCGAAAACGATCCCGCTCCCCGGAGCACCCATCTGATCCTACTCCTGTTACCAACACCAACTCTCACAGCGACGACAATGACGCTCAACTGCACGCATCAAAACGGCTGAAGTCTGCTACCTATGGATCTTCAACCTCTCCTACAGCCCCATCTCCTCCGAAGCCCGTCCCGTTACCTACGAAAGCTCACGATTACTCTACCCTACTGAAAGATCTCGACGTGAAGAAAGCGAGGAGGCTAATCACTGCTAGGGAAAACGCAATCAAGAGTGTTAAGACTCTAGTTATGAAGGAGAAAGAAAAGCAGAGGGATGGAGTTGATTTGGGTGGTGGCGGTATGAAGAACGTTGTAGCGCGGGTAGATGAAGGAGGGTGAACACACATTGATCACTGGCGGATGAGAATCCGACGGTGGACCACTGCTGGTATGTCGTCTTCAATTGTTTACCGCGCTAGTTACGCGACTAATCTGGTCTAGTCCTCATCGAAAGATGACTTGGGTGTCTACAAGCTGGCGTGTTTCCTTCGTCGCTCGCTAGGCCTACAAGCTCCATTCTCGATTTCACGAGTCCGTATAATCGAAGGGCAGGTCAGATCATGAGCTGTGGGATATATAAGCTTCCCGGGTACCAGGAACATCATCATGGCGGCGTCACTCAAGCCGGTGCTGCCTCTATTGCCGCCGCACTTCGGTGAGCAGTCGTACACAGCGGTACCGTATATACTATTCTATTCTCATCAACCCGTCATCATCCCGTGCTCTTCGTTTTGTACCATTTTGATCAGCTTTGTCTCATTTATCATGGCCCGGCACGTTCAGGCTTCGCTTTGTCGGCGTGCCACGCTGAAGTCTTGTATTATATAAAGCTTTCATGAGTGACTGGGTTAATACATCTTCTGTCAAACAGCTCTCTAGTTCTTCTTCTCCTGACTTCTTCTCCTTCCTACTACCCTATATGCACTGGCAGGAGGACCTCGTTCCAGGAGAGCGCCACACGGAGCGTTGGGCCACGATTCGGTTTCACGTGGCGTTGTGTGCGCTCGGACTGCGGAACGACCCGAAGATGGGGCCGGATCTCAGACTTCTCATCCGACGGAAACAGAGCTTTGACTGTTCGCCTTTTTGGGACGACTCTTTGTGCTCTTCTGGGCTGAGCAATACTCGGGGTCCGTCGCACAGCTCCTGTTTCGCTTATCTGATGTAGTGGCTTCTCTGATGGGAACGTTTTTCTTTCTTCCTTATCTGACTGTTGTTCTCGTTGTAGCACAAACTGACTCGGAAGCACAGCGCGAAACACGTTGATCGAGCCTGGTGGGCGCGCTTCTCTCGGTGGCGCGGACAATATCGTTTTGTTCTGTTCTTTTTTCTTTTTGTTTCGTGAAACAGATCTTACAGATGGGGCGTACTCGCTAGCCGAAGTGAAAAATAAATCAGGGCCCTGCTTCGAATTTCTCTTCACCCTTCCATTTTCGTGGCACCACTGAAGACACGCTGGTATCGATGACGCGTTGCACAGGGATCGGTACCCAGGCAACGCTCAAAACGGACGTGCGTTTAGAGTGCCTGCCTGATGCGACGTCGGTCTGGAACCCTGCGAAACCGCTGGATTCCGCGCTATTGTGCGTCATACGGTTTCGATCGCTTGTTCGTTGATCTGTTTGTTCTCGTTTCGTAGTGCCGGAATGATCTGCGATTTTCGCACGGGGCTTCTTCCGATTTCTGTATATAAGGACTGCGGGGCCTACAGCTTTTCGATATCCGGGTTTCCTCTCGACTCCCATCTTCTCCTCCCTCCCTTCCCCCTCTCCCTTTCCTATCCCGCCCTCCCTCAACTTTCTCTCCCGCTCCGTCACTCACCTCTCTTTAGGTCTCCCTCTAGCCTCCCTTCCTCGACTCTAGCGGCCACTGTTCACAACGGCCTTCGACATCAGGTACGTGTGGCGCAGTCACTGTTCGCCTCTTCCGCCACTGACACACCTTCTCCCATAGACCCTCAAGTCCAATGATCACCATCTACAACAACGCCACCACGTCTACCACCATCCTATCAATGTGCGTCCCTTCTACTCTACTATATAGTCGTTGTTGCTGACTCGCTGCCCGTCGCGTCATTCTCTCCCCACCGCCACCGCCGTCATGGATCACCGACGTGTCAAGACGTTTAGCACGAGCATGCTTGAAGGTGCGTTTTCTTTTTCGGTGCTTAGCTGGGCTGGGTATCTATGCTGGGGCTGGGGGCTGGGGGCTTGGGCTGGGGACTCTGGGCTGGGGACTCCGGGTGTTTTCAGGTCTCTGTGCTGGTTCTTGGGGTCTCTGGGCTGGGGCTCCTAGTGCTAGGGTGCCTGTGCTGGGTCTTGAGAGCTTAGCTGGGCTGGAAGTTCTGGGCTTAGAGTTCTATGCTCGGGTCTCTGTGCTGGATCTTGGGTCTCTGGGCTGGGTCTGTGGACCTGCTTAGGCTAGGCGACATCGACCTCACGAACGAGCTCAAGCACGACGAACTCACGAGCGAGATCAAGCACGACGACTTACCTCAAGAGCCTCAAGACCCCCCTGGGATAGCGTCGACCTTGCCGTGGTCCAGGGGCTCTATTACCCCAGAGTCCGATCCTCTGGGGGAAGCCAACAGACGCTACTAACAGGTGAGTGGATGGCTTCTTGTATAAACATACGTAAATTCTGACGCATCACCTACAGTTTGTTTACAGGTGTGTGAGTGCGAGTAAGACGACCTCAAGTGCAAGACGCTCGACGCTCTGATCAGCGGCATCGTCGTCGTCAACCAAGCGACCCCTGGGAAAGCGTCGACCTTGTCGTGGTCCAGGGGCTCTAGTACCTCAGAGTCCGATCCTCTGAGGGAAGCCAACAGACGTTTACTAACAGGTGAGTGCATTGACACTTTTGTCTACATATACCTTCTGACCCGTCCTTCATAGTTTTACTTCAGATGTGCGAGTGTGACTGTGAGCAACCAGACTTAAAGTACAAGACGCTCGACGCCCTGATCACCGACATCATCGTCGCCAACCAAGCGACGACATTCCTCAAAAGCCTCAAGACTCCCCTGGGATAGCGTAGACCTTGCCGTGGTCCAGGGGCTCTAGTACCTCAGAGTCCGATCCTCTGAGGGAAGCCAACTGACGCTTACTAACAGGTGAGTGGGCTCACGCTTTGGTCCACATCCTTTGTTCAATCTGACCCGGTCTTGCGCAGTTTTATTTCAGGGGCGTGAGTGTACTTAAGCTCAAGATGATGGACGCTCTGATTATCAACGCTCGGGCACGACGTTGAGTCTGGTCGACGACTCCAATCAAGCATGACAGGCGGCGGCCTCTGGGGCACCTTTGGCTGCGTCTTTGTCTCTAGGTTGCTGAGTCTTGTGGATCTCCTTTCTAGGCTGCTGGGCAGGGGTTGGTCTTGTCAGAGCTGAGCAACATCGCCACCGGGCTCCAAGTGCGTCAAGGCCGGCCCCCTGGGAGAGCGTCGACCTTGTCGTGGCCCAGGGGCTTAGTACCTCTTCGGAGGGAAGCCAACAGACGTTCGCGTGATAGTTACACTGACCGGTGAGTCCCTCCCGCTTTCTTCCACCTACATTTCTTCTGACCCACCCTGTGTAGTTTTACTGTAGATGCGTGAGTGTGGTAAGCTCAAGACGATCGACGCCCTGGTCGTCAACACTCGGGCACGACGACGAGTCCGGTCGACAACTCCAATCAAGCACGACATCAAGACTAGGCGGCAGTTTCTGGGGCATCTAAGGCTTGGTCTGCTGGGTCTCTGAGGCGTCTTGGTCTGGGTCTGCTCGTTCTCTTGGGTGTGGCCTTTATGTCGCTGGGCTTGGGCAAGTCTTGCTAAAGCTACGCGACTTCGACCTCTCGAACGAGATCAAACACGACGTCGACACCGGGCTCCAACAGCGCCAAAACCGGTCCCCTGGGAGAGCGTCGACCTTGTCGTGGTCCAGGGGCTCTAGTACCTCGGAGTCCGATCCTCTGAGGGAAGCCAATAGACGCTTACTAACATGTGAGTGGAACGGCAGGTCTTCTATGCGCGTACGCCTTCTGATGCACCTGCAGCTTTCTTCAGAGTTACCCGAGACGACCGACGGCCTAATAAATATCGACATCGACATTAAATATGGAGGTATAGCTTGTCCAACGACATCGATACCGGATCCCCTCGACGAAGGCATCCCCTTGGCTTAACTTAATATTCTCTGGTTATGTCTTCGTCCATCCGATCTCTGCTGACTCTCGCCTCTAATCTTGGTTTTGGCCCCGCCGGTTTGCTGAGCACCCATATTGTACCCATACATATTCTAATGAGACCCGATCCTAGTGCCGACAGATTTGGCCCAAATATTGGCAGTATTACACCCCAATATGGACGAGATTAGGTGGTCAACATTGAGGCCCTATCCTTGATAACTGGCTGACTTGGACCAGCTATTTGGGGCCAAAGGGCGATATATATAGCTAAAACATGGATACCGGACTATCTCTTAGACTGAAGACACAGGCCGATAGTGATATGGGTTAAAAAGACCTTGCAGCTGCAAAAGTCCTGGTGCCCCGGACGCGCTTCTCACGCTAGCGGAGGTCGCATCCTGGCAAAGTGGACGGAATTATTTTAAATTTCGGGGGCCTATCCCAACCATATCCTCGTGCGGACGGAAAGAACACCAAGGTCCGAGTCGTGTGGATGGAAAGGCCCATAATCTTGGGTCTCGGAGCGGACTTCTATCCTCATAGATATTACCTGCCTACTGGCCCTTAATATCCCTCGAGCCTCTCGGCCTGGTAGCCCTTTGTGTCTGGCCTCGCTCAAGCTAGGCTGCGCAAACCTCCGGCAATAATTCAAGCGCAACCTAGGGAAACCGATATCGATGTGCAAGTATCATTCATACCTGAATCCGATAATCGATGGTCCTCAAGAGCCTCAAGTCTCCCCTGGGATAGCGTCGACCTTGTCGTGGTCCAGGGGCTCTAGTACCTCAGAGCTTTGTCTTTTGAGGGAAGCCAACAGACGCTTATTGGCCGATAAGTAATGAAGCCCATATCGTCCCCATACGTGTGCTAACCATCCTCTACAGCCTCTTTAGACAAAGGAATAAGTGCCAGATGCTTGGTAGCTACTTAACCTGATGGCAATTGACGGTCTTTGTCCCGAGGGCGTGTCGCTTCTTATGCTGGAATCTTCGTGCCTGAGTCCATGTGGTGGCCCTGCCTTGAGCCACATACTGGATTTGCTATGCTTTCCTTTGGCGTGTTTTTCTCGATATTAAATACACTGCGATTCTGAAGCGTCAACTTTCCAGACGCGGTGTTCGTGGCACTGGATACAGTTGATATGCTCATACGGCATACGGTCGGGGCGGGCCGCCGTTTATGCCGTATGAGAAATTATGCCGTATGAGGAATAGATAAGATGGGCACGAATCCAGTCCTTTTCACTTCCTCAGGATAAATAATGCACATATAAGATCTGTGGGGCAAAATAAAGTGTGACATATGGGAGAGTCTCTCCTTGCGGTGTTTTCTCTTACAATGTGATAGCATGAGACCTTCAGCAAATCTGAAAATGCGGGATTCTTGAAGTGGCACTCCAAGGTGTGGGCCACCTGATGTCGAGGCCTGATTGAGATTAGATTTGACCGATTTATGCCATATGAGCGTAATTGACGTAAAAATGTAATATTTTATGCCGTATGGGCGTATGCCGTATGAGCGTATCGACTGTACTACGATTCTCAACTGATTCTAGCCAACGTAGGTCCTCTCCAATTCCCGATTCGCCAGTTGTGGCTCCCCAACTCCTCGTGATCTTCGTACAAGGCTATCGCACATTTATAAATGTTGATCTGCCCAATGTTGTCATCTACTTCTGTGTGTAAGTGGAGTGTGGCTTCGAGCAACTCAGGTTGAGGATGTGATAAGTGCCACACGGATAAAGCCGCATCTTATCAGATCCGATGGACTTCGGAGCCAGTAAGTCTGAACCGGGCACTTGATCGCATCATCCTCTTTCGAGTCCTCTGCCAACGCCCACCTGCAATCTACTTGCGCGACGACCATCTCCGGAACGTTCTTGTAGACCCCGTTTCACTCCTTCATTTCGAAGGAAACGGCTGAACTGGAAGGCGCTGTTCAGGAAATCAACATGATGAACTGGTGTAAGAGGACATTTCTCGCGATTGCTTGGGTAGCGACTCTCTCGCATGGTCGTGAGACCAAGGAGGAAGCAGGTACATACTACATCACGAATTTATTCGACACTCTACCATATAGACATCTTTGTTAATGAATTGTTTTGAAGCTATGTTGGCTCGGGAACTGCTGGTTTCGTCGCCGAAGCCCATCGCCACCATGGCCACAATCTATCCAAATGATCATGCTACGCTACCGGGTTAGCTCAAGGGACAACATCTGTCCTTTAAAATACTAATCGAACGATCTATTCTTCCAGGCCAACCTTATGCCATGCAGGAGTATTATGCGCCGTGAGTGTTTCTGCATAATCGGGACTTCGGTCGGCGTCTTGAACTGTCGTCCTTTACAGGTGCTATTCGAATGGCTCTCTCGCTCTCATATTCCTTCCCATCTCGCGCCACAGTCAGAACATCCTCCACTCCCCGTCTCACGCTGCGTCGATTTCTGTATGGTCCGATCCTCCTGCTGCAGCACGAGCTAGGGTCTCTTTGATTGGGAACGTCACGATCCTACCGGACGACGATTCTGATGCGGAGAGGCTGAAACAGTGCTATCTAAGCCAACATCCCGATGCCCAAGATTGGATTCCTGGAGATGACGAAGGTGCACATCTGGTGCGTCTGTCTAGTATTCTTTGTTCTCCCTCAGGAGACTTAGGCCCTGATAACGGTATTCAGGCCTACTGGGCTCGTTTCGATCCACACGTACGTCCTATTCCGTCATGTCACTTGCCTCACGTCTGACGCTTCCATAGAGCGTCTATTTCGTCGGTGGATTTGGAGAGTGCGTGGCTTCAATATGAGTTGTTTGGTGATATTCTGACCTTTCTTTATTCAGTGAACATCTCATTGGATACCTTCCTTTGGAATTGTACCAATCCGCGGTACCCTCCTCAGCGACTCTCATGATTCAGAGCGATGCTTGAGACGATTTGATGTCCACATACATCGCATCGCTACATTCACGAACTTCACGCTCATGACGGAATTGTTGTATCATAATTGACGTACCCTGCAAACACATTCTAAACTTGGCTAGGCATGCACGGAAGTCATAACTTATGGAAGCACAAAGGAAATGCGTTCGTAGGTCCAAGGTAGACCTGCGATTAGTCAACGTCCCATATTGCCGCATGAGCTGCCAAGCTCTCATCGCTCTTCCTGTCAAGGTATTCCATGCATCCAAGCACTATGAAGAAAGCGTTCAAAGTGAGTGCAATCCAGATCGTTTTCGTTGTTCTAAATGAGCTTACCTCGGCCTGCCTGGAGATCACCTCGAAGTGCATCCCCAAATCCGTCCTTCAGCGCCCTCGACAGCACTCTCCCTTGCGATGTGTCCTTCAGTTGCGCAAAAACGATTCTCTTCTCATGGTGTACCAAGTATCCATTGATTGCCATGACACTCTGGGAGCCGGTGAAAGAGACGATGTCGCTCCAGACGACAAATCGAATGGTAGGCCCTGGAGGCATCTTTTCCCACGCATGCTTGTGCAGGTCGACAACATTGGCACGGTACTGCTCGTCTTGGACTCTTTCTAGGATGAACCGGTCGTAATCCGAGTTTGACATGTACCCTGCGCTCCTGAGCTAGGAAGCATCAATGGAACAGTGAATTTCCCGCGCGCTGGAATTCATAAGTCCACGAACCGCATAAAGCTTTTCTTTCTTCTTGATGGAAGGGCGTCTAACCAAGTCTACGATGAAGCTACCTTGCGGTCAGCATATTCGACATAATCGTGTAGAGGGGCATACCAATGCTCCTTCAGATATTCTTCGTGCATATTTGCTATGTCAAGCGCAAACAAAGCCCACGCCTGGATAGAATTCCGCCACACGTCTGCAAACCGAGTGATAGACTCGATGTTGTCGTTCATCTCTGGTGTCGCGCCAGAGACGAATGGATTTTCGGAACATGTCTTCTTATGTGCTTTCCATGCTACCCTTTGGCAATCCGTAGAGCAGTACCTTGCCACCCTTTTGATCGTTCGACATGATAGACCAAAATAGGCCGTGCAACGACGGTCAGCGCCTGTTCCACGAGCTGTGAAAGCCTCGCCGTATGAGTACGTACTTGCATCTTGAACACTTTCTCAGAGGATATTCGGACCTAGAACCACATTGATAGCACTTGTCGTGGGTGCCTGCACAGAACTCGAAATATTTTGAACCGCCCTCTGCGGTGTTGTCTAGTAGCATTGCCAGAAGAGTGGGTGGTGATGTGTCTCCTTCGAAGAGTTCTTCTATGTAATCCAAGCGCTCAGCGAGGTGGTGTTATACTAGCAGCAAGCCTATGACTCACGGAATGTGAAGGCTGATAGTTGGTGTTGGGCAACGGGGCTTCGGAGAGCGTGACTTTCGCGGCGTCCTAGGGTACAGTAGTATGTGATATTTCGATGCTACGTCGGCCGCAGATGTTACAGATACTTGAGAAATAAACACATGAGAATGGAGTGATACTGACTGTTCAGCTGAAGTCTCAGGCCCCTAAATTCCAAGCAAAACACGCCCAAGTGGAAGTCGCAAATGAAGACGAAGATGGTCAGCGCTAAGTGGCCCGAACGGCGTTATATGTCGGGACGGGATACTCCGAAGCTGTTCCCCACAGCTTGCGCCACGGTGGCAAACCCAGGTAGACCACTCCGCAGACTGGGAAGACACACCCACCAAGGAGCTGATCGAGCTGGGCAGAGATTAAGCAATATCTAATACTATGAAGGGTTATACGACCAGGAGAGGCGATGTATATGCACGCCTAACCACCCAAACCCACGAACTTCATCAACCTCTTCCTCAACGTCTCATCAGTGTCCTTCCTACTCGCCTCGTCCTGCGCTTCTGTCCCTTTCTGGCGCGCCTCTGCATGCTCAACATCCACCTTATCCTTTCTGCCGTGCACGTCCTCGTCTTCCTTGGACTTCGCACTCCTTGACCGATCCTTTTCGACATCACTACTGAAACCACTCCCATCCCTAAATGTCTCTGCAAAGGACTTCAAGAACGCCTGAGGCGCGGTCTCGTCCTTTTCCTCCTGGCTGATAGGCCTCTTAACACCCGCATTGGGAATGAGATGCTCCGGCAACGGTTCCTTCGAAACTGCCCTGGCCCTAGCCAGGATCTTTTCCCTCTTCGTCTGTGCGCGGGTAGGTTCTGAGTTCAAATTTGTAGACTCCGAGATAGGCGTTTCTTGCTTTTCGATTTGAGGCGAGCGGGAGGGAACCGACGGCGTCACGTTGGTGGAATGACGAGCGAGGCCATCGAGGAGGACATGCAATTTGGCTCGTCGTAAGTTTGAAGTCTGTGGCTCAACCATTGCTCCTGTAGGCTGTGGTCCCTGCTCATCGACCTCGACCTGCAGCGGTTCGGCCGGGTCTTCGGTACCTGCCTGCACCTCCGTGTTTGAATCTTTCTCCACAACCTCCGTTGCCTGCGCCCCGATAAGAGCATCCCATTTCGCATTCACCCTCATCAGATCTGGCTGAGCAATGTCCGCACTCGTGGTGGAAAAGCCACCCCAGTCGAGCCATGCCCGTCCGAATGCAGCCTTGGTCCTCATTGAGAGGGTGCGTAAGTGGGGGTCTCTCTGGGCGGTCGCAGGCACGGTGAAATTGGTCGAGGGTACGGAGGCTGAGCAAATTATAAAGATTAGTACGTGATAGTACGAAGATGGTAGACGCGAGTAGGGGAAACATACTAGCAGGTTCAAGCCTGATATCAATATCCCTCCAACCCGCTGGTGCCGTTCCCTTAGGTTCCATCATCTCATCAACATGATCAAGCGGCCTGTCATTCGAGGCCTGTGCGTGCGCTGGGGCGCCAGCAGATCCCGATACAAAGGGCAACAGATCCGCAAGGCTCACTCCCCCATCTTTCATCTGCACAGGAGGCACGACAGGGACTCTCAATTTGAAGTCGAGTGCGTGCGGTCCTTTTTCGGTACTTGCGGGAGTACGCCCGTCAATGCGCTTTGGGCGGGAGGTATTGCCGGCGTCTTCGTGAGGCGGTTCGGAATCAGCGTTGGCTTGTCGAATGAGATCAATGGAGCTTTTATCCTCGAAGATGACCCATAAACGAAACTGATAGGCCTCTGACCTCTCTGCGTCCTGCGAGAGAAAAGACATAACAATAGGCAACATTCCAGTAAGCTATTAGACCTGAAAAGACGTCCTCCCCACCAGTCGAATGTAATGGGATAAGAACAGATGGGCTGACCTTTGAAAACATAACCTCCCTGACCTTGCCATACTTCCTTTCCAACACCTTCACGATCGCCATCCCTTCGGCCATACTCCCCAGTTGCCTCCATGTCCTCACATGCGCTGTTCTCTCTATCTCATACCTCGCCCTCTTCTGGCCTGACCGCCCCTGTCCTCTATCATTACCACGATTGAAGTCGAAGTTCCTGATTGGAACAGAAGCGTTGGAGGAGTTCGAGGGTCGGTGGAAAAGCGAAGTGTCCTCGGTAGGTAGAGTAGTGTTCGTACTGGTGGAGGTGGAGGCAAGACGAGCGCATTGTGTAACCAAGCGCGTACTTGGGCGTGCACGAGTCAACATTTTGGTTTCGAGTACTGTGAAGAGAGTAAACATGTAAGTATACAGCTTGAACATATACCCAAGACAAAAGATGCTCGGAAGTAAAGGATTTCCAGACGAGTGCATTGCTAACGAATCGAAAAGCGAGCAATCGAAACCAGCACACGGCAAGCACAAATGGAGCTTAAGTAGTTTATCTCTCACCTTACGAGGTTCTGACCTGCTGTTCCAAAGTTCTCTGATACTAGAATTCGGTGGACGAAGTGGACTTCAACGAACAGAGTAAGAGACAATATTCCTCGATGGGAGTGACAAACCCCCAAAGCTAGTTAAAGCCTAGGATATAGATATAATCAAGGTGTTGTAAAGGGGCGAGTCGTTCCGTAGAGATGTGCTTGTCAATGAAGCGCGTCGAGCAACAGCGGAGCAGGAGCAAGTCGGGCTAAAATCAAACGCGTCGAATTTCACGCGTTTTGTCCTGATATGGGTCGAATGGGTACGCCTCTACTGTGGCGCTCGCCACAGAGACCGTGCTGGTATTCGTTCGACAATATGGGCCTGTTCCGAGGCTAGCAGTGAGATTGAGCTTCAGTGATCGGTGCACAATGCAGATATTTCGGCGAGTCGAGCAAGCTGCTCCGGAAATCTGTTCAGGCCAACATAACAAAATCCAGACAAGGTCCGTCACAGGGTCCAACAGCTTTAATCGTACACTACCCTTATAAAGTCCTCTCAACCTCAAACTTCACAGCAAAAACGGGATAACAGCCGTCCTCTCCTTTGGGTAGCTTTCCCCAAACTTCTCGTGATACCACCAATGTCCCCTCATCGCCCTCGGCAGCATCAACAATACCTCGGCCAACAAGAATGCCCATGGCGCGCTCACCGAATCCGCGAACGGACCCAACACCCCTCCGACAGTCTTCAAATCCCCCTTGATCAAACTCTGCACCACCACTGTCCATGCTGCTGGTCCTAACGATTTGAGAAGGGAAAAGGAAGGTCCTGGTGACGCGGCGAGTGCGAAGCCAAGCCATTCGACCCATTCGCAGAAATAGTTGGGGTAGGATATGTATTTATAAAGAAGACCGTGAGGGATGGAGTAGTGATGCGTTTGTTTGGGTTTTGTCGTGCCCTTAGAATCCTCTGTGGGGGAGCGATCCTCTTCCTTGCCTTTGCCTTTAGCGCTGGCTTTACGGCGAAGATTATAGAGGATCTCGTCGTGGATTATGTTTCCCGCAAATCCTACGATCCACATAGCTATACCGAGCCAAAATCGGGGCGTCGAGAAAGTGCCTGATAGGTAGGAAGCTGTGGAGGTGGCGGAGAGGTAGGCAGCCATCATGAATCCATTGGGGATGTTGAACACAAACGCAGCCAGCACGACCATAGGGTGAGAAGAGGATCGCGAAGGGCTCCGGAGCGGTGAAATGAGCGCTCTGTTCGCGTAGTGCGTGAGGAAACAGGCTGCCAGCAATGCCTGTGGCGTCAGGTGGAAATTGTTGGAGGGGACAGGTGCCTCAAATGGAGTGCGGGAGAACGGATGGAGGGCGAGGGTGGTGAGAAAGGTCAATGGTGAGACTGTCTCCATTACAATCCATGACTTTATGCCATCAATCGCAAGAATTGAGTTGGGAGTCGCGAAGCGGCCGAAGGGTGCATCGTAGACCAGAGTAAATGGTGCAACAAGGGCGGGCACATAAATGAACCACCGTTTAGTGACTAAAGACGATGAAGATTTCGTTAGCAAGATTGCTCTAACCGGTAGAACAGTAGATGCAGAAAAAATCGTAGTAGATTAAGAAAACGACAGATGTCTCCAGAATCCGGACTCGACACCCTCGCGTCTCGGAAGTGCCTCTGTAGTTTGACCTCCGAAATAACAATAGGACCTTTGATAGAATGAAATAACACACACCGGTGTAGATATGTTGATAATCTATTTCCGTGAGACTGTCCAGAAAAGAGGAGGACATGCTCGTTCGACTGAAGAGAGCGGTGTGAGGAGACTCAAACATACGCACCCACTTTCCACATTCGTGTCCGGCGAATGCCGAAGCGAGTTCTTGTTGAACAGCCACGCCTGAGAGGACTGTGGTATCCATGCATCTTAGTCAAAACAGACCTATACATATCATATCACCACTAGACCAGATTAGAAGGTCAGTCATGTCTCATTGAGCTCAAGTCTCGGAAGTATATTCATCTTAATGCGATGCTCTATGTCTATCTTTCGCCGACCGTCCCCATAATCATCATCTCTGCCAGTTGACTCACTTTGAATGCTTTACTAGAGACGTTACCTGAAGCTTGACATGCAATCAATATAGTTTCAACCAGGGAACCTGTGTACTATCATAAAACACTATATCATTCCACTTACCCTTCCTAGCAACCGTACTCGATGGAAACTTTGCATGACGGTTGTGCTACCCTTGCCATCAAGTTGCAAGGAGATATGTGACTTTGATATCCCTCAGAAGATTTCGAAGAGCGCCCACTGCTGTATCTTGATCACCAGCGACAACCTCAAGCTACTCATAGTGGCCTTCCTCGCTTGAAACTGCTGAGATTCTCGTTCTACGAATACCGGTCTCCAAGCTGCACAAAACTATCGTCGCCCACGGTATCAAAAGAACTTGAACTTGAACACGAACATAGAGACTTGGCTTCGAATTCAATCGGCGGCCGAACATGCTCACGTTCCGCTCACCCTCTGCCTGATGGATTAACCCTCAGGACCCACGGACACCTTGCCAACGTGATGCCATCCATCTTCCGCATCGTAAGCTGTTCTGTATTTGCTTCTGACAATTATATTACTCTTACACAGCATAGGCGCTAAAGAAACAAGATATTATGCCTATAAGTAAGCTTTCGTTTCCAGGCATTGCACTTTAATCTTTCTACGTTGCTTCGTCGTCTAACGCAAGTTCAGCATCCGATCCTGCAGCATCGTTGCGCAATCCAGTTAAATGGTACAGTTTGCTTTGGGTAAGAGGATTTCGAGCATCCGAGACACTGTCAAGCGAAGTCAAAGAGCGCCGTGGATCTTCGCCTGTTCGGTTGCTATTGTGCTTGCTGTCGTCCTAGGTATTCCTCTCGGATGGAGCCTGCGCGGTAAAGAGCTCAGTGGTGAAATTTTGACCTACTTCAAGGGGCGAATGGTCAGTCGTCAAATATTCTGCACGGCACTTTATTGCGCGAATCTGATTAATGCTCACCGTTTTGTAGCTCCAGGCCTCAATCACGCTGGTGTCCGTCGACGCCTCCTCTGGGACTGTCGTCCTTGACTGGTATATATACAACGATACCTGCATCCTATATAATCTGAAATCGAACACCACCACGAGCGACCAAAACTGTCCGCCCGTCAACGTGTATTTGGATACGTAAGCGACCACTCTATCCTGGGCTTCAAGGTATCCTGACCTATCCCTTCCAGAAATCTTTTGTCGTCCTCACATAGCTCAAATACGGATACCGCGTCCAATAACCCACCAAAATCTCCTATCTTTTTCTACAATGCTACCATGGCCGCTCAGGATCGCTACTTCGCCAGCGAGCCAACTTTCCGTACCGAGCGTGGGTTCAATATTTCATGGCGTCTAGAGTTATGACTGACCATTATACGACAGTAAATATGATAACCAGACAGAACACATTGGCCGCTAGTATTGTCAACTATCCGTTTGATAAGTAAGGCTTCTACACTTAGAGATATCATCAAAACCATTGCTGATCACCTAAACCAGATATGCCGTCTTTCCACTCGTCTATGGCATCACTAACCACACAGACAAGATGGTAGGAGTGTTTATCGGGGAACTCACTGGCGTTGCTGTGTGAGTACCTTCCAGTGCAAAGTAAGCGACGAAATATATGCTAACACGTAGAGTTGGCAGAGGATTTCAAGCGCATACGGATAGAAATTGGACATGGAGCGACATTTCCGGCAGAACTCAAATATACCTAAAGATCAGCAGGTCTACTGTTGTAAAAGTCTACGCCGTGATCATCGTAATGGTCATCTGTACGTCCTCTCTCTTTGCGTTTTTTCCCTCTATACCACCCCCCGTCTTAACGAAGGTGGCGCTTCTTCAGGGCTTATAACACTATGCCTGCTGGGCATCATGGTCAAGGGCGTTATCATGGGCCAAGGTCAAAGAGTTGAGATCTTGGTCATACCAGTCTCGGCTTTGTTTGCATTCACCTCTCTCAGGAGCACAATGCCTGGCGCACCAGGCAGCTTCGGTACGTCTTCTGATCATCAGCCGGTAATCTACGCGTTCGAAACATTTGGTTTTACTTTGTTTAGGTGCAATCATTGGTATGTGTCTATTCCAGTTAGCCTTCGCCATGACAAGCTAAGTTTAAATGAAACTAGATTTTGTGGGAATTCTACCATCCTTGGTCTTCCTAGCCTTGACGGTTCGCTCGTCTCTCGCCTTTTGTACGCATCATCACTCAATTTCTCATGCATCTAGTCACTACTCTGCCTCATACCCTTCATCTTGGACACCGACCCCGAAAAACCTCGCACACATCATAATAAGGACGCGGAGAAGGCATTGGATAGTGTCATCCACCCCGGTCTCAAGCCCCTGCATGCTGGTCATGGGCATTACCATTCCGACTTGTCCTTGAGCGGCTCTACCACGGCCATTGATGATTCACCGGTGCCAGACAGCAGCATAAAACCTAACTCTGGACAGCTTGATCATGAACGTACAAATAGCTTCCGAGCAAATTGGACGTCCTCTCATCGCACCCTTGACGAGGCACCTCTTGCGCACCAGAACGCTTCGCATGGCACTATTCCTCCACCACCAGGCGCACCGCACGCCATCTACACCACCCACTCGACTGCCAGTAGCGTCAGCTCGATCGCTTCGTTGTCGAAGGTGCCCAACAGCAGAGCTGAAAGACATGTCGCTTCTGAGGATGCGCCGCCACCCACACCGAGAGGTCAGTGAAATCGATTCTCATGTTAGCTTCAACTGACTACGAGTTTCGGTACTGATACTCTTACTCTCCATCAGCACCCGTCCGCGAGTCCTCGTTTTCAGAATCCGCACCCCTACTTTCTGAAGAACATGCCCAAATCTCCGATGCTGAACAGGTTTTGGAGAGAAATTCTCTGCCTGGCCTCGTGCGGAGCATGGCCGTTGAACCTACGTCTGATGATATCCGTGATGGTGAGTACTCGAACGATCGCAGTCTATCGTGCTCCGTCGATGGTATGACTCAATATTCTCGACAGATCGCGCTCCCGATCTGAGCAGGTTTCCTTAACGTCGCGCAACTTGCGGATGTGACTTAGAGCATGTATTGGACCTCCGTGAAACGTATCATCCTCTATATTTATACCGAGGTCAGATGTACGAATGATGACTATCCCGCCAAACCCCAGCGTACGATTGCACCTATCACTCTGAACGTATGACGCGAAAAATCCCTTCAAGGTCCCACTAGAAGCGCCTATTCGGCCCATAAGCTGATTAATCTACAGAACATAAACTTGTCGCACCCCTTTCCAAGTCAGCAATCTTTCTAACCACATAGGAAAGACCCTCACTTGCTATTACCAAGCAGTACGGGCCATGAAGACCGTGCAAACCCCAGCAAAGGTGGTGGTCCTTTCAAGGAGATATCCTCAGATGAGATCGTATAATTTTTTTCTACAGTTTAACTTTGTCAGAAGAGCACCAGGGCGTGGATTGTTTGAGCTGTTCTTGCTCGTGGGGCCACTGTTAGTGCCACAGTGCAGATGTGGGAAACAACCGAAATCGCAATATTCTCACCTGCTTCCTGGACCGGCAGACGCCCAACGTTTTCAGAACGTTCAAGAATGGTCTACCATTTGGTAGCGCTTTACACTATGGCAACTTGCCAAGTCCGTCCCACAAATCGTGATAGTGACGTGTTTGCGATGCAACGACGTGTTCGCTACTATAAAAGCGCTTGCACTCTTTGATTACTATTGACTTCTACTATCTCCCCCCGACTCTTAATCATGACTGTCCACGGTTCCTGCCTCTGCGAAAGCGTAAAGTACGAGATCGAGGGCGACCCTTTCCGATTCAATGTCTGCTATTGTTCCAATTGTGCGAAGGTCACTGGGGCAGCGGCTGGCAATACGCTCACATTCAAAGAGGAGGTATGTTCTCTCAGTCTCCTTTGAATGATACCGAACATCCACAACTCAATCACGCTTTCGCTCTTAGCAAGTCACTTACTCCGAGAATCCCGCTGGGATCATTTCTACGTACGAAGATACCAAGCTCGAGAGCGGAAACACTCTCTTCCGACAATTCTGTAGCAAATGCGGTTCAACGCTGTTTATCACGGCAAAGAATTATGCTGGCGTTATCATGGTGCCATACGGAGGGGTAGACGACGCACCGGACAGGTGGAAACCGACGCATGAAGTGTGGTGTAGGAACAAGAAGGAGTGGTTGCAACAACCAATCCCTGAACAGTCCTATTGAGGACGGCATGTCGTGAGCCAGTTCATTGATATTCTGTTGAAGTGCTCTGGTTACTGATTTACTGAACCATGATGACAGGTTGAATAATATATTATGCATTGTGTCTAGGCTGTAGTGAGCAATGGACGGGGTTCATATGGTCTAGTACTAGTAGTTAATGTCCTAATTACGCCGCCCTGTGTCCCTGTCATTATGACTCAACCTCATTGTGATCTCCAGAAGCGCACGAGATATGATACCCATTGTTAAGCCTATGGGTAGACACATTTGTCTCCTACTCGTAGGGTTGACTAGGACCCGGGTTTATAGAGGGGGAGGTCGAATACCAAAATCGATGATTTTCGGGGTTTATTGGGGGATTCCTTATAAGGAAATCCACTGGGGGATGGCGCCTCCGACCTCGACTTTTTTCGGTCGGAAACTGGGGGATTGAGGAACCGGAGGCCGGCCGAAGGCCAAAAATGGAATATTAATCCATATTTGGTAGTCCCACTGGGGGATCGGGATCCGACCTTCGCTTCCGGGACCGAATCCCGCTGGGGGACCATCCTACTAACGTATCCAACCTTCTACCCTCTGGACGGTTCAGAACTGGGGGATTAGTATTCAACCTCCCCCTCTATAGACCCGGGTCCTGGTTGACTCCCACCGTAGACCTGTGGCCCAATTGTGGCCCATCGACGATTCAGAATTTCAAACATGATCTCTGTGATGACGTACACATGCCCCTATTCCGATCACCTTCCATTCGTGTCACGGTGGACTTGTTGTTCTTCTGCTTTAGGCGACCACTGTCAACAAGCAGCGTCAGCCACTCAGCCAGCAAAACTTCAGCCCCCTCGATAACTCACTCAAGGTCTCCTTGCCCCACATGCTCTTCCATCTTTTTCTTCAATGCGTGTCATCGGCAATCACTGTCGCAGCAGCGGCGGGCATGGATACCCGTCAAAGTAACCAAAGGTAATGACAGTCTCGGACTCAGTAAATAATACAAGATTCGCCTGGCATGCTGCCTTATATCTTTGGAGGAGACGACTTAGCGACCGCCTCGTCTGTATCCTTCCGTCTGCTCTGCAATGTTTCTGACGGGCTGTCTCGCGTTCGTGGTGTCGTACACACTCGTTCTACCTGGTGTCTCTGCTAGTCCGTTCATAGTTCCTCAAGCCCGCGACGACAATGATGGGGTACATCTTGCTGTCAGCCCGAAATGTGGTCCTTTGGGAGGGACGCTCGCGGACGTTAACGCGGGAATAGACTTGTCTCAGATCAAAACCATCGTCTCCTTTGGTGTGGGTGTGTTCTTAGTTCTGTACCCTTGTCTTTCTTAAAACAACTAAACCGCCCGTTCCCTAGGATTCCTATACTGACGGTTCGTTGAGATTTGTGGTCCACGTCTCAAAGGTCGACTCCTCGCTCATCGCGTATACAGGCGGCAAGCACGATGGCTCCCCGCTGGACCCGCCTGTTCTCATTTATCCTAGTGCCTTTGCCGGTGGAAGATCGACAGACGGACCAATTTGGATAGAGTGTGTCGCAGATGATATAGGCGCTACGTTCATGGACTATGCGGTTGGCAGACCTTCATTCGTCTGGACTATCCTCATCGTCTCTGATTAAAATACCCAGATATCCAGTGCGGTAGTTAACGTATCCTTGTGGCCTGACAACCCCTACCCTCGAGACTTTCTTCAGCAGGGTATGAACGGTGTCCATCAGCTCCTGTAAAGGATAGCTTATGCGCCGTTCCTCGCAGTGTCGCTTTTCTCGAGCCAGGATAACGACCTTGACTCGAACACTACACTGTACACCGTCTTTTTCGGGATCAATGACTGGTTAGATTCGTTCAGTGAGTCGCACAATTTCCGGTTTGAACCCGGACGCTAAATCGATTCCACGCTCGTTAGTTGACGGCGATCACCTCCCCGAAGCTGCTCAAGATCTCCTCAACCAGATCGCCATACTCTCTGGCCCACCCACCAACGGCCGTAACTTCCTCATCACGGACGACTACGGCCGCGGGACCCACGAGGCCTCCGGAGACGCATGGAAACAACAGATCTTCGACGGAATTTCTGCCTTTCACTCCAACACCTCTGTCGGTGGCGCGAATGTCCCTGCGCCACTCAACGTCGCGTTCGCTGACTTCGCCACGATATGGGATGGTGTCTTAGGCCCGGACCCGGGGTATGAGGCGTTTGGGTATACGAGTACGGGGTATTGCGTGTTCAACGGGAGTACGACGTATGATCTTTGTTCAGACCCGCCACACACTTTCTATTGGTTTGATGGGTTTGTGATCCTTCGGAACTTCATTTCGTGACCAGGAGCTGATACGGTGGATCTGATTCATAGGCACCCATCGAATGTGACGCATCGTATCATGGCGGTAAGCGCAGTCGGTATCTCTGAGCGAATTGCATTGCTAATATGAACTCAGGACTATGTGGAGGAGGTGCTCAGTAACTGTGTCGTCTCCTGAGCGCAGTAAGTCTGGTTAAATTTCCTTGGGGTGGATGTGTGTTGTATTTTCTTGGGACTCTTGGGACTTTGCACAATGAATTATTTGTGATTATAGTATTGACGGCACCGCCGAGTTCAAGTCGTAATTCGGTCTCTTGTCATGCGAGGTAAGGCCACAGGGCAGCCAGTGAGAGAAGACCTCAGCTATCTCATACACCACGGTATTGTTACATCTTGCATTCGAACCCTTCTATACTTTAAAACAGGCTCAGGGGGAATCACCATTACGAACCTTCTCTGCAAGGTCAAATCCAGCCGCGAGATGCATGAGACGGGCGTCGACCATGAAGTTCTGTAGCAGCGGGGTGTCAGGTTCAGCTTCCGGCTATGTCTCGTTCAAGACTCCAGAATATTTGGCCAAGGGCAAGGCTCACCTTCTTCTCATATTCTGCAATTGAAAGCATTTAAAATCATTGCATGGGTTGCTTTGAAGAAAGCACCCACCTTTCAATTCTTGGTACAACCCACTAAGCGCTACCACGCGTTTCACGATGGATTCTCCCTCCTCCAGCTTCTGATCTGGGGTCTCAAGTTTGTCCGCTAGTGGAACATCCAGAGTGACGAGCTGCATATTGGTCGTCGTCATTCCTTGAGAGGGTGTTGCATCAGGGACGTGGTACAAATACACCATAGAAGCAGAGTCTACAAACCTGGGTCAGTGGCCAGAACTGCTGATGACTGCACGACTCCGTGTGCTATATAGCCCGTCTCTTCTTCAAGTTCGCGAATGGCAGCCTTTTCGCCATCTTCACCTTCGTCGATCAGGCCGGCAGGGAGCTCTAAACGGTTTCCATCACGCTCCAACACGCTAAAAAAAGGGTGGAGATGTGTCGTACCTACGATGAACTTGTCTAACGGAGGTCTATACTGTTCGATGATGACTGTAGAGAGAGGGAAAGCCTTCGTCTTTGAATGAATAAGAGCGAGGATCGCTACAGCTATAGAAGCGATGATGGTTATGGTTCGTAACGCTCAGGCAGGTATTGAGAGATAACTCACCATCGACACCCGATGAACCTCTGGTCCTCCTCTCTGCAGCTTCCCATACTCTCTAGACATCCAGACGTTCAGATTCAAGTTTCTGTGGCGTCGTTCGCCCCTGAAGGAGTCCTTACCTTCTTGCCTTCATGATCTTGCCAATGTATCTTCTTCAAGCTCACCCACCTCCACTCATATGCCAATATCAGAAACCGTGGTGTTCAAGTGCCATCATGGCATCTACACCGGCGGTGGAGTCTACTCACTTCGCGTCCTTCGTATCCATGTCTTCCGTCGACAAGATCTTCGGTTCCTGAGACATTTTCCTGGTATTTAACGTGGAGATGGGACGCTTGTGTAGACGCAGGTGCTGGTTTAGAAGAGTTAGGCGGCGCGCGGTAGCGTTGAACATGCAGAGAGAGGAAGAGATCAGAAAGGCGTGACGTCAATCGATTGTTCTGTGTTGGGCCACACTGGCAGCGCTCACTCGTGTGGCACCGATAATTGATAGTTTCTAAATCCTATGAGACCTCCGAAACACTTTTCTTTTACCTGAGCAGAGCTATGGGTAAATACTTAGCAGTTCAGTGCCCTAAAGAAGTATTGGGATACGTCGAACGCGTTGTCTGCTGGTTTGCAATTGCATGCAAAGTCGCCGTCAGGTCAAAAGTTGGTGGCTGTGGCGAAAGAGAGTTCGGCAATTTGATATCGGCAAATTCCCCGTCCGGACAACGCCTCGATCACACAACTCAAAAGCTCAACAATCCCATCAACCTCTCATACCTAGCGAAAAACTTGCTCCCCAGTCTCTCGATATTATGTTCGTTCTGTCCAAGTCTCCAAGCTCTGTCGAAGAACGAGACTCACAGTTTGACCGGCACTGCACTCTTCTCAGGTTGAGTTTCTTCCAGCTCTGCCCAGCTCAAGACGCCGTCGACCACCTCCAGGAACATTACGGATGATGATGGGCTCTTTTACATACATCTTCGGCCATACCTCATATGACTTGATGAATTGCGGACCTCCCGAGAAAAGGCGCCTGTTGGCCTGTTTTCGTACACAACCTTAGCCTTGCCTCAGTAGCAGGCGCAGGGAAGCTCCACGTCTCACTGGAACGAGCTCGACTCGTCCATACACCTCCACACCCTACGCTCACCTTGGGCAAAGGAGAATTTCTCTGTCGGAGTTCGGCTTAGGTCATAAGTCAGGCTCCAAGAGGTGAGTTATGTCGTCTACGTATCATTAGAGAGCGTGAAATCGCCCAAAATCGAAACTCAAAAGCCGAGACTGGAACGGTTGAGACTCCAAACTCAGTGGTGAGCGCTCGTGCCCGTGGAGCGAAACTCAATCGAGTTTCGCTCCAATCTCCGAGTTTAGATTCTCGCGGATTTCACGCTCTCTATTGAAACACGATGGACACGAATTGAATTGGCCATCAACAGCCGCGAAACAGCGCTGTCATCGCAGCCTCCTGACTATTCCCCTTTCTGTCTTCGATCGCCGAGAGGTATCGGCATCTCTTCTGTGGTCGCTCTCATTTTTACACCAGCGGCTTAGGCTCTGTGGAGGAATGCCTCGGTCTGGTCTTTCATAGCCATAGTAGGCGCCTCGAGCGATGGTCCGCCCAGTATATAAAGATGGGCAAATGCCCACCTGTGGTCCAGTCTCACCTCATTTTTTGATCCCTCTGCTGCGAAAAAAACAATGCAGGCCCTTTCCTCCGAAGGCCACTGTGGTATGTTCGGTTACCCCTACTTCTATCGTTGACTCACAATAATTCTCACTAATAAGAATCATCCGCCGAAATAGTAGCTATGCGTACCTCAGTCGACCTTGGGTCATCTGCCCGAGAACGTGAGCCCGCCCACATGCTTTATCTCTCCACTTGGACTAACCACAGAAATCAGGTTCTCTTCCCGTGGCAACATTGCCTCCCGAACTCCTTGCCCACATCTTCTCCTTCCACGCCATCGGTTCTGAAGGCGACCGCCTCTACCGTAAAGGTCCCTTACCAACTTGGTTAGCTATTTCGCAAGTCTGTCGGCGATGGCGCGACGTTGCCCTGAACACTCCCCATCTCTGGACGAACATCCTGCTGTCAAACCGATACTGGACGACTACCATGCTTGCCCGTTCGAAAACCCTCCCCATATCCATCAATGCCGCCTTCGTCAATCGGCCTTTGCAGGACGCCGTGTCCGAGGCACTCCTCCAAGTCTCGCGCGCACGGGAGGTTGTATTGTCTTCGGGCATCGTTCAGCGCTTAGTTCTCCCGTTGAGGGACCGACCAGCACAGGTACTCGAAACATTATCCCTCAGCCAAGCTGTCCTCTCCTGCGCGATGCCAGACGATCTCTTTGCGGGCGAGACGCCGAGGCTCACATCGTTGACGCTGAAGCGCACCGAACTGAGATGGTCGAGCGCGCTGTTGCGTCCGGCGCTTAGGCACCTCGAGATCTGGGACGTGAGCAAAGATAGCTTACCCACGATGAACCAAGTCCTGGATATGCTCGAGACCATGCACGATCTACAGACTCTCATCCTTGTCCGCGCCTTGCCTGGAGGAACCGACGTCGATAATGTCCAGACGCGGCCGGGTGGCTTCACCTTCGAAGACGAACGGGTCATCACCCTTCCCGCACTTCGCAAGCTTCATCTCGGTGGAGAAATGTCGCAGTGTACAACACTCATGGCTCACCTTTCCATCCCACCCGATGCCCAGGTAGAACTCGAATGCACGCCTTCGCCTGATTTTCCGGATCTTCCTCCACCAGTTTCCACACTGGAAGCCGTACTCGCCTCCCATTTCTCACGTCGAAACCAGTATCGCAACTCACGCATACCCACCTTCCAAAGTCTCTCTTTGGGCGTCACGTCCTCCGATATGGCCTATTTCCACGCCGATACCACCACGCCCTTGGAAGACAACGGTCACGCATTCAGCGTTACATTCCAATCCGCCTCTGACGTAGCCGGTACTTCGAACGCGAAGCTCTTGCTATCCAGTTTGTGTCGAGTTGTAATCCTGAAGGACGTCCGGTCTTTGGAGGTTGAAGGTGCGGCCTTCACGGAAGGCGACATCTGGCGCAACTTCTTTGGGTCGATGAAAGACGTCGAACGGTTGTTCGTGGCCGGAGCTGCCGCGGACGGCTTCCTTCATAGTCTTGCATACATCTCCCCTCCACCACCACACACCACAGAGAATCCGCCGACTGACGCCGTTCTGGCCCTATCACAACCCGATGCTGAGCCGATTTTGGGCTTATTGGCGCAGTTGAAGCAGGTGGAGTTGGTGGAGGTGGATCTCAGGACGGGAGTGGCATCACGGTTATGCGCAGGATTGCGTACGATGCAGGATGTGAGTGGCTTAGAGACGTTGGTCCTCCGGAGCTGCGAAATCTCCCAACCGGATGTCGATGGGTTGCGGCGAATTGGATTGGAGATTGACGTTCGCATCGTGTAGCGCTCGAGGGTCTAGCATGGACTTTCTTATACTCTCTGACACAATTAGCACTATGACATAATAACACCTGCATAGTAATTTCTCCATGCCGTGTCTCCATATGAGAAAAGCATTGCCATCTTGTGATCAGAAAAAGCATCATACTTACACTCAAAGAAAATCCAAATCCCCAAGTAAATTATCTTGCAGGGTAACATTCCATCCCTCTTTATTTCTCATTCCGATGTGGTGTAACGGCTAACATTGCCGCCTTTCATCGTGGGCGAAGCTGCGAAGCGGGTGTTCCTCACTCGCAGCTTCGCGTGGGAGTCTAATACGCGGCAGCTCGGGGTTCGATTCCCCGCTTCGGAACGTCTCCTTATTCTTTGACGGTGGCATAGTTATAGCAGGTATGGGGTCACGGGTGTCACTTTTTGGAGGTATCTCAGTAGATAGAAATCCAGTCTCGTTATGGCTACCACGTCGAGTTGGATTCTAGTACTCAGACTTCGAGGACGACGGATTCACGGACAACATGGACAAGGAGCCCTTGACATATTGACACTCTTTTTTGAGTGCTTATTCAAACCGTCAAGCCTTTCATCTAAGGATACAGATCCCACATCATATTGCTACACGTACATATGCATCCGTATATCGACCTTCTGAATTGCAATTCTTCCCGCTAGCCTCTCAAACACAGCACCTCAAAGCTTCCCAGAACAAATACCCTCAACCCACTCAACATCACTCCTCACCGTCGTGAAGTTCTCGTACCCGTCCTTCGTGACCAAAACGACATCCTCGATCCTGACACCCCCGACGTTTTCGTAGCGCTTCAGCACTTCATGGTCGATATATTGCGAGTCGCGGACAGGAGCGAGTAAATGAGGCGAGAAGTATATTCCTGGCTCGACCGTCTGCGGATATCACAAAGATTAGCTCAAAAGGAATGAGAAGGCAAGCGGACTAATTCATACCACGACCATACCCTCTTCAAGAGGCAACCTCAGCCTCAAATAAGTATAAAAGCTTTCATGCCCCAACTCCACACCCTTATTATCCACCGTCAGATTCACAGCAGGCTTGCTCGCGCTCGGCACGTCATGTACGTCCATGCCCAACGAGTGGCCCACGCCATGAGGGAAGAAAGCCGAACTGACGCCCGAGGCGAGGATTGCTTCTTCTGAATTCCAGGAGCCCGAGCCTGGTGAGTTTGGAGATTTGAAGATGCCGAGGCGCTGGAAGCCCTTGATGAGGGTGCGGTGGCAGAGGAGTTGGATGGCATCCCAGTGGAGGGTGGGTTTAAGAGCGTCGAAGGAGACCTGAACGATGGCCGTAGATGAGCAATGTCAACCTCTTATAAGTAGGGTAAGGATGGTCAGTACCTTCTGCATCTCGAGAACAAGTTCGTAAATCGCCTTTGCTTCAGGAGTAAACTTGCCACCGTTGCCAACAGGCATGGTTCGAGTGACTGCATGAGATAATTTGAGTCTCGAACGAATAGTCCCAGGAGATAATGATGATGTACGTACTGTCGGAAGCGTAGCAATCCCACTCGCAGCCGGCATCGATGAGCAAAACCTGAGGATTCAGCTCCTTTCCCTTACCATGTGCAAAGTCATTTCGATTCTTATGATCGTGAGGTTTAACCGGTCCCCAAGCGAACTCCTTGTCATTACAACAATAATGCAAGGTCGATGCTCGCGTCGACGCAGCCACAATAGGGAGGTAAGCCTGGTGAACCGCGCTGTATTTGACAACACAAAATGTGAGCATTAGCCAGCTAAAAAGCGACAAACCATACCCTTCACGTCTACACGAAGCCACAAAAATCGCCTCCGCCTCCGCTTCTTTCTCAATCAACCACTCACCAGGTAACAACGGCCTGTCGACCCCTGCCCCTTTACCCAGTTCAATTCCCCTAACACCGTTCCCCAGGACCCGCATCACGACCTCATGCGCCCTCGAACTAGTCGCATTCGCTTTCCTGATCCTCTCAATCTCCGACTCGTCCTTCACCAACCTTGCCCTATGCAACGCAGTCAACAAATATCCGTCCGTCACCTGCGCTGTTCCATGCGCAAGAGTAAGGTACTTCTTTGGCAGTTCTGGGAACTTGGACTCAGGAGGAAGTGTGTGGATAAGTGCGCCGGGGAAAGCACTGAGAGCGTCGATGATCGCTTTTGGGAAGTCGGTAGTATGGGCGATAGTGTCAGCTTCGAGGTATTCTTTCGCGGCTTTTATGGTCGGTGGCGGAACAGACCACATTACATCTGCAGGTTCGATGGGTGGAATGAAGAGGGAGAGGGAATTGGACTCGAGAGAAGCGGAGGTAGTGGTGGCGAGGAGGTAGGACGAAGGGACGGTACATCCGGAGAGGTAGAGGAAGTTGGATTCCTAGAAATCTATGTCAGCCCCCTTCTATAACATTTACCACCAATCTATGGGCCGTTACGCTCAAGAAGAGGTACCACTCTGTCTCATGGCCTCAAGGACCCATTCCATCGCCATAAATACATCACACTGAACGCTCACCTGCCTAAACACCATCTCCCGATCCGTATCATTCCTATACGGTGTCACCTCTCCCGCAAGCAAAATAATTTGTGGCTACACATATTCACATCGTCCCCGTCAAACGCAAGACATTTTATCTCTTAGTTAGTATGAGAGCACGTTCCAACGACTGTGGCGCACCTTTGCACGATCAACGGCAGGTAGAAGTTCGACCAACTTCTCGAGCGTCTTCAGAGCATGTTGGCGTGCTTCGCAGACATTTTAGTATGCCAACGTATGGGTGTGAATAAAGAAAAGAAGAACCTGGGTAGACCATATCGCAGAGCAAGATGGATGGTGTTGAATAGGGGTAAAGCTGGTGTGAGAGTTCACGGGCAGATATATGAAAATCGATTTGTTCTCAGCTAAAATGCTCGTCAGAGTATTTAGATCATACCTTGAATCCAAAGTTCCCTGTGGGCCTAGTGTATTGGATCCTTGGGAGAATGCAGGTAATAGTCGGGATGAAGCTGACGCTGAGAGGACTCCGCCCAAGACGAGGCTGGCGGCACTCGGACCGCGCCACGCGCCACAACAGCGCCATAAAGAAATCACAAGCCTCCACAATTATCCTCGACCTCGAGGGCCGAACAAAGCCCTCATGAGCACCGTTTCAGCTGGCCTCGATGACCGTACACACACCGAAACGAAAACGTCCAGAAAAACAATCATTTCATTCCCCTCACCGCACATAAACTCTAAAAGTCCTAGGATCCATGAGCATCCAATCATAATACCAGTAATTTGAGACCATAGCTCTCTCGAAGGTATCAGAAAAGGAAGAATCGGTAGTGTATCGTAAAGAGAGAAGAGAGAGAGGGAACAACTAATGAGGCCGTCCAAGGATGCAAGACAGAAAAAGCTAAGGGGGGGCCTCGTAGTAAGGAAATCCTACTAAGAGTGGATGGGTGTTTAAATTTTGGGATGTGGTGTATGGTGATGTTGTCGATGTCGATGTCTGAGTCCGCAGTATGTCTGACAGTCCGTGAATGGTATACACATTGGTTCTTTTTCTTCTTTCTCTTCAGTTTCTCCCCAGCAACCCACACCCGCCACGACCAGACCAGACCAGACGATATTTACTCGGTGGTGACGGACTTGGCCCTAGATAGCGGAACGAAATTGGTCAGCGGCCGTCGAAACATTTTAAGCACGGAAAGCTGAGGGAAGAGCACTTACAAGTTCCTCGGGAAATCGACGTCGAATCCCTTCTTGACAGCGAGGTGATAGCTCAAAAGCTGCAACGGGACGATGTTCAACAAGCCCTGCAAGCAATCCACCGTCTGCGGCACCCTGATCGTCTTCGCGTTCTTCGGGATCCCTTCGTCGCCCTCGTTGCAAAGCACGATCGGCTGAGCCTTGCGCGCGGTGATCTGGGAGAACGCGGACTGGACCTTGGGGTAGAGCGAGTCGCGGGTCATGACGATGATAACGGGCATGTTCTCGTCGATGAGCGCGAGGGGGCCGTGCTTGAGCTCGCCGGCAAGGATACCTTCAGAGTGCATGTAGGAGATTTCCTTGATTTTGAGAGCACCCTCGAGACAAGTAGCGTGTCTATAGAGTTCAAATTGTCAATACCAGATAGCTAGGACATAGGGAATAGAATTATACGCACTGGTAACCACGACCCATCAGCAACAGACTCTTCGAGTTTGCCAAGACGCCATCAGCAAGCTCCTGCAGCGACTTGTCTGCCTCGAGCACCCTCCTGAGCTGTCCGGGAAGCGCGTGCAGACCTTGGATGATCTGGTTCCTCCTCTCCATGAACGAGATCCTGTCCTCCGAAAGCTGCAGGGCCATCATCAACAGCGCGATGTACTGACTGGTGTAGGCTTTCGTCGACGCGACACCGACCTCGGGACCGGCATTGATGTGCACACCGCAGTGGGTCTCGCGAGAAATAGTCGAACCGACAGTGTTGACTACACCGACACAAAGGGCTCCACGCTCGAGGCAGTAACGGAGGGCGAGAATCGTGTCGGCAGTCTCTCCGGACTGGGAAAGGAACACACAGACATCGTCACGGAAGATGGGGGTCTTGCGGTCCAAGAAATCCGAAGCGAGCTCGACGCTGACCGGAATCTCGGTCAACTCCTCGAAGATAGCCCTCGTCGCGAGACAAGAGTGGTAACTCGTCCCGCAAGCGGTGAACACGATCCTACGTCCGCGGCGCATGATCGGGAGGTATTGCCTCAAGCCACCGAGCATGATCGAGTTGTTGTCGAAGTTGACGCGACCACGCATGGTGTTGACGACAGACTCGGGCTGCTCGTAGATCTCCTTCTGCATGAAGTGGTCGAACTTGCCCTTCATGATCTCGGCGATTTCGATCTCGAGCGTCTCGATAGAGCGGATGGAGGGAGTGGCGGCGCCTTCCTCCTTGCGGCGGAGACGGTGAATGTGAAGTTCGCCGTTGGCGATGTGGGCGATGTCGTCGTCCTCGAGGTAGAGGACACGCTTGGTGTGTTCGACGATAGCGGCAGCATCAGAGGCGACGAAGAATTCGATGGGTTGAGGGAGACCGTCTTCGGACATGAAGGCACGGGACTGAGAGCGGTGAATTTTCGACTCCGACCTGGGTGGGGCAAGGAGGCCGGTGGGCGAAGTGGGCGAAACGACTGGGTAAAGCTAAAATTAGAGTGTTTCGGATGCAGTTGATGATTTGCAAACTTACGGGAGTCGACGTTCTTAGCCTCCTCATTACCCGCAAACTCAACATCGACGAAGTCGACCTTGAGCTTCTTCTCGGTCTTGACACCAATCAGCAGGGGTGAACCGCGACGAGCAGTGACGACCTCGTTGGGATAATGCGACGACTTGAAGACAAACGCGAACGATCCCTCGAGCTCCTTCAGCACGGTCTTGACGAGCTCGGTGAAGGTGATCCGCTTATCCGGCTGCGAGTCGTACACATACTTGGTAAGGATAGCGACCGCCTCCGTATCCGTCTCACTCTCAAACCTGAAGCCGCGCTTCTGCAGCACGACCCTCAGCTCAGCGTAGTTGGTGACGATACCATTATGGACGACAACGAATTCAGCGGTGGGGTCTGAGCGCATCGGGTGACAGTTGACGACGCTGGGAGGACCGTGGGTTGCCCAGCGGGTGTGAGCGACGGAGACCTGAGACGTAAACTTCTTAGTGATGTCAACATTAGACTCGGCGATCTTCTGGCGGAGACCGGCGACTTTGCCAACTTCCTTGAAGAAGAAAGTCTCGCCGGGCTTGTCGCCATCGATGCCAATGCCCGCGGAGTCGTAACCTCGGTACTCTTGGCGCGCAAGGCCGTTACAGAGGATCTCGCAGACCTCTTTGCGGTCCTATAGACGGGGTGACAGTAATGATCAGTATTCGGGTAACAGGGGCCCACACTCAGGAACGGCGGGGTCAAGGGCAAAAGTTAGGCTCGATGCACGCAAGCGAAAAAATCTCGTGTTTGACAGCACCAGCGCTCCCAACGTCCTCTTGAAGGCGCCGCCACCAGCATACAAGGAAAGAGGATGAAAATAAGAGTGGAACGAGACAAGTCGACATACCTTTTCCCTCAAGAAGCTGCAGTAACCAAAGATCCCGCACATCGTGAGTTGCAAAGGGTTGTGATTCTAAGGCTAAACACCAACTATCAGCAGCCCGTTCGCTGTCGTAAACAACGACGACGAGAACAAGACAAACCTGGATGCGACGGGGGAGGGAACGAGGGAATGAAGATGGAAGAGATGAACGCGGGGCGGTCTAAATAGCAACATGATGCGCTGCTGAAACCCAAACAAGGCCAAAGGCCGTGCGTAGTGCCACTGCCCATCATCGCCACAGCCACGTCGTTCTGTCATCTCTTCCCCGTCGTCGACTACTTAGCGACCTCGCACAGCTTATAACAGCCTCGGTCTGTTCCTGCCATTCACCGCTGGAACTTACTCGCTCCTTCTAGCTGCTCGAATTTAGGCTGCACTATTATTATCGTACGGGTCCTGGTATGTCCACAGAAATAGATAGAACGGTCTGTACGTTCTATTTTACCCTTTGCCTGCGCAGACCGTTAATGAGAGTGTGTATCTTTACGACAAACTCACCCTCTTCCTCGCGGCGGTCTGAACACGCCGACCTCGATACAACTGCTCAGGTTTTCTCTACGGGCGCATCACAGATTGCAACGTTTACATTAGACTGTGGACATATCAGGCTTGTGAAACTCTGGTAGATCCACTAGCTAGCTACGCCCGGTCGAACGAGTGAGCTGATGCAACCTTTGTCTTCCATCTGGTTACACTGAACCCGCAATTGATCGTTCTCCGACGACCTGATGTTCGGCAGTGTCGCTAGATCTGTGGCGCATCGATAGATTGGTGTTCGGGTTCTGCGGTCTCTTCACTTCTCTTCATGGGAAGACCTTTTGCCTGTTCACTGGCTTGCGAGGACCTTCTCCATGGGCTCCTTCTCAGGACTTGGCCGGCGCTGTTTCGTAAAGCAACACACCGGAGACCGAATTCACAAAGGACATGCCTTGTACGCGCTGGATATCCTTGGACTCGTGATACAAACAATTGAATTCGTGGCAGGCTACATTGGTATTCATGCAGGCATTTGACGACCCCTGCTCTCTTTGCGTCGACTATGATTACCACTTTACGGCCTTCAAGGCAGCCTGCACAGGGGTTCGGGCTGCTATCGTCGTATGCCACGCCTGGAATACGATGGAGAATGGAAGTCTAGTCAGCTCACTTGTTATTCACGTGCACGGCACTGTGGACACGCACTTTCAAAGCAGGCCACTCATCCAAGTTCGCTGCAATCTGAGCGCGTCCGTATACGTTGACCCTGGAAAAGATCAAACAACGACCATACAATGCCCCGGTAAGTCGACGTCGAATAGGTAAACACAGGGAGGAGACGGCGAAATGACTTACGTGCACCAAGTCGACACGTCCAGAAGAGTGTACTTTCCGCGCCCAGGCCCGACGAGGTAGTCGCGATCCTTCAGACGCGTATCGAGCACTCCATAGAGGCGCTTTACCTCGCTCACATAGCCTAAACGGACAATTCAGCCACGGCTGGCAGACTACGAAGATGCCCTTTCGGAAAGGAACTTACGTTCGCGAGCGACAGGGTTTTCCTGCTCAGCGAAGTACGTCCAGAACATGACTATATGGTGATAATATTCAAAGTTCACCATAATATTCACGATCAGACTTTGCTGATACAGACTGACCTTGCGAGTTCATGGGAACAACGAAGCTATGCTACATAGACACTTGACATCAGCACCTGACAATCACGACGATATCGTACACCCCAAGGTGGCCCGTGCTGTAAGATGACTTACGACGAAGAACATCCACTGCAGCATCTCATTATGTTCCTTTTCCTCCGTCTGCTCGTTGAACGAGAACTTTCCTTCCTTATCATAGTTATGCGCGAGGTAGAGCAGGATCGCGCCCGTCTCGAACACGTTGAAGTTTCCGCGGGAACGGTCTGTCAGGGCGGGGATGGTGCCGTTCGGGCTGACTTCTATAAACCATGGCTGTTTTTGTTCTTTCGATTTTAGATCGATGATTTTCAGGCTACATAACATAGATGTAATATATCAGTATATCTGCACAGATCACCATTTGTCGGCGCTTTCACTGTAAGGATACTCACTCGTAGTCGGGCGTGCCATACGCCGCCTTTAGCTCCTCGAGAAAAATAGGCACCTTAGCCCCATTTCCGGTGGGTGCGGCGTAAAGGATGATAGGCTTCTCGGACATGGTGATGGGAGGGAAGAAAAGTGGATTGCGACATCGCAGCTCGAAAGTCGAAGACCTGAGAGAGATGAAATAGGATCAAATTGATTTCGGAAGTTCTGATGGGCCACAGGGGCGCAAAAGGAATTGAAGATTCTGAGGTGGCGAGGTGGCGTGAGATGTCACCTGACTCGGCGCACGAGCGTGTGGCGACGCCTTTTCAATTTGCAGGCTTTTTCGCGTCCTTCACCAAGTCTCTCCTGCTTCATATTCAACCGTTTTTCGCGGTCAAGGTGCATTATTTCATTGGCTTGCTGTACACCATATCCAGAGACATCATCTCATACTCTGCTTCCACCGTTTTGCCCTGTGGTCCAAATAATCCTCTACTATTTTCGCAGTGAGTCGGTATCCAGCACTCTTCCGGACCACTGCAGTTGTAACTTATCAAGCCTTCGATTGGATAGGCATAGTATAGAGGTACTCTCTACGGTGCAGCCTCATTATAATGGCGCGCTTGCGGAAAGACAAGGGCGAAAAGTCCAAGGTAAGTGGACCTTCCCTGCTTCGCCAATACCTAGTCTCATTCGTCACATCTCCACATCTTCTCCAGGTCACCTCTCTCCCCGAAAAATCATCTACCAAACCCAAAAACGCTAAAACTACCACGACTTCCAAGTCCAGGTCTTCCAAACCTTCCAAAAAAGACGAACTCAAACAAAACGTTCTCGCGCTCGGTGGGACGCTGGACGACATAGAACTTGTGAACGGTTCGGGCTCTGGCGGTGGAGAGTTTAAGGATGACGGAAAAGTCGATGTGAGTTACTCTTTCAAGGTTTTGTATATGAGAGAATCCGATTTAACCGAGTATAGGCCAGTCTTAAGGGAGACATCTCCAAGTTCATGAAGGAATTGAATTTTGGAATTTCCTCCATGGAGGCGAACAAACCTGCAACGGTTGAGGCGCCACAAGCGAAGTCGAAGAAGGATCGGAAGGAGAAAAAGGCTGATACTAGAACGAAGGGGAAGGGGGTTAAAAATGATGCTGGAAGTCAACAGGTAAAGGTCGAAGGCAAGGAGAAGAAGGACGGTAAGGAGAAGGGCAACAAGAAGGAGAAAAAGGACAACAAGAAAAAGTCTAAGCCTGCGGAGACCCCAAAGCCCTCTACCTCAAAACCCGCGCCCTCTGAAGCCCCAACACCTGTAGCAGCAGCAGCCGTCCCTGCCCCTCCAATATCTACCTCTCAATTCCTCCCTCCCAAATCCGCAAAACTCCTCATCCAACCCACTCCAGACTGGTACACAGTCGCCGCTCCTCTCCCTGCCACATCTACCCCGATCCCCACTCCTACATCCTCCCAAATAGCCTCGCTCACCGAACGCGCTGCTAAACTCCACGGCGCAGAGATGGCACAATTTTCCTCGGCGCCACACGCCTCCCTGGTCTCCTCGTCCTCCGATCAGGCTTTCCTCAAAAACATTCTCGCTTCGGGTACGCTGAGCGACAGACTCAGTGCACTTACACTCATGGTGCAGAGCTCACCGCTGCATAACATCAGGGGGTTAGAAGTGTTGAAGGGCATGGCCGAGAAGGGCAGAGGAGGCGGGGCGCCATCGAAAGATGGCCCGAAGGGTAGAGGTGGTGGGAGAGAGGAGAGGTTAAAAGCTGCGAGAGCAATTGTTGATTGGTGGATCGGTGGTGGGGCGCCGGAACGAAAACTGAAGTAGGTGTTCTCCACTGTGTTATTTTGCGTTGTCCGAGCTGAGTGTGATGAACAGATATTTCCGTGATCAGCCTCTTCTTCATCCCGGGGTCACAGACCAACATCTTGTCGTTTGGTTTTTCGAGGATTGGTTGAAGAAGTATTTCTTTTCGCTGCTGCAGATCTTGGAGGTAACGTGTCATCTTCGGGCTCCAACTACAATTGGAACTTAACTAACTCTCTAATCTTCGTCATGATAGGTCCTCTCACTGGACCCCCTGGCCTATGTTCGGACACAGACTCTTACCCTTATCTATAACCTCCTCAAAGACAAGCCCGAGCAAGAACACAATCTTCTCCGTCTTCTAGTCAATAAGCTGGTTCGTACTTACACCCTTTGTTTCCTTTACTCCAGTCTGACCCTCTTGCTCAGGGAGATACCGAAAAATCCGTCTGCTCCCGTGCCTCCTACCACCTTCTCCAACTCCTCCAAGCCCACCCCATCATGAAATCCATCGTCATCCGCGAGACCACCGCCCTCATCATGCGTCCCACCGGAGCCGCGGCCACATCCTCGCTCACCAACACTCATAACTCCTCATCATCGTCCGCAACTGTTGCGAAACCCAAAATACACATCAAATTCGATGACAACAGTGGCACAAAATCATCAGCTTCCGCTCCTCCGGTGAGACCACTGGACAGGAGTACGTGGAACATGCACGCGCGGTATTATGCCTCGATCACGTTCAACCAGATCGTGTTGAGCACTTCTGACGAGGATAGGAAGGCCGCGCGGGCCTTGATGGATGTTTATTTCCAAATGTTCAGGGAGGTCGTCGGAGAGAGGAGTGTGGCGGAAGAAACTCACGTTGACGAGGATGAAGAGGAGGATGCCGGCGAAGATGCAGGCGGTAAAGACAGAGGACGGTACAGAGGTAAAAGATTCGACAAGGGAAAGGCGAAGGCGAAGGAAATACAGGGAGCGGCCGGGTTTGCGGAGGTGCAAGATGAGAACTCGAGGCTCGTGAGCGCAATCTTGACGGGTGTGAACCGGGCGATGCCATTTGCGCGTTTTGGTGGTGCTGATGTCGAGTAAGTATCTCCCACTCTGGCTTCGGTGTTTCCCCCGTTCTCCTTTGTATGACTAGATCCGAATATTCCTCTTTCCTCCTAGATTCCAACGACACATGGATACCCTCTTCCTGATCACCCACACCTCAACCTTCAACATCACCCTCCAGGCTCTCACGCTCATTCACCACGTCATATCCTCCGTCGCCACCTCCTCCCAGTCCGAAGCTTCGACGTCATCCTCCCAAGCGTTGGCAGCACGATACTACCGCACTCTCTACGCCACACTACTCGACCCTCGACTGTACAGTTCCGCGAAGCAGGCCATGTATCTGAACCTGGTTTTCAAGAGCTTGAAGAGCGACCCGGACACGGAGCGTGTAAAGGCTTTTGTTAAGAGGTTATGTCAGGTTTTGGCAGGAGGGTTTGGCGGGACAGAGTTTGTGGCCGGTGGGTTGTGGTTACTGGGCGAGGTAGGCCGTCATGCGCAGATGATCCCCCAAGTATGCTCACTTCTGACCTCTTTGTTTTTAGCTCTTCGACGGTGTTCCTGGACTAAGAAGTATCATGGAGAAGGTGCCACCACCCTCGATCGCCGAGTGTGAGCAGCAGGAGATGTACGACCCTCGGAAACGAGACCCTCAATACGCTCATGCATCCTCATCGCCCTTATGGGAGCTCGTATGTTCTTTTACATTCCAACTCGACGAAATCACCTCTAATTATCTTTTGTGGACGTATCCTTCAGACCCCTCTCCTCAACCACGCTCATCCAACTCTCACACTCCTTGCACGGCAACTCCTCGCTCACCAACCACTCACTACCAGTCCAGATCTTGCCCTTCACACTCTAACACACTTCCTCGACCGGTTTGTCTACAAGAATCCGAAGAAGATCAAACCGAAAGGTTCGAGCGCCATGCAGCCTGCAGCGGCGCCGGAGGGCGAGGGTGTTAAGCGCGTCCGGGGTGAGGTGCAGGAAGGACCTGTCAACGAGGAAGGTTGGTGGAAGAGAAGTGCAGGAAGTGTCCCCGCAGATCAGGTATGCATTCATAGCAATTCGTGGATCATTATCTCCTCTTGAGACGGTCATTGATCGACATTGTGTTCTCGTTATGTTGGGTTATGTTAGCTGTTCTACCATAAGTTCTTCTCGCAGAAACATGAGAAGGAAGTGGCGAAAGCGGCGAAGGCCGATAAGCGGAAGGGTAAACGGGATGGTTCAGATGACGAGGAGGAGTCCGACCCGGAGCATGCTGTGGCCGAGGATGACGAAGGCGACGACGACGAGATTGATGAGAAGGACGGGGAAGACCAGGAAGAAGATAGCGATGCAGAGGAGGCTGAGATATGGAAGGTACGCCGCACATCATGATTTCCTTTCATACGTATGAGATTTAATGCCAACGTTCGTTGTATAGGCCATGAAAGCGTCAATGCCCAAGGTCGACGACGCTGAGGACGTTGATCTCATGGAAGACAGCGATGAACTCCCCTCAGGTCTTGACATGGATGATAGCGATGATGGCGACGGTGTCGAGGACGACGACGACGCCTCTGCAGGCAATTCCCAAAAGGCAGACTCAGAAGAGGAAGATGCCAACGACGACGCATTCTCCCTCGTCGAGGGATCAGACGCCGAGGATCTCGTTGACCTTGATGACGACGTACCTCAAGGTCTCATTGAATTCCCTGGAGCTCAAGGACAAGCAGATGCTGAGGAGTGGACAGGATTTGGCGGCGATACAGATGTAGGAGGAAAGCGGAAGAGGGGCAGGGAGGACGGTAAGGAGAAGAGGAAGAAGTTGAGGTCGCTGCCAACATTCGCAAGCTATGAGGATTATGCGAAGATGATCGAGGATGGACCCGAGGATAATGTATGATCGATCCTGATCTACGACTTACCTACCTCCGTCTGGGTAAACCTATCCAACTTTTCCTATCGCTGTTTATTCTGCCAGAAAGATTACATTGGGTATCTACAAGTCGCAGCGTGACGATGTGTGCAGTGACTTCCAGGTAACCTCGTAAATGATTCGCTTTTAGCTCTCGTGGGCTTCTACAGACTCAGTGTGACATTGCAGTCATTGCTTTGTTCGCCGATTACATCCGTGCGTTCAATCCCTTGTCTTTCTCCATTCATTCGATATTTCACTAATCCATACGTCAGCAAGTGGCTTGTCACTGTGTGAACAGCGTCGTTCAAATCCCACCACTGTCTACGACTTCCCGCGACCACCGGCGTTCTATGTAAAGCCGACACGCAGCATTCAAAGGAGCCCTTCGTCGTCACAGCATGCTCGAGCTCCACGCCACGACCAAGATTGAAAGTGCACATGTTATCTCGAACCATCACAATTTTTTCCTCTGCCGCTTGGCAGCAACCGTGGCAACCACAGTGTAAGCGTTGACGAATGGCGAATCTGTAATATCACCGTTTCTCACAAAATTGGGTATGACTGATTTGGGTCGGGTTTTCGTCAGATCAGACAATCAACAGAGGGAGCCTTTTCGGTTTTAGATGCGCTGTCTCCACCACAGGCAGATTAGACGACATATTGAAGACAAGTCCAATGGGTTCTCTGCTGACCGTGAGATCCCTCACGGTCGATTTTCGAAGGTTTCTGAGGTGTCGGCATCGTCATATCCAAACGGTCCAGAAACATCTACAAATACTTGGTTGAAAATTGTTTTTGAACCTCTTGAGCCGCCCAATTACAGCTTCTGACAGGAACCTGACGACTACAATTTCGTCTTCACGGCTGGTCCAGATCTCCCCCACGCCGTGCAGTAGTCTCTGGGCTCTCAGAGACTCACTTCCTTCCACGCAGGCTACCTTCCAGGGACGGCGTCTGCATAACAACGTATTCAACTTGCGATATTTTTTTCTATGGATTCAGGCCTGATTCAAAGGAATCCCGTCTACATCATCGGCTGGAGCCGCGGCTGGGTATACATCAAGTCAGATCAAGTCGGACGCAGTGACTTCAATTCATCACATTCCGGCTGGCGTCGATGAGCCTTTTCAGTCTTCGTATCGCGATTCTATTATATTTTAACGAGGAGAGAACACTTATTTTAACCTACTAAGTTGTTCATTTAGAAGTGTTCAAGCGGAACGTAACTACCTGGCAGCGGGATTTCATTCACTGCGGATTTTGCGCCATCAAAAATCGATCAGGTCCGAGCCAATTCCGTGAATTGCAATGTCACGAAGGGCGAGAACAATCAAGGGACTACCGTAAGAGGCAACTATTCAGGGCGACTGACACTCTCGGGCTGACACATGAGGTCCGGGTGTTGCTCTGACAAGCGTCTCCGTTCTCCCTTGATTGGAGAGCTCGTTCATACAAATAAGTAGAGCTCGATACTGTGAGTCCCTCTTCACCCCCATCACCTCACTACATCCTCCATCGGCTTGGGACATCCATCTAACAGACTCCGAACCCGATTGACGATGCAGGACGAACAGCTCCAACATTCGTCTCCTTCATATAGGTCGTTTATACCTCCCAGTCAAGACGCACGGTCTATACCGCTTGATCCAGTACCTCCTCTTCATGCTGGCCGTGTCTCTTCGTGTCCACTCCACATTCTAGTGATAGGATGTGGCCTCGGTGGTTTATCTGCTGCTCACACACTTGCTGCTGCTCATCATAAGGTGACCCTTCTTGAAGCAGCATCAGCCATTGGCGAAGTGGGGGCAGGTATACAAGTGTCGCCGGTGCGCGTTATATTTGTGCATGATCGTTTCTACATCACGGCTGATATCTCTGGAAATTAGAACGCCACACGTCTTCTCATCCGTTGGGGTCTTGGGACCGCTCTAAATTCGTGTGGTGTCAAGCCACAGGCTGTGGTCTTCCGACGATACGAGAGTGGCGAGCGCGTTGGCTACACACGATGGGGGGATTCGATGGACGAGAGCTACGGTGCTCCCTACTTGCATGTTCATAGGGCGGATTACCACGCCATGCTTCTCAGGCTCACCACGTCCTCCGGCCGTGTGAAGCTCCGTCTGGGGTGTACCGTCGTCGATTGCAACCCGGATCCGTCTGCATTAAGCGTAACACTGCAGACGGGAGAGATCATCAGAGATATTGATCTGATTATTGGGGCAGACGGGGTCAAGAGTTTGATTCAAGGCGTCGTGACAGGGAAGAAATCTGACCCAAGGCCCACTGGGGATGCAGCATATAGAGCGATTATACCCTGCGACGTTCTTCGAAGCGACCCAGAGTTGAGGCCGTTTGTTGAGACCCCCGAAATGACTGCTTGGATGGCACCTCGTATGTCTTTTCCCTTGCTTCTACGCCACATCTACATTTCTATGGAGTCGTATTGTCGGCGATAAACAACCTTGCTCAATGTTCTATTGTAACAGAAAGGCATCTCATGGCGTACTGCATTGTGAGTGCCAGGGAAGTTTGGCCATAAACCATTTGTATTGACATCACGAATCAAGAGAGGTAAAGAAGAATATAACCTTGTCCTTCTGCACCCAGATGACGGCTCCGTCGAGTCCTGGAATGAAGAAGGTAGTGCAGACGTAATGAGGGCTGACTTTTCCGATTTTGAACCGAGGTAAGTAAACTCCAGGATGACAGATAGGATGGGCATCTTACTGATTATTCTTGTACAGAGTCCAAAAACTTCTCTCCCATGTACAGTCGACGCTTAAATGGCGCCTCATGGACCGTCAAGCGCTGGACACCTGGGTACATCCTCAAGGCAGAGTGGCTCTTCTAGGAGATTCCTGCCACCCAATGCTCGTAAGCTGTTGACTCATCTGAACGCCCGGTGAAACATGCTTCACAACTTGTTTCGCAGCCTTACCGGGCACAAGGGGCCGCTATGGCTATCGAGGACGCCGCTGTTCTCGGCTCCCTGTTCTCACACCTGTCCTCCGTGGCGCAAATACCAACCCTTCTGAAAGCGTATGAAGACATCCGGTACGTCATTCAGTACTTCATCTCGTTTTCGGCGTCTTGATATACGGTTACACCTCTGTCCAGACTTCCCCGCACATCCGAAGCTCAGCAGGCTTCACGTCTCAACCAGTGGATCTTTCATCTTCCAGATGGACCAGAACAACAAGCTCGAGATGACGCAATGCGGAAAGCCATGGCGCGAGAACTTAGTATCCCATCCACCCACATACCAACACAGACAGTGATCCAGGAGGCCGACGGTGCCGAAGCAGAAAATCCAAACTCGTGGGCCGATAGGTCGAAAAGTCTGAGATCTTTCGGGTATGACGCAGAAGCTGAGGTAGATATATGGTGGGATAGATTTGGTGACGAGGTAGAAAAGATCGGAAAGGAGCTCAAGGATCAGGGCACAAAAACTCAAAGAGCGATGCTTTGAAGGGCTGTGCGGCGGTTGGGACTGCCACAGTCTTATGCTGCGTATTCGGTACAATTATAAATACGTAGATAGATACTGATTATTTGTGAACGTCACAAAAGAGAAAGAATTACTGCCACTGGCACCTCGTCTTGGTCATTGAGACCATAGGACTTCGTCACGATGATGTGCCACTGATGCCAGTGCACTGTAGAAAAAAAAACAGTAATTTAGTCCACTCAATAATCGAGTCAGATTGGCTTGCGGGCAAACGCGCGGCGGAGTTTATGACCGCCGAATTCAAAAGTTCAATCTCAGCCCCGGCTTCTGCTCAACGTCAATAGCTTCAAGTTAGTAGGTTCGTTCCTGCCTGTCAAGCACAGCACCTTTTTGCACAAGTTTCTGGCTGATGATCCATAGAGTCTCCCCTGTTGGTTTCATCGGCGATAAACCGGTCCCGACTGGAATATTTCTGTGTCCTAGACCGAAGCGCCCGTGATCTTTTCAGAGACAGTACGTGCACTTCACGCCGACCAACGCTGGTCACTGATCAGGGCTGTTCAGGTTGTAACTTGCGACCATATCTGCTTGCTTCAGGTTATTGTATGAAAGTCGACCCTGTTTGAAACGCTTGGACCTCGCCGAGCCCATTTCTCTTAAGGAAGGGCGTCACCATCCGGTTCTCGTTATTTTGCCCGACTCCACATAGTAGACCCCCCCCCCTCCTGCCCCATAATGGGCTCTTCTGCCCCTCCTTTTACAGCTCATATGCACACCACACCTTTTGAAGAAGCATATGCTCAGCACACGATGGACCCGACAGACGGCACCAGGAACGGGAAACAACAATGTCCATCCCAAAGCTTGACATTCGACTCGTCGCCTCATTTCGACGACATGACGTCCGGCGCACCGTCATTCTTCTTTCCATCTGAGAACCCTCCTGGTTTCATTCGGAACCACTCGAGTATATCCCAGCCGTCGACTTCCAGCATGGACCAGTCGATGTATTCTTCGATGCAGCATCAGAGTCAGATGTCGCCACAGTATCTCGAAACCCAAATGCAACTCGAGGTACTTCGCGAGACGCGTCGCATTCGCGAACTCGAACTTCGCATCGAGTCCGAAAAACGTCAAGCCAATGAAGAGCTGCGGAAACAGAAGGAGGCTGACCTCGCTCTGGAGAATCTCAGGATTTTTGGGAGCGGCGGCAGCAGCAGCAGTAGCAACGCACCTGACAGGATCCCTGACATAACGCTTCCTTCACAGTCACCACATCTTTTCGGCGCGCCCCCATCTTCCCTGCCTGGACAAACTCCTATAGATCCCTTCACTGCCTGGTTTCAATCCGCTATGGATACGTCAACTGAGACCACTTTCCCTTCACTATTAACCCCAGAAACATCTATACCTCCTACATTCCACACCTCCACCTCGACTTATTCTCCTCATACCGACTCCAACGAAGCTTCTCCTTCCGCTGATCCACCTTCCCCACCTTCCCTGCCAGCCTCAGCCCCACTGCAGTCCACGTCCGATCCAAAGACGACGAAGAAGAAAACCTCGACCATCGTCACCGAGGAGTGTGAAGCTCAATGCTCCCGTTGTTCGAAAGCTATAGCCAAGCTCGTACTTCGTGGGGACCCCACGGAAATGGAAGCGCCCTTCAGGACGGAGTACCAATGCAGTGACTGTGTCCCCGTTTTCCCCGCGTCGAGCTCGCGCAAGCGGACGAATCAGTTTGAAGATACAACACTTCCCACGGTCTGTGGTGTGTGTTCTAAGATAAAGGGACAGGGAGGCTTCGTCTCAATTGATAGAGAGCCGCTGCTATTCTCAGTCGAGGTGTGTCTTTTCGTATGATCTGCGTCCACCTCTTGACCATCAATGCATATCTCTTGCTTTGTCATCTATCCAGATCGTCTGTCTCTCCTGCTCAGAGAAATATAAACGGTAAGATACGGCTCTCTTCGAACGACTGCTGCTTGACTGATTCTTCGTAGATGTAGCAACTGTGGCGGGGGAAATCTTCGTACGGGTGTTGGAAAGTGGAGGTGTAAAGAGCTATTTGAGGGAAGCAGGAAGACATGCTCGTTGTCCCATGCAAGGTATACCCTTCGCGTTATCTTTCTCGGTATTTATTGTGTAGTGACTATCACCCTAGGCTCGGCGCCAAAGAGATGGAACTCGCTGTCTGGGAGTTTCCTCGAGAGGGCGAAGGAAGGGCTGAGTATTCCGCCATTTTGGCAGGTTGCGAAAACCTTTGGAAGGAACACATCTTAGCCAAGTTGGCCATCCCGGAGGTCGGTTCCTTCGGTTGAGAGTCTGATGATCAGTTTTGTGACATCTATTCCAGGTTCTCGAACATTCAACGGCACTCCAGTCGTGGCAAGACATACAGGAGAAGATTATTATGCACGGGACAATCGTGAAGGACGTATTAAAATCACAACCAATGACACCAGACCATCACGTATATGTGGCATTGACATGGTCAAGAACGCGTTCGAGGAAAGAAAAGCTAAAGCCGAACTGGTCGCGTACATCTGAGGAAAAAACCTCGGAGAGTTGGTTCGAACTTTTTTTTACCATATCGCACCCACTTGTGATTAACATGATTCCCTTCTCTACTCCAGGATAAGCCCAAATACTCGTCGCTCAAATGTCTTCTATCCCCAGAATTCGGTGCTCTGTGGGGCGTGGTTTTGCGAATGGAACGTGCGCGGTATGCAACCTTTGATAATTCTTTTACAGACAGCCAATCTCATCTTGTCATCGCGTTGTCTCTAGAGCGCACTGTCCTGATAGGGACCCTCACACCATTCGACCACGGCGAAGTCGAAGATCGATCGTTGCTCTCGTTGACGTCCGTTCTGTCACGAATATTGGAGGATATCCATGCGCATAATGCTGCCTGCACCAATCCCGCAGATGAATGGGCTTCACCAGAACACCTTTGGGTCATTGTATTTTCTCTTTTCTCGGATATTATTTGTGACTGACATGATCATTCTATATATTCAGTCTGGCATCAAGGCGAATCCCTATCGTAAGTGCTTTTCTAGACCAATAGAAGGCCTTCTGTCTGAATATACATATATCGATTCATCCATAGCGCTCCGCGCTCGGCTCATTGAGCTCCTGCAACGAAGAATCGGCTTCCTAACTGTCGATGAATACATTGCCCAACACCCAGAGACTCAGCGGGCTATGTTCAGTGCAAATAGCGGAAATATCGTTAAGGCCACGGACAAGAGGGTATCCGTCGATGGACATGATACCATGGAAATCCTCGTGCGACATTTAGGCTCGAGTATATCGATACAAGGTTTGAGAAAGGTCGTGGAGAGGGAGCTATCGAAGAAGTCGAGTGGGGATGTTTGATTCTTCACCGGTTGGAATGGAGTTCCGTGGCAATCCATGTCTTTGTTGTAAGTTTTGTGTATATCTTATACATTAAGTAGCTGCCGCTGCCATTCTTTGATTTATCTATTACTAATGGATCTCAGCTCACGCGACCATACTGACCCTCGAGTAAAACGTTGGAGGTAAATCAAGAGGGCCGGAGAAATATGAAGGTGCGTTTCTATGTCGTGATGGAGGCACAAGGACAGCCTAGGATCCATATCATCACCGTCAGGACCAAGAGTCCGATGCGGAACAATTGTAAGGAACTGATAAAAACCATCGGTCAAACACGTTCCCCTTTCCAATGTGGGCAGAATGATAAAGGATACAGAATTCGGATGTGACTATGAGGACCATGTGCAGTTGCATGTTCGAAATGCTTGGGGGCCGGTGGAGGCTGGCTCACCATTCTAGTTCTATTCTGAATCTTTGTGTCGTCCAATATTCAGACGATCGTCGGATCTGTATTGGAACTGCCTTCACTGCCTTCACTGCCTCTATGATTGGGTTGCTACTACATATCGTCAGCGACACTTCACTCGGCTTCGTTATTTCCCCTTCTCCTGGACTATCACTTCGACATTAATGGATAATGCCGTGTCCTCAATCTTGTCAATTGACCTGTTTGTGTTGTGCATTAGGTTCTCCGAAGCGCTGCAACGTTGCGCCAGGTTGATATTCACCTCCGAGCAGCATCTTTCGGCGTCTCTCGTGGTCTTCACGACGCATGAGTACCGCGTCGCATGTTGTCTTGATGCAAAGCCTAGCTCTTCTCATGCCTTGACATGTATATTTCAGGCCCGCTCGGACCCCGAGGTGTCTTGTCTGATAACTGCTTCGCCAGTTGAGATGGCGAATTCGACAACATATGGACGTCGATATTTACGAGATTAGTTTGTCGAACCCAAGTTACTGTCGTACCTCGATAGTAGTCTTGCGTATAAACCTTTCGCCATTGATCTTGTGATGGTGGCGAAGGGAATTAGGCTACGTAGGGGACCGTATCACCTGTTGCGCTGCCTGTGCTTCAAGATCTTTCAGAACATGAACGGCATGCTCTACGGCGCTTTTAGTCTGATATCATGCGGTCTTGGCATGCTGTTCGTACAAGCCATAGATCGTAAATAAACTCTATGCCGACGGGATGAATCTCGAGGATAGGACTCGATCACCATAGATCGCGACCCTGGCTGTATTTGTTGCAGCATCGCTCTTTCTACCGCGTGTAGACCCCAATCTCACCGACTCGGTCATCTGTATATAAGATGTAGGTCACCTTCCACTCTTACCTCTTTTTTTTCATCTGACGATTCTGTCAGACATTCAAACTTTTCACGATACACCATGTTCTCCCTCTCCCTTGTCGGGCTGGTCGCAGTCTCGCTCGTCCCTTCGACCCTCGCGTCTATCTCTGAGGCCATCCCCTCTGACTTCCCCGACCCCAGTATCTTCCTGTGGGACGGCGTTCATTATGCATTCTCCACGTCCAGCGGCTCGCTGAAAGTTCCTGTCGCTACTTCTACGGACTTCGCTACCTGGACAAAGACCGGCAGTGATGCTCTGCCCACCCTCGGCGCCTGGAGTGACAACGGCGCAGTGTGGGCTCCCGATGTCGTTCAAATCGTCAGTTGTCCTCCCCGTGCTCTTACCACCACGAAATCATATTGACTATTTTCCATGGGCGTGCAGGCGGACGGCAGCTTCGTGATGTACTACGCCGCTTCTCTAGCGGACGGCTCCACGCACTGTGTCGGTGCGGCTAAATCCACCAGTGTCTCTGGCCCTTACACCGCGGAGGCGAACTATATCGCTTGCCCGTCGAGGTATGTCTGCCACCTCAGTTGCTTATTTGATGCAGTTTCCTCATGATTTATGTCTCGTTACAGCCAGGGCGGTGCAATCGACCCTGCTGGCTTCGTCGACTCGGACGGCTCTCACTACGTCGTCTATAAAATTGATGGCAACAGCATCGGTCACGGAGGGTGAGCGTTTAGGTCCATAACTTCAAACGATGCGCCAAATTTCTGATCAATTCAACTTTCCACCTCTCCGTTTCTCGCTTAAATTGGGGCATCCTCGTACGCCACTTTCGCACGACACGCCACATTTCGCTTTCCTATGTACACAGCAACTGCAACAATGGCGTAGCGTGCGTTCACTTACATTCTGCTGCTCGATCGTGATGGTATCTAAATGTCATGGACAATTTCACTGTAACAGCCCACTCGTATCCACCCCCATCATGATCCAGCCACTCGAGTCCGACGGCGTCACACCAACCGGCTCCCCCACCCAACTCCTCGACCGCTCCGACGCAGACGGGCCCCTCATCGAAGCCCCCTCCCTGATTAAAGTCTCTGGAATCTACTACCTCTTCTTCTCGTCCAACTGTTACTCCAGCCAGTGGTACGACGTCACCTGGGCCACCGCCGACAGTCTCCTCGGTCCTTACACCAAGCGCGGACCTCTGCTCCTCACTGGAACGCCTTACAGCCAGCTTTACGCTCCGGGAGGGATGGACGTTTCGGTGGATGGACAGAGGATGGTTTTCCATGCTGATCAGTCGACCTCTGGGTATAATGGTGTTAGACCTATGTGGACTGCGTATATCACCGTCAGTAATTATCAGGTCACGATCTAGGAAGAAGTGTTATGAAGAGGGGTCTGGGATGTAAAAGAATCGGGAGTTGTGGAGGTGGAATTGGGATGGTATAGAAGGGTAGGCTAAGAGGTATCGGAGGTGGCAGATTGGACCGGGTGGCGGAAGCCCAACTGGCAACTCGGCAGTATATATGACTATTTATTTTGGGACTTCTTGTGGTATACACTGTTGAATTGAATCGACTTGTCGCGCCATGCAAATCAGTACGCGGTGTCGAGAGTGTTTCAGCTGAGTGACGGACCCTCGGCAAAGTGGGCCACACATGCGCCACTCCCAGCTATGGCTTAGCCATCGGAAGTGACTGGGGAAACGAAACGGTGATAGCAAGAATACAGACATCTGGTTACAAGTATAGTATGTTTTCCGGCAGAAGAAGGATGAATGAAGCCTAGATGCATGTACGTACGTGGCGAGCAAAGCAACGCTGGACAAGTTCATGAGCGGTGAACCAACATAAGTACAGAAGCGCACACAGGCTAGATAAAAAAAAACTGATATAACAATGGAGAGGATGGAGGGATGATTGGTGCACAAAGACATAAAGCATGATGGGACAGCATACAACGGACATGGAAGCAGAAGAACCGGAAAAAGAAAAGGAATAAGACGATAGGTTGAGTGGCGTGGAGTCCGCTAACTCGTGGATGAGCAGCAAGACCGAAGCAGTGAATTCGGTTATGCAGAGGGTTTGTATGGCTTGCCGTAGCAGTCATAGCACGTATTCGTCTCACTAAAAGGCCGGCCAACAGGACGAGAAAGGAAGGATGATAGGATCAACGACGCGCCACACACTCGTACCGAGGATCCACACAATGGACGCACCTGATTGGAGACTCCAAACAACAATTCTTGCACACAACCCTCCCGCATCCCGGAGTCCACCCGTCCATCTCCCCATCGTACTGCTCGTTCTGCACCTTATTCCCATAACCAAACGCGTCTTGCACGACGCTAGGACCGTCCTCGTCGCGAACCTTCCTCCTGCGAGGCGTGACTGACCCCACATTATTGTTACTCAGACTGAGCGCCATCCGACGTGGAGAAGGCGCGGGTGTAGCAGGTGGTGTCGGTGAATATGTCAGGAGAGGGGTAGGGGGTTGAGAAGGTGGCGCTGCCGAGCAGGTGCGCGAACATATGGGGCAGGTCGGCGCATTGCACCTGCGAGGCCATGCCGGTCGATGAGCACAAATATTGAAAGAAACATTCGTCAGCAAAACCAAACGACGAGGAAGAACGCGTAAGAGAAACGCACCTGGCGCAGATGACGGCGTGGGCCGACTTCGGGCCTGTCAGAGCACGGTGGCACGACGAGCAGGCGACCGCCTTCAACAATCTGAAGTTGGGGATTTGACCTTCAGACGTCGCGTTCGACGCGTCGGGATCGATGTGTTGGGCTGGGTTGGCGTCCGACGCGAGGCGGCGTCGTTTGTGGGCTGGCATACGTCCTGGTTCTGTCATGAGTGGTGGGTGTCAGGTGCAAGGGATTGACTGCCGCGATTCTGTGTTTCGAGAGAATATGAAAAACATCGGCCGGAAGCTGTTCTATGAAGCCAAACACAATGGAGTGTCACGCAACCTGCCTCCTGACTAATCACTTCACCTAACTTCGGCGTTTATATCACAAAACTGTGATAAAAAGCAATTGGCTACCACTACTGGCTACGTACACCGGACGGGAGTCGAACCCGTGCCGCTTGCTTGGAAGGCAAGCATGATACCGTTTCACCACCGGTGTTTGTTTGTACCCTTGACTTTTACTAAGTTACCAATCCATTCGTGGGTCAAGATCCTACTAGACCATGTCCAGGTATTTCTCAGAAGCAAAAAAACAATAATGCCACCCAATGATACATACGGTCGGACGACTAGATCGTCCGGCTATCGAAAAAGCACTGTATATAATATACATATCAGATTATGCTTTGGATGTCGGGCTTGATCTATATTCCTCCTTGATCATGTCCGCCAGCTTTTCCGCCGTCGCATAGCATGCCGCAACCTAACAGAATGAGTCGGGCGCCCAGATAATGAACAGCATCCCCGTCAGACAAATGTACACCTGCAATCCAAAGGTCGACGTACCGGATGTCCCGACACAATCAACGGAAATATCGACGCGTCGCAGACTCTGAGACCCTTGACTCCGTATACCCGCAATTTCGCATCGACAACTGTATACAAGCCATAGAAATCAGTACACTTGCCCATACCAGTCATATAAAGGGTTTGAAACTAGAGATTGTCGAAACTCACCGCCTCCCTGATCTCTCGGAGCCATTCTGCACGTACTGGCAGGATGGTACAAGGTCTCTACCCTCTCGAGCACGACCTTCCTGATCTCCTCGTCCGTCTTGAGATGCAGCTGATGGTCCAGGAGAACGTCCTTATCGTCCTGGTCAAGATGCGAGGCCAGCGGTTCCGTCTGCGCGATTCGGAGACATATCTTCATCCCCCGGACGAGTTTCTCAACATCCTCCGGAGTTTGCAAGTAGCTATATGAGGGATGAACCACCAGGAACCAACGCACGTCAGCACCATCCGACGACTCGGGACACGGATTGTGTAGAGGAAACAAACGCACTTCGGATTAACACTAGGCAACTCCCACGGATCCTTCGACTTCAACAACACCTCCCCCCGACTCGTCGGCCTCAACAAACAAGCATGCAGCCCGAACGTATGCATATCGAACCTGATCAGGCCATGCTCCTTATACGCCAACGGCGTAGTATACAACTCGAGATCCGGGCCCCTCTCTACCTTCTCTCCTTCTTTCTCCTTCTCCTTCCCCTTACCTTTGCCCTTCTCATCCGCCACAGCTACGCCAGCAGAACTATCCACAGCCAGAGGCGGCCCATACACATCCGTCGGGAACACCACGGGGTCGTCCACACGTACGAACGCCGCGGCGTCACCCAAGTTAGATGTAAGTGGACCGCCGTAGCCGAATGTGTAGAGAAAGAGGGCGCGAATGGCGCTGAAGGCCTCCTTGGGCGTTTTTGGGCGTATGTATTTGAGCGAGGCGTCGTGCTTGTCTTTGAAGTAGGCGTCGATGACGGGGTGGTCGACTAGGTTTTGGCCGATGGAGGGGATGTCGAGGATGGGAGTTATGTTGTGGGCTTGGAGATGGGAGGCGGGTCCGAGGCCGGAGAGCATGAGGATCTGGAGGATGTGTTAGTGGAATAACACAGGGAGGATAATTGGTCGAAAGTACGTGGGGTGTATGGATGGCCCCGGCACTATTATTACTTAAGCATGAGCAGAACAGTTCAACTGCATAACAACTGAACTACGCACGACATAATGACTTCCTTCCTCACAAAGACCTTATACCTGAATCCCTCTCGCAATTTCCCATACTCAACGCCGATCACCCTCGGCTCTCCTCCCTCAGCCTGAGAAGAGGTGTCGAACAAGAGTCGAGTGACGTGAGCGTGGATAGCGACGGTGAGGTTCGGCCTGGCGAGTACCTCGGGCGTGAGGTAGGCTGATTCTGCGGACACACGCTGGTGTTTCTCGTCGATGTATGTCACTAGAGGTCTGCGCGTAAATGACGACCGTAAAACTCGGTATTTTGAGATAGTAGAACGTACTGATCTACAACGCGTGCGTAACGGTTAGTGAAATTGCAACCAGACTGCGAGAGTTGAGGATGTACTCACTCTGCTGACACCCATCGTGCTCGTTCCCTTATTGAAGTCAGGAGTGAAGGGTATACCGATGCTCATACAAGCCTTGATGAACGACTTTGACGCCGGAGTCGCATAGTTGAAGTATCCGACTCGAACAGGACCGGAACTTCCTCTCGCAGATAAATCGACCTCGGGATATCGCTCGTCGCGTTTATACGTTTCTAACTTCTTGAAGTACCTGTATCATTGTCGAGAGGAGATGCGCATGAGGCTATGAGAACTTCATGCCAAAGAACTCGAGTTCAACAAACTGTGAGAACTGGCTCCAAGACCAAGAAGGGTCGTCAGTGATTGCCGCCCAGTCGTCGTAGTCTTGAGGCGCGCCATACTGTGCCCTGCGAGATATTTTCAGCTATTGCAGTCATGATCTGAACGAAGTTATTCAGGCATAAGACGATACGAACATCTGTGCATTGATTTGGGTGCCTATACGGATCATGATCCGTCGTGTCAGAGCTCCAAATATGGAACCAAACGATCACTTACATCCTCCCAGCAATTTTGCTAGACATCGAGGAGGTGGTATGTCAGACTCTACCGAGAAGGCAAGTGGAGAGAATACGAACCACGAGGCCAATATCTCCGTTGACCAGCAGCGTAGATCTGAGGTTCAGTATGAAAGTTGAAAAGTTTATTCGTGCGGAAGAGTAAGCCGAAGCCCAAAGGCATTCGAGTCAAAGCGAGAGCTTTCCCGCTACATAAAGAAAACGGTGGTCCAATTGAACGTCAGGAGGCATTTCTTCCGGGGAGATAGGGGCTATATACCTTCCACCAGCTTCGAGTAAAAGAACCTTGACATTCGGATCCTCACTTAGTCGAGAGACGAGGGCGCAGCCAGAAGTACCTAGTGATTCATGTTATAGTTGTCATAAGCCTGGTGAGAACCAGCGAAACTGTACCTCCGCCAACTATGATGAAGTCGTAGTGTTGTTCGTCCAATTGATGGATGGAAGAAATCAACTTCGACCGTTTGGAATAACGGTAGCGAAGTACGATGACCAGTGCAGCGACGATACCTCCCAGACCTGCCAATCGTGCACGAGAAGCGATCCACGCCCTGAGCACATCGAGTAATTTCGCCATGGAGCACAGGATCCGACTTGGCTGTAAAGCAGTTGAAGGTCGCGACAAGAGCACACAGTCGGCGTTTTAGCGGTCAGGCGCCTTTATATAGTAGGGACACAGCAAATGTTAGATGCACGGGGTGCGCGGGTGCGAAAAGGTTGCCTGAAATCACAGGGTACCATGGTCATCCCTTTGCCTTGGAGGGTCACGGAGCACGGCGTCTCCCAGGTTCGAGAGTTTATATATGTCAAACCGACCTCGTTCACGAGACGGTCTTCGCTGTTGTAGGAAAGTAGTCCCCACAGCTTATATGACCTTGAATCGTGTGATACGCTCTGAGTCGGAAAACCGAGATACAGCAGTCGACGGTCGTTGACAGCCGAGCCATAGGGGTGCCGGACACTGATTCGCGATTACGGCAGTGCAAGCACAGGCCGCACTTGCACCAAGTACAGTTGAAGCGGTTCATCGCTATTAACATTGACCAAAACTAAGAAAAAAACAAACTGACCGAGCAGTTGAGATATATGGGAGTATGGCCACAAACAGACACAAGAGGAGTGGCCAACCCGAGACTCGGGTTCGGATCCGGCCCAGCGCAGCGGCGTGCGGTCGTCTGAGCTGCCGGGACTCAAGCTTGTATTTCTATACGCTCTCTCCTTCCCTCCACACACCTCACCCTCTCTCCTCCGCCACGGCTCAGCACCGCGTCTGACGATGTCCATACAACACTTTGGCAAGGGCGCGCTTCGCGTGGCCAAGAATTATACCAAGGGCTACTCTGATGTCCAGGCCAAGGTTCGTGAGGCCACCTCGAACGACCCGTGGGGCCCCTCGGGAACGCAGATGAATGAGATAGCCCAAATGTCGTACAATCAGTGCGTGTTCTCGCAAGATGTTGCTGTGACATCATGCTAACCTAGATATAACCGCTCGTGCAGGAATGATTTCGTCGAAATCATGGAGATGATCGACAAGAGGTTGAATGACAAGGGAAAGAACTGGCGCCACGTCTTCAAGGTACCCTATTTCTCCACTCTTTATTACTTCAACACCCCGAGCACTACTCAATCGCTGGCCGTATTGCTTGAAACAGTCCTTAACCGTCCTCGATTACCTTCTCCATGCTGGCTCAGAGAATGTCGTCATCTACTTCAGGGATAATATCTACATTATCAAGACACTCAAGGAATTCCAATATGTGGACGAATACGGAAAGGACCAAGGCGCCAACGTCCGACAAAAGGCCAAAGATATCACCAACCTCCTCACTGACGAAGGCAGGCTACGTCAAGAACGTCGTTCACGGGCTAGCATGCGCGACCGTATGCTCGGTGCTCCCGGCGATGACGACGGCCTCGAGGGTGACGAGAACTCGAGGCGGCGGGCACACAGTAACCCTCCTGCAAGAAAGCGAGACGAAGACGAGCTTACGAAAGCTATCGAGGCGAGCAAGCGAAGCTTGGCGGAGGAGCAGGCGAGAGGTGCTGAAGACCGGGACTTGGCGGAGGCGATGAGGCTCAGTAAGGAGGAAGAGGAGAGGAGGGCCAGGGCCGCTCAAGACAGTGGTCCATTATTCGATGACCAGCAGAATGACTTGTACGTCTTGTTCTACCCTGTTGCTCCTCCACCACAAACTGAACCGCGACGTTTGCAGGTTGGGAAACCAAAACCTGCTCGTGGACCCTAATCCCATACCACAATTCCAGACAGGGCTTCAGCCTCAATTCACTGCAATCCAGCCCCAGTTTACATCGTTTAATCCATACCAGCAGCAGGCGCAACAGGAGGCAATGCAGGTACGCCTGTTTCTCTCCTACTATCCTTATCCGTCCTGTGTTCTGACGAGATTTGGTTCGGTCAGGCCGAGTACTTGCGCCAACAGCAAGAGTGGCTTGCACAGCAGCAACAATTGCAGGCTCAGGCCCAGGCGGCTCAGATGGCCCAACAACAGCAAGAGGAGCTCATGCGCCAGCAACAATACCTCATGATGCAGCAACAGCAACAACAGCAAATGCAGCCTCTTGTGCCACAGCCTACTGCGTTCGGGTATATACACTTCCTTCTTTTCAGCTTGATCTTCTATATTTACGTTACCATGAATGCAGCTCGAACAACCCATTTGCTGCCTTCGGTTCTCCCCCGCCTATGCCAAGCAACGCATCCTCTCCAGGCCCCGGCGCGGCCCCCAACCCCGTCAACTTCAATCTCGGTTCGACATACGAGAATCACAATACAGGCGCCAACCTTTCGAACAACGAACTGCGACCAACTCCCCCACAACCGTCCACATCTGCGCCGCCCGGTGGCGGCAGCCAACGCGGCCCCAGAAAGGCAGATCAGGAGCACGCCCATCTCGCGAATCTGTTCGCCGCGAGGGAGGACGGTGTGGATACGTTTGGAAATTACGGTCAGCTCAGGTATGGTGGTACCGATGCGGGGAGATTGGTTACGCAGAAGACTGGGGCGCCGACGGGTGGGTCGTCGTTCAATCCGTTTGCTCAGCAGCAACAACAGCAGCAACACCAACAGCAGGGCAGCGATCAACCGTTTTTCTCGATTTGAGGTTCCTGCGCATTTCCTTGACATCTCTACTCTCGTTCATCTTCCCTTTCTTTCTTTACTCTTTTGTCTTGTCTTATGATCCATTCCTCGCTCTTAAAGCTACTTAATGTCCCTCTTCGTTTGGCTACCTCTGATTTTGTGTGAAAACCTTGTTCGGAAGTCCAAAGTCTGCCCCTCACTCATTCCTCACATCTTTCCGCTCTCTTCCCTGACCGGTGACCCTCACTACGCCCAAACCGCTTGCGTTCTATACCATCCGCCATGCATTTTATCTGTGCCATCGATCGTTCCCATTCTCCTCCCATTCTGGTTAGGTAGGCTGCCCTCCCGCCGTCCTCCGTCCTTTCACTCTTTTTATTATTCTCGGTCCCCGCTCGCTCGTTCGATGATATCTTTTTTCCCTAGCCTTATGATTGACAATGTGCTGCTCCCTTGTATGAATTCTCCCCCAGTATTTTCTTCTTCCTTGTATATCGTAACACAGCTCGAATCGGAGGTGAAGTTATTGTGACAACGGACACGGATGATACTAGTAATATAAGGATCTACGGAATTGTGGTCGTCTGGACTTGGGGCTTGTAGAGGCTTTGACATTTGAGCTACAGCGTGTATGTTAGAGTATGAAACTGCAACGATGAAGCACAAATATTCAGGGTTGGGAGGGACTATGGAGCAAGGTCGGTGTGGCGTCCTCCCACAACCAGGTCCCCGGCCTCGGGAGCAGCCGGGAATGATTCTTACTGGTGCCACGGTGCCACTTAACCGCTTGCGAACTTGATCGTTTTTGAATCGACGAGGTGCACATGAAAGCACAAAGGTAATACATATATTCACCCACTCAATCACATCTCTAACAAAATAAACCGGCAGCTCTTGATTGAAAACCCATGGCACATCTCACATCCTCCCTCTCCTCTCACCAAGGCTTCCACACCACCGTATCCACATCCCTCCACATCCCATCCTCCGAGTGGCCCAAACCCCCTCTCACCTCTCCCGCCTCCTCATGCACCCTGCACCTGAACTTTGAGCTTCCAGAGCACGTCTTCGTAGACCCATACGAGCTGCACCATTATAGCGAATATTATTCGTTCCGTCTGTATGGGGCTTCGAATTTGGAGGCTCCGGTGTTTGCGGTGAAGGAGAATGCGCCTGTGCTTCTTGTCACGCCTGTGCTAGGCAAAGGAAATAGCACTGCGCGAGAAGATGAGGATGTCGAGTTTGATGTTCCCCTGCATTTGCGGTATGGGGTTCCGTCTATAGGCTCCAGCGATTCGGAGGGTGTGGACGACGGGATGATCACGGTGTCGATCCCATCGCCGACAGCATTTTGGGCATGCGAACGAGAGACTGGTGGTCTGTACTTCCTCGACGCATCGTACTCACTTCGACTCAGCTCTGACAATCCCTTCACAGATTCAAACTCAGAGCACCTCTCAACCCGTCCCGAGGTCCTTCGGAATTCACCGCTCATCGCCCAATCCTTCCCAGATCCCTCGACCGCCCTCATCCTCTTCTCGCCCTCTTCCCCTCTACCAATCTCGCTAACAATCCGAATCCCAGTGGGACATATGCAGGATAGAGGGAGTGTGGAAGCGGTGACAGTGCTCGTGGTGTTGTTTTCGTTTGTTTATGTCGGTTGGAGGGCTTTGCGGACTACGAAACGGTTGGATGAGAGTGTATCTGTGTCGAAGGCAAAGATGGATTGAGCTTGATTGTACTGATGTTTTTGGGATGCTTAGTTTTGTGATGTATACCCCAATGATTCTTGCTTGTTAGGTTAGAGCTTGTGTGGCGTCGGGCCACCCGTATTAAGTATTCCCCGGCTTTGCCAGCTGCATTGTTTTCATATCTCTCGCATAGCTCTCCTGCATATGTATTATCCGATAACTCTAAACCGAGGCTGATGATGAACATTCTAATTAAATGAGCTCTGTATCGAGGGTGAAGATGATTTCTGTGGCCGAACACGTGCCGAGCCTGCCCTAAACCGGGCTGGGCCACCGAAAGTGGACCACTTCGGTGACATCAAAATTTTGCCTTGACGCTGTGCTCGACGTCGACAAACAGGCTCTCGCCACCGCCGCCTCCTTTCCCCTGGCCGGACTGTCTTGTCTGAAACAATTCAAGAGCACTTGTCAATCAATAATCCATCTCCATCTTCAATTTGTGAGTGAGACATAATAAGCCTGCAAGACCCCTTGACCGCGTACTGACGGTGACATCCCTTCCGTCCTGGACAGTACGCTATAGCCCAGCATGGCGCCCATGACGAAACCCGAGACGGTCCTCAAGCAGGCAGAGGGCCTTATCTCTGTAGGACAAACCCATGCCGCCCTCCAATCCCTCACGGAGATGTTCTCCTCCAAACGATTCCGTTCGACGCCCCTCACCTCGCTCGAACCCATCATGATCCGCTTTGTCGAGCTCTGCGTCGACATGCGCAAAGGCCGGACCGCGAAGGAAGGCCTCATGCAATACAAAAACATCGCACAAAACACGAGCGTCGGATCCATCGAGGTCGTCATCCAGCGCTTTGTCTCCCTCGCCGACGCGAAGGTCCAGGAGGCGCAGGAGAAGGCGAACAAGGCCGTCGCGGACGCTACCGTCGATGTCGACGATCTGGAGGCGACAGAGACGCCGGAGAGTATTTTGTTGGGTGCGGTCAGTGGTGATCAGAGCAAGGATCGGACGGATAGGGCGCTTGTGACGCCGTGGCTCAAGTTTTTGTGGGAGAGCTATAGGACGTCTTTGGAGACTTTGAAGAATAATGCCCGTCTGGAGGGTATCTATCAGGTGCGTATTTTATTCCTCAGACATGCTTTTTGGAGGCTGTAATCCGTGCCGAGCCACTCTGTGCATGACGCAACCTCTTCCTGTGCTCGGTTGGGTAGAAATGTGCACCGTCTAATACCAATTTCTAGCAAATCGCCCAACAAGCGTTCAAGTTCTGTCTCAAGCACCAACGCAAGGTCGAGTTCCGCCGCCTATGCGAGACCCTCCGTCTCCACCTCGCCAACGTTGCCAAATACTCCCATCAGCCCCACTCCATCAACCTTCAAGATCCCGAAATCCTCCAACACCATCTCGACACCCGTTTCGCCCAGCTCAATACTTCCGTTGAGCTTGAACTATGGCAAGAAGCTTTCCGCTCTGTAGAAGATGTCCACAATCTCTTGACCATGGCCAAGAAGGCGCCCCGCCCGTCCATGATGGCCAACTACTACGAGAAGCTGACGAAGATCTTCTTGATGAGCGGAAACGCTCTTTATCACGCCGCTGCCTGGGCGAAATACTACTCCGTCGTGACCTCGATCGGTGGACGCTCGGACGAGGAGATGACGAAGTTGGCCGGTCAGGTTCTGGTCAGTGCGCTCGCGGTGCCCGTCGGGCAAAAAGCAGAGGAGTTGGGAGCTGTGGAAGGCAAGGGCAAGGTCGCCCGGTTGACTGCGCTCCTAGGTCTTCCCAAGCCTCCTTCGCGCGGTGGTCTCCTTTCCGATGCTGTAAGTGGAGCTGCATGCCTGTCGTCCTAATTTCAAACCTTTAACCCGCCCACGTAGCTCTCCCGCAATGTCCTCAAACTCTCCCCCGAGTCCATCCGCTCGCTCTACACCGTCCTCGAAGTGACATTTGACCCCCTCACCCTCTGCACCTCCGTCTCCCCCCTCCTCACCTCCTTAACCGAAGATGAATCCTACGCGCCCTATCTCCCCCTCCTCCAACGCGCCCTCCTCTCCCGCCTCCTCTCCCAGCTCGCCCAAGTCTACTCCTCCATCAAGATGAGCAAGCTCCTCGACCTCCTCCAGCCCCTTCGCGAAAGCGCACCGGAAGGCAAGGCGTCGATTTTCGAAGAAGAACAGGTCGAGGCTTATATCATGGGCTGTGCCCGGGTCGGAGAGCTGAACGTTCGTGTGGACCACGCCGATGGAAGTCTAGAGTTCATCGACCAGGCGTTCCTTGGTGTCGATCCCGGCTCGTCGTCTTCCTCTGCCGAGAGCACCGTGCAGGATCCTACGTCTACCGTCGTCCGGACCCGTCTCAGTGCCATCGCTCGTACCTTGCACAATTCACTTCTCGTTATTGAGCCGGTACAGGAGGCGGAGCGTATCACGCCCGAGGAACAACAGGCGAAGGTGGCGGAGCTGGTCGCCGCAGCGCAGACGGAGAGGAAGGCGTTGCAGTTGAGGAGAGCGCTCGTCGCGAGGAGGAGAGAGTTGTTGAGTGAGTTGAGCGTCAGGAAGGAGAAGGAGGAGGCGAGCAGGAGGGCGGAGACGATGAGGAGGGAGAGAGAGACTGAGGAGAAGAGGGCGTTGGAGGAGGTCAGGAAGAGGGAGCTCGAGAGGGCGAGGAAGGAGATTGAGAATATCAGGACGGAGGAGGCGAGGAAGTTGGCGCAGAGCTTGAAGGAGAGGGGCAACCTCAAGGTTGATATCGATGTGAGTATTATTTCTTCTCTGTCTCACAGTCCAGGGCTTCAACAATGCTAATTGTCATTTTGGTCGGATAGGATGTCGAGAACCTCAACACGGACAATCTCATGCGACTCCAGGTCGAGCAATGGGAGAAGGAAAAGAAGGAGCGCGAGGAGCGTCTCCGCGTCGCCTCCAAACGTATCGATCACATCGAGCGCGCTTACCGCAAGGAAGAACGCCCCATGCTCGCCAAGGACTACGAAGTCCAACAAGAGACCGATCGCGAGACGTTCGAGGCCATCCAGACGGCTCGGATCGAGAACTCGAAGGTCGTTCACCAGCAGGACCTCGAGACGAAGAAACGGTTGTCGAGGATGATGGACGTTTACAATGCTCGCAAGGAGGAAATCCTGTCGAAGAGGGGCGACGAGTTCCAGAAGAAGAGAGCGGCGGCCCAAGCGAAGATCGAGCAGGAGAAGGCGAAGAGGAAGGAGTACGTGTTGAGGGCGAGGGCGGAGGAGAAGGCCCAGCGCGAGGAGGAGGAGCGGATACAAAGGGAGAGGGAAGAAGAGGAGGCTCATCTAGAGGCCGGTCAGTATGCTCTCGATATCGACCTTTGCAATTTCACTAATCTTTGCGTTCTACTCTTCCATAGAGCGTCAAGCCGAGGAGGAGCGCCTGCACGCAGAGGAAGAGGCTGCCAAGGAGGCCGAAGAGGCCAAGGCTCGCGAGGAAGCCGAAAAAATCGCAGCTGCCCGCAAAAAGCGCGAGGAGGAGCGCGAACGCGATCTCGAAAGGATCCGTCTCCAACAACAGCGCGAGGAAGAGGCAGAAGCTCGTCGTGCCGCCCGTCGTGCCGAACAGTCGCGCCCTTCCCCTGCCGCTGCCGCCCCCGTCGCCGCCTCTCCCGTCGTTGGTGAGAGCGCATGGAGACGTTCCGCCGCCACATCCACCACCACGGCGCCATCGACTCCCATTCGCGCTGCTGCTGCAACCCCACCTCGTCCGGAAAGCCCTGCGGCTACCGGTCCTCCGAAATTCCGTGCAGCTGGTGCTGGTGGCGGCGGTGGATGGAGATCAAGAGAGCAGGCTAAGCTTTCAGGTGGTGGCACCGCTCCTGCGTCGCCCACAAGCGCTGGTCGTCCAGCTTCGCCTGCTCCTGCTAAGGAGGAGCCGGCGAAAGACGACGACGGGTTCACGCCTGCTAAGCCCGTCTGGAGGCCTTCGAGACTGCGGGGGAAGCAGTAAGTATGTCGATTGAAGAAACGGTCCGGACATGGGTGGGGTGCATGATGGACGGGGGCGGGGTCTGGTGCTTTTGTCGTTTTGGGTTCCCGAGCACGTATGTTGTTGTTGGAACATTTGTAGTATGCTTCCCTGTGTCTGTTTAGTCTATGCGTGCATGCCATCTGTGTTTTTATGAATGCCAGAAATTTCCTTTCTATCTTATATCTGCTGTTTGCGTACTCAGAAAGTATATGTGGCAACCCAGAGTAGAGTCGGTGGCGTATCGCGAGCACGTGTCGCGCTGATGTCGCGTCGATCGCACGACTCGTTTTGATCTTGCCTTTGTCTTGCTAACGACCTCATCGCTTCAGTTCCTGCTCCGACTCAAGGGCCAAAAGTTACTTAGAAGACTGAGAGACAGGATCTTTCTTACATCGAGCATCAGGCAAGGCGCACGGAAACTGAAGACGGGCCTGATAATCGATAATGTAGTATGGTGCGCTTGTCAATATCCAATAGCCATCCTATTTTATCAGTCTGGCCAGCAGTAATGGTTTTTTCTTGAAACGCCATCGCAGAGATAGGACTTATAGTTCTGGCCATTGCCACGTCACGGTATGAATCTGGTATGAACACACAAGCAGCCAGGACTGGTTCCAGTCTCTTCAAGCAGAGCACCACATAAAGCCTTGTTCTCGCCGAGCTGGTCCGGTGATCTACGGAATCTAGAGGCACGCTACGCAACCTTCGCTTCCATTTTTTTTGTGTCGTGAGAGCACGTATGTCCTCATCTGGCAGATCCAACATAAATCTAACTCTCCATTTTCGAAGCTATGAACTTCTGCACGAGACACTTGGGTCCGATCCTCCGAAGAGCTCAAACAGAGGGATGCACAACAAGGGTGCAATACATAATCATCTGATGGTGACATGATGCATCCTCGAAAACCTGACAGTGAACAGCCGTCCGAACCGTGTGGCCCACTGGTTTCACCTGCCATCTGCCACTGTAGCTGGCAGTAACATAAATGCTCTGGTAGTCACAGGATTTCTTTGCTCTCCGTGTCTTAGATCTTATCAAAAACTCATCTTCAGCCCGTGCTTTTCACATGACGGTACAAGTCGTGAATTCTCTGCTCGTTTAGGCCGACACTGTCTATGAACTTGGTCCCGAGTTCACCGTGCGCGCGGGCGCGTTACCGTTGCTCTCAGACCCAACGTTTAACCGCGGAATTCCGGCACTCACTCACTCACTCAGTTGCTCTCCGTCTACGTGCCCCGTCTTGACGCTTCCTGACGCGTGTCTGCCGTATCTCCTCTCTACTAGGATCGACGTCTAAATCAGTATCCTCTCTCCGACTGCGGAACCACAGGACCTCGGGCTGTGTTCGTTACCATCTTTTTCTGGGGTTTCGACAATCGCCACCTCGCTGCTGGCATATGGCAAACATCTCTGAAAGGAATCATCATCTACCCAATGGCATCGCGCTACACTCCGGACTCAATAATTTTCTTCTTCTCCAAGCTCCTTTGAGTTTGATTCGTTGAGGCCTTTTGAGGGTAGAGGATTAAACAGTATAAAGGCGATGGTGGCATAGCTCAAGAGAAGTACCCCGCCCTCCTCCCTCAGCTATCCCGTAACTCAGCGTCTCACCTGCGGTACAATGAAGTTGTTCGCCTCCTACGTTGCTTTTTCTCTTGCCGCTGGTCATGCTCTTGCTGCTACGTACAGTAACACCGACACTTTCGAAGGCAACAGCTTCTTCACTGGCTTTTCGTTCCAAGCCATCGCAGACCCCACCAACGGGCGGGTGTGCGTATTCTCTCCAGCATCGAGACTTGACGCTCGATTGACCTTGATCCCAGAAACTATGTTTCCGAGTCGACAGCTCAGAGTTTGGGACTGGCCACGGTCAGCGGAAGCAACTTCATTCTGCGAGCAGACGACACCACCACCCTGAGTGCAAGTGGGCCTGGCCGAAACTCTTTCCGCATACAGTCCAACAACGCCTACGGTACACATGTTACGGTGTACGTACTCCAGACCATCCTTCCTTTGTCTTTATTCTCGATTCAAAGCTTGATAAACAAAACTGCCATTGGCCACAGGTTCAACGTGGCTCACATGCCGCAAGGTTGCGGGTGATGATCCACTATTTTTGGGTGTCCCGTTGCGGGGCCTAACGACGTCTGCGTTTTTTCATAGTACATGGCCTGCGTTGTGGGAAGTTGGTCCGAATTGGCCGAACGGAGGTAAGTACTTTCGCCGCCTATGGTCCTCATGTCCGAGTAATAACGTGTCGTGCACTATTTCCACACGACAGGCGAGGTCGATATCGTCGAGGTATGTTTTCACCACGATAACCGCGTGAACAAACAGCGGCCTGATATCATTTTTTTTGCAGGGTGTAAACGACCAGGTACCTAACCAAAGCACACTCCATACCAGCTCCGGTGAGTCCGAATAGCCCTTTGTTCGAGAAGCTATGTAAGTTAAAACTGACACGGGATGGTCCCTCTTCGCCTGATGGGTTGTCAGGTTGTACGATGCCATCATCTCGCTCCGAGACTGGGTGAGACATGCTTCATGTATCTCGTCGTCCTCGCATTGTTCCGCGCGTTTCCCTCGCTCTTCTCATAACTCATCGCTCCCATTCTCTCATTCCGACAGCAACATCGTGGGAACGGACTGTGTCGCAGCAGATGCAGGAAATGCGGGGTGTGGTGTACAGATGGCCGATGCAAACTCATATGGCCCTCCGTTTAACTCTAACGGTGGAGGATTGTGAGCATCTTCTTCGTTCATCCGTTATCTCCATTAACACCTTCGTGGACCATTCACATGCATTTTCTATTTGCGTAGTTATGCCATGGAGCGGACTTCTTCCTTCATCAAAGTCTGGTTTTGGGCAAGAGATGACGGAAGCGTTCCGAGTGACGTGTCGAGTGGCGCAAGTAGTGTGGACACGGACAATTGGGTATGCTATTCTTTTCGAGTAACTTACCTCGCTGGCATTTGGGGCGGTGTGGCTTTGTGTGTCACCTGGAACGCACATGTAACTCACGAGGCTGTCGTTTATGTTCTTCCTCCGCGCAGGGAACTCCTGACGCCTACTTCCCAAACACGGATTGTGATATCGCCTCGCACTTTGCGGACTCCAATATAATCATCAATCTCACGTTCTGTAAGTTGAAGCTTGATTATATTACCGCAGCTATCTTTCTAACGTGGCCTTACGCATAGGTGGGGATTGGGCTGGAGCCGTCTACGCGAACTCTGGATGTCCGAGCACCTGTGATGGTGGGTGCTCTTACTGTCCTATATAGCCCTGCGCAAATGCTGACCTCCCACGCAGATTATGTCGACAACAACCCGAGCGCGTTTAACAATGCGTACTTCGAGTTCCCGTGGGTCAAGGTCTACGAGTAGATCTGAGTATAATCTTTTCGAATTCAATTCACGTCTTTATATGGTCTTCTGCTTCATTCCTGCTGTTTATCCTTTTGCGTATTCGGTCTGGTGGTATGAGATCCCTCCACGGTAGTCGCGGCGCTGGGCGCTGTTCTGCCTTTGTATTTTTCGTCACGACCTTTCACGGCAGTCCTGTATTATTTGGTTGTCTACACCGTTTTTTGTACAATGAGGTAATTCACGGAATCTCGAATCTCGTCCTGGACAAGTTTATAGTGGAGTTTGTGCCGTACTCAGAAGGTACATGTGGCAACCTAGAGTCGGTGTCGTATCGCGAGAGTGTACTGTCGCATTGATATCGTGTCCAACTCGATCGCGCGACGCGTCTCGACATTTCCTCTGTCTTGCTGACGACCTCATCAGTTCTTCGCTGGGCTCATGATCGTACGAGTGCGTCCAATGTTGTGAATACCCGTTATAAGGGTCCGAATTCGCTATCGTGCAACGAGAACTTGAAGAGAGTCGGCCCCCGAACTTAGCCCTCTAACTTGAAGAGAAAGTCCGCTTTGCCTGAACAGAATCTCGGCTCAGCATTGAGGGATCCAATAAGCATAAAACCCAATAATTCATTGCATCTACAACAGTAACCCGAAGAAGAATTTCCCGAGATGACAAACGTCGCAGAGTCTTGCGACTATCACCACTGGCAGCGACGGATATCCCGAGATCCTAGCAGAACATCACAGAGTTTAGAGTCATTAAACGTAGCTAAGACCTGTGCTTAGGAGACGACACAGTTGCTGAGGACTTCTTCGACATAATCCTGTTTATTTTTTCGTTAAATGGGGCAGAATCTCGGGTTGAGTATCACGACAACGTAAGGAGGCTTCCAGAACTGTACGTACCGCCATGATACGATGCGTCTCGTTCGACGGATGCCTGCGAACAAGATCAGCGACTTAGCTTATTGCCCCTTTGTCAGTGCTACTTCCACCAAACATCAGAACTCACCCGTCGAACCAATAAAAAGTATGCTTGGGGTCTGGACACAGATCGTCCGTCGTACTCCCGTCAAATACACAATAACCCGTACTCGTATACCCAAATGCCTCATATCCCGGATCCGGACCCAACACGCCATCCCATATCGTCGCGAAATCGCCAAATGCGACGTTCAAGGGCGCAGAAACGTTCGCTCCTCCAACGGAGTTATTCGAATGGAAGGCGGAGATACCGTCGAAGATCTGTTGTTTCCAGGCGTCACCGGTGGCGCTGGAGTTTCCGCGGCCGTAGTCGTCGGTGATGAGGAAGTTGCGACCGTTGGTGGGTGGGTTGGAGAGGATGGCGATTTGGTCGAGGAGGTCTTGGGCGGCTTCGGGGAGGTGGTCGCCGTCGACTGTGGAGCAGAAAATACGGCATGCTATGAGTGAGTCGAGTAGAAGGGGTGCGGTATGTGGGACTCACTGAACGAGTCTAGCCAGTCGTTGATACCGAAGAAAATGGTGTATAATGTGCTGTGCGAGTCAAGATTGTTATTCTGGCCCAGAAATATGGACACTTTCCGAATGTCGGTGTATCAGACTGCATGTACAGCGATAAATTGGACGGGAATGAAATGAGCGCACTCTGCTGGAGGAAATCTCGGGGCAAAGGGTTGTCCGGCCATAGCGATATGTTCACCACGGCGCTGGATATCTGGAGCACGCCACACTAATAGTATCAGAGATACTGTGGAATACATGAGAACCGGTGAAGTGTGCTCGCCGCATAATCCATGAATTTAGCGCCGATGTCATCCGCGATGTACTCTATCCAGACCGGGCCGTCAGTCGACCTTCCTCCAGCGAAGGCACTGGGAGGGATGAGAACAGGGGGGTCAAGAGGAGAGCCATCGTGCTTTCCCCCTGTGACCATCCTCGATTCAAAATCCAGTTCCTGAGCTTATGGAGGAGATATATAAACGTACCATCGGTGTAAGAGTCCTATAAAAAGGCAAGTATAGATTACTAAACGCTTTGGGCAAGGATGGCGCGAGATGGTACATACACCAAAGGAGACGATGGCCTTGATCTTGGATAGATCAATACCAGCGTTCACATCTGCCGTATTACCTCCTAGTGGGCCACAGTTAGGACTGACAGCGAGATGTATACCATCGTTGTCTGCGCGAGGGACGACGAAAGGACTAGCAATCACACATGAGAGTGCAAAAAAGGCAGAGACCACATGAATGCCAGTACTCGTCGGGAACATCGCGTTAGTCTAACGTCAGGCCTGAGCAGAGTCCAAGATGCAGAAGAGAGGGCCTCAGACGATCAGTCCACCGCGATACTCAGTACCATCTCTCGACCCAGTGAGCGGTATTTATGCATTATGCATGTCAGGGCTGAAGATGCTTCCGATGAGAAGCACAAAGGAAAATTGTAGGGCACGCGTGTATACGATGATAGATTAGTTTCGAGAAAATGGTTGTGTTGACGCGCGCTATACTTGGGACAGAGGTTGACGTTGAGCGAGAGAGACCGTGCGGATCTCGTGGTCGTTTGAGCGGCGGTTTCGGTCACAAGACCAGCTCAAAGAGCTTGAAAATAGTGTGTTCTCCGAATCGTCGTGGGTTATTCCTTGTACCGCTTCGGTATACCGCCGTTCTTTTTCGACGCTGCCCTGGACGCTACGTACTGAGTTGTCCGAAGGAGATGCATGAGTTGTGCATGAGCGAACCAACTAAAATCAAAGGAGCCTAACTAGTTTTTAAGATATATCATGGTTCCGACATTGTACTTATGGGCATGTGGTGTAGTTGGTTATCACGTTCGCTTCGCATGCGAAAGGTGTCCGGTTCAATTCCGGACATGTCCACATCACCGTGGCATGAATGTACTTTTGTCGAGTAGTTTTTCTCAATTCTTTCCATGGCGTGATGGCTGCATCTGGCTGCATACTCAGGTGGCAAGCGTTTATTTAAATCATGGAGCCTTTTGTGTTTGGATCGGACGACGGATATTCTTGCACGCCACAACGCCACACATGCCCGTTGCGGCAGGCGACCATTTCCAAAGGTCTCAAAGCTTTTCTGCATCTAACGACGATGGCACGGGGTGTACTCCTTACCTCCAATCTTCCACAATTACAAAACCTCATCAAGAGGGACCCAACAGGCTACAAAGAGGAGTTTCTTCAACAATGGAACCATTATAACAGCGTCCGCCAAATTTTCCAGATCAATCCTGACGAGCAGGCGACCCATTTCCGAGAGCTTGTCTCGTTCATCGCTCAGGTGCGTCTCTACTCTTCGCTTTGCATTAGCAGAGACCGCATCGAAAGCTGAAGGAACTACGCGCTTTTTTTTGTCTCTTGCGGATAGGTCTCGCAATGCTATCCAAAGGAGACGGCGGATTTTCCGTCGCATCTTTCGACGCTCTTGCTAGAGCACTATGGAGCATTGTCTCCGGATACGAGGCACAATCTTGTACAGAACTTGGTGATGCTAAGGAATAAGAATGTCATCACATCTATTGAGTGCGTATCCTTGTCTTCATCTCCAGTTTGTGCGCACATCTGAACCTCCTATGCAGCCTCCTGAAAACGCTCTTCCCCCTCCTTCCTCGCACCACCTCTTCCACACTCCGATCCTTCATTCGCAAGACTATTCTCGCAGATATCAAGACGGCAAACCAAAAGTCGAAGAATCATAAGCTGAACCGCGCAGTGCAGGCTATGCTCTTCGGGATGGTTGAAAGAGGTATGGATGGAGAGGTAGTCGGTGACAAGGGAAAGGCGAGGGCCCAGCCGACTACGAATGCTGAGGGACTGGTTCAAAACGGTCAAGATGCTATGTGGGCGGTCGTGCTTACGAAGGAGCTGTGGAAAAAGGGGATCTGGTGAGTGCATAGTTTATAGTGCTGACTTCGGTCTGCTTTAGGATTTTTAGCTTCCATGCAACAACGCTTCTTACTGCTACGTAGAATTAACTGACAATCTTATAGGGATGATGCCAAGCCAGTGGCGATCGTTGCGCTTGGATGTTTTCACCCAGCCATAAAAGTGCAGAGCGCATCATTGCATTTCTTCCTCGGCAGCGACGACGACGACGAAGATGATGATGAGGACGACGGCGGTGGCGATGTATGTTTACTTTTTCTCCAGCTCCATGTGATCCTTAAGAAAATACATACTCATACCATATCCAGAGGGCTAATATCAAAGACCTTGAGCATAAGCGCGAAGTAGGCAAAAAAACGAAGGCCGGTGATAATAAACTTCGCAAGGCCGCCAAAGCCGCCAAGAAAGTGAGACAGCCTCACAAACCATATTCCTCACATCGTGTACTCACACTTCTCCGTAGAACCGCACAAAAAGAGCCAATACTACCGCGACTCCTAATTTCCCCGCCCTTCAACTCCTTCATGACCCTCAAACCTTCGCTGAAAAGCTGTACGACATCCTGAATCGCTATGACAAGCGCTTCTCACTCGAACACAAAATCCTCCTCATGCAACTCCTTTCCCGCGTCATGTCCTCCCACAAACTGACCGTGCTTGGCTTCTACACCTACATCATCAAATACCTCACCTACCACCAACTTCGTGTCCCGGCCATTCTCGTCTCGCTCGCTCAATCCGTGCACGACTTTACGCCGCCGGACGTGTTGACGCCTGTGGTGCGGAAGTTGGCGAGTGAGTTTATACATCCGGGTGTGGGGAGCGAGGTGGTGGCAGCGGGCTTGAACTCGATTAGGGAGGTTTGTAGGAGGCAGCCGTGGGCGATGGAGGAGGATCTGTTGGGAGATTTGATCGAGTATAGGAAGAGTAGAGATAAGGCTGTTACGGCGGGTGCGAGAGGTTTGTTGCAGTTGTATCGGGAGGTCAATCCGGGTATGCTTAAGCGTAGAGAGCGGGTACGTCCTCGTTTCTTGCTTCCTTTTTTATTGCAGCTTTCTCATATCTTGTGTTTTAGGGTAAAACTGCCGCGATGGGTTTGGCGCAGGGTAGCCAGCCTTTGGCATTTGGCCACAGTGAACAGGCTGCAGTGGATGTCGAAGGCCTTGTGGTACGTCATCGTCATGACTGCTCTTTTCATTCCAGTACTGACGGCCATTTCTATTCCCAGCTGCTCGAAGATCATCTGAAACAGCTCAGGGCTGAAGAAGGCATAGAGTCTGGAGATGATGAAGAGGACGACGAGGCTGCCTGGGAAGGCTGGGACGTCGAGTCCGATTCGTCTGACTCGTCGTCTGAGTCTGGCGATTGGATCAACGTTCCGAGTGACGGAGAGGACCATCTCAGTCTGAGTGATAGCGAAGACGAGGACGGTAAAAAGAAGAAGAAGAACTCGAAGGGCAAAGCGAATGCCGGCGATGATGACGATGACGATGAGGTTCCCGTGGTTGCTGCGCCAGAGCCTGACAGGATATCGTCATTGGCCACTACGAAGGTGAATACCTCTGCATTGCTATCTACGTACCAATATCCACTAACGCATGTGCTCTAGATCCTCACGCCAGCAGATTTCGCTCTGCTCAATGACCTCCGACTAAAAGCGGCCGAAAAAGCAGTAGAAGCCGGCGGTGGCTCTTCCGCCAAACGCAAACTCGCCTCCCTCGAAGCCAGCAAAAAGATCCTGAACGCCCAAGACGGCTCCTCGAACGCTTTCATTTCCGAGAACGATATCCTTGGGCCTCGTAAGAAAGCGAAGCAGGACTACGAGGAGCGGATGGCGTCGATCGAGAAGGGGAGGGAAGGGAGAGAGAAGTATGGGTCGCTGAAGGGGAAGAAGAACAAGGCGCAGCCGAGCAGTACGACGAATAGGGAGAAGAAGAGGAATAAGCCGATTATGATGATTATGGGGAGTAAGCAGGTGACGGGGAAGAAGAAAGCGTCGTTGAGGGATAAGCAAAGGAAGTTGAGGGCACATATTGATAAAGCGAAGAAGTCGCATCATTAGGAGTGTGCTTTGTCGTTTGCTTGTTTTTGTTGTTGTTTGTATTCTCACTCTCCGTCCGTCTCTGGCACAATATTAGTTTTCTCGATGACGAGAAATGCTGTCTGCGCATAGTTGAGCTTGTGGTATCTGGACATCAAGAGGTCTTGCGTGGAGGCATCGAGTTACCATCATGATGTATCGCCACTCAAGAACAGGGGCCACGTACAAGCATGTTCCCACGTTGGCTGGTACGCGTCACCGAGATCGCGCCTCCATAATACCACGTCCCTTCCTTCTTCCCATAATCCTGCAAAAGCCCCTCACGGTCGTCTGCTCCTCATACACCAGCAAATATGTCTGACGGAAATAACCCACCGAAAAAGACTGGAGGCGGCTACCGCCCTGCTAACACCGCCCCTCGCATAGGTAGGGTTGGCGGCTGGTCTACTCCAGGTTCTGGTTCTGGCTCTTCGAGGTATCTGTGGCATATATAAATTATATCTTGATAACATGGAACTAAGGACCCGATTTGTTATCAAGTCGGAGCGGCAGTGGACCCCGCGTCGCCACTCTTCGCGACATAGGCTCATCATCTGGAGGAGGATCTGCCATGGGTGGCTTTGGAGGTATGGGAGGCGGAGGTGGTGGTGGTGGAGGAGGAGGTATGGGTGGGGGGCATGGACATGCACACGGAGATGATGATGACGACGATGAAGATGAGGAACGCGATCCTAATGATGAAGGCGAGAGCTGGTTTGCAGGTGGCGAGAGGAGGTTCGTAGTCGATGTCTTCTGTCTGCCCGCGAGATGCACGCTGATGTCCGATTGGGCTGGATAGTGGGATTTCGGTGCAGAACCCAGATAGACCTGGAGGGAATGTACCTGGAGGTAACGTCGTCCGGGATCTTTTGAGAAGAGCCGCAGAGTATGTCTTTTCTTCGATCTCCATGTTCAATATTAGGTGGCGCTACTCGAACTATCACTGACTTCATCTTGTTATCCTGACAGAGCGGGTCCTCCACCAGGCATGCCCGAGAGCTCGGGAACTCTTAGCTCCCGTTTCTTCTCTGGTGGTGCTCACACGCTAGGCTCTGATGAAGTCGAGAGCTCTTTCATCCCTGATCCCAATGCGCCCCCGGCCGCTACAGGTACGATTGTTACCCGTTTGCTGTCGTCTCCATACTGAGGTTTTTGACCCCATTCGCAGAGGACAACCCGACGATCCGCCATCTCACCTTCTGGCGCGATGGTTTCAGTGTTGAGGACGGCGAATTGATGCGCTACGATGACCCCGGCAACGCCCAGGTTCTCAACGAGATAAACTCAGGGTATGTCCACATATCTCTTCCTCCCAATCCTACGTCTTATTGGCGCTGACATATTATGTGGCACCAGACGTGCGCCTCCCCACATTCTGAACGTGCGATCCGGAGAGCCCGTCGAACTTCGTGTCGCCAAACGCCTCAACGAAGAATATGTGGCGCCTCCCAAGGGGCCAGCATCCGCGTTCTCTGGCTCTGGAAACCGCCTTGGTGCTCCCGTCCCCGAAGTCACTGGTTCGTCTTCTGGTGCGCCGGGCTCGAGTTCCGCTATGCCAGGAGGATTCCCTTCTGCTGTTGCCGCCGCGGCGAGCGCTAGTTCTACGGCTGGTTCTGGCGCAGAAAGGCAGAGTTTGAGTACGAGGTTTGAGGTTGATCAGTCGAAGCCTACGACGAGTGTGCAGATTCGGTTGGCGGATGGAACGAGGTCTGTGCTCTTCAACGGCTCCTTATTCATCCTACAAAGACTCATGCTTCGGATTGTCCAGATTGGTATGCAGGATGAATCTTTCGCACACCGTCGGCGACATCAGGAACTTCATTAATGCGTGAGTGAACCCAGCACTATTCACTTATGTACGCCTTTTTTGACGAACTCCTCTTGAAGTGCGCGCCCGGAGAATTTGACCCGTCCGTACACTGTCGGGACCACCTTCCCTAACCGGGTATTAGAAGACGATAGCGCGACGGTAGAAGGTGCTGGGCTCGTCAACAGTGTCATCGTGCAGCGTTGGGCTTGAGTGGGACTGCTGCTGCGTTGCAGGTAGTGCATGTGTCGCCTCGTGTGGCAAGGGAAAGTTGAAGTCCATAACGCACCGTCTCATGGTTGAACGTCTGCTTTAACTGAATGTACAAGTCAAGTGTACCACGAATTGCTGTGGCGGTCGGTATTGGGTGTATAGAATCCATCTTGTTGTTGTAAATGGTCTCGTTCGCTACTGCTGGACTTGTGTGTGACACATGATTTGTGTTGGTAGTTTCTGAACGATTGCATGAAAGTACAGTACACGGGTGGGTATTCGATCTATCGTACACAACATGGGCCCTAAAGATGTTCAAGCAGGTACAGCGACGAGCATTTGGTGGACCGAGGCGAAATCGGGAGAACGACAGACTCGCTCAAGTCGCCATCCTGACGCCGAAAGAATATTCACGAATTGGGATACCGTGCGTTCCATCCCGTTCAAAACTGCCATCATCTACGCATAGAAATTAGTCGTGATGTCCTTTTCGCCTGAGGCCAATCTCGAAAGGTGGAACTAGCAACTTGTTCGCAGGACTAGTACTAGTGGCTGGCGAAGCACTTACCTGGATATCGCACAAATATCTGAACAGTGCCGCATGTCCCCAATTTGGCAACAACGGCTCCGGAGCCTTCCTCCCCTCCTCTTCCAACCCACCAGGAATATCCTTCGCGACGGTCGTGTCTTCGCACGCATATTGGACGATGGCGTCGACGATGATGAGCCGGCTGTGGGCGCCGGCTGCGGCGCGGAGGTGGGAGAGGATGGTGATGCAGTAGGAGTCGGCCCAGTCGTGGGTGATCATGCGCATGAAATAGATCGAGGCGTCGTGGATGGGTTGGGGTGTGAAGAAGTTGTGGTCTGTAGTTGAATAAATGAGTGGTGCTTGAGGGAAGAGTTTGGAGGTGGCGAGTGTGGCGTAGTGTGGCGTGCCACTCACCTTGGAATCTCACGCGGCCGCTTTCGATTGCACCAGGCAAGTTGGCTTCCCAGAACTATCGAGCGTAATATTATGAAATTAGAAGTATTTAGTTGCGTGAGGACTACTTCCAATCTGTTATCTGACCGAACGGATACGTACCGCTGTGGCACCCTTCATCATTGCCGTCTGGTCTTGCACGACGAAGTTCAGGTGCGGATGCGATTCGGCCACGATCAGCGACTGCGAGCCGATTCCTCCACCGACGTCAACCACTAGACTTCCGCTTGGAAGTGCATCCCAGTCAAAACCTAGTAAATGCCCACATATCAGCATCAGCCTGCAGAACTTACACCCCCACCAATTCCGTCCATTGAAATCGTCCTCACCTTGCAAGACCGCCTTCGGATTGAACATAGCCTTGCCGCCCTCCATACCCAATCCAAACCTCTGCAATCTCTGTGCGTTCTCTGGTAACTCGAACCATGGAAATATTCCGAGAGAGGTTTGGAAGGCGAGATTGAACGGCGTCTGGGTAGGTTCATCAGAGTTGGCGAGTTTAGGGTCGAGGAGCATGTCGGTGAGGCAGGAGGAGGATTTGAAGATGTCGTCCGTGCTGGAAGAAGAGGGCGTAAGTCAGGAGAAATGTTTCAAGCACTGCGAGTCAGACATTTGAGGACGACGTTGCTTACAAGTGGTTAACAAGAGCGGTGATCCCGGAGGTGTGGACGAACTTGTCTTGAGGCCTACGTTGGAGAGACTCGTCAGATACTCATCTTCCCGTGGGTAAACAAAATATTAGTGACGAACGCGGCGAGGATCTCGTCGACCGCTTTGCCCGTATCGAGAACGGAGGAAATTCGATTATTGGCGAATACGTCGGGCGAGACTTCCTTGAATATGTGTTCAGTGGCGAGAAGGCGAAGCACGCGACCTGCATTGCATCCAGGAACCCCTTTTAGCGTCTAGAGACTAAAAAGTCACTGTGAATACAAGATAGACATGCGTACCCAGTTTTTGAGGTGAGGTCTTTGACTTTGCGGCGATCTCGTTGATGTGGAGGCCCTGTAAATGATATTCAGTATCTGAAGGAAATATATCGCACAAAGATGGCTGCAAGGTTGAGAACACACCCTTGGTCCGGCTTCCCTCAGAATCTCCGCCGTATTCGTCTCCACAGCCGCTCTCAACGCAGACGGAATATGAAACTAAATACCCACAACCCCGAGCGCGACACCGTCAGTACTCCATCACTCGCAGAATATCCAGACTTCACCCTGCCTGCCCTCTCAATGAACTACGGGGAACACAAACTCACCAAAGTAGCGCTCGTCACCACCGTACTCGTCGACGGCATCACGATCGCCGCCAATTGACTGGCCGCCGCCGCGATGTGCGACGCGGCGGCCATCACTTGTGGGTCGGACAAGCGCAGCGCCTCGGTTTTGGCGCAGAAAGGCTCGTCGAGGGAGGGGAGGGGGATGTTGCGGGAGGTGCAGGATTGTTCGATTGTCGAGACGGCGGAGGTTATTAGTTGGGCGAGGGAGGTGAGGGTTGAGGTGGACATGATGGGTGGGACGCGGGAAGTTGCAGCGGATGGGAGAAAAGGGGGAGGGAGGGAGGAGGTGGTTGGCTGAAGTTTCGATGTGGAGACTGGAGGATTAAGTGAGGGCTGGACGGTATGTATTGAACGGTGGTATGGAGGGATGGGGAAACTGGAATTTCGCGTAGAGTCGGACGGCGTATATATACTGCGTGGCTTGTATGGTCAATCGCGAAACGTCATTGGAAGAAGCCAAAGGAGCGAGCAGGCCAATAACGACGATAGACCACCCCGTCACCCAAGCCAACTGACTCTAATCTGAATCAGCACGTGTGAGGAAAGCCGCACATATGGACAACTTTATGGAGGTCGTTAATCAGCCTGCGATGATTCGTGCGACGTTCGAGCCATCTAGCAGCGGTGTTCTTGAGGAGAACAGTTTACCCACGGGCGGTGAGGTGAGGGCGAACGGGCCTAAGAAGGTCACGGTGGTGATTATGGAGAGATGGGAGGTCATGGGTAGGCTTTTAGGTGATGACAACCTGCGGGCCAGACTTGTAGAGGAGGTGAAGAAGCGATCGGGAATTATCATGCGCAAGTTGGAGGCAGAACAACTCTCCGTTGCTCTGAGCTGGATAGACGTGGCACGAGTTCGCTGGAGAGAATTTCGGATGAACTGTTTATCCTGGTGAGTAGAAATGTTCAAGACGGTGCGTTGACGTTAGTGTGTGTGAGATGGACATACATTGTAGGACAGCCTTTTAGATAGGTGGTAGGACAGGCGAAGTCAGCCACTGTCTGGAGAAATTGAGCATGGGATTTTCGCGGAGATAGCATTGTATAAGTACGAGGATGAGAAATCTCATCTATCGGAGCTGGAACACGGCTAAAAAGGAGAGATGCTTTGTGAAAACGTGTCTGAACCAAACAACAGATCTGTGGAAGGAGGATAGCCCTCCGACGGTGATCAGTTTTAGAGAGGCTACCTCGACTTTGAGGCACCGCCGCCAGTGATCGAAGGAGACATAGGCACTGGATGAGCAACACTACTTGTTGAACTAGCTCAAATTGCGTCCTGAGGGAAAACATAGTCGGTCGACGTTGGAAAGCAATCGCTACTCGGCCAACAGAAAGTAAATAGGTCTCACTGCCATCACGCGCATCGATACCGAGTGAGACGAGGGGAAGAAATATCAGAGACTTTCGGAGTGCCTCCGTCTTTTTGGGCCGAGATTTATAGGACCGTGCCAAATGTGATCACCGGACCCTTATTAGTACGCTGGTCAGCTGAGGACCTCACTCCCTATCGAGCTCAAATGAATATGTGCGTTCTGACGGGATAACTACGGCCAGTGAGTCACAACTCAGGCCCCAGGGACCATGTAACTGGTGCAATTGCCCAATGTCTTGTCTACATCGGGGCACGGTGAACATGCGATTTGATAGCGGTGAATTTGGTTAGAAGGTTCAACTTGATGAGCGGAATTACCTGGCTTCTCGACAAGAAGGCGTACAACGACTGGACTGCTTTTCGTAAGTCAGGGCCGGTAAAAAGTTCAAAAATTAGGAGATGGCCCGCAGGAATGCTCGTAGGCAGTCATCAATGGGGTGTCAGTGTGGCACCTGATAGAACGCCACCCTAAGCTGGCTGACATAGCGCTAAATTTCGTGTCGTGTGTTTCGTGTGTCATCCTGCCGTTTGTTTTAGCATTCTTCGGGCCGTTTATGAAGAGATGTGTGTGGACGGCCGGTCAGGAACAGAGGCTCCTCGGGAAAAACAAACCGTCTGGCATACTGAGAGGGGATGTCGTCACCGCCGACCCCTTGAAGTGGAAGAGTGCAAGGCAAAAGAAAGGAGGTGAAAGCACGAGAACATCAACGAATGACTCATTCGCGTCGCAAGACATCAGGAACATGCAGAAAAGCGAGATGAAGGATGAGCAAAACGCAGAGAACGAGGACGAGTTGCTGGAAGAGGAAGTCGCAGCAGATCGCAGCGCCACGGAAAATCGATCGAGAGGCCGGCAAGTGGGCGGCCATGCAGTTGCGTGCTGTGCCCCACAACGCACAAACTTTCTCGCAGACTCCACCTCCAGACGCGTCCCCCTCTTTTCTCCAGCTCGACCCCACGGGCCCCCAGGGGGAATTAAATCGGTATGTTTCTGCGTCGCGGGGCATCGAAGACTGATCAACGAAGACTGATTGCAGACAGCTTCGAAGAGCATGGTGGCTCGGATGTGGTCTCTCATCGCACCGTCCAATCCGTGCTCTTCAATGGGTCTGCCGAATCGCAGGTCGTTCACCCGCCCGGAGGACGGACTTTGGGATGATGTCATCCTTGCGGGCAAAACACCACCATGAACCGAAAACCTTTATAAGCGGCGGTATCATCCTCCTGATTCATCGTCTCCTCGCCCCCGCCCGTCTTCGCGAACCATTCGGCCACACCCTACTCTTCTTTCAACATGGTGCTCTTTCACGCGTATGTTTACCCTGTACTTGATGGCGCCTCTCAATAGCGTCCAGTCTCTGACAATGTCCTCCCATAATAGGAAAGGAATGCCAATTGGCTATGTGGCCGTAATGCTTGCCCTCGTGGCATCCATAGGAGGAGTAAGCGACATTCACATCCTCATTCCCTTCTGACCATAGTCGCTGACAGAATGTTCTTTCACGTAGTTTATTTTCGGTGTATGCTCCATCATTTGACCTTCACCGCCGACCTCAACTTACCCTTGCGCATCCAGTATGACACAGGACAGATTTCGGATATCCTTCTCATGCCAGATTTCCTACAACGCTTTGCAACATGTACAGATCCTTCCGACTCGTCTACATGTGCTTTCAGTACAGTACGTGAAGGTCTCATCGTCGGTCTGCTCTCTATCGGTACTCTCATTGGCGCGCTTGTTGGTGCTCCGTAAGTCGCGCGCCCAGAATTCATATGTGTACCCCGCCTTACGCAATCTACTTTAGAACGGCCGACTTCTTCGGTCGCAGACGTGCCATGCAAATGGAATGTATGGTCTTCATCGTCGGCGTCATCATCCAACTCTGCTCCTTCAGCTCGTGGGTCCAATTCGCCCTTGGCCGCTTGATTGCAGGCTGGGGTGTTGGTGCTCTCAGCGCTGCCGTCCCCCTGTATCAGGCTGAGACCGCTCCGCCACAAATCCGTGGAACTTTGACGTGAGTACCTGAACGATCTTTTGAGTTAGCGTCGACGAATTGTGCTAATGTATTCTGTTCTATAGCGCCACCTACCAGTTGTTTATCACCTTCGGTATTCTCGTTGCGTGTATGTCATTTTTCCGAAGTACCACTGTGCCCCGACTCACTCCGAAATCCTTACGCCTTAGACTGCATCTCTATCGGAACAAGAAACCTCGGCGGCGCAAGTTCATGGCGTACCGTGGTCGGCATCGGTATCGCTTGGCCAGCCCTCCTCATCACTGGTATCCAGTTCATGCCAGAGTCTCCGGTACGTTGTCCCATCGAGTGCTGTGTTTTCATATTATCAATATGTTTTTTCTTCGACAGCGTTGGCTTGCCGGCAAGGGCCGATTTGACGAAGCTAGAGCCTCAATAGCCCGTGTGCGAGGTGTTCCTGTCGAAGAAGCTGGTCAGCACACTGCCATCCTCCGCGAGGTAGACGAGATTCGGGAGAATGTCGTGTATGAGGCCAAGGTCAAGGGTGGATGGATCGATTGCTTCAACCCGAACAGGAAGGTTCTTTACAGAACACTTCTAGGTACGCTCGCTAGCTTCAGACTTTTCTCGAAGCTCTGAACACTGACGCTCGATATGAAGGAATGAGTCTGCAGTCTCTCCAGCAACTCACTGGTGCCAACTACTTCTTCTACTATGGTGCCACGATCTTCCAGTCCGTCGGAATCCAGGATTCCTTTGTGACGCAAATTATCCTCGGCGCCGTCAACTTTTTCTGCACATTCGGCGGCTTGTACGTTATGGAGCGGTTCGGTCGTCGGATTCCCTTGATAGTGGGTGGCCTCTGGCAATCTGCATGGCTCTTCGTCTTCGCTGCCGCCGGGACGGCCAAGAACCCTCAAGAAAACAAAGGAATCGGAGAGCGTACGTTCCTCTTCTTCTTTCCATCATCGGAATGTCTCGATTAAACCACGTTATTACGGTGTGCTAGTCATGATTGTGTCCGCATGCCTGTTCATTCTTGGTTACGCTACGACCTGGGTGAGTATGCTTTCTTTTCATCTTCTTGTTTGGGCGATGCTAACGATACGATTTACTGTAGGCCCCTGGTGTCTGGATCTTGATCGGAGAGACTTTCCCTCAGCGCACACGTGCTAAGCAAGGTGCTCTCTCGACGGCATCGAAGTGAGCAATACTTTCACTCTTCATCAGCGCGATAAAACAATGATACTGACTGCACCGTTTTCCTCAGCTGGCTCTGGAACTTCCTTCTCGCATTCTTCACGCCATTTATCACCAGAGACATCGAGTTCCGCTACGGTTTCGTCTTCGCATGTGAGTGCCATACTCAATATATTCCCTCCGCTCCTATGGGCACTGATCGTTCCTCGGATCCTACTCTTCGCAATCAACAGCATGTAACCTCCTCGGCGCCATCGTCGTCTACCTCTTCCTCTACGAGTCCGCCCACATCACCCTCGAAGCCGTGGACCTGATGTACAACGACCCGAACTGCAAGCCCTGGACCTCGCGCCAGTGGGCACCGCCAGGATACGCCGACAGGGACGACCTCGTCGCACAGTCAGCGGCCGCGGAGGCGCAGAAACCTCTTGCGGGCGCTACGGAAGAGAGGATCGAGAAAACGTTGGATTCGGACGGCGCGGGGCCGGGTCCGAAGAGCCAGATTTATCATAATGAGAACGGGATCAGTGAAAAGACCCTGAGGGTGTAATTAATGGCTTGTTCAGTCCCCGCCCAATGCACCTTTACGAATCGCTCCAAACCCCTTCCATGTCTCCTGCAATAACACCTACTACATGACGAGTGTCTGCGATGCTTCAATTACGATACGATCTGCACAATCATCATCATCGAACCTTGACGTCTTGAACTACTCGCATTATCCTTCATCTTTTACTTTTTTTTCGTACTGTAAATACTTATGTGGCGCTGGCTGTTTCTGGATGCGACCATATGTATTTTCTATTTAGCTTTGTTTGTTTCTTTAAAGCAATGCAAGACGCACCCGCGCACATTCTACTCCGACTTGTTCAAGGATGTCCGCGTAGCTCGGATGTCGCATCATGCCAGTGAACCGTAAGTATGAGACAGCCTCTGTGTCTAGAATAGCGCGTGATTGTCAGACCGGGAAGGTTTCAATCCACAGAGAAGCAACGGCAGTCTCACCTTCTTGCGTCCCGTCCCTCGGCTTCGAATTTCTCACTCGCAGTGACACACCTTCCGCGTCGCCACCTGCCACACACTAAATTTTCCCACGAAGGCCAGACGTGGCACGAGACCTCCGAAATGCACGCCCAGCGGCGACGTTCACTGTTCAAAGAACCACGCAACGAGGTGACTTTCGCATCTCGATAGACGGAGTAAATCGTCTCTATGAGCCCATGTGAGCGACAGAGGCGATCCTCCCGAGGTAACGAGACTGCTTTTTCACTACCTGCAGCGTCTGGATTTTCGTCGAGGAGCCGACCTGCGGCGTATCATATGCGCTTTGACAGGACCTGTAAAGGTGTATGCTGGTACCTTCGAGGCTTGGCTTTCGACTCTTACTCTGGGAGCAATCGACTTCTTCTGGGTTCTCCGTTACGCCAGTGACGGATATGCACAATCACCGGTTCTGCTCGTTCGTTCGTTCTACGTTGCTTCGAAGCGTTCTGCCAGTGGGCAACTAAAACTTCGTGCGGGGTAGCGGACCTTTGGGCATTTGCACCGTCGGTACCGTACTGGAACACATGTGCTCATATGTGCTCATATACTATGGAATTCTCACCTGTGCTCACTGCATCTGTGCTCACGTCTGTCCACACGTCTGTCCTCACATCTGTCCTCACATCTGTCCTCACGTATGACTCGGACTTGTGAACCTCTCATGTGTGCTCTCATGTGTGCTCACATATGTGCTTACATACGTACCTCAGGCTCTCATATGTGCACCCTCTCGTATGCGCTCACATATGTACTCACATATGTACCCCTCGTATGTGCCCACATATGTGCCTCTCGTATGTGCAGATAGGGACTTCCCATATGCGCTCACATATGTGCCTCTCGTATGAGCTCACATACGTACCTCTCATATGTCCTCGCATACGTCCTCACATACGTGCTCTCATACGTGCAGATATGTACCTCTCCTATGTGCTCCCATATGTGTTCACATATGTACCTATCGTCTGTGCAGAGGGACTTCTCATATGTACTCACATATGTCCCTCTCGTATGCGCTCAGATACGTGCTTTGTATGTCCACCATATGTGAACATACCATACGTGCTCTCATACGTGCAGATATGTACCTCTCCTATGTGCTCACATATGTACCTTAGGCCCTCATATGTGCAGATAGGGACTTCTCATATTCGCTCACATATGTACCTCTCGTCTGTGCAGATAGGGACCTCACATATGTCCTCACATACGTGCTCTCATACGTGCAGATATGTACTTTTCCTATGTGCTCCCATATGTGTTCACATATGTACCTCTCGTCTGTGCAGATAGGGACCTCTCATATGTACTCACATATGTCCGTCTCATATGCGCTCAGATACGTGCTTTGTATGTCCACCATATGTGAACATACGTCGACATATGTGGTCGGCTACTAGTGGGACGTATGTCGCTACATATGTCGCTACATGCTCCGGGGAGCACTCCGACGACTGGGATTGTGCAAGCTACTTCAGATATCTGCGCGTACTTGTCAGATATCTGGGAGGTACCTCACGGGTATCTCGTAGATATCTTGACCAGATATCTGAAAGTACGGGCAGATATCTGGAAGTGCGAGGAGGATATTTGAAATCACGGGAAGGATATATAAAAGGATGCCTACCTCTTAAGTTCCCCGCTCTTCCGTAGTCATACATCGCCCACCGTACAACTCTGCTTGTTATGACTACCCCCGCCACTTCGGCGACAGTGTTATCAACGTCTACGCCCTCTGCGATACTCGCCCCTACGAATGACACCAACTCTGCCCCTAACACCGCTCCCATCCAAACCGCCAACGGCATGGTCCCCATAGGCAACACTCTCCCTCAAAGATCTGAGTGGTCTAATGCGGGCCGTTGTGTTCGCCTAGGATGCAGGTCATGGGGAGCTATGCGATGCGTTCACCGGTACTGCATAATTTGCTGCCAGGCCAAGCCGCTCGAAGAAGGGAAGGCATGCTCTTATCACGCAGGAATGACTCATGATCAGCTCCTATTCGATGTGGGCTATGTCGGTGAGGACTACGAGGAAGATGAGGAGGCAGAGGAGGATGAGGATGAGGATTACGAGGAAGACGAGGAGGTAGAGGAGGCTGCGTATGCCATAATATGGGTGTGTTACAACGTAGGCCATGTCTCCTTTACATTGTCCTACGCATTTAGCTTATGCTCATTACTCCAGGACGATAGCAGTACCCAAGCTTTTGAACTCGTCATGCCAAATTGGCCTTTCTTTCATCCCAAGGATGTCCCTGACCTTGCTAAGGACGTTCTTCTTGCCGATGATTCTTACTGGCGCTACGACGAGGAGCTCAAGTCCTGGTTGAAGACCACCAGTCCCTTCCGCCTCGATGCAGGCAAAGTTCTCTACTTGTTCGCAGTCAATGTGACCGATTTCTCTGGACTTCCGGGTTCCACGAGTCTGAACGTGCCATCCACACCAACGAAACCCCCCTTTGCCCATACCAAATTCCCCGCTTACTCTTCATCTCCTGCCAAGCGTTTTCGCATCTCCAAATTCCCCTCGTCCGACCATTTTTTCTAAGGTGTGTCATTCGTTGACATATTCCTACCCATCAGCCTGACGTTCTATTTCCGCCACTCACCAGCGCATCTGTCAAGCTATCATCCTCAGCACTGTGGCGCCGGAATAAGAAGTGCCCTTAGCCTTATAGGAAACGAAGTCAAGACTTCGGTCGAGGGGTAGAGCGGCTATGTTCAGGATATCCATGTAGCTCGTGTTCTCGTTATACCATAATCAGATAGTCTGGCATTCAACAAATCTAAGTACATGTGTACGAATGCGAACATCTGTGTGTGCGTGTAAGTGATACAATGTTTGCCGTGCGCCCCATTGATCCTACTACTAGCTACAACGATCATCCCATGCTACTACACATACGGACGTGGGCAGCGTGACGGTGTTGAACCGAGGAGTCCAAGTTAACTTGCTGAAGTTTAACAATACAGTGTGAAGAGTTCGGCCGGTATACGGTTCCTCCTGGCTGCGCACCGGTGTTCTTCAAACGGAAAGCAGAATCCAAGTACATCCGAGGCCATTTGATAGTATAAAGAGAAGGAGCCTCAGAGGAATTTCGTACATCCGTGGGTGTATATTTAATTCATTAAAGTCCGTCGCTGTCCGAGGCTGACTTGCCTATCCGCATCCAAAGTCCGCCCTATGTTTTGAAACAAAGAACAATCGGAGGTACATGTCAGCCGATAGTTCTACTGCTTTCATCCGCATGGGACATCGATGGTGCCGTATCCTCATATCGAAGTGGCGTGGCCATACAGTAGGTTCAAGAGAAGGGCAAGTGACTGAAGAGCTGACCTTGATGAAAAGTGTCAACGCCGCCCCAGGCCAGACTTTTTCCACCTTCTTCCTGCTCTTTCCTTCCGCCGTTCTCCAGCTGTCAGGTGGTAGCGACTCTGCGGGCTGGACGTCTGTCGCAAGATCGAAGGTATCGAAATTTTGTAGGAGGCGAACAAGGAAGTAGGACACTTGGTTGTAGGCGTAGTTCACTCCGAGACACTGGAAAGGCATGTCAGAACGCGGTAGAGTTTATAAAAAGGGGGTATCGGGGTATCGTGAAATGAAGAATGAGACGCACTATTCTCGGACCCGTACTGAAGGGAGCAAAAGTGAGAGGATACGACGTCGTGTCCGCCATCCGATTTGGTCCATCGCCGTTCTGCTCGTCCAACCACCGCGTAGGATCAAATTCCTGGGCGTCGTCGCCCCAGAAAGTAGGGTTCCGTTGTGTCAAGAGGGGAAGGTAGATTATGGGGGTGTTTGGAGGCATATACATCGGCAAGGAAGCTTCTGGATTATCCGGGGAAGATTCACGATACGTTGGGTCCGAGAGAGGAAGAGTGCATGGTTGGGATCGGGATTCGCGGACGTTGAGAGGCACCGGAGGGAAGAGACGTAAAGTCTCGTTTAGAACGGCACGGACTAGAAAGCGCAGTCAAGTCAGCCGGGGGACAATCAAATGGATATAATGATCAGTATGGAGACAGGGGATAATTAAAAAGGTGGCGGTACACGAGTGGATGAAGCTCACGATATTTCATTTTGCGGAAGGTCTCAAGAGTCGGAGCTCCCGAAGGTCCGCAATGAGCTAGGATCTCAGCGCGCAGACGTTGACGGACATCGGAATGGACGGATAGGAAGTAAACAGTATAGGTTATGAGGCACGCGGTCTGATAGAAAAGGCATTAGAAGATAGTGGTGAGGTTAGACCGCCAGTCAATGACGAGAGGGACTGATTAGTAACGTACGGTGTCTCTCGAAGCAAGTAGCACGGACATCACTTGGTCACGCATGAGAGCAACATCTATAGAGAACGAACAAATAACGTGTATCAGGCGCTGAGAGTCGTCGGATGGACGCTCAACGATGATGGTATAGGTATGGAAGAGTCTAGGAAAGACATACCTTCGGTACTGCTCGCCAGATGTTCCAAGAACGACTTCTGATCTACGGGAGGTTCAATGTCCATGGCTTGCAACCTGTCTTTCTCGTCGAGCGCATCCCGGACGAGTGGTTCCAGCCAGTCTTTAATCACCTTTACCGGCTCATCCGTCTGATCCTTGAATAGCTCGAAAGCGGGCCATATCTTTCCCAGACGAGCTCTCCTTGTAGCGATCTCTTGACACTTGTCGAACGCCTGGGCAAAAGAGCCCCACCGGTCATGCGTGACCGTGCCCTTAACACCTGTGTTGTCGGTGGCGCCTGCGACGGGGAGTTTGCAGGATAATGTATCGAGATTTTTTCCGAAGAGAAACTCGGATGAAGTATCAAGCGCAAACCTGGTATGGAGGTCTTGAAGGTCGCAGGGTGTACTAGAGGAGGAAAACGAAGAAAGGATGGAGATCGCGCGAGCTGAATATTTTTCGAAGAGGTCGAAATGGGCGATCCTCTCTCGGGCAAAGAACGGTCGGGCCGTGAGCCTGTGCTGTGAGCGGAGCAAATAATTTACACCTATATCAGCATCATGAAGCGCCGGATTTCGGTGTTAGGAGATCGAGATCACTCACAGCCTTCCACACCTACCAAACCATGTCAGTGAGCAAGGCGAGTATGGAGTTACACATTTTTAGAAACATGTTTCAAAGCGTACCTCATCATCTCTGTTGAAAATTCCGTCACCCAGAAAATTCTCCCTAAGCAAGCGGGGTTAGCTGCCAAAGCGCCTATCAAAATAGTCGCTGCCACCAACATTCTCTCCTTCTGGTTCTTGCCTCTCCAGAATTTTTCGAAGCCTGTCGACAGCATGAATTTTTGGTGCTCTGCGTCCATTGTGATGATCTATACGAAGCGGGATATTAGTAGAATTTCTTGAACATGTCGCAAACAAATTTCGTTGTTGGATCGGTGTAGGCGCGCGAATATGTGGGTAGGCTATGCACGCCACATCGAATTTATGCCAGAAGCTGCATTCTGTTCTATATGGTAGTCATCAAGAAAGGGATAACGAACCTGATCACTCCATAAGACCCGTAGATTGAGCGTGGTACATTGATATTCCTCGAATAGAGACAGGTAGACTTCCTGGATGTAGGCGGCCTTGAACGCTTTCAACATCTTCAGCATGATGTCGACGTTCCCTGGCCATTTACCGACTACGCAAGGAATGGGCCGGGCATTGAATTGATATGCATCTCTTCGCTTCCTCAAGGTGTCTAATTGGACGCGTGCGGAGAAGATGAAGACGCTAAACAAAATGTAGGACGGGATGCGCGATAGGCCTAAGTCGATGGTCGCGAGTCGAAGACATATCGACAATGATATCGAAGGGACTATGAAGATCTTTGAGACATCCAGCAAAAACCGAGTGCGATATTGGTGGGGATTCATTGAAATACAGAGACGTCGAGAGTTAGGACAATGTGAAGACAGTTTGCACGGCCGGCCTGTTTAAGTAGTGTATACAAGGACTCGGATGACAAGTCGCCGATGGCCTGATTTCGAAGCGACTTTCGTGGATCATTCCTATAGATTAGTGTCACAGTTGACATGTGCTGTCTGTACACAAATATGGAGACCCTTCGGTGGATTTGAAGCTTTCGAGACCGCCCATTGTTACGGTCAGAGGCAATGCCGACATCTGCCAGTGTGGTTTTCGGGTCGGAATGCCTAATAAAATTCTCCAAGTCGGCCGGAATTCACTGCCGTGATTAGGGCGCCACAGGGTACGGTATAGTCGGAGAGATAAAGAGGGATCATGATGTGCTATAGGAGGACTGATGTCAGCCACTTCGTCGGGAGTTGAACTGCTCCGCTCACCACTCGCACAGCCTTGCAGCAGTAAATCCCACGACATTGTGAGAATCGCAATGGGGTTTTTTGAACATCCGGGCGTAGATCGTCAGACAAGGAAAGTCAAAATCTTGAGAGCAGAAAGTTTGGAGTGTGGAATTGTTCTCGAAGGCCGAGATACGTGCGTCAAGATCTCCAGCCTGAGAACAGCACTGAGGGTCACGGACCTGTTACCCGGATACCCAATGGTAGATTATCATGCGGGAAGAGTGGCCCTGATTCCACGAGAAAAGCCAAGTAGAGGGAAGCAGTATCGCGATGTTTAGTGAGCTTGCAACCACTTCCCAAAACTCATGTTTGAGAGGTGAACGACACGGACTTCCGAGTCAGACTCGCGCTACGAGCCTTCCCTACCATCGGTAGGTTCCGGGATGGCCGCCACTGAGGCTAAGATATGTGTGGCGCCAGGTTGCACCCCCCAAAAGCGAGCTCTAAACACTATGCAGCTCCTATAAGGGCGTGTACCTACCAAGGCATATTAGGCCATATTTGTGGCAATTCAGACCCTTGGGAACCCCTGCCGAAATCGGTTCCTGGATCGCAGAGGCATGAATTTACTTGAATTTACACCGCTACAAGTATGCCCGAATCATCACTAGGGACATTACCCTATTGTTGAATTGCAGTGTCTTGTAACTTTACTCTGCGATAAGAGTCCCCGGCTCGTATCCATACCCTTCTTCGTCTTCATCTCTATCCCAGACGACATTTCCATCTTCTACCCACTCTTGCTTTGTGATCTCAGGCTGTTCAACCCACCCCTTCAGGTTCCTGAAGCCGCAATTCACGACCTCCAACCTCTTCAACTTCTGCCCTTTTGTCTCCGCTCTGACTCGCATGACGTCCTCGAGGTCATTGCGAATAGCCCTAAGGTTAGGCATGTCGCCTTCCGTAAATTATGTGTTGACTTTCTGTAGGACGAGTTCTTTGAGCTTAGGGAAGACAGACATGGACGGTGTTGTGCCCTGCTTCCTCTGGAGTCTGAGATGAGGTGCGAACCAGGCGCTGGCACCAGTGCCTTCGATGTGAAGCAAATTGTCCAGTTGAGGAAGCTAGGGATCCAATGAGGGACAGGCCGGTCGGGGGACGCAATGGGGAGATCAGACGTGAAGTGGAATGAATCAACGAGATCCGTAGGAAACATGTTTGAGATGGAGGAAACGAAGGAAAGAGCGCGCTCCAATACTTCGTCGATTCTACCGTACCCATGGTAAACTTCGACGCTGAAGACGAGTTCGGGACCTCCGCAGGGGTCGAAGCTGGGAGCGAGTTTGGTGGAATCAATAAGATTGCTCCGGGACGACGCCCCGGCGGTCACCTTGACCTTAACGGTGACTTCGCCATGTCTTCCGTGACCCTTGACCGAGTACGCAACCTGACATACTGAAGTCTGGTTGACGGAAGCCCGCTGGGTGAACGAGTTCGCAAGGCTGCTATAGAACTCGTCCAGACAAGCATCGAGTAGCTGCCTGGTCGGCTTCTCATACGATAGCTGCAAGAACGTCCCAGGTGGAACGTCATATTTATCGAAAATGGCGAAGTCGGTAAAGTGGATTTTTCTCGTGGTAGACGTAGGAACGGATAGTGATGGGCACATGTATAGATAATATGCGGGGCTGCATATGAAGGTGAGGTCTCGAAGATGGGGAAGATCAACAGGTGGAGATCTTGGCGACGATCTGACGCGCGGGGTATAGCAGCCATAATCGAGAGTAAGGCAAGAAAGATTGGGCATGCACGTGAGTACGTCGAATAATCCATCACTCTCGGTACACTTCCAGGGCGGAGGGGCCGGATTGACACTGAATGACGTGATGCTAGTGGTTTGAAACCCCTGTCGCATGCTGACACAGATGTCTTGGAGGGATAGGGACTTGAGACGTGGTGGTATGTCGAGGGCAGTGATGGTGGGTATGGAAGAAGAGTCCCAGAAATATTGACCGACATTTTTGAGCCTTAAAATCTCCAAGACTGGCGTGGCGTCGGGAGCTAATACCCGTTCAGCCATCTCCTCCAGACTCGACCTAACTCCATCTTCTCCAAAATCATCGGAGTAGGACTGCAGATACAGCTCCCTGGTATGAGCGAGGTGGTCGCGAACAAGCTTGCCGTTACGGCCATCGATAGATATGATCAGTTTGGGGAGATCAATGGTCACATTTTTTGCGAACTGCAGCATGAAGTCAAGGAGTGTAGGGTCGTTGTCTATAATCCTGAGATCGCTCCATAAACCACTGAATGACTGCGCCACCTGCCGCCAGTGTGAACATACACGCAGGATGGTCAGCAGCGCCGTGGAGTCACTGCTGCCGTTTCCTTCCAGCCGATAGTAAGAGCCTTGAACAGAAATGACACCGTTCCAGCGTTCTTCAGAGTCCGGTCGCAGGTGCAAGAATATCTCGGAGAGAAGCTCATTGGACAGTCGTGATATAGGCGAATATCCAGAAGTCATCGGAAGCTTGTGGAGATATTCATATGTTTTGGCGATTTTGACAGACTAACGCCCGTACGAGTTCATAGAGAATTAGCAACCCCGCCAACACCTGGAGAAAGGGAGACAAATTTCTTACTTGCGTTGAAGGGAGCGCACTACAGAGACCGATCAAAACTGTGCCAAGTAATGGATGAGACAAGCCCGTATTTTCAGACCAACGGATATTCAGGCAGAAGATCGGAAAGCAACAGAGGCTACAGGAACATTGGCGTCGACAATATAGCAAGGGGGAGGTGATGAAGAGACAAAATCCACAACACAACTAACAAGTACTTTTGTCGTAGATTGGATGATAAAATGCTCTACATATAGATTAATTTAGTACCAAATCAATTTCGGATTGGTTTGCCCCTGGCTCATTTGTCCGGGACGTCCATCTTCTCCTCCCTTGTGGTCTGGGACATATCCCAACTTTATCCCTCTGAATATCGTTTTCATCATGAGCCACAACTCAACCACGGCCCTTCTTGAGGCATCGACCTCCATCTCTCAAGGCGCCGAAGCAGCGAGTAGTGATTCATTCCTCGCACCCACCGTGACCTTAGAATGTTTCCTGACATCGCCCCTCATTATAGAAAGTATACAAGGCGTATATACACCTACCAGAAGGAGCTCCCGATGAAGAGGGTGTCCCAGTCTTACTGAAGCATCGATTCAACAAACAATATCGCCACCCGACTTTGGACTCGACCTTGACCCGCTCACGCGTGGCTGGCGAGGCACGAGCACTGATCAAATGTCTTCGGTGTGGATGCACGTTCAAGCTTTGCATTATGCTGATCACTGAAGCTGTCCTATTAGGAGTGGTGTCAATGTACCTGGAATACGCATGGTTGATGCCGCCAGTGGAGTGTTGGGCATAGAATGGATCGAAGGACGAAGCGTCCGTTTCCTTCTTGGTGGAGGCGCTGAGGACGAACAAGAAATGGAAGAGTATGCAGAGGATGAAGACGACGATCTTGTGGTGGAGGAGGAAGATGCGGATCCACTCGAGGAGTACGGCGTTTCGAAAGGTGCGTGCATCTGAGCGCTGGGTCGTGTCCTTGGTCGCTGATTTGTGTGTTTGCAGATGCGGTGATGGGCATGATTGGGACAGAAATAGCAAAAATGCACCTGGCTGATATCGTGCACGGCGATTTAACTACCTCGAATATGATGCTCCGTCATCCTATGGCCGCGGCTCCTCAGTCACCGTCTACTCAACTCGTAAGATATTCGGATGCCACACACTGGTCTGATGCTGAATTAGTCTATAGGTCTTGATTGATTTTGGCCTTGCATACACTTCTGCACTGGTCGAGGACAAAGCGGTGGATCTTTACGTGCTCGAGCGTGCTTTCGCATCGACACACCCAGACTCGCAACCTTTGTTCGAATCCGTCCTAAAAGCCTATGAACAGAAGATGGGCAAGCAGTGGACCGCTGTGGGCAGACGACTGGAAGATGGTGCGTCTACGTGCTGGCCCGTTCGTGGTGCATTTCAGCTGATTTTTTTGCAGTACGGATGAGAGGTCGGAAGCGCAGCATGGTCGGATAAGTTTGAAACGGCAGAAGAAATGTAGACTCTTGTAACAGTATGCGTTTTTCGAATTAAACGCTGGGCGACGACACAGATACACGACCCATGTTCTCTTCACCTTGCAGAGAAAACCTCTGCTCGGCCCGCCTCACCCACAAGAAGTGCTTCGCCATGGTCACGATTCCCTCGTACTTCACCTCCGCTCACCGGACCCGGATCCTTTCGAGAACGCCTCGATATGAACCACGCGCCTCTCGGTCTAGTTTCTTGTCTTCGTGCATTACTATCTCACGGAAGTTCCTGAATACTGCACTACTAAATTATAGGGGCCGTCTCATCATCTGTCGAACAGAGACATCATGCAAGACAAGCAGTGACTATCTCGCACACCGCTCTGAGGTTCGAGGCAATTGTGCCCGATATCTCCTCTCCGACAACGATACATCTCGTGCTACATATTCGAGGCCGCGTTCGGGTTCCGACGACGTCAATCAACTTCTTTGGACCTTCCTCGCACATGGTCGCCATGCTTCCCTCTTATCCCTTCCGTTCCTCGTCCCTTTCTAGCTGCAGTTACCTCAGCCACAGGCTCTCGCTGTCCCTTTTCAACGTTCAGCCTGACCTCCCTTGTCTGCCTTCTCCCTCCGAACATCCGCCACGGTCTCGCCAGGCCTCAACGAGCATGCGGTTGAATTCTTCCTTCTCTTCTCCCGGAAAAGAGACCGAATATATCCCGTGGCCATGGGTCTTGGACCTGAATCCGCTGGAGCTGCTGCTGTGGTGAATGTGAACGCAGAGAAATACTTAAGCTTATAAGGACGTGTAGGTGTAGGCTACGTGTGGATTTCTCCTCCTCGTTCCTGCTCTGAATCTTCCTCGTTCCTGCTCTAAATCTTCCCCGTCTTGCTTATCTCTCCCGCCTGGTCAACTATGTTCTCCGCGACTTTGAAGTCTCAGGCTCTCGCGCTCGTCGGGGCTTTATCGATATCACTCCTGTCTGTTGGGTCTGTCCACGCGCAGAGCTGGTATACGGTCGAGAAGGATGCGACGTTCGTATTCCTGTTGCTATCAAACTGTACTCTGTCTATCCATCATTTGACGCGCTCCCACTCGACGATGGGTATTGAAACATGTACAGTCAGTTCACGGCGCTGTCGGGCGATATGATCGTCCCGAGCGTGCCTCCCAGCGGCGGTACGTCCGTGCATCCCTCTCTCGCGCCGTGGAATCATCTGAATCGTCCATCCTAATTGTGTTTTGTTCGGTTGACATGTAAAGGTACGCCCTACGTATGGCCCGGCCTCCAAAGCGGGAACGGCGTGCTCCAGGCCGTGTTAGACGGTAGATCTGGCACTTGGTGGATCGGTCGGTGTTCCCTTTCATCGCCTCCTCTTGCGTCTACTCACCGCCCGTTCCTTCTGATTGATTTCGGTTCGGAAATGGTTGTGTGGTTTGGGGTTTGTCGATGAGCAGGCGACGGGTTCTACGGGACGCCCTCGCTCGCGTGGGGGAATGGGTTTAATGTGTCGCCGGGGGATACGGTGCATTTTACTTTTTCGTCTGTGAGTGTCGACTTCTTGGACTTTGGACTATTCCCTTCCTGCCTCCCCGCCTTCCCTCCTTCCTTATTTCCAGTCTTCCTTCCCGCCTTCCCGCCTTCACTCTCTCCTTCATTCTCGCCTTTCTGTCCGGCTGTAGACTTCTTACATCTCGGGTTTGGCGGTCTGGCATCGATAGAGCGGCGACGTATGGACCTGCACGCTCTCGAGCGGTTCCCAAAGCGCGAGCACGACGCTGGATATCACGGGCAATACGATGAATCGGGCGATTTTTGCCGTTGAGGTGCGTCTCTTTCTCTTCCTTCCCTTCCTCTGTGCCTTCCTTCCTTCCACTCATCCATCCACCCATCTATCCTCCGCCACTCTAAGTACTAAGCATGTGAATTCGTTCTGATATATTGATTGTGCGTTGGATCAATCGAATAGCTGTACGACGTCGAGTTCTCGTTCGGGCCAGTCATTTATGTGCGTCGCCGTTTCATTCCCTAGTCCATTGTATCGCGGCTCGCCGACTAACTGGGAGGGAACGTGATCATGATGGATACAGGAAAACATCGAGATCACGGCGACGACGGCGGCTTCGGGATGGTGTGGGAGTACGGGCGAGTTGGGGTCTTATGTGCGTTTTCTTTTCCCCCACTTTTCCTCGTTGCTTCGAACCCCGGGCGCTCATTCTTGTTCTTGTTCTTATTCTCATCCTCGCTATCATCCTCGTTCTTTACCACCGTCCCACCTTCGCTCCGACGTCTCTTGGGATCTAAACCCCGTTCGCGCGTGGACACTGATAACCATACAGACGTATACCGTCACGGGCGTGAGCACGTCAGGGAACACGTGCAGTATCGCGAAGATTCAGCAGAACAGTGCGGTTTAAGGGCGCGTTAGGTGAGTAGATTATGGAAGGAGTTGGGTGGACCGCGTGTGCCAGTGCAATGGGGTAGGGCGGGTACCGGTGTAAGTATAAAGGACCAAACCAAGTAGGTAAGGTAGTAGGTCGGGTTCAGTAAGTTTTAACGAGATATGGAGATGTGGTTTTTCTTTGGGATGGGATGGGATGGAATGTACAATGCATATATACCCTGGGTGCTTAGGATTTCGTGCTTTGCCTAGCAATTGCAATTGTGAGAGGCCGTGTTCAAGTTTAGGGCGTACGAACAAAGGAACGAACCACCGGTGGCCTGTGATAATTATCCTCGTGGGTTTTGCTTCAGGTCGAAGAAGAACTTGAATATGACGAGAGAGGATAGAGCGACAGCGACGTCATGCTCATGCTCATGCTCAAGGTGAGAGCCTGAGCTGGTGCGGTGCCAAACTTTCAAGACTTGCAGTTTTGAGGCGGATGCAATCGACGGCGGACGATCGACGAGAGGTGCCGGTGACGCGTTGACGGTGGACGTTCAACGTTCAATGAACGACGAGCCGGAAGCTATTTACTTTCATGGAGCAAGGAAGGAGCAAAAGGGGGGATGACGCGGATAGGATGCATTTCGAGTGATCTAGAGGGACGGTCAGTGCTCGGTGTGTGTAGTGGGTGACTTTCCGTAGAGGGTTTGTGCACGTTCTAGAGGCCTAGAACACAGAAAAGAGGCTCAGATCGATTTTTGATTGGCTGAGAGCCTCGTATTTGTGCTTCTGTGCGTCAAGAAACACTCCTAGACTGCTACGGAAAGTCACCCAGTGTGCACCGATGTGCAGACATGCATGAACACAGAACAGCGCGGAGAAGTTGCTGAGGTCGATCGATTCTTCGTTGTTGCCGATACCCGCCGTCTTCATAACTTAGGACGATAGATAATAAGAAGATAAGAAGGAAGGATGCTTGGTTTTGCGACGGTGTTTAGTTCTGTATAATACGAATGAGGCAATTCTTGGCGGAGAACGATGTCCATGTTACGGGAAGCGAGCAAAAAAAATACAACGACAAAACAGATAACAATACAACAATGCCACAATACAACAATACAACATTGCTACAAATGTCCCAATCCTCCCAATCCTCCCGAGCTTCCCACACCCTCAGGCCTCAATGCTCATCCCCGCAACTCCTAACGCGACTTGAATCACGAACTCACGAAGCAAAAACCCCCCACTCCCTCGTCATCATCCACACAAGCACCAACTGCCCCATCAGCGCCAGCACGAACACACATAGAATAGCGAGGACGAGACGGGGGGCTTGGGCGTGGGGCAGACGGAGATGGAGACGGAGACGGAGGCCGAGTTGGAGGGGGATGGTGTCGAACCAGGTGTCGTAGGCGTGGCCGGAGTCGTAGTATGGGGTGTCGTAAGCGGTCGAGGCGGAGGAGGAGGAGGAAGAGGAGGAGGAGGAAGGGGGGGAGAGGGGGTAGGACCGGGAGTGGCGTTTCGAGTGGTGTTTGGAGTGAGAGAGGGAGAGAAGGGCGTGTTTGTGTTCGCGGAGGTTGTGCGCGGAGAGTTTACGGAGTTCGAGGGAGAGGTCGATTCGTGGAAGACTCGGTTGAGCTTGTACCATGAGAGGGGAGAGATAGGGCGATGAGAGGGGCTTGCGGGACGGGAAGGGGGTTATTGAGAATTCTGGTGTGACGTCAGGGTGTTCGGAGGATGATTGGGTTGGTTGAGGTTGTTCGGGGGATGGTTGCAATTGGGTGGGGTTCTCGAGGGACTTGGAGTCGGAGGCAGGATAGTGGTTGAAGATACCGATGAAAGTATCGAGGTAGGACGACTCTTTCAGACTCTGACGCGGGGCGAGATAGGCTTCGAGGCTGTTCATGAAGGTGGCATAGGGCGAGAGGAGGAGTGCTTGGCCTAGAGGCATCGCGGTCGTAGTCGTAGGATGAAATGCAGGATGGGCGAAGGAAGTTTGAGTTTGAGTTTGAAGGTAGTTTGGTGGGCTTGGAGTTAGTTTACCAGAGCTTATAAGAGATGGCCTAGAGGCGGAAGAGCGGAAGGGGTCATGTCGAACGCTAGGAGTCGTTTGGCGGGTAGGAGTGCGGATTCAGAGCAGGCTGTCTCAGAAAATATGCTTCAAATAATTGTTAGATAGGAGTCGTTCCCTTGCCGTCGACCAAGATCCCACGAAGGTCTAAGATATGAACGTTCCCCTTAGCCAAGAGAAATAATTTAGAAAGCAGCATGAATGCAGGAAAAGGCTGTGGGCAACAGCTGTGCGCATGACGATCCGAGAAGAGTAAAGCTGCGTATAGAACGCGTTTACGTAACGGCTGCACGCTCCCTTCGCCTCAGCCTTATATTTCAGTAACCAGTTCCGTCATTCTTTCCCCGACCCGGTCCTCATACCCCCATGTTTGTTGCCTGCAAGACCTGAGCTTACTTATTATATTTCGTCGCAGGTAAAGCTTGAAGTCGCTCTCGACGACCAAAAATTGATAGCCGGGCTAACCGAATCGTGTGCTTGGTACTTAGCTTCCCCACACACATCCCGTCCCCGTCCCCATCCTTTTCTTACATACCTGTTCAGATTTCTCGCCGCATAGACATAGAACCAATCCATTATTTCCCAGCCAGTTCATGGACATTCCCCGTCCACACTCGCCCAGCTCAAACTCATCCGGCATCGACATCTCCTCACACCCACACTCCCCCTCTCGCTCGGCTTCTCACTCCGCCATCCCCGTCGCAGGGCCCTCGTCGCCCTCCCTCACAACAACCACCGGAAACGACCTCCTCGGCTCTTTTCCGAGGCGAAGAACGAGCTGGGGAAAGCTCGTGGAGAACGGGCAGGACCCGCTTCAACGCGAATTATTCTCAGATTCAATGTCACACCAACCACAACCATCACGCCAACCATCACAACCACAACCACACGCTCTCAATCTCAACTCAACTCACCAGCAGGACGACGACCCGTTCGGTTCTTACTCCCTCGATTATGTTCCCCCGACTCAGACGCAGAGTTCGTACGGATACGGACATGGATACGGATACGGACAACCGCCCTATTCGACACCAAGAGCAGGCGCGTCCTCAGCCGCGCTCATCCATCGCGATTCTACCACCTCCTCCTCCGATTACGACTCCATCCGCTCCCTACGAGACCGTGACGACGTTCGTCTCACAGCACATATGTCGCGTCAACCCACTGACGACTATGATTTTCCACCCTCTCCCTCCCCTCCTCTCGATTCTCCACCTTCGGACGACATGGTTGATTCCGAACGCGGTGGAGGACGCGGTGGAGGAGGTGGTGGCGGTGGAGGAGGGGGAGGGGGAAGTGGGGGTAGGGATGGCGGAGAAGGGATGCGAAGGCGGACGGTGAGGTATGATGGTATTGGTGGAGGTGGAGGAGGGGGCGGTGGGCGGACAGGCTCGACGTTCCGTAATGTTTCTCGCGGGTTACGTCGCGTTTCGCTTCGGGTGGTTAATTTAGCTGGGAAGGGGCTTGACGAACATGAACATACGAGGCTGAATGATCTCCCGGACGACGACGACGACATGACAGTCTCTGCCCTTCGAACTGGCTCTGCTCCTCGAAATGGCTCTGGGACTGGGGCTGGGACGGAGGCGGGCGGGGCGGGCGGGTTGAACAGAATGGGAACGGAGAAGGGTGGACAAGGACAGTTCTTGCCTGAGTATAGGAAGGATATGCCGCTCCGAGGGCGAACGATGGGGTTTTTGGGACCGGAGAGTTCGGTGAGATTGGCGATGTATAGGTTTTTGGTGTATCCGTGAGTGCCGTCCTCTCCCTCACCCTCACCTACCCATTACTTCCTCCGTCCGTTCCGTCCGTTCCCTTCTACCGGTCTCTCCGTACACACCCCTCCTCACTCCTCACTCCGTCCTCACACCCTCACCTCTTCACACACCATTTACGAATAACCAAATCCCCGCACCCACAGATGGACCGAACCGACCATCCTGCTCCTAATCATCGTCAACGCCGTCGTCCTCACCATCCAAGGCTCACGCACCGTCGTGCGTGCTGACGAGGACGATGATCCGCCCGGTGTGAGGGGCTATTTTCATAGATGGGAGGATTGGGCGTTGTTTTTTCTTTTTGTTGTGTTTACGTGAGTTCCGTGCCCTCTCGTTGTTTTTGCATGGTAGTCTGATGACGAAGTGTGGGCGCATGGTGAAATTGAAATGTGCGGTGGATGGGTGTGTTTAGACTGGAAGCATTCGCAAGGATAGCGGTGACGGGGTTCATACTCGACCCCGAAGTCCCACTGTCTACACTGCTCATGAGTCCCTTCACTGCTTCCCCACCCATATCTTCCGCACAACACCATACTACCACCACAACATCAACAACAATGGACCCCAACGACCCCACACATCCCCTTGCCCGGTCCACCTCTCTCACCCACACTCACGGTCTCGACCGCAAACGCACAATAACCTCCCGTCTCCAGCGGTTCTACGACAACGTCGCGGCACCATTCGCGTTACGGACGGGGTCGTCGAGTTATCCGGACGGTCAGCCCTCGATGGCGGTGTCGATGAGTGGTGGAATACCGGCTTCGAATTCGACGAGTACAACTACGAGTACGCCGACGTCGAGGAGGAACAGGAACCGATCGGATACCGCGGCGTCCACCACCCCAATCATGGAAAAATCCCAATCCCAATCCCAATCCCTCGCCTCCTTACCCTCCCTACCCTCCCACCTCCGCACCGCCTCCCACCCACACCCGCACCACCACAACCTCCTCCGCTCAGACCACCCCGCCTCCTCCACCCCGCACAACCCAAACGCTCTCTCCCTCCCCTTCCGGTTCTCCGTCAAAGGATCCGTCGGGATCACGAGGCGGAATGTTCCGTATTTGAGACATTCGTGGAGTCGGATTGATGCGGTGGCGATACTGTGTTTTTGGGTTAGTTTTGCGTTGGCGGAGGGGGGGGTGGAGAGGGGGGGAGGGGGAGGACATGTGGGGATTTTTAGGGCGTTGAGTGTGTTGAGGACTGCGAGGCTTTTGACTGTTACTTCGGGGACTACGGTGCGTTCTTCTTTTTCTGCTTCTTTCTTTCTTTCTTGTTCACTCCCTTTCACTCCCTTTCACTTTCATTTCCATTTCCACTTTCACTGGGTTGGGAGTGTTGGTGAGATGGAGGGAAGGTGGAATGTGAATGTGAATGTTGATGGGCTTTTTGGCTGACTTGGTGCAAGAATAGACGATCATGCGTTCGTTGAAGATCGCGAGGCCGCTGTTGACGAGCGTGGCGTATTTCGTGTTGTTCGCTATGGCGCTATTTTCGTACGTCTTGTTTCTTACTCGGACTCTCTCGATGAAGATGTATCGTTTGTTTGACTCTCTTTCTGCCTTTACTCTCCTCACGCCACATCACTACGCCACACAACACTACGCCACACAACACACGCCAACCCTCGCTCTCTTCATTCTTCACACACACACACACACACAGAATAATCGGCGTCCAATCCTTCTCCGGCTCCTTCCGTCGTTCCTGCTTCCTGGAAGCAACCCTCGGCGTCCCCGAGACCGACCTCAGCCAATCCTGCGGTGGCTACATCGACCCGGCTTCGCTGAACGTCACGGGATACGTGCAGTTGGACGGAGGGATACATGAGACGAGTAAGGGGTATATATGTCCGTTGGGGCAGACTTGTCGGGTGCGTTTTTGATACCTTCACCCTCGGTTTTCATTCGAGAGAGAGTCTGTTTTGATTTGAGAGAGAGGGGGGAGAAGGAGAAGTTGGCTGACGAGGGTCCCGTGGACAGGAAGTCAGCACGAATCCGTATTCGGACGTGGAGAGCTTCGATACGATATATAATTCGGCGTTGCAGGTCTTCATCGTCTCGTCTGCGAATGGGGTGAGTCCTCGCCGCACTCTCTCTACACTGTCACCTAAACTTATATCTTCTTCTGCTTTTTTCTTTCTTTCTTTCTTCGGTGTCCTTGCGGCGATGGTGATGGTGTCCTTGCGGCAATGGTGGTGGTGTCCTTGTGGTGGTGGTGGTGGTGGTGGTAGTGGTCCCCGCTGATGTACAGCATGATCGACGCCGAGTTCTTCATGTCCTGCTTCTTCTTCATCGTCTGCATCGTCGTCCTCAATTTTTGGTTGATCAATCTGTTCGTCGCTGTGATCACGAATACGTTCTCTGCTATTCGGGAGGAGACGCATAAGTCTGCGTTTGGTGCTGCTCCGTGAGTGCTCTACCCCTTTGATTGGCACACTGTTTTTGGTTTCTAATCGTGCAACCGTAGCCTCCAAATCACGGACGAACAAGGCGACGCCTGGGTCGCCTCCGAATCGCGACACAAACCGAACCGAATCCGCGACCTCTACGAACACATCCGCTGGTGCTGGGTCGCCCTCGCCCTCTTCTCCCTCGTCCTCCAAGCGACAAAAGAAGTCGACATCAACTCGACCCACCAGGACATCCTCACCACGGGCGAGCTCGGGCTCACCATCGCCTTCGACGTCGAGATCCTTATCCGCGTGGCCGCGCATTTCCCGGACTGGCGCGCGTTTTTTGCCAAGGGGCAGAATTGGCTCGATCTCGTGCTCGCGGTGGGGAGCAGTGTGATTCAGATTCCGGTGGTGAGGGATTCGGAGGTGTATCCGTGGTTGACGATCTTTCAGTTGATGAGGTTTTATCGGGTGATATTGGAGATACCGAGGATGAAGCCTTTGCTGGTGCGTTTCTTTCTTGTTGTCTATTCGTGTGGGCTCACTGCTGAGAGCCTCCTGTGTGCGTGTGTGGATAGCTCTCCGTGTTCGGAAACATGTACGGTCTCGCAAACATGACGCTCTTCCTCCTCCTCGTGAACTTCATCGCCGCCCTCGCCGCGCTGCAGCTCCTCCAGGGCGACCTCACCGCGGACGATAACATGAACTTCGGACAGATCTACACCTCCTTCCTCGCCATGTATCAGATCTTCTCGTCGGAGAACTGGACGACGGTGTTGTATGATTCGGCGGACGCGGAGTCGGGGCTGGGACAGACGGCGATCGTGTGTTTGTTCTTCTCTGCTTGGTTTTTCTTCGCGAATTGTAAGTATTGCCCCCATTCCATCCTTTTCTCATTTTCTTTGGACGTTTGACAACGACGCTCAATCTCAATGGAACCATAGTCATCATGCTGCAGATGTTCATCGCCGTCATCAACGAGAACTTCAACGTCGCCGAAGAATCGAAACGAGGTCGCCAGGCGGACGATTACTGGGCGGCGCACCAGCCGCAGAAAGTTAAGGCGACCTGGGTCCGCAAGCTCAATCCCTATCGGTGGTTCAGTCCCTCGCCCAAAGCGATCGTCGTGGAGAATCTGCCGTCGAACTTGGTGTTGCCGATGCAGAAGGCGTTGGTGCAAGATTATGGGCTGCCGGGGATGGAGAGGAGGACTAGCGTGAGTTTTTTGTTGTTGTTCATTCTATCGCTAAGGAGTGAGAATTGATTGGGCATCATTAGAGACGCAAGGTGGACGGCAAGAAGAGTGGTTCGGGGCACGTCGCGAGCAAGTCTTTGAGCGTGCTGCAGCAGCTGTTCATTGGAGATACGAAATCGAACGATATGCCGCTCGCTAATCTGAAGACTACGAAGCGGGAGTCGGTCAATACCCAGAATCCGAACGACGACGAGATTGAACGGCAGTTGTGAGTTCTTGGACTTCTCTGTTGCTCGTCGACTTGTTCTCGCTGACACAAACGCCAGGGAGCTGCTCGCCTCGTTCGGTAACGATGTCGCTGCTGCAGAGGAGATGAACGACGCGCTTCATGAGCGCAGGGCCCAAAAGGCGGATTTCATCCGGGACCATCCATCTTACGACAAGACGTTCTGGGTGTTCTCGCAGAAGAACGCTTTCCGTCGCTGGTGCCAGTCCATCGTCCGACCCGCAGACGGCGAACGAATATTTGGACGACCGACATCCGCCACGGCACACACCATCTTCCAGTTCATCCTCCTCCTGACCGTCATCGGTGGCATCGTCGTCGAGAGCATCGCGACTCCGATCTTTCGCCGCAATTTCTACAACTTATACGGGCACAAAGCCGGTTCATGGTTCGATCTCTCAGAGGCCGTGTTTGGGCTCATGCTCGTCGTCGAGTTCGTCATCAAGGTCATCGCCGACGGCTTCCTCTTCACCCCGAACGCGTACGTCCGCAGTATCTGGAACGTGCTCGATTTCGTGATCATGGCAGGCATAGTGGTCAACGTCACGACGGGCCTCATCTTCATCGGCGGACTGAGTCGGTTCACGCGGGCGTTGAAGGCGCTCCGTGCTTTGAGGCTCATCACGCTCGTGGAGAAGATGCGGACGACATTCGAGTCGCTCATTCTTTCGGGCGCGTCTCGTATCTTCGATGCAGCCATGTTGGCCATACTCTATATGATCCCTTACGCCGTCTGGGGACTCAATATCTTCGCTGGCCTCATGAACGAATGCAACGACTCAAACAGCACCGGCATCTCGGATTGTATCTACGAGTACGAGAACAACGTCGTTGGCGGAGACGACAACCCGGCCTTTACGTTCCTCGTCCCCCGCGTCTGGGACAATCCCTCGCCGTCGACGACGTATTCGTTCGACTCGTTCCGGTCCTCGTTGCTGATTCTGTTCGAGATCGTGTCGTTGGAAGGATGGATCGACGTCATGAATATCGCGACGAGTATTACTGGGTCAGGATTGCAGCCGCAGACGAACAACGCGCAGTTTTATTCGATCTTTTTCTTGATCTATAACTTGCTCGGTGCGGTCGTTATTCTCACGCTTTTCGTCAGGTATGTTTTTCCCCTTCGTTACCGCCATTTCATCAATGTCTGATACCATATATTTTGTTTTTGTCTGTAGTATCATCATCGGGAACTTTAGTTCGAAGACGGGTTCCGCGTTCCTCACACAGCCTCAGCGCGAGTGGATTGACTTGCAGAAGCTGATCAATCGGCAGAGACCGTCGAAGCGACCGAAGATGAGGCCGGACGGGTTCCTCAGGGCTTGGTGTTTTGATCGAGCCGTTCATAAGCACGGATGGTGGTCTCGAGGGATGACGACTATTTTTATAGCTCATTTCATTGCACTCATGTAAGACTTTTCGGTCGGTTTTTGCCCGTGGGCTTGTGCTGAATGTTCTTTCCAGGACGACGACTTTTAGCGTGAATACTCTTGGATCCCGAATTCGGAGTATGTCTATCCCAATGGCTTTATCGTTATCTACGCTAATATTCTACATGACAGCCTACATCTTCCTCTTCATCACGGGAACGTACACGTTGGACGTGTTGGTCCGCCTCTCCGGTTTGGGCTGGAAAAGCTATCGTGCGAATGGCTGGAACATATTCGACATGCTCGTCGCTCCCGGCAGTCTCTTCACTACTCTGTTGAGTCTCTTTGGCAATGAAGGCTATGCGCTCGATCAACTCCAGAAGTTGTTCATCGTCTGCGTGGCGTTCAAGCTTGTGCAGCGCATGAATAACCTCAATAAGCTCTTCAAGACTGCAGTGTCAGTACTCGCCTCGTCCTGGCTTCTGCAATGCGCTCGCTGACACCCTTTTTTCTTGTCTCCTTTGTAGCGCGAGTCTACCTGTCATTCTGAGTCTGTTGTCCCTGTGGATCATCCTCTTCATATTCTTCGCGATTTTGATGGTTGAGATCTTCAGTCTCACGAAGTGGGGCTCGGGCGAGACCTGGAACCAGAATTACTCGAGCATGGGCACGGCCCTCGTCATGCTGGCCTTCATGACTTCCGGGTATGTTCTTCATCGCCTTTCGGCTTCAAAAAATCGGAGCTCATGCATCTCACAGAGAGGGCTGGAACCAGTACATGCACGATTAGTACGTTTATCTGCGTTTTTCACGCTCAAGAGTCTGCATGCTCATGTATCGCTATCAGTGCTGTCGAATATCCTCGTTGCACGAATTCGCCGGACGGTGACTCGGACTGCGGCAGTGTGGGTTGGGCTTTCACGCTGTTCATCGCTTGGAACTTGCTGAGCATGGTGAGCGTTTTTTCAAATACATCTCAAGAGACATAGACTGAAGAGTCGGCCACACAGTACATTTTCGTGAACATGTTTACTGGTAAGCTATGGCCATTTGTCTTTTATTGCGCATATTCTAATGACCGGCAAACAGGTGTGGTCGTCGAGAATTTCTCGTACGTGTTCCAGATAACCGGTGGTTCCAAAGCCGTCACGCGAGAGGAGATGCGGGCATTCAAGAAGGTTTGGGCCGAGTTCGCGAACAAGCGAACAGGATACCTAGAACGCAGTAATTTCGTACCATTCTTCGGCGTGAGCACTTTATACCCACTTGTCTCTTATACATTCTCAACGCTGACCTCGCCCATCATCGCATTAGAAATTGAGCGGTATTTTCGAGGTGCGGATATACCCTAGAGAACACAGTATTCCTCAAATCATGCGGGCAAGCGCCGACACCGGTGACACTTCCTATGGTTACGGCGAGTCCAAAATCGTCGGCGAGGTGGACTTGGTCAAGCTAGACAACGCGTTGAGCAAGGTCGACTACGGCGCGGTTCGAAGGCGTCGACATGTTTACAGTCGCCTGTATCACGAGGCCAGCATGTGTCGGAATAGCAAGGGCATGTCCTTCCACGATATGCTCGTGCTTCTCGCCCACCACAAGTTGATCGTCGACAAGGATGCCTTGATGTGAGATCCTTAGTTTCTTCCTGATTGTTATAGTGATCTGACACATACTCTTGCAGACTGAAGGACCTGGTCGTCCGGACGGAGACGAACAAACTGGTCACGGATCTCGTGAACCTCGACCGCGTGCGCTCTCTGCTGATGACGTTGACCTACCGTCGACGATACCTGGCCCGTCGCGAGCAAGCTCGCCAGGCCAAAATGGAGCAGGGTGAGCAAGGGATCTTTCACCTCCCCCTCGCGTACTTCGTTCTCACCGATATCGTTGATTCTCAGATATCCCCGCGATCGTGGTTGACGACCCTCCATTAACCCCATCACATCGGAGCTCACGAGACATCTCTTCCGCACTTCATGTCTTCAGCGATTCCGACTCTCCCAGTCCCTCACCGTGTATGCGCTCGAGCGATGTCTTTGACTCTTCTTTCGCTGCGTCAAATACCCCCGGCTCCCCTGCTCTGCATAGAAGTCGACGGACGAGCGACCTCAGCATGTTGTCCACCGACCTTAGTGGATACCGATATACGTGCGTTACATATACTAAAGAACTTTTGAATTTACAGCGGAGATTGACCAAGCCTTTTTTTTTATCAGCCGAGACTTATCACCGTCTCGAGACCCGTCGTTGCTTATCGACGACGAAAACACGCAGGATGTCTTTGCTGCTATGCAGAATTCATCCTGGGGTGGTACGTCTCTTTCTTTATTTATCAATTCGGAAGCTTGCTCATTCCATAATGTTCCATCTGTCCCTAGATATGATGTTGGAAGCGGAGGAGGAGGAGGAGGAGCACCACCGATAGTTTTTTCTTTATTTCTGTTTCATTCGACTTCCGTTAGGTTTTCCAGGTGTTTATTTCGTTCATTCTTTCGTCTTCGTTCGCCTCCGCCTTTTCGCCTACTACTGCTCATTCGGACACTATCGGGACGCTCAGTCGATCGTAATTATCTCCTTTACTCCTCTATGTTGCTTAGAACGCACTCTCTGTACTACGCTCATTAATTGTTGTCATACGATGCCGCTCCCTGGAGAACACTACTACACTCTGGATTATACGCACCACGATATCTTTTTGACTGCGTGGTATCTAACGCTGGGGCCACTCTTTCCCCGATAGTTAGAGTCAGTCTCGGTACGCCTTGACAGGAATTGGGCTCCTTGATAGACCTCGTCGTCGAAACTCGAACGGACGACGACGGCAGTTCTTGAATCATAAGTCTAGCGCAGATGTCGATTTAGAATGGCCCATATTTTGCACCCCTCTACTGCAGACTGGTTATGAAAAAATTCGAGATTCCGTGAATTTCCTCATTGTACAGAAAACATTGTAGACAACAAACCAATACAGGACTTTCGTGAGAGGTCATGACGAAAAAATACACAGTGGAACGATGCCCAGCGCTGCTACTTCCAGGGAGGGATCTCATACCACCATCCGAGTCGGACCGAATAGACGAAAGGATAAACAGCATAAATGCACCAGAAGACCTTAGAAAGACCTGGAGCGATGTCGAAAAGATTGTACTCAGATCTACTCGTAGACCTTGACCCACGGGAACTCGAAGTACGCATTGTTGAAAGCGCTCGGGTTCTTGTTGACATAATCTACGTAAGTTAGCAAGTCAATATTTGCACAGATATATATAGTACAGTAAGTACACTCACCGTTACAGGTGCTGGGGCATCCAGAGTTCCCGTAGACGGCTCCAGCCCAATCTCCACCTATGTGTAAGGCCGCGTCAGAACCATGTTACAGAGAAACAAAGATAGCTGCGGTAATATACTCAAGCGTCGACTTACAGAACGTGAGATTGATGATTATGTTGGAGGCCGAAAAGTGTGAGGCGATGTTACATTGCGTGTTTGGGAAGTAGGCGTCTGGAGTTCCCTGCGCGAAGGAAGAACACAAACGACAGCCGCGTGAGTTACATGTGCGTTCCGAAATGAGACACAAAGTCACAACGCCCCCAATGCCAGCGAGATACAGATAGTCGAAAAAATAACATACCCAGCTGTCCGTGTTGATGCTACCTGCGCCACTCGACACCTCACTCGGAACGCTTCCGTCATGTCTTGCCCAAAACCAGATTTTGACGAAGGAAGAAGTCCGCTCCATGGCATAGCTACGCAAATAGCAAACACATGCGAACAGTTCGGGAAGGCGTCAGGAGCGAGGATGGATGAACGAAAAAGACACTCACAATCCTCCACCGTTGTTGTTGAACGGGGGGCCATACGAGTTTGCATCGGTGATCTGTACACCACACCCCGCATTTCCTGCAACTGCTGCGTTACAGTCCGTACTCACGGATCTCCTGCAGGAACGAAAGGATGGAGGCAATGAGTTATGAGAAGAGCGAGGAAAATGCGAGGACGACGAGATCCATGAAGCATGGCTCACCCAGTCTCAGCGCGAGATGATGGCATCGTACAACCTAACAACCCATCAGGCGAAGAGGGACCATCCCGTGTCAGTTTTAACTTACATAGCTTCTCGAACGAAACGCTATGCGGACTCACCGGAGCTGGTATGGAGTGTGCTCTGGTTAGGTACTCGGTCATTTACTCCCTGTAGTAGATGGTATCAGGCTGCCGCTTGTTCACGCGGTTACCGTGGTGAAAACCTACCTCGACGATATCGACCTCGCCTGTCGTGTGGAAATAGGGCATGGCATGTTATTGCTCGGACATGAGGACCATTTACGGCGAAAGTACTCACCTCCGTTCGGCCAATTCGGGCCAACTTCCCACAACGCAGGCCATGTACTATGGAAAAAACACAGACAACGTCAGGCCCCACAGCGGACGCCCAAAAGTTATGGATCATTACCCGCAACCTTGAGGCATGTGAGCCACGTTAAACCTGTGCCAGCCGATGGTAATTTTGTTAAGCAAGCTTTGAATCGAGAATGAAGACAGAGGAAAGAGGGTCTGGAATACGTACACTGTAACATGTGTACCGTAGGCCTTGTTGGACTGTATGCGGAAAGAGTTTCGTCCAGGCCCACTTGGACTCAGGGTGGTGGTATGGTCTGCTCGCAAAATGAAGTTGCTCCCATTGACCGTGGCCAGTCCCTGGCTCCTAGCTGTCGACTCGGAAACATAGTTCCTGGGGTCAAGGTCAATCGAGTGTCAAGTCTTGATGCTGGAGAGAATACGCACACACGCCCATGGGTAGGATCTGAGATGGCTTGGAACGAAAAGCCACTGAAGAAGCTGTTGCCTTGAAAAGTGTCGGCGTTATGGTACGTAGCAGCAAGGACACGACCAGCGGCGAGAGCAAGAGCAACGTAGGAGGTGAACAACTTCATTGTATTGTAGGTGAGCCGCTAAGTTATGGAATGGCTGAGGGAAGAGGGTGAGGTATTTCTCTTGAGCTATGCCAACGCTGCCTTTATACCGTTGAATGTGGAGTACCCTTAGAAGGCCTCAACGAATCAAACACGAAAGATCTTGGGGAAGAAGGAAATTATTGAGTGCGGAGCGTAGTGCGATACCATTAGGTAGATGATGTTTCCTTTCAAAGAGGTTTGTCATACGCCAGCAGCGAGGTGGCGATTGTCAAAATCCCAGCAGGGTGGCAACGAACGCAGACCGAGGTCCTGTGGTTCCACAGTCGGAGAGAGGATACTGATTCAGACGTTGATCGTAGTAGAAAGAGGATATGATAGACACACATCAGGAAGCAACAAGACGGGTCCGCACGTAGACGGAGGGGCAAGTGAGTGAGTGAGTGAGGTGAGTGAGTGAGCGCCGGTATTCCGTGGTTAAACGCTGCATCTGAGAGCACCGCGCGCACAGTGAGCTCGGGATCAAGCCCATAGACAGTATCGGCCTGAACGAGCAGAGAATCCACGAGCTGTACCGTCATGTGAAAAGCACGAGCTGAAGAAGAGTTTTTGCCAAGATTCAAGACACGTAGAGCGAAAAAGTCCTGTGACTACCAGAGCATGTACATCACTACCAGCCACCAGCCACAGTGGAAGATGGCATATAGGCACAGTGGGCCACGCGGGTTGGACAGCAGCTGCTTTACTGTCAGGTTGTCGAGGAGGCATCATGTCACCATCAGATGATTATGCATGCACCCATGAGCTCTTCGGAGGACCGGCCCCAAATGCCTAGTGCAAAAGCTTATAGCTTTAGAAAACGGAGAGTTGAGGTTTTGTTGAATATTTCAGATGAGGACATATGAGCTCTTATGATACGAAAAATCAGAAAATATTCGAAGCCAAGACTGCGTAGTGTGTCTGCAGGGGCCTGTAGATCATCGGACCAGCCCGGTTACCCGTCATGCAGTACTCTGCTTGAGGAGACTGTAAAGCTTGTACCCGCTCAGCCGTCATATACACCTGCTTTAGAGACTTGCCAGCGCATGGCAGTCTGTGAGGAGACTAGAACTAGTCCTGACTGCTATTGCATTCGAGTGCATACGTGCTAACGGTCAGAAGTCCTAGCTCTACGATCGCTTTGCAAGAGAGGATCTCTGGCATCCAGAATTGATAGAGCAGGATGAATATTATATATCGAGTAGCGCACCATACATTCTCCGAGTCCAGCCCTTCATCTGTGCCGATTCTAACGATTTTCAGTCCGCTTCAGCGGCAAACATCGGAACGATATGGCCGCTGCTGTTCGGAACGGAGTGTCTCTTGGCACACAGACCATAGACAGCAAAGCAGAAGGATAGGTATCAGCAGGAGACTCCACACGGTTCATGCGGGAACTTGACCGTTGCGAGAGGAAAAGGACAAGCTCAACTCGCCCATCCCGGATATTTCCGGCTTCGATGTGAACCGGGCCGCAGTGGATTATTTGCAATGTGATGCGGGCTCTTCAAGTCAAGTTCGTCGAACCTCCTGTGTTTCATCGAAATATAATGTCGAATCCTCGGTCTGCTCCACTATTGATTAATGGTATTTGATTTTTCTTTTCCACGGGGCAGCAAGTAAGGATAAACTACAGAGTACAACATCGAAAAAACCTTCACTGTGAACGTGGACATAAGTATCCAAGTCCGAATCATCACATCACCCCCACATAAATCATTCTATATCCCCACATATCCCCCACCACAGCACATCATATGAGAACCTCAGTACTCATACAGCAGTCGCCTCCACCTCCTTCGCATCCTCCGTCCTCGCCCTCGACGAACTCCTCGACACATCCGCACTCCCCCCATTCAAACTCGCCGCCCTCGTCTTCTCCGTCCCCAACTCCGCCGCCCTGACCGCCGTATGCAGATCGAAATGGAAGAACGGCGTCTCGACGGGGACGAGCCTCGCGCCCGCAACCCCCTCCTCCTCGAACCCATGCCTCGTCTTCCTCGGTCCGCTCCGTGCAGCATCAGCGGACTCGATATCCGAGTGTGGCGTGTCAGTGGAGTCGGAGGGCGTGCCGGTGCTGTAGAGGTCGCGGTCGCGGTAAGGGATGACGGGGGCGATCTCGCGAGGTCCGTGCGATGCGGGGAGGCCGGTGCCGAACCCGCCTGCGATGAGGGCGCGACGGATCCAGGGAGAGAGGATGGATGCGAAGTGGAATTCGACGGGACGGTCTGTGTATCGTTCGAGTTCGTTGCGCGCGTCGATGAGGGCTTGGACGGAGGTGGTGTCGATTTGGGAGCTATAATAAATATAAATAATGACGATCGGTCAGCCAAAGCGTTTCCGAGAGGTTGAAGAAGAGGGGGGTGGAGGAGGGACGTACACTGAAGAGAAGTCGAGAACGATGGCAGCCAAGAGCGGTTTGTTCCTCTCGATCTCTATCGCAGCAGCTAAATTCGACGGGCCCGGGTCATTCCACGGCCTATCGGCCATCTTGACATTCGTCAGATCCTGGCCCCTCCTCGTGTTCGACTTCGCATACTCCACCAACGTCTCATTCATGACCGAACAATTCGGGTAGAGATAACTCTCCTCGAACCTGTACACGATCACCCCAGGCGCCGGAGGATCGATCTTGATATGCGGGTTGATGACGCCGTTCTTCTCCAGAGGTACGAAGATCTCCCTTGAGTTGCCACTGGACTCTTTCTCCGTGTTCGACGACCCCTCGCTCTCGATCCGGACGCGACCGAGGAAGTATCCTCGAGGCTTGGCCACACGGAGGAGTAAGAGCGCGAGACTGGAGCAGATGGTGGTGTAGATTCCGTTCTCGATGGTCGAGAAGACGGAGACGAGGACGCCGGCTGCCCAGATGACGAACTCGAGAGGAGAGACGCGCCAGAAGGAGTACACTTGACTTGGCTTCGCGATGAGGTCTCCGACGGCATGGATGATGACAGCGGCGAGGCCAGCGGTGGGAATCCAATAGAATGCGGGGGTTAGGCCGTAGAGGGCGACGATGACACAGATGGAGGAGAAGATGCCTGCGAGAGGAGTGCGGACACCACTCTTGGCCTGGGGAGAGGATGCGATGAGAACGGGAACGAATGAGACGGGGTTCAAAGCGTACCTTCAATGCGCTACGAGAGAAAGAACCGGTGGCGGGGTAGGCACCGAAGCAAGAACCGACTGTGTTTGTAACTCCAATGGCGATCAATTCCTGGTTAGGATCGATCTTGTATCCATTAACACGACCAAATGCTGAATTTATTCCGAACAATAATCAGAACGGGGAGAGAGCGAGATAAAAAGTTGAGGCGAGACATACATTTGGAGATGGCTATGTGCTCAAGCAACAGGATGATAGTAGCGACCGGGAGTTCAGGAGCAAGAGCAGTAATGAGACCGGAGTCAATCGTGGGTGCGTGAACGTGACGAAGACCACTAGGAACAGTCTTGAGGATCTTGATTGGGTAGGATCCAGCGGAATTCTTTCTGTGGCGCGTATACAACCAAGACGCGATGGTGAGGACGATGAGGACGAAGGCGTTCCTCAGTACGGAGATGAAGAAGAAAACGCGAGCTAAATGTACGTCAGATACGAAACAGTCACCGAAGTGGAAAAGAAAGATGAGCTCACCTCTACGTGGGTAGCGCTTGGAGAGGTATTCGCAGGCGTAGCGGATGGCGTAGAGGAAGAAGAGACCGACGAGACCGAAGGCTGCATCCAACGTTGTCAAAGGAAGACCTTTAAGGGTGTTGATGATGACCTTGTAAGTAGCGGCACGGGTGCTATGGGATACATACGTCAGTCAAGAAAAGACCCAATAGAGTAAGAGATGTATATACCTGAATCCGGTGATACCCATCAGGCCAGGCACTTGGCCTACCAAGATATTGAGAGCGGAACCAGTCATGAAACCACTGACGGCAGGTGCCGGGATGAGGTCGACAATGCGTCCGAGCCTGAGTAAGCCGATACCGAGGACGATGAAACCGCAAATGAGGGAGAGAGTGGTCTATATCCCAATCATTAGCGCATGCGTACAAAGACGAGAGGTGGTACCTACAGCAATTTCTGGAGCCGACCATTGATCGCCGTGTCTGTCGGTCACGTAGGTGATAATCTGGGAGACCGTCAAGGACATGACGGCCACAGGTCCAATACTGACATCTTTTGACGTGGCGAAAAGCTAGAACGGTGAAGAGATCAGGGCATGCTTGGTGAGGGAAACGATAAAAAACATACACAGTAGATGAGCGTGCCGACGAATGCCGAGTAGAGACCGTACTCAGAGGAGAGAGTAGCGATCTAATGAAGATACTCAGCACGGCATAGGCGATGTAGAGATACGTCCTTCAACTTACTTGCGCATAGCCCATAGATTGGGGAACGAGCACGATACCAACAGTCACACCGGCGATCAGATCGCCAGTAAGCCAGCCCAAGTCTTGTTCGGGTCAGCAACGTGTCGTGATGATGATCGAACGAGAAACTCACTGTATCTGGAGATCCAACTAAGGATTGGGAACAGACGCCTGACATAGTGGACTGTCTGTCGAGAGAGGTCTCACATTAAAATCACAGGAATTCGAGGATGGATATGAACTACATACGAAGCTCGTAGGTTCCACAAGGAGATTACTTTTGAACCAATCGGTCGTGGAAATGGTAGGTACGGGGTCGTCGGGATACCCGATGATTCGCTTCCCGGCTTGTTTCACGGAATTAGCAGAGACCATGGCGGAAAGGACTGGTGGCAGTGCGACGGAAGGGGGAAAGAAGCAACGGCTTTCAGGTAAGACGAGAAGCCTGACGCGGATCTCGCAGACTAATTTTGCAGAGAGCCCTTTAGTGAAACCGTCGAGACAGTCCACAAAATTTTCCCACCGCAAGGAAGAGGGTGAGTAGGCTGGGAGAGGGGATTATGGCACAGAACAAATGCCACAATATGTCCTATGACCTGCGCTGTGGAGAGGAAAGGGAACAGCAGAGGAAAGAGTAAGACGCAGAACGAGGAATTGAGCTCGTCTGGCTTTCAGTTTTTGACGCTGACTGTATTGCGACATTGCCATCGTTGACGTTGATCGCCGTGGTGCAAATCTGGCGGCCTGAAGACGCAATTTCGCGTCAACCGGCATCCCCCGCCCAATTCTCCCTCCGCGGCATTCAAAATATTCAACCTCCCGCCGCGTCCGTCGCCCAGTCTCTTCTTCGATCCCTGAGCCTCGTTCTCGAGTTCAACGTCGCCCGACGCACTCGCCTTCGTTCCTAGTCACACGCCCTCCTATCCGTCCAGCCTGCGCTTTTTTTCTCTCTTCAGGGCGGACATGGACTAAGTATTTCACTCGTTTCCTGCGTTGATGTCGGGCTCGATAGTGCGTGGCGTCAGTGGGGTGCACCATCACGATGGTTTGCGTGTTCGTGCTCTGAAAGTACTCACCGTCGAGGAGCCAAAGACCTCCCGATTCCAGGTACCGCACTACCAGGCCGATATACTTAGTAGCCGTCTAGGAACACATCGCGCTCGTTGTTTCCTTCGGGTATAGTAGCATGCACTGGCATGTACCTGAAAAATACCCGTTGGACCATAGCTTGTCGTGCATACGCGATTGAACTCCAACTCAGCGTCAACGACTGCAGAGTCGGTCGATATTCATGCGGTCCAGCAACAAGGCTTTAGATCCTCTTGTCTTCTTTTGTTCATACGTACATATTCTTGGCAACAATGTCGCACGAGGAGTGCTCTTCTATACGGCGCCGAGGTTCATTATTTTATCTTGGGTCGCATTTCTACAGGTCGATTCACCCCTGACACACCAGATCTGATCAGAATATAGGACGAGGAAGCCTTGGAGCTGTAGAGCTGAAGCTCTTCTGTGATTAGCCACGGTCGAACACTGACCTGGGAGGACTACAGTCTTTGACCGGTCCTCTAGACACCATCACTCACCTAGACACCTCGAGATCTCTCGATTGTACTGATCCTTTTGGCTTTGGCCTCGTATATCATAAACATATGGTCAAAATAACAGGATCTGGGTACTTCTATTACATGCAGTTGACCCATACATATTTTGGGGCATGGGGGAAAACGTGGGAATTTGGCCATGTGGCCCTTCCCACTCACCTAGACACCTCCATTTTGTGCACCGTTCACTCATATCTCAACAGATTGTCTTGAAAGTTGATTCATTCGAGAGAGGACACTCAAAAGTAATATTTAGATGTGCAAACTGTAAACGAATGAGCATGCACACAATCTGGGAGACTGAAATCAATTTGGCTGTCTAGAGGACCGGTCAATTACTGTACAGGACGCTCGTCTTTTCACTTCTTTTCGACTCGAAGTTGTACCTCAACCTTGTGTAGAACCTAGCTCTATTTTATGTCATCTTTTATCTGCTTGAAGCTAAATGCACTGATGCTGCATGACGGCTGACTTCCTGACTGCTCCAAGATCTCACGCTTGATTTGAACGCGTCCCAGTGGAAGAATGGGAAATTCCATCGCTTCAGGTTGTTGCAAGTTATTTAAATCCAATACAGGCGCCTGCATTATTCCTACGGTTGTCCCACTTATACACGCGCCTCAAGCGTCTCATCTTGGTGTGGATAAGACAATGGAACGAAGTGGGTCGGACTGCACACATCCACACATACCTTCCCCCAAGCAGCAATGTCCAGGACTACTTGTGTGGTGCATTGTCTCGTGCACGTTCACCACTGTTTTTTTTTGAGAGAGATTTTAGGTGTGGCGAGTGGATGTAACCCCGACAGTCCTACTCACAGCGTTGTGGGCTCAATGATAGAATTGTATATAAATACTGGGTGTCAGAAGCGTATCCATCTCCAGGACCAAGTTCTATAACCTCCAACGCGCCATATCTCAACAACATAACCATCATGACCTCCCAAACATCACATCCCCAAACCCACCGTGCCCTCGTCCTTCACTCCACTTCCTCTCCCCCCACCGTCGAGGACCTCCCTCTCCCCGCCGTAACACCCGGCAGTGCCCTGATCCGCATCCTCTCCTCCCCCATCCTCTCCTACACATCCTCAATCATCTCCGGAAAGCGCACCTACCCGTTCCCCACTCCCTTCATCCCGGGCAGTAGCGCCATAGGCCGGATCGCCTCTACCGGACCCGACGCCACTCTCCTCGCCCCAGGCCAACTCGTCTGGATCAACAGTTTCATAAGGGGGCGTGACGATCCGACCGTGGCCATCCTCCTAGGTCTGCACGAAGGGTTCACGGAGGGAAGTAGGCGTCTGATGCGTGGGGAGTGGAAGGACGGGACGTTCGCAGAATACGCGAAGGTTCCGCTCGAGAGCTGTTTCGCGTTGGACGAAGGGCGATTGACGGGGAGCGTGAGCGATGGAGGGCTGGGGTATGAGACAGAGAAGTTGGCGTATATATCGTCGTTGCTCGTTCCATATGGGGGCTTGAGGGATCTAGGGCTGCAGGCGGGAGAGACGGTGATCGTGGCGCCCGCCACAGGGGCTTTCGGTGGCGCAGCGGTGCAGGTGGCGCTCGCTCTGGGTGCCAGGGTGATTGCGATGGGAAGAAATGTGGATAAGCTGAAGAAGGTGGCAAGTGTGAGCGATAGAGTGGATGTGGTTCCAATCACAGGCGATGTTGAGGAGGAGACGGCGGCGCTGAAGAAGTTCGGACCCGTCGATGCGTTCTTCGATATTTCGCCACCCGAGGCTGCGAGGACGACACACGTGAAGAGCGGTATACTTGCGTTGAGGCACGGCGGGAGGGTTAGTCTGATGGGAGGAATCATCGGCGATGTGGCGCTGCCGTATGCGAAGATTATGCATTCGGATATTCAGCTGAAGGGGAAGTGGATGTATGAGAGGGAGGATGTCACGGCGTTGATACAGATGGTCAGAGCGGGGGTCTTGAAGCTGGACCAGGTGGAGGTTGTCGGGAAGTTTGAGCTTGGAGAATGGGAGAAGGCGTTTCAAGTAGCAAAAGAGAATGCTGATATGGGGCAGTTGGTGTTGATGACGCCCTGAATGGGGTCGGTGGCCGTTATGCTCGCTGAGATGGTTCATACGTACAGAGTACGCGAAACTTCGGACACTTTAAGTAGATAAGGCGGAAATAAAGCTATAATGTTCATGAATATCTATGGCAAATACCAGCAACGTTCCAAATTGAAAAACTGGAAGAGAACTATAAGGTATATCAAGAGTGTATCGGATAGAAGGTAGTGGGGAGCGGTGGAACCCACCTTCATACATAGTTCATCGTCTCGTCACCCGTATAACCATGAACATCGCCACAAAAACCACCACAACAGCCAACACACTAGCCATCGTCAACCACGTCGTCCCCCAGCTCTTACTCCGATGATCCCTAAGCCTGACCCTCTCCTTCGTCATCACATCATAGTTCGACCCAATCTTCTCATCGACGTCGCTCAACACCGCCTGATCACGAGCAAGAGCCTCGCCAAAGTGAATCGCGTTCTTGCGCAGCTGACTGGCCATCTGTGCCAGCTGGTCTGTCATTTCGTTTTGGACCGCAGATGAATTCTGAAGGAAGGCGGGAGTCGGTCTGGTGGCAGAGGACGAGGACGATTCTGCTGTAGCGCCAGAGGGAGACTTGGATGGTTCGGCGGGTGATGCTGAACGTATCGAAGATCCTGAAGGAGGTGATAGAAGGGTATAACTTGGACGTGAAGCTTCAGAGACGTCTTCTGCCGGTCCGAGGAGAAGGTCAGCTTCTGAGGGTTGTGGTGAAATGTCAGAATTCTCAGGCGGGTGGGTCGAGGTGTCCATAGTGGCCGGGAGCTCGATACCGCGAAGAGAGGGAGGAGGCAGTGGGATGGTGGGTAAGATGGGCTTTGGCCTTGTTGGCTTGACAGCTACCTGCTGGATAGACAAATCAGATAAATTGTAATAAATAACAGGGAGTACGATGCTCTACCTGGTTCGCAGACTCGAGAGTAGCCTCTAGCCGGTCAATAGTCTTGCGAGCATTATCGTAACGTTCGAGGTGATTCCTGCGTAGTAGAAAGAGACGTGTCAATGTTATGCAGACATGTTAGTTGACTTATGATGGTCTTACGAGGATACATCCATCTCGTCGTATAGTTGGACATTGCGAAGTAGTTTTCTGGCATGTTTCACTTTCTGCAGAGCAATATCGCGATTCAGCATACCATTCGTGATGCAATATAAGCTTTGAGAGGGAAATAATATGCGAGTGACTGTCTTTTGGTTAACAGCGACAACACGAATCGAGGTGACCACTAGTGATCCTCAAGGAACTAAGACATCCATTCAAACGACCGAGTGTCGTGTATGACTTGATCATATGTCCAACAACACTTTTGGTAGAACGCGTAAAGAATGGCCGAATAATATCGTCCATGGCTATGACGCCAACGCACGAACAACAAGTAGCAATGAACACAGACGGAGTGGCACGAACCTGAAGCATGCTCTGGCATTGTATCCAAAGTGACTGGTTATTATCTTCGCTCCAGTCAGTCTCCTGGATGGCTTTATCAAGCTTCTTGACCAGTTTGGAGAGGTTGATTCGGTCATGGAGGACTTGCTCCTGTGTCTGGTAGCTCATTGTGGCCGGCGTAGTGGTGGCGTTGACGAAGAGGTGGGCGCTAATTATAAGCGCTCGCTACTTGGCCAGTGACATGAGGCCTTCAGTTGCTGAACACGTAGCTTCTCCTGACAAACGAGCAATCCACTGTAAGAGATCCAGCTCAGGACCGTGTACTCGACTGATCATCCCTCTGATCTCAGACGTCGACGGCCACACAGCACAAGTCAAAGATCCTTCAACCACATGCGACGGATATTGTATTATCGGTAAATATGAGTGTCGAAACCGCAAATAAAGCAAACCGAGGTATACATCAATCAAAACTGCCATTTCTATGTCAATAACTCAACCCTCCTGCCCCCTCCCTCTACTTCTGCCTCTTGTAAATCTTGCCCAAGAAGCTCGTGAAGACCTCCCTCCTCAACACCGCATCACCCTTCTCGCTCTTGATCTCCGGCACAGCTTGAATCATCCCGTTCAACTTCTCGTACATCGCGGCCTCGTACTCCTCATACTTCTGCCTCACGCCAACCTCCTCAAAGACCACCTTCACCTTCCTCTCGCACTCTGGGTTCTTCCGTCCGTAGTTCGTGTCGAGGATGGCGCGCTGGGCGGGGGTCGCGAGCGCGAGCGCGGTGTTGATGCACCACGAGCACTTGTTATCGAGGATATCCGTGCCAACCTTGCCGATCTGCTCAGGCGTGCCCGAGAAATCGAGGAAATCGTCCTGGACCTGGAAATACTCGCCCAGCGGGAGCAAAATCGACAGCGCGATCTTGTACGGGTCCTGGTCTGCGGCCTTCGCCGGTGTGCCAGTGGCAGCAGGCGATCCGTTCTCGGACACAGGTGTGAGTGGTGATGAAGGTGCAGCGGCAGGTTCAAGAGGGGACGAAGTCGACGGGATCTTGCACATGTACATGGCGGCGGCAACGGGGAGGTAGAAAGAGTAAAAGGCGGTCTTGTAGATCACGATGAGACTGTGTCGTTCGAGGCTGAATTTGCTGAGGTCGACTTTGTTGACGGGGGCGGTGATGAGGTCGATGAGCTGGCCCATCTCGGTCATGTAGGAGACGTCGTGGAACATCTCGAGGAGGTCGGTGTAGTAGCTCTCGCCCTTGAAGTGCATGCGGAGCATTTGGTAGATCGCGCCTTCGAGGAGCAAGGCGTCGTTGATGGCGATGGTGCCGACACCGTCGACGCGGTACCAACATGGTTGGCCACGACGGATGATGGAGTCGTCCATGAGATCATCGGAGACGAGGAAATATGATTGAAGCTGTTGTGGGAAACGAATAGGTTCAGAACTCGGATATAAGGACGAATGGGGAGCATGACCGTGGACGAATGTGAAAATATCTTCTTCTCCAGCCCCTGCTAGACATGCAAACGAACTCCGAGGTAGGAAACTCACGAATTCAATTGCCCATCCGAGAACAGCAGCTTTGAGGTACTCATCGTCCGACAGTTCACGGCCCTTGATGATCTGAACGGTGTCGATAACACTCATACCACGGTTGAGCTTTCCACCGGGAACATTGTAATCCAAGTTCTACGAGACGGGAACATGACCAGGGTAAGGATATCATTCTATGAAGGTCGAGGAAGACATGGTGGTAAATAACATACGGCGGTGTACCAGTCGACGGCATCCTGCGGCATACCATGCGACTTGAAGTGCTCAATGAGTTCATTCTTGATAATGTTGTACGCTCCAGTGAAGCGATCCCTTGCAGCCTTCTTCAAGGCCTCCTTGCCTGGCGCGGTAGTAGAAGACATGGTGAATATTGTTACGGGTAGATGGAGGAGGTATGGGTGGATGAATGGATAACGGAGAGATGGTGGTGGGTGGTAAGAGGATGGCAGCGGCTCAAGGGAGAAATATATGAAGATCGTTCGATAAATTCTTATTTACATACGCCGCTTCCTCTTCCCGCTCGTCTCCCGCCTTGTCCTCCGCAACGAACATCAAACCGCCGGCCTTCACGCCAGATTTCATAGGGTTTCATTTCGCTCTCCGCGCCTTCATCTGAACTGAATCTGACCATCGCTCCGACCCCGTTCGCATTTGTTTCTCCTTCAATTTAACCTCCATTTTTAGTGGTCTTTTTGTTTTCGTTATCGGCGCTTTCACTGCGTGAGACACGCTTCATCTTGTTGACGTTCGACGTATGGAATCCGTTCCGCGTCCGTTCTAATACGTTTCACAGCGCTCTGTTCGACTCTGCATCGCTTGCGGCAGAATCAGCGGCCGTTGGCGATGGTATATCTTTCCCCATCGATATTCAACAAGTCTGCGAGAGGTCCCATCGCCATGCTATCATAAGGGCCTGTAGATCCGAACGCAGACGTCACAGAGCTTTTTGTTCATGCTCGTGCTCATCCTACTGGTCCTTGTTCTTCACGGCGCCTAACCGCTCTCAACCTAAACTCGAACATGTCCTTCTCCGAAGAGCGGTGATCCGCTTCTACTTATACTTGTTCGTTCCACCCACAACTCCGAACAATGCTGTGTCCGGACCTTCTGCCCCTGGATGGATTCCAATCATCATGCATCTCTGTTCGCACCTGTGGTACGACTCGTCCACAAAGTCGCTTTGGGGCCTATTGCACACTGAGAATCAAAAACACGGCTGTTCGAACACTTGGATCAGTTGATTTTCATGAGACGTGTCTGACTCTCAGTTTTGTCTTGTGCAAGCGCCACACCGCAAACGGAACTTTACTTGACTCCCGGCGGGTGGAGAGCGTTGTCTGTTAGCCGCCGGAAGGCCGGTATTGTGTGGCCTGCTCGTCTCAGAAGTGCTGGCTCCTTTTGCTAAATACTTTGTTTGGCCACCTGGTGCGTTTTCGAACATGCGTGCTGCATGTTCAGACGGTTATGCTTAACGAAGCGCCCGCACCAAGGTTCACTCTTGTTCCTTCCTCGCTCACGAAAGTCCTCCCGAACCAGTTACGCCAGCAAAGCAGATCGCAGTCGACCATCATCAGGAGGGAATGGCCGTTCGCATATCACGGCCTAAGGGCTGTGCCAACATTGAGAGGAACAGAACTTCCATGTAGCACCGTGCGGCCGCAAGAGCCAATTGCAGCGCGATGCCATACTGGTCCACTGATACGGTACTGCAACAACCAACGGAGGACGCGCAAAGCTCACTGGTGCATTATTATTCGTCGGAAAGACTTCAGTCATGAAGTATATCCGGGTCCGAAAGACTTGAACAGATCGCATTGATGCTCCGCGCTCTGTTGACCGTGTCTCAAGTCAGTACGCAGTTGAACACCGATAAAACATCAATATGGATCCCGGAATTTGATGGGTACGCACCACATCGACTGGTCCGATCCAGTCCGCAGAAGGGATGTCCAAACCCTGCGCGAAATTGTCGCCCGCAAACTTGGGCCACGCAGGAATCGCTGTTCACGCCACACACACGCCACCACACACATCATGAAAGAGAAGCAAAAATGACCCGTCAGTATCTTCAAAGTCTAACAAAAGTAAATCGCAAGGGACAACTTCAGGACTTACTCGTATTCCCACCCACAACTCTCCCCTGCACGACACCCGGATCTCCCCCATTCACAAACGCCTCCCAATAAGCTCTCATCGCCTCACTCAACACCTTCTGCTCCCCCGTCAACTCCCACGGATCCGGACTCCAATTGAACAAATAATCCAACTCCCCCGAGTGGTACGCACCCGTATATTCCGGCGGTATGATGTCGGAGGGAGGATTGCCCCAATGATTGGAACGGTCTCGGAATTCGAAGGCGTAGACGGTCGTGTGTTGCGAGAGGGCTTGCCAGCCGAAGAGGTCACCACAGAGGGAGAGGACGCTGCCATATGCTGTTAGGGCTGCGGCCTGAAAAGAAAGTTAGCGATGAGCCGATCATTTTGTGTGTTTTGGGAAGAATGGAAGTGCAGAAAACGGGTGTGTTACTCGCCTCCGCGAGATTGAGGCTGAGCTGAGTATCGCCGGGCGGAAAAGCGGCATACACCAACGAGGCATTCACGCCGACTGGAAACAACGTCAATTATCTTCTTACCAGATTTTTAAGGTGAGGGCACGTACAAGTAGCTTCGAGCGTAGCGTTGTAGCTCTCGAGGGTTACATTTGCACCTGGACCGGCCGTGGTGGCACTCGCTATGAAGAGCGTGAATTCCTAGCCAGACAGGACCAAGTCATCACAAGAGGTGCGTCAGCTGAAAAGAAGAGAGTCGCGGAGACAAGGAAAAGGAATGCAAGGCAACTGACATCTCGATTGCCACCGATGAGCAACGGGACTTTGACGAACTCTCCAGTCGTGAAAGCTTCATTCGTCGACAATGGAACGACCACATCGCCGTATCCTGGGGCTACAAACCGACCATCCCCATACATTCTCGTTAGCCTCCAATTCTATTCCAACTGAACCAGAAAGCTGCGTTGTGCACGCACTGAAAGCAAATGAAGTCGACGCGTTCAAAACGTCTGCAGCACTAGCATTACGCAGACAAGCCACCAGCACCGACTCGTCCGTGCAGTTCAGGGCAGCTCCGAGGCCAGTCGTGATGTTGTAGGTACTGTTGACCGCTGGAAGATACGATTTAACGAGCAAGGGAGCAGCACTTTCGACGATTCCCTATGAACCGGTCACGTCAGCGTCAACCAAGGGCTGTAAAAGGGGTCTGGAGGGCTACTTGGTGGTATAGACCTGCGCTGCTGGGTGAGGCGAGGTTCAATATGACGGATATTCCTCCGGCTCTGTGTGCGAGAGTCTGGTAAGCCTGGGTGTCTTGTTAGATTTTGGATGCCAAAACGTACGATTCACCGCCAATGGTCACTCTGTTGGGATCACCACCGAAGGCAGCTGTGACGAGTATCGTACATCTAGTCAGGTCCTGGCGACGGAAAGACAATACACAGAGATAGGGAAACACACCGATATTATCCTGGATCCATTGCATGGCCAACTGAGGACTTTTCATTACCGCATTGTACTATGTGCTTTATAGGGTTGGATGGCTGGCTTACCTGTTGATCTAGCATCGCGAAGTTGAATATATCGTCTTCGGATAGTTCGGGATAACCTAGGAAACCGAAGACGGATAGCCGATAGTTCGAGGTCACATAAATGAGGTTCCCTTCCACGACTTGTTTTGTGGCGTTGAACCTAGGAGAGAAGATGAGAGACGGTTGGGTAGTGAGAAACTATCAAGATCACGTACTCGCTTGCATCTTGGACTGCGAACTATCGCAGATTCAAAGTTAGTGTGCTTGGAGGCCTAAGTTCAAAAGACGAACATACGCCACCACCATGGATCCAGTTCTAGCGTGTCACAGTAAATATATGATCAACAAACAATGCAATGCAAGAGAGCTTACTACGACGGCCAAGCCAGTGCTGTTTTTTCCATCTTGTGGTATGGGAGTATACACATTCAAATACCTATTCCAACAACAGTTTTGATCAGAATGAGCCAAAAGCTTTACATCCAAAAAAAAAGCTGGGACATACAAGCAATCCTCGTCCGTCGACCCTGGCACAAGTGCACCGCTCTCAATCTGGGGGCATCGTCCTATAAAGTCGGTCGCATTATATGTGGCATTGAAAGGTGGCGCCTTCTGCGGTGCTTCCCATCTCAGGTCTCCAATAGGCGGACGTGCGAAGCTAAAGCAATATTTCCATTGAACAAAAAATAGAATTGAAGGAGGTGGCGAAGACGTACGGTATCCCTCGGTACACTCTGACACCTTCTTCGTAATCTGTGTATCCCACTATTTCTCCCGCCTAGGTCCAAATATCACGAGTTCTTCAGTATAGGCATTGTGTTATGGGAAGTAGCGTACCGTAGCATTAACTGCGGTACTTGGATCTGGAGCCCATCGCTTCACTACCTCGCAGGAGGCGCCACCCAACACTCCGAGGACAAGAGGCAAGTTCTGTAGCAACTTCATGGTTCGAGAAGGTCCAGTGAAGTGGAAGTTAGGGGCAAGAGCGAAGCGGTATATGTACTCCGTCGGTCTCGGTCATCTTGCATTTTTTGTGACCTCTTGACCTATATTTCGAGCCTAATCGACTCAAATGACGACGTACATCATTTGATGGGTCAGGAGGATGGCCGTTCACGAGACGCAGGTTTGGAGGTGCCCCCGAGAACGATCCAGATGACAGTCTGAATTTGCAGCCAGTCCGGGGCGCGACAAAAGTTCAGCCTGAGTCGAGCCTCACGATGAGATGTTATAAGAAGCAGCAGGGAAAAATTCAGAATCAATACACTGAGGTTCAGCGTTCAACTTATACGGACGCGTGGTAGTCTTAGGGTAAATGGAGCTCGAGCTCAAAGATCTGATGACCATGCAGGCTACATTGTGACAGTCACTAGTCAGCGCCGCCGAGTAGAATCAGAGTACACAATCCTAAGAGAAAAAGGCAAGGATAATGTCGCATTCAACAGGTCTTTGAGAGGCGTCATGTGCGAACTGAATGAGATGATGATGGTCAGGACGGCGATGTGGCGTCGGCGGAATGCTACAAAGTGGCGAGAAAGCCGAGAATTTACGTGGTGATCGCGTGGGCCAGTCAGACAATGTCTGCGGGGAGATTTCAAACCTCTTCATTCCTGTCTTCATCGTGCTGAGCATGAACGCTATGTGAAGTTGCAGGATTTTTCCTTCTGGTCGATGCTAGGCTCATATCCTTCAAATGCTTTCGTGAACGTTCGAATGATTCGCGCGCATCAATTCCCAATGGCGTAGAGCGACAACCCGAATGGGTTCTCAACGAAGTGAACGTGCGTTGGGACTCTTCACCAACTTCAACCCAAGACAGCTTTTACAGCTGCCACTCTCTTCGTACCTGCGCGTGATGCACATGTACTCGTATATGTACGTCTTTTTTCTCGATGGTCGCCCCCGAGTGCTTCTTGGCCCTGGGCTTCTGAATCATATATAAGTCGGCCTCGAGAGCAAGTTCCTAATACACGCCGACTATTTCAGACCCTGTCGCCTCTTCAACGGACGATTCAGCTCTGATTGACAATGTTCTCTTCCATTGCTAGTACTGTCGCTCTCTCTGTTCTGGGCGGGGTTATCTCCAATGCCCTCGCTACACCGGTTGCGCGTCAGCCTGGTGCAAATATTCTCTTGAGCAATGATGACGGATGTGAGTTCAACTGCCGCTTCCCCTGCGAACATGCATGTGTTAACCACTTATGTTGATCAGGGGCTGTGGCAAATATTCGCGCCTTTTATCAAGAGCTCGTCGCTGCAGGCTCCAATGTGAGTCAGACTCGGCGGTTTAACACATCTTCGCTCACTCTGTTCCTCTCGTACTTATATCCTTAGACCGTTCTCTCCGCTCCCGCTGAGAATCAGTCAGGCACCGGATCCTCGACTACCACACCTACTCCCCTCACTGAGGAGGGTGAATTTGGCAGTATCCCCGTAGGAGCGCCTGCAGAGGGTCATGATGCTGACGACGGTACGAGCTCACTTACACTTCTGAGTATTAATCTAAGCCAACGACCATTGGAATGCAGACCATATCTGGTATGTCAATGCCTACCCGGCAGACTCAGTTAACTATGGCCTCAACACTCTTGCTCCCGAATTCTTCGGCGCCCCACCGTCCCTCGTCGTGACAGGCCCTAACGTCGGCAGTACGTACCGTATCCTTATTCCCCTCTCGGACAGTGTTCATTCTCGTATGTTTACTTCAAATGCATTATACGTTTTTGTGTAGACAACCTCGGCCTCGCCACCCTAGGTTCCGGAACCGTCGGAGCAGCCACCACAGCGTCCCTCGCAGGCGTCCCCGCCATCGCCTTCAGCGCCGCCACAGGCTCCCAAGTCTCCTACACGACCCTCACCCCTTCCGACCCCGCCTTCATCTACGCATCCGCCGCCACAAACCTCACTTCCATAATATTGTCTTCTTCCGGTGGCGCCTCGTCCCTCCCAGCCGACACGATCCTCAACGTAAACTACCCCGCCGCCGGCACGGGCACATCATGTACTGCCAGTTCGAGTTTCACTTATGTTTTGAGTAGGGTGAATACGGCGTTGGGGTTGCCGATTGATGTGAGTACGTGTGGGAGGAGTGCGTTGCCTACGGAGTCGAGTGTGGTGGGGACGAGTGGGTGTTTTGCGAGTGTGAGTGTTGTGAGCGCGAATACGAAGTTGGATGTGGGGAAGGCAACTCAGGCGGTGGTTTTGGGGTTGATTGGAGATTCTTTGGGGTGTTTGCCTAGTTGAATGATGTTTGACAATTGTACGGGCTCTGGTTTGGTCGATACGGAGAGATCCACGATGGTTGCGTCTTGGTTGACTGTTTGTGTGATCTTCGATAAGGGTGAACATATCCAGGTAGATAAAGATACATATATGTGGACAAGATTCGTACATAGTCACAGTGTCAGCGAAATCGACAGTGTTCCAAACTTCAAGGAGACAGTTCAAAAAAAACCACTCCACCCATATAGACAAAAAGAAAAAAAAATCCACAGCGGCCATCAACCGCATAAAAAACCAGTCGCCGCACAGCAGCAATTTAACCGCAAACTTTGTGAATCATGCAATCATCTCGACTCTCGCTCGCCCTGGCCCTTGACTTCCCTCCGCCATCTCCGCCGTCACCAGAGACATCCCACAGTTCCTCGCCACTCTCGGCCGTGGTATCTTCAACCTCCTCAAATGAACCGGTAATCTCCTCACCTGCCACCCAAACCCTTCCTCCTGCTCCTGATCCTGAACCATAGCCGAAGCGACTGAATCCGGATTGACCACATCTTCAGGCTTTGCATACCTGGTTTCCGGATTCTGATCTGGCGCCGAAGCTGATGCCGACGAGTGCTCTTGTCCACCGGGGAAGAGTCGACGCAATATGACGGAATTGACAGCACCAGCGTGAAACCAAGGCGAAAGACCGCGATCGGTCGTGTGTCCCAACGTTCGAGGCGGTACGTTCGGTGGGGACGGGAGGAACGGATAGTCTGTGTAGTAAAGAGAAAGAGATGATGCATGGTCATTCAACTGGCGCAGGATGAAAGGAAAGCCGGCGGTCTTGCCTGGGTGACGAAAACGCTTGGATGAACGAGGCGGGTCACGGGTTTGGAAGACGTCGGAGGTTATGTCAGAGATAGAGAGAGTTGTGCTGGTTGATCCTTGCTCGTCGGGGGAGTCGGAATTGAGGGAAAGAAGAACTTTGGTGAGGATGATGTAGGTCTCTATGAGCTGGTGGATATCGGCTTGTAAAGTTGGGTTCATGTACGTCCGTTGCACTCCAGGTGCATCGGGATAAAGTTCGTTGGCGGGTTTGACCGAGAGAGATGGTGGAAGGGACGGAGAGGGGTGAAGCCAAGGAATGGAATATCGGTGCCAACAGTCCCATGCACTTCGGTACGGTAAAGGGACGGAGAAAGATGCCGAGGTTGTGTTCAATGTCCGGGCGACCCGATTCCAGTCGGTAGAGCGGTCATTGTGTGTGGAGCCATTGACAGTGTTCGAATGCGAATGAGAAATAACGATAGATTGAAGGAGAAGGTATTCCGGAAAGGTCCACGGGTTGAAAGCAATATAGATGAGAGGATCGTGAGGAGGAGAAGGTAACAAAGCTTCGCGTGACAAGATCAAGGAGAATGAGCGTTCGCGGGACAGAACTAAACGGTGTGGCGAAATCGGGAACTCAGACTTACCGGCGCTTTCCGCCACTGGGACGATATATTTATGGGCACTAAACACGGTAGAAACATCTTGTATATTCGCAGCAGCATCAGTTGAGCCTCCTGGAGGGGTTCGCAAATTAACCTAGATGATCCTTGAGGTTGTACCAGTACTCCATTACCTTGAGGACCAAACGGGTTTTCCAATAGTGGGAGACCGAAGAGACTGGCAGACTGGCGTCTGGACGGGTATGCCGATACCGTGGGTGATAAAGCCGACAAGGGTGGGTAAGCACTCGCAGGTTCCGAAGGCTCTGAGTACGTGAACGAGGACGCGGTGTGCAGAGTACTAAGCGGTCCAGGAGTATAGATGGTGGAGGAGCCTAGGCCGTATGGAGAGATATCGGAAGCCCCTTGCTGAGCATCGAGGCCAGTATAAGACCTAATATACAAGGACATATATGGTACAGGCATGAGCCAAGCATTTTACAAACAAAGAGTGTGTGTGCAGTGTGGCGCTCACTGTAAGACCAAAGGAGCCGGGCGTCTCTTGAGTTTGACAACTGGCGGTGTGTAAGGCGCAGCACGCGACTTTGACCTCCTGTATTCAAAATGTGTTCCTGTGTTGTCTTGATCCATAGACCAAGAGAGTTAGCTGGATGATCGCCACCCAACTTGACTTGTGTCTTGGGACAAAGACTGGACAAGAAACGATCAAGGAAATGCCACAACAGAAGTGCAGTACAGAGATGCGGTACGGGGAGAGCAGAGAGCCTCTAGGAGACATATTTGGGGCATGTTGAGTATATGTGAGTGCTCGGGCTGGGTGGCAGCCTGCTGGCTACATGATCCCGCCCTGCAAAGACAATAAGAGCCCGCCGTCACGCTTGACGGCGTTCTACTCGTGTCACACTGTGACATCATGTGATCGCGCCCGAGTCACAGTGTGACTCTGTACTGTTCTCGGCGAATTTGGGCAAGGCGTCTGTTCTCTTGCTTTCGCTCTCTTCTCTTGTTTTTCACGAAATGGCTGGCGGAAAGAAGGACAGTCAGGCAACGGTTGGGTACAATGAGCCTCTATTTGGCTTCATGCCACGAAATGTTGGGGCAGCGCAGGTCCACAAGGCGATGGTACGTTCTTTGCCTCTCAATCCTAAGTGCATCTGGCCTCATTACATTCATTCTCATTTTTCCAGGATGGAGACGTCAACCCCTTCACCAAACAACCCTTTAGCCAGGGCTACAAGAAGATAATGGCTATGCGGAAGAAGTTGCCAGTATACGCTCAGATGGAGGAATTTTACACCGTGGTGAGTCTCGCATGGCCAACCCTGCTCCACGAAGGATCCTCCCTATCCTTCCCCAAGTTTCCGCCTTTCCAAGACCTTTCGTGACTGATAACCTAGTAAAGTTCAGTAAACACCAGATCATCGTCATGGTAGGCGAGACTGGCTCAGGAAAGACGACCCAGTAAGCCCGAAGCATAGGCTTGCTCCCTCGTTCGTCATCTGCCTTTTATACATCGCTGACGGTCAATCCTCAATTCATGTTGATGCACCCTCTAGAATACCACAGTTCGTCGCATACTCGGATCTCCCTCATACCAAGGGCAAGGTCGTGGCGTGCACTCAGCCGAGACGAGTAGCTGCAATGTCAGTTGCGAAACGTGTTGCGGACGAAATGGACGGTGAGTGTGTTCGTTCGAGGTCTTTGAAGTCAAGTGCTAGGTCTGTTGCGGGTGGGGTTTGGATATTGACCGGCATATCAGTCTGTCACAACCTATGGCCCGTCCTACTTTTTAACCAAGAAGCTGCCTCTTTACCCTAGACCCGCAAAGCACGTCATCAGTTTTGCAGAGACTAACTGCACCTCTACAATTATCTAGTACAACTCGGGAAGCAAGTCGGTTACTCTATCCGATTCGAAGACATGACCGAGCCTGGTACTACCTTCCTGAAATACATGACCGACGGTATGCTTCTTCGAGAAGCCATGAACGACCCCGACCTCAACCGCTATTCGACCATCATCCTCGACGAAGCTCACGAACGAACCCTCGCCACCGATATCCTCATGGGACTTCTTAAATCTCTCGCCAAACGCCGCTCAGACCTCAAGATCATCATCATGTCCGCCACACTCGATGCTCTCAAGTTCCAAAAATACTTCACCATTGACGACCCGGCCCCTTTGTTCAAGGTTCCCGGACGAACGCATCCTGTGGAAATCTTCTATACGCAGGAACCGGAGCCTGATTACGTGGAAGCGGCTATCAGGACGGTGTTGATGATCCACAGAGCAGAGGATGAGGGAGATATTTTGGTCTTCTTGACGGGTGAGGAAGAAATTGAAGACGCGTGCAGAAAGATCAAGCTCGAGGCGGACGACCTACAAAATCAGGACCCAGACTCGGTCGGACCGCTTATCTGCATCCCTCTATATTCATCCCTTCCACCCCAGCAACAACAGCGTATCTTCGACCCACCACCAAAAGGACGTGCCGAAGGAGGCCCTCCAGGTCGTAAAGTCGTCGTATCGACCAACATCGCCGAGACGTCTCTTACGATTGACGGTATCGTGTATGTCGTCGATCCTGGGTTCTCGAAGCAGAAGGTCTATAACCCACGGATACGTGTCGAGTCGTTACTCGTCTCACCCATCTCGAAGGCTTCAGCTCAGCAGAGAGCGGGGCGTGCTGGACGGACAAGGCCCGGGAAGTGCTTCAGATTGTATACCGAGAAGGACTTCATGAAAGAACTGGAGGAGCAGACACACCCGGAGATTTTGAGGAGCAATTTAGCGAATACTGTTCTAGAGTTGGTCAAGCTCGGGATCAAGGTCCGTATTTCACTTAAAACACGTCGCTAAGCCTCGACCACTGACATGTTCACATCATAGGATTTGGTCCGGTTTGACTACGTAGATGCACCTGCACCGGAGACGCTCATGCGAGCCTTGGAATTGCTCAATTACCTCGCCGCCCTCGATGACGATGGTAACCTGACCCCACTTGGTGGTATGATGTCGGATTTCCCACTGGACCCCCAGGTATATTCAAGCTGTTCTGATCGTCCAAATAAAAATGCTCATGTACGGCTCTCTACCAGATGGCCAAGATGCTCATCGTCAGCCCGGAGTTCAGGTGCAGTAACGAGATTCTCACCATCGTAGCCATGCTTTCTGGTATGCCTACCCCTCCTTTACGTTGTTTTTGTCGTTTGGCCTTCCTGACTTGTCAACATACAATAGTACCAAACGTTTGGCTCCGTCCAAATAATCAGCGGAAAGAAGCCGACGCTGCCAAGCAGTTGCTCTCCGTCCCAGACGGCGACCATCTCACGCTCTTGAACGTCTATAATGAATACATCAATAGTACGTCGTGCCTTCTCTTCTTCCTTCAATCGGCACTTCTTCTGACATATCTCTACTTCAGACAAGCACGACAAAAATTGGACTTGGACAAACTACCTCTCCGCCCGCTCCCTCGCACAAGCTGACAACGTTCGCTCCCAACTACAACGCATCATGGAACGCCACGACATCGACTTCGTCTCGATGCAGTACAATGACCAACGGAAGCACTACGAAAATATCAGGCAGGCGCTCGTATGTGGGTTCTTCATGCAGGTGGCGCACAAGGAGGGGGAGAAGGGACAATATTTGACCGTGAAGGATAACCAGGTATGCCTTTCCCAATAAGACTCGTGGTATGCTATTGGACGGTTACTGACATGAATTGCCGTTGAATAGGTCGTCGCTCTGCATCCATCATGCGGGCTGGACTCCTCACCAGAATGGGTCATCTTCAACGAGTTCGTACTGACAACAAGACCATACATCCGTGTCGTAACCGATGTCAAACCCGAATGGTGCGTCTCCCGTTGCTCACGTTTATTCACGCGCCATCTGGGCACTGCTTCGGTGAATGACGATTAATCTTCTCTTACTCGCACAGGCTCCTGGAATTGGCATCAAGTTACTTTGACCTCAGCCAGTTCCCAGACAACGAGACGAAGCGCGCCCTTCTACGTGTCCTGAAGAAAAGATCGGCGAAGTCTGCGAGCAGAGAACCATCTGCGAATGGCGAGGCGAGGGACAAGAAGCGACGGAAGGTCGTTGGATGAGCAGTGATCATATTCGTCGTTGTTTCTTCGGTCGCGTATGTACATTGTCGTCCGTCAATATGTGATGCATTCTTGACGCATAGAGGCTAGACTCGGTATCTTGATGTTGTATGTGAGGGTCACTTTCTAACACCTTCCACTTTTTCAGCGCAATACGATAGTACAGCTATGGGTTGAGCATTTAAATATATATCTGCGATATAACGAGGTACCAGTACAAGAAACAGCATTGGATAGTACAGGTACAGAAAAACGTCGGCGCAAGCTGCTAAGTATCGAGTGGGTCTGACTTGTGTGTTTTCATACAGTCAGAGCTACGGCCAATAGGGAAAAAATACATCAACGGAGCACAAAAAGGCAAGACGTCCCACACACATATCTCGTGCTGCACAGAGGGAAGGAGCAAAAAGGACGAGAAAAAAAACTCGGCTGGAGAATGTACAACCTGAACCGGGAGCTCTAGAGACTGATCCTGACTGATCTCAAGCTCCCTTCTGGCCGTTCTCATCATGCCCTCAAACAGCCTGAAACTCAGGCCACCTCTCATTTACCCGTCTCGGCTCGCACTCGTCATCCGACTCCGGGATCGTAACGTCCGTGATGACTGAATGGCCCGTCGTACTCCTCCAGGTGGTCGAGACGTCCGAATTGTGACTCGCCGACGAGGACATACTGTCCGTTATAGAGCTTTCTCGTCGATGTCCACTATGACCACTCGAGGCATATTCATCGCTACTACGGCCGTGAATGGAGGGTTCTTGCTCGAGACCCGTCGCAGATTTGGTGACCACGGTCGACTCGGTATCCCAGACCCCAGCGTGTCTCCAAGTCATGCGTTCACTAGGTTCGAAAATCCCTAAACGCGCTCTGAGTTGGCCTTCCCGGCGAAAGTCCGTGTTCGACCTTGTAGGTCGTATCCTTGCGTCAGGTGGTGGCGATGACGGACATGATACGGCCGTGCGATAGGGGGGCTGTGAATGGGGGGCAGCATAGCAGGGGTTGGGAGAAAAAGAGGCAGAGTGTGTCGGAGTCTCAGCGACATATCTCGGTGGTGGGGTTCTCGGGATGGGGGCGAACAAGGACGGTAGGAAATCGGAGCCGTGAGGACGGCTTGCGTCACCTGGCCTCGGAGGATCTTGAGACGCGTCCATGGAAGGGGCCATAGAACGAGGAGCTGGTCCGTTATCTTCCAAGAAGTGAGCTGTGACGACTGAAGGTAAGTAAAGTATGTCGAGATAAACAGCGTCGGTGAAGATTGCTAACCAACGGATTCAGGATCCTGGACCTCCTCCATAACGGCTGGGCTGTTAACTAAGTTGGTCCGGCCTAAAGGGAAGGGCCCTTTGCAAGCGACGATGTCAGGATCCTCCGCTACGGATTCATCCGCACGAAATTCTCTTTCCCTTCTGATATCACTAGCCCCGTCATGCAGACCGTCAGAACCCTCCGGACCGTGTATAAAATCTGAAAGGACAATTCATGAGATGAGCGAGTACATTTGAAGCGTGGAAAAGGACAGACCTGCGACGGAGCGACGCGAAGTGTGCACTCGAACAGCTTGCGGGGTGAGAATTCTAACACTGTGATCGGATGTGCTACCGTCAGTGTCCTCTTCATCATCTAGAAGAGCATATTAGGGTGGGATCACTTCTGACACTAAAACTAAACACTCACCAGCGAGAACGCCGAATACATCATTCTCACTGACGCTATGTCCTATCGACTCGGCATGCGTCTGTCCGAAGGTGTTGCGCCCGGCATTTGCACGACCACGACCACCACTCACACTACCCTCGACCGGTTTCGTTCTGATCCTCGCCCGGCTACTCGCTCTTGAAGGACTATCCGACAACGCCAGCGGAAGAAGAAGAACCGACAGCGCAGGCCCCAATTCGTCCCTTCTGGTCGTATTGTACACCGACTCCGTCGAATCGACCTCCCCATCCAACACATCGTGCCCCTGCTCGCTACGGACACGGGCTGAATGAACGATAGATGGACTATACGCGCGCGTAGATTCCCTCAAGAAGTGTCCTCCAAAATCAGACAGGGGGGTGCGGGGGCGTTCGTCGTGTATCGAGTTGCGGAAGTATTGTTCGAATGAGGAGTCGAACTCGTTGCCAGGGGTGCTTTCGTTACTGGAGGGTCCGCTCCCGACAGCAAACGTGTTCGAAGGGAGGAGAGCTGGAGTGCGTGGGGTGCGACTCTCGAGGGAAAAAGTGTTCTGTGTAGTTCTGAGGACGTTCTCATCTCGGAGAGGTTGGGTGACCAGGCGAAGGGTCGAGTCTCGCCATTCTGAGATGGTGGGGCTCAATGGCTGATGTTGTGGGGCTAGAATATACGAGGTCGATGGTCGTGGGGGAAGTGCAATGGTTCGAGGGAGTAGGTCGCGGGCAGGAGTTTGTAAGGCTCGAGGAGAGAGAGAAGTATGACTATCGTCTCCGTGCGCAATGGCTGAGACCCGGCCCGTCCGTGAAGCATCGCGGGGTGATAGAGTGCACCCCTGTCCTGGATTGGGAGGTCCAGATGGACGAGGGAGAGACTGATTGGTAGGTGAGATTAGTTGCGAAGGTCGTGGGCTGCTTATCGAGACGGCCGCGATGTCAACCGCGAGGGAAGGGCGGCGGGCTCTCCTCCGTCTCGACAGACACGACAGAGGAAGGTCCGCAGTAGCCAGTGTGGCAGGAACGATAACCTCGAGCAGCGACACATCCGCCCTGCCTCGTCGAAGCTTGAATCTCTTCACGGTGCTCGACACTATTGTCGCAGCGAATTTGAACCTATTTGAACGCTGAGAAGGACTGGTTATGTCTGGGGTAAAAGAGCCAATGGAAGGTTGAGTGAGCGAGACCGAATGTGTTTGGAAGATCGAAGGCCGCTTGAGGGATTTATTGAGCCGTATAGACATTGAGACGGATGTGGGCGAGCGCTAGACTGAGAAAGTGGACGTTGAGGTCGAAACTCAAGGGGAAGAAAGAGTCTTAGAGAACGATGTTCAACCATTTCGTCGAGGTATTTAGGAGCGTCATACTTAGGCAGCGGAACTCAAGTCTACTCGATCGTCATTGAATCATCCGCTCGACAGTCCGAACAGGGGCCCCGCGGGCGCCGAGTCCTCAACCCTCCTTTCAAGTGGCAGTTGTTCACTTTCGATTCCCTACATCCATGCAACGAAGATAGTTAGCAGAATCCCTGCAGAAGCAAGCGAACACGGACCTTCGTTGTAGGAGCAAAGCGGATTTGTGCTTTTGAACCTTACACGAAGTGACACTTTGAGATGGCCGAAACAGGGGGTTCAAATGTATAGAGCCGAGTTGTCGGTTCCTCAGTAAGTCGTCCTCCTACTGTGCATGAGAAAACATCGCATTTGAGAGCTTCCCAGCTTCCACAGCTCTCAAGCTTATAGCTGGTGGAAGAGATTAATTCGCTCTCTGAGCATGCGTATATCTGGCCCAATATTGTTCAGAACGAAATGGTGCAGTTTTGAGGGGCTGAGGAAAGAAAACATGCGGGCAGACCTCGACCTGCAAAATGAGCTTTCGATGAGGAAAGTGTAGCACACGCAAAAGGCACGGAAGAACACTGTCCAATGTACCATTAAATCCTGAGCCAAATTAAAACAAAAGAGAGACTAGAAGGACAGACTGAACAACAAGAGGGGTATACGCGAAACGATGGCGCCAGAGAGGATCATCTTTTAAGAATAGAAACAAACAAGAACGACGGAAAAGAGTGTGGACAGTGTCTGTATAGGGACAAGGAAAGGCAAGAACGAGCCGCTTATCGACGACCGCTTCCACGACCGTAGCTGACTTGCAGGTTGTCCAACTCCGCCTCCAACTGCTTGATGGTGCTGTGGGCGGTCTCGAGGTCCTTGTTGAGACGGTCGCGCTCGGCGATGAGCTGTGGTGAAAGAGCAATTAGCAACGCTAGTTGGGACGAGGTAGAGCAAATGTGTAAGCAACGTACATGCTGCTCCCACTGCCTGAAGCGGGCCTCCTCCGCCTTGACTTGCTCCGTGAAGCGCTTCCTGAGCTGCTCCTCTTCCTCCTGGAACTTGGGGTTGTTGAACTTCTTGACCTTGCGTTCGCCATACTTGCGCGTCTCCATCTGCTGCTGGCGGTAGTTCTCGTAGTGCGCCTCTTCGGTGGAGGAGATAAGGTCCAACATGTAGGTGCGGATGAGGAGAGAGCGCAGCTTGCGGAAATCGCAGTGGTTCTCATTCTCGACTGTAGAGCGGGGAAGGTGAGCTTCATGAGAAGATGGAAACATGATAAGAACTGACCTTCGGCGACACCCCAGAGGTATTCACGACCCTTGACAACTCGACCATCCGGGGTCTGAACGTCTTCGGTGGACCCGATGATAGAGAACGGAATCGCGTCCAAGAGGAGCTGAGCGTGCTCAGTGGCTGTCTTATCCTCAGGGTCAATGGGTGGCTGGTAAATACGAATGTTCTGCGCCGCAATGACATCGCGAATCTGGAAGATGAATGATGTTAGACAGGAGGAATGGTACGAATGGAAGGCGTATAACTGACACGCTGCTTGAAGACAGTCAGGTCATTTTGAGTGAGCGTGTCGGCCTTGGCGATGACTGGAATCAAGTTAACTCGGGTCCCGAGGCGCTTCATGATCTCGATGTCGAGGGGCTTGAGGCTGGACGAGCAAAGATTACTTGAGTATAGAGAAGGAATATCATAACAAACCAAGACTCACGTGTGGCCGGTAGGCCTGATGAAGTACAAGCACGCATGCACCCTCAAGTCGCTCTTCTCGCTCCTCTGCGGCTGCTGCTCCTGGATCATGTACGCCTCATGCTGGTCGTCAATGAAGTCGACGATGGGAGCCCACGAGTCGCGGTTGTTGACGTAGTCACCAAAGCCAGGGGTGTCGATAACGGTGAGCTTGACCTTGAACTGCTTCTCTTCGAGTTCGGCCTTGATGATCTCGACCTCGGTGAGCTTGTCGAGTTGCTTGTAGTGACGGCGCGTGTAGTTCTTCGCGGGGGAAAGCTCGGTGGAGAAAAGAGTGTTGATGAGCGTGGTTTTCCCAAGACCGGACTCGCCTATACGAATAACATTTGAGTGAATAAAGTAAGGGTTATGAACGTGAATTGCACACACCGACGACCATGATGGTGAAGTGCGCGCCATGCTTGGCCACAATCTTGTGCCTCTACAAGCAAAGTTCGCTGTCAGAACGCGTTTGTGGACAGCGATAAACATTGCTGACCTGGTTGGGCAAGTTGGCAATACCGATACCGTCAGATGAAGACATAGCTGGAGAACGTGAAGGACAACGACGACGTGGGCAGCAACGGCGAGAGCAGTTTGGGGATGCTCAGAAGCGAGCGAGTTTGTTCTTGTTTGGCTACGCCTTCCCTCTTCGCTTCCACAGCATTCCACGTGGGCGGCGAACTCGTCTTTCTCGCTACCTCGGTGCATGTTCAACGTTCAGTATCTACGCCTTTCTAATATCCATGATTATCCACAGGCTGATACCGGAAAGGTTGGGCCACACTAATTGCTCAACTTCACTGAGGATATCGCGTCTTTGCTAGAAGGTGAGTTCTTATGTTCTCTTCGATTTAGTAGGTCAGCGATTGTCGGGAGACTATGAAGGATCTGCAATGGCAAACCAATCTCTGGTCAAGACCATTCTGGTATAGGGCAAATATGATACACAAGAATGTCTATTCGCGTTGGATGACGCACAAATCTTAGTGAAGTCGAGCTTGTATACCGTCTTGTCATTGGTCTAACTTTGCACCATAATACTCACTGGAGCAGACAACCCCGAGATGAGTGTTGGGGCAGCAGGCACATTGACCTGGTATATCTCATCTTACAGTCATGCTATGAATGGATACAGGCTCTGTCTTTGCATCGTAACATACGCAGGCACAAGACCACGCAATGAGAAGATCTGCCTGCGGTCCACGCTGCTCCTCGTGCCATACCTTGTACACGAATGAGCTATCATTTCTAAATGATTCTTCTACTCCAACGTATGGTGGGAGCAAATGCTGCAAATAACACCACGCTCATGCTCTACCTCCTTGTGTGATATCATTTTGGTTACCGCATGTTCGCTCATTGTTAGAACACGCGGCAACTCTCAGATCCACAAAGGACGTCATTTTCCTTCTCTACTTGGGGGAATTTCTCCTTCGGAATTTGCTGCAAAAAATAGTCGGACGTTGGTCCCAATGGATAAATCCAATATTATTATGGCTCTGGAAGACTTCCAAGCCCGGTCAAAAAAATGGTGAAGAAGATTCGGTGTCCACCACACATCCGCATCTACACTTCCATCGCACCCTGCACTTGCTGGCCTACAATAGGAATAATTCATGCCATGGAGGATGATCTCCGTCATGACCTGCGCTCGGCCTTGATCCGCTACAACATGTTCGACAGATTTAGACTTTTACGGACTTGGCAGTATGACGGTGTACACTTGGCTCCATATAGGACGCTCATTTCCTTTCCGCGACATTATTTTCGCCGTGATTCAGGGGAACTTTCCACTCCAAACTCTCGAGGCTTCATGTATCACAGAAGGGCCTGCGAAGTGGAGGAGACGTGAGGGGTATCGGTTTGGTGAAGGTGAAACTAGTGACCTGCGAAATCCATATCTGTCGTGGAGCTGGCACTGGAAGGCACTGGGGCTGTCGTCGATGCAAGAATACTCATCACGTAATACGGGCATTTGTGTGTCCTCTATATATATACTCCACAATTTGGCAGTCCCCGCCTTATCCATTTAACGAGCTGTTGTTATGCAGGGAGAAACCACGGCGAAAGAAGCATGGAGAGACACGCCAATATCCACACCGTCCGTGCCATCGCGGGCCCTTCAATGGAGAGACAGTTCCTCTACACTTTTTCTGGGACTTTACTCCGTCGAACAAACGCCGACAGTCCCCAATCGCATGCCTCACCGCCCCACCCGACATGGGGACCATGCTAACTCCGCTGCCTCCTTTGAGACCAGGACCTTCACACGTTGTTTTCGCCGGAGAGATCGTTCGCGAACTTACGGTTTCGCTATTGCAAATGACCATGTTTACTGCTTTATCGTCATGGTCTCACGAATGTGGCGTTTACTTGCCGCAGATGAATGTGGTGATGATTGGTTACTCTTTCTTCCGAACTCGTACGCTGCCAAGTGTCACTTCCATCGTTATACGATAATCTACGATTTGTCCTAAGGCCCACTGCTTCTTCTTCTCCGAAACTTCAGCGCTGATTGGGACCTTTATCCTCACCTTCAGCCGACCATTTATGTACACAACGCCACCACTGTGACCCGTCTTCAAACGCCAAACTTGAACGCCACAGCACTCTGCATCATTACCTCCCGACTTAGACTCCGCAACTACGTACGCGTGCACACTGTATTCTCCGGGCGATCACGATGGTCGTCCAACTGTGTTGACGGGGCCGCTTTGCCGAGGATAAAATGTACAATTTACCAGCCGCAATGTCGCGCCGACACAGCTGACGGGGTTCAAACGCTTTCATTCGCTCTTCATATACCGACGTCAGGTTCAGAGCTCTGCCAAGCACAAATGTCAATGCGGTTTGTGGTCTCCGTGGATCAGACGCTTCAGGCTCTTTATTTGGGTGAGCGCTGATGAGCGTAAGTATACACATGGGGAATCGATTCGGACCCGTATCATGAATATGGACCAATTAGATTCTTGGGGAGGTTTACCTTCGCTCAAGAGCCCAATGGGCGCACTTGGCAGATATTCTTATCCGTAAGACATTAACTGACCCGAAGGTTGCCATATATTCGACACACAAGGAGATGGTATGGCATTGTACGAAGAGAAGGGCACATCTTGTAATTATCTCTCAGCAGCTCTACCTCTACAATACTCCCTTGGATTATTGAACTCTTAGAACTGCCTGCAATCATACTGAAACGTAGAAGCTGGAGCGGTATGGCCCAGCCCGGTCGAAACATCTTGGTGATGACTTTTCGGGTGGCTTCCCTGCTACAAGAATAAAGAGTCCCTGGAATTGCACGAACAGCGCGTATGGAGTCGGCGAACTTGACACCTTCGGAACTGGATAATAATGGTCTCGACGCGGTGCATCCCATGATCCTTGACGTGGAGAGTATGAACCTCAGGGTTCCGAACCACGAAATTATGTAACACCCATCAGAGAAAGCGAATGTGGAAGCATCAAAAATATCTAAGGGTGAGGGTGATCGTCAACTTGTGTGCTCGACTGGTCACTGGACTCAGCCACAAGCTGGTAAAAGAACGGCTTTGTGCGCGGCGAATCAGAGAGCCACGGATGTAGGGAGTAAATGAGGCGGGATTCGAAACCAGCATACTCGCTCAAAGCGACGATGAGCGATAGCTCGTGTCCCCGGATCGTATGTGGAATGCAGACAGGTGTGTCAGTGGAGGCATACCCCGAAAAACCGAACATGGCAACTGCCACATTACGGGAAGTGCTAAAATGAAACCAGCACAAGGACCGAAGTAAGTAGTCTTCAAGATGCATGTTCAGAAGTCGATCCACACTATTCACACTGCATGTCGAGCTAAACACGAGCTCGGCGATCATAAAGAACAACGAGTGACATCTCAATTCGAAAACTGCATCCGCAACGAAAACGTAGTAGGATGTGCAAAGACCTGGAAACACCCTCTGAAAAGACCATCGAAACCCCCTGTTTCTATGATTTCCCCCATTTTGCTACGGAACACTGTAAGATAGAAGAGCACAGAGCTTCAGTAACGAGTAAATTCAAACTTCAAATTGAAGAGAGCCACGTACAACTTCAATCAGACAGACAGTCGGACCACGGTGGAGGTAGACATGACGCGACGTGCTCAGATGCAAAGCTACAGGATGAAAGTAAGCGATCGGAGTGTACCTGGGCTAGAATTCGACGATAGTAGTAAAGTGTAACGGTACTCACCCCGGCAACGCAAAGGTCACCGCAGCATTCGCTGTTGACAGCGCAGGACTCGAGGAGGGGCTTGCACTCGCCGCGCTCCTCGAGGGCAGCAGCAGCCGCGAAGGGCAAGAAGACGGCGAGGGCAAGAACGGTCTTGATGGAGAACTGCATGGTTGAGAGATAGAGAAGTTGGAGGGGTTGTTTGGGTGAGCGAGGTTATGAAAGATGGGAGGGTGAAGAGCTCTGGAGACGAAATGGATCAGACTTTATACGTTTCATGAAGACGGGTTGGATATTATTTCCACGGTGGGACACTTAGATCTGGTGGTAAAGACCGTCTTTCTGCCGTTTGCCTCACGGAGCGCTGGTTGGCTGTAGATGCCGTGGTGTGGTCATTGGATATGATCAGTGATGGAAATTTCACAGAAGAACACGGGAGAACGAGGGTATCAGCGTATTGACGGACGGAGAGCGGCCAAAGCCATCCAAACGGTGATAGTTGTATTCAAAGAAGATGGAGGCGGTAATGAGTGGGGTCATTTCGACCAAAGACTTCAGGCTCGGAGAACCCAAGCGAATGGCGTACTGTGAGAAGACTAATGAAGTCGTACGCATGTATCACAGCTGTCCTTAACTGAGGCAATATTCCACGATGGGCATAGAAATCAGGCGGACGGGCCTCGAGTTTTTCATTTGGTGAGAGTGAGGATAACCCCAGTGGAGCTTTCACATAACTTGGCGCCACAAAGCCTCGCCTCCTCGAATATTCGACGATGCGGTCAAGGAGCCCGTCTGTAAAACGCTGCCTGTCTGCTCAGCAAGACTCCTTTGAGCAGACCCACAAGGAACAATGACCGAAATGGCAAATCCTTGATCTGGTGGCGAGGGCCTGTTCCATTTTCCATGTTTAGCTTTTAGCACTTTGCGGTAGACGTCTAGAGCATAAAGTCCGAGGGTGGGAGAACCGTCAGTCAGCCCCGGCCTTTGGTGGTGCGAGTAAAATGAGGGCAAATGCCCACCTTAACCCCACACGGGGAGAAAGTCAACTTCTTACGACGTACGAGATGATGTCAATGACTGTTTATAGATAAAACATGCGATGCGCGAGAGCCGCTCCTGCATATGGGTGTTGCACAAACCAGTATTCTTTTGGGAGACACCGCGGGTATGAGACGAAGATGTTGACCTTAAGCTTTTGAACATTCGGTAACATTTGCGTCGTCGCATGTCCCAATATCCTCGCGGTGTGGATCCACAGTGGCCTTGATGGGCGGCTCCTTCGTGGGCGAGGCTAGCGGCTGATCACATACACGGGAGCCATACCGCATCATACCTCAACTGCGCCCGTTGACTTCGACTCTTCTACCGCCACTAGAATAAAATGCATACGTCAATCAGTTTTATGTATGTCTTTGGCATGGAGTGGGAGTAACTTCGCCTACTGGAGATAGTTGCCTGTTCGCGGTGGTGAACCTGACAGTCTTTTCGCTATGCCACATCTAGGCGTCCTTGTCAATAGTCTGCCGATTGACGGATTCTCAAGGTGCTACCCAACAAGTTTGGTAGCAGAGATTGATTACCTCTTCAACCTCAACTTTGAACGAAGCTTTTGTCACCCCAGAAGACACTCTCATCGAGGATACATGCCTGAGTCCCAAAATATGGGGTCATGCTGTTCTTGACGGGATCCAAAGTCACAAGGTATCGCCCTCTTGCACCCTGTGAAAGCTTGATTCATTTGTCTGCTTCGATATTAGTGTGCGTTTCAGAGGACATCAGATCAACGAAGTAAGACTAAGGTACCTTGGAATATTTTTGATTCAATTGACGTCAAACCAGCTGCAAGTGACCAACAGCTAAAATAACACACCTTTCTGCTGGAAAGCAAAGTGGAGCGTATGAGCATCCCAAGCATGCCCCAGTACTCGATGTGGAGGGTTGCACACATCTGGACCATGCATGGTGTAACTTGGCATGAAACCCTACCGATTATCGTGTCTTCTCAGGCGGACTTTCCCGGAACATCGGAGCCCCACGAGAAAATGGATATATTGCTTCGCCGCAGAAGCAAGGTGATATTCGGAGCAAAGAGAAGAAATAAAGAACAAGAGCTCTTCGCCGCATCCTGAGGTTGGCATCATTGTCAGGGAATCAATGGGGCAAGAACAGCTCACCCTGTCACCCACTTCCCGTGTCCATTTCCACGGCAGGACCCGCTCCGTCAACATCTTCTGGGGCGCCAATTGTGACCTGTCCAGCATTTTCTGATTCACTGAGAGCTCGGTCGTGTTCGTCCGCGGTAGAAGCCCCCCGTCCCCGTCTACGTCCTCGACCTCCACCTCGACCACGTCCGCGCCCGGCACCACGAGGTTTCCTACCTCTCCCCCTCTCTTTTGGCTCATGACTCTCAATCGCAGTCGCCTCACCGTCAGAAGCTGGATCTTGTACGTGTGTGATCTCTGGAGTCCCCGTTAAGCTATCCAGGGATACAAGTGGAGCAACAGCTCCCTGAGCAATGTCTGGAGGTAGGGCGGCCTGTTCAGGGTTGGATGGGACTTGCGAAGTCGAAGCAGAAGGTGTCGAAGCCGTTGCCTTGACTGGACGTGGCTTCAAGTCGACTTCGTGGAACTGAATGCGTTGTTCTGTATTCGTAAAATGAACGATCGTTTTCTTGCTAGGATCATGCTCATCTGAATGCGAAAACATGTGATCAAAATCGGTCGGAGTATAAACAGCCAACGGCCTACCCTTGTCCTCCGCAAACAGCAGCTCCGTTCCCAACAGCTTCTGATGTCTTCCCTTGAAAACCGTGCCAGAAAGCTGGAGAAAGGGAGCAGGGCTGTCGAGGCCCTACTTGGAGTCGATGTCAATGGGGGCAAAGCATAGAACGGGGGCCCAGAAGCGGCTCACAATGAGACGATAATTTGAGCTGCTCGGAACGAGGGTTGGTTCTACACTGCCTAGATCCAAGGTCACGTAAGAGACTTCCTCTTCGACGGCACCGTCTTCGCCACGTTCATACTCATCGTCTGGGGCAAAAGACGAAACCTGAGTATAGCCGGGACAAAGCATGTTCGACGACATGATGGCCCAAAGCAGATATTGTACTTGGAAGTATGTTCGAAAGGTTATCCAGGTTTTCGTCTACAGCTTCGAGGAGGGTGGCGACAATCAGTCAACTCAAGAATTGAAGAAAGATGCTGCCGGAGAAAGAAGGCCACCTCCCGAAAAGGGTTGATTTGTTTATTTCACAAGCTGATGCCAAACAAAGGGAAATTCCGCGAGACCCGAGATGTCGGCGCCCGCCTTCTCGCAACTTTTCAACCGATTCGTTGCACGTCTCTGCAGAGCTTCCATGCCATTTCGACAAACAGTTACTATTCTAAATTGATTGGAGCCACGAACGATGGCAGCCTCTTTTCGACCGACTGCGGTCCTTCTCAGTGCCAAATCCCAACCACCATCCTCCAGAACATGGCTCGCTCGTCACTTCCAGGATCCTTACGTGCGCAAACGTCTATCGGATCCTAGGAACTACAGGTCGCGCTCTGCTTTCAAACTTATCGAAATTGAGGACAAGCACCAAGATTTTCTTCGATATCGCGATGTTAAGGCGGTCGTGGATCTCGGAGCTGCCCCTGGAGGCTGGTCTCAGGTTGCCGCGGGTTGCATGGGCTATGGGAGTCCGAGCCCAGCGGATGGTATACGAGGACGTGAGGGTCGGTCTAGGATAGACCACGCGAGGCTAGATGGACAGTGGGGAGTTAAGAAGAGGGCGGATAGTGAGTACCTTGAAGCGGACGATGCATGGAGTATGGAGGGGGACTCGTGGAGTACTACTCCGCTCGTTGAAGAAGGAAAAAAGGGAGAGGACACGGACCAGCGTGGGGTCGTCATTGCAGTCGATAAACTCCATATGCAGCCTATAGAGGGAGTTCATACATTGCAGATGGACTTTCTCTCACCGGAGGCTGCAGAGCTTGTACACGACCTTCTCCGGGCGAAAGCGAACAATGAAGGCAAAGCGGATGTCATTATGTCTGATATGGCTGCCAACATGTCCGGGAACGGTACACAAGACAGCGCGGCGTGTCTTGACATATGCTGTTCAGTGTGGAACTTTACTAGGCAGCATCTGAGGACAGCGCAGAGCGTAGGTCGACTTCGAGGGGGCGTACTCATGTAAGTACTTTTCTCTCATCATCATGATTCTTTACTGAGACACGTCCTATCCAGCCTCAAACACTTCGCTCATCCTAGAGTGGTTGTTTTCCGCCGGAAGTACTTAGACCCGAATTTTCATACCGTGCTATATATCAAACCCGATGCCAGCCGTTCTGCATCTTCTGAGGGCTACTGGCTGTGCATGGGCTATCGCCCAACAAAAAGTTCTCAAGACCAACCTATCACAGTGGATTGATGCGGTTAGCACCGTCTCCTCTCAATGACCTGTAGGTGTCATCTAGAACCGGTCTCTCACGACGCTCGTATCTGACAATTCTAAATCATTCTTCATTGGCAGCTAGGCTTCCATGCCCATATCACCATATCGTTATTTGCTTTCAGTCGCTCGTTCCCATCACCCAACACATACGGATATTTTACCCCGAGTACCAATTCGGCATGCAACATGATTGCTTCCTCAAATGAATCACTCCGCGAGACATCTTCAATGAATAATATTCACACTCTATGACCGGTCTGCGTCTTGCCATCCTTCTCGTCGCATCCCCGATAATCCAGTCAACATCCAGAGTGGAATCTTTCACGCAGGGTGGCCAGTGGCCCCTGACTGCAAGCAGAGTATCTCGTTGAAATATTAGGTTTATACAACACTCGTAACTCATCATCGTGTCGTTCGTCCGCTACATGAATTACAACATACATCCACCACAAGCAAGAGTATTCTAGACGTCATCATCCCGTGCCACTATGTCCGTGAACGCGAGCTCGAAGCCACCGAATTCGACCAAATCAACTGCTTCGCACTATCAGGCTCCTCATACGTTCGGGGTGTGGAGAAACCGTCCGCATATCCAGGTGACGGTGACGGCGCCAGATTCTCTAACTCGAAATGCTCTTCGTCCCGACGTCCTCCTATTCCCAACCCTAATCCACTTCGCCTCGAAGCATGAGCGCCCTCAGATACACCCTCATCTGGTATCTCACTGTCCCCATAGCTCCCATCACCGTCATTGGAACTATCATCCATAAGACCCGGCCCATCGAGCCCGTCGTTCGAATCGTCACCTGGTCCCCAGACTGTCGAAAATAGTGCTGTGACTTTGCCGGTGAACGTAGCGGTCTGAATGCGAGACGCGGAGGAGGAGGCGAGACGAATGTTGGAAGAGTGCCGCGAACGGAGAATGAAGAGGAGCACGCGGGTGCATAGGAGGGAGTGTATGACGTGCTGAGGACTGTGCGGTGTGGATGTTGCGAGCGGTGAAAGGCGAGAGCAGTCGGGGATCATGAAAATGTACGAACAAGTGAGTGGATGGAAGAAGGGACGTACGTGGCGAGCCAATTGGTCTCTCCCTGACACATTTCTCGTTGTCAGCATCGCAGACCGGTGGTGGTAAATTGGACGAGTCACGACGGTACTCACCGCGAATGTTACTGGTACAATGATGTTCGCGATTGTGGCGACTAACAAATGCCTTAGCTGCTGAAGACCTGACAGACAGAGCGCGGAGACTCACGAAGAATGAAGAAAAAGTAGACAATCCCTGAGAGCGGCGGCATAATTCAGACTAGACACGCCTATAGATCGAGAGGTCAGGCATACCTTGTTGATAGAGCATTTTCACCATTGGCGAGTGCGTTGCTCTTACTATGTGACGAGGCACTATTTAGTGGAATGCATGCGATTGAAAACAGTAGCACATACGATGTTGTCTGGCTTTGACCGCAGTCAGGATGAAGATCGCTAACGCGAGAAAACGACCAGTGTAAGCACAATTCCAGTCGGAATAAAGCAGACGAAACTTACTGGTTTCAGAGAGCCCTAAAAGAATATACGCGACGTAGATGATACTGCTCGCATGGGATAGAAAACACCCTCGTTCTCCTGGATAGCTGGCCGAAATATCTGACAGACCAATCCAACCAGAAACAGTGTTAGAATAGAAAGAAATAGAGGCTAGATAGTAAGCTCACATATGAGAGACTGGAGCTCGAGTTGGGTGACCGCGATGGCTGGAGGGTAGAGCAAGATCGAGACACAGATTAGGACAATGCGAACCCAGCGCTTTCGTCCCCATATTGCATACGTCCGGAGCATCAGGACGCCTAAACGAAGGGACGGAAAGGTGATGGTATGGATACATGTGGAAAGTCTGCCAACGAGGTTCGACGCAAGATACCTTCTGATACCAGGGTACCGAGTACAATGAACCCTGTGGATTTGTCGTATCAACTTGGGTGTTAGAACTGGCAAGAGGCTGGCGCGGACTGACATGTGCCGACGCGATATCTCCTAAAGCAAGCCTGTGTCCGAGAAAAATCAATGATGATGTCGAACAATCACACTGTGATCGGAGTGTTACCGACCTCAGGCGAGTTGACACCGGTCAATACTGGGACACAGAGAGATCATGATGAGTACAAGCGCAGGAAAACACACGGCCACAAAGAAATATCTTAGAACCTACATTGCAAGGATATGAAGGTGCTGACAAACGGAGGATATCGATTTGCAAGGAAAAGAATCTTCCCTAGCGACCAAGGTCCGTTCCATACGTACTTTATCTTCACGGATAAGGGTATGGTAAGCTTCCTGTAGACTTTCAAAGCAAGATGGTCAATTCATAGCGCCAGACATGCTCTCACCTCTTGTTCTACCGTTAAAAACCAATCGTAAACCTATCAGCAGAAGGATGAACCAAGTCAGAAAGGTTAAGTTGAGTAAACGCCGCTTCGAGATCGTCAAACCACGTGTCTGACGCCACAATTCGGATGCGAATGACAGGATAAGCAAGAACAACTTGCCAGTAATGCTGCGATCCCTGCGGTAGTGTACGGCGATAAATTCTGTACAAGCGAGAACATTGTGGACTCGTAAGCAACGACAAAAGGGTATCATGATCAGCTTGGCATCCATACAAGTACCTTGCAGGTTCCCTTATACTAGACGCCACGCGAGGATGGCACTGAGGAGGGATATGTGCTCACCAAAGCCTTCGCACTAGACTCTGCCGCCCTCGGAGCAAGGGCGTGAAGTATCAATGCTGACAATCTCTCGTGGGTCGATGTGGCTACCGTCCCAGTCAACGCAGAGACCGCAAATGTGCCGGACATGCGTAGAGCGCACAAACAGACAAGGTTGTGTCTCCCACTTGTCCTTGTCAAAGAACGTGTCGATGCGACAACAGTTCTACCTAACTTAAAGGGAGATAGGGTCAGCCTGTCGAAGTGGGGCACGACGGAGTGTTGGGGCGGGTCAACAAGAAAAAGAGTCCGACTCAGATCGACCGCCCGCTCACCCTTTCTTCTGCTACTCAAATGTCATCCGAGCTCTCCCATGCGTCAGCCGAGATATCCTCGGCGACACTGCCCTAATACCGAGGTCGCGCACCATTATAGCCTCAAGCTCGCAGGCGAAAAGATCGGAGCGGGAGACCAGTTGAAAAAGAAAAAGAAAATTGTCTTCTCTCGAAAATCGAATGTTTGGAAGCCATGTGTAGTTTTCTTGATGCATAGCCGGCGCCTTGGCGCTTCTGATTCGCTTTGGGCCAAGAGTCCTCGGGTAGGAGATAGGGGCTTTGCAACAGTCATGCTTTGAAGGTCGATTGGGCGGTATGTAGGTCCCTCAAAACGAGCTCGACGGTCATGATGGGTGGTTGTTTGCAAGCACCTATGGAGTTGTTCACCCATGAAAGTTATTAACCGTTCGGGCCGACGGATCACCAACAGCTCAGGAGTCGTTGCCACCAACTCGAAGTGTCCGAGTTGTGACAGAGTCTTCGACCCCTCCCACCTGGAAGATCGACCACTTCTTCTTAAATAAGCAGAGGAAAGCACCACTAACGAAACGATCTCAGATAATTGTTTATATATACAAAATTGCAGAGAAAACCTTGGGCTGAACGTCGAACGGTACATAGCAGAGCCGAACTATCACCACGACAACGCAGCATTTGAAAGTAATTCAAGCTAACACCGCCGACGGAAGAGGAGACGACATACACGTGCGTCGGAAACATACACAAAGTTGGAAAAGCCTACTAGCATGATATGGAATTATCTAGAGGAAAGGATCTTCTTTCGCGTCGTTACTCTTCGTTAGGGAGGGGATTTTGGAAATGAAGATGGAAAGTGGATATGAGGATGGGAGTTGGAACTTGGGTGATATTGAGGAAGTTAGAGAGAACAAACAACATATTTCGGAGACAGCAAGAACCACCAAGAACGACCACTCGCCATATCTTACAAAAACAGAGAACAAAACCTATCCCGCCTCGTCCATACCTCATTGTGATTCACAACTCGCCTGCAGACCGCGAGATCAAGACGACTTTCCATTGAAGGCCCCATTTCCGTTTCCGTTTCCGTTTCCATTCACCATCGACAGCGCGGCGTCGGCCTTCTGTAAGTCGCGCTCGCTGAGGGACTTGAAAGGACCTCCTCCCGGCGTGCTCGCACCTGACATCACCGAAGACGCGCGAGAGCGCACTTTCATGACCAAGGGGCTATTGAAACAAGTCCGATCGTCAACAAGAGGTGTTTCTGGATGTGAGAATATGAGGAGAAAACATACAAAGGATACGCGTCGTCGTCTTCCTCTTGCGAACCAGGCCAAGCATAGCCACGGTAATCGCTCGTATGCAAAGTCTGCATCTATAGTTTTCAACGCGTCTGAAATCAGCCACCGAGACAGATAAAAACCCAAGGAAGAAAAAGGAACGAACCTCCTCCGTAAGCGTTCCCATATCTCCCGGGGTCGCGAGCCCACCCATTTTGAACCTCGGACTCCCCGGCATACTCAACGCCAACCTCTCCGGGCCCTTCTCGAAATCAAACTCATCTTCCTCTTCCCCATCCACGCCCATCCCATTCGGCGTCAGACCCACAAACGCGTCCGGATACGCCCTCCTGAGCGCCAACTGTCTCGCCTTGGAGTACTCGATCCCGAGGTTCTTCCAGTCGAGGAGCGGAGAGAGACGTTCGACGCGGTTGCGCTGGTTAATGCGCTGCCGACGGGTCTTTTGCGAGAATGAGAAGAGCGAGTCGGCGAGGGAGTTGACGGAGTCTTCGGCGGATTGCATCCGGCGGTCGATGATGTAGCAACCTTCGTCTTCAGGACGGTCGATCATGTCTTGCATGAAGCATCCGAAGCCAGACAAGTTGGTCGTCACGGACGGGATGCCCATCTACAATGGCGAAGTTCAAGCATCAGCGACTATGATAGAAAAACGAGTTTAAATGAGCGGTAACACATACGACTGTACATTCGGCGGGCGTGTATCCCCACGGCTCGTAATAACTGGGGAAGACACCGAGATGACATCCACGGACGAATTCCTCGTAATCGAGACCGAGAACGGGGTTGTTGGAGCTCAAAAAGTCGGGATGGAAAACGACCTTGACCCGGTCATGCGCGTCATTGAAGAGCTTCACGCGGCGAATCTGGTTCAAGATCGGGTCGTTCGCATCGTCCACCATGTTGTGCGTCGTAACAGGTGGGAGACTGTTCCGTTTGAGCGCAAAGATGCGGCGCTTGAGAAGAATCTTGTCTTCGTCCGAGAGAAGGTCGGACGTCTTGGGGAACTTCGAAAAGTCGCTGCATCAGATATAGAATGTGTGAGTATGGAACAGGAAGGACACAGGTTAGGGAAGCATTAACCCATTGGACTTGGCCGCCAAGTCAAACAGGCGAGACCCTATACGGTTCTGGATCTCGGTGACGGTATCATGAAGCTGCTTCGTCACGGCCTGACCCTTGAGCGAGTCGATGGTGTACGAATTTGTGGCGGCAGGGTGGATGAGGAAAGCAACGACAGTGATATTCGAGCCTAACTTCTGCAACCGGAAGTTCAATCGTGCCAACGACTCGATGAACATATCGATACCCTTGTTTCTGAACTCGTATCGTCCAGCAGTGAATAGGTAGAGGGTGTTGTCCAGATCCCAGTCGAAGTGGCCGTAAAAATGGCCCCGAACGAATTCGTTGATCTTTTCCTTGGCTTTCGCATGGATGTTCTGGAACTCGTGCATAGCCTGGAACTTTACGACGTTGAGACCGTTAGGGAGGACACCATCGGGTTTGCGCTTGAGTAAGTGCTCCGACTCGAACGCGGTAATGTGGGAGACCGTGGTGAATACGTCGGCGCAGTGAGCAGAGGAACGCTCTATGCAATAGCGGTGGTAGATACCACGCTTGCCGGCTTCGTGGTCGACGTCGAAATATTGGAGGTTGTTGTAGAAGTCGACGGAGCCAGCGCAGAGATAGCGACCGAGAAGGGTAGCATGGGTGGTGAAGACAGTGGTCACGTCGATGTGGCGCTTTCGGCACAGGGGAATTGCGACGCCAGCTTGCCATTCGTGGAAGTGAGCAATGACAGCGCTGTGGTATTGACGCGACACGTACTAGACAAACAATGAGAGTTAAATTATGCCGAGAACAAGTATGAGATAAAGAGCGTCTGATAGCTGTGATGTATGAAGGTGTCGTCAACACATAGACATTATATCGCATCTCGCATCTCACAGCACATGAGGGCGCACGTTCATCAAGCGAACACAACCTGTGACATACGTATAACGCCGAACATGGTATCCTCTGGAGCCACCGGTAGGTAGAACACTTCCTATATCGAGACCCACAGTGTACAATTGTGGGTCCATCACCTCGAGCAGAAAAACGCGGCAGGCGGATCTTGTATGTACACGCTCGACGGCCTCGCCGACCACAAAGCCATTTCTCCGCGAAAGTATGAAAAATAAGATATGCACGTACCTCGCCGAGGAACCAAGCGACTAGGTATCCAAAGAGAATCGTCTCGTTCGTTTCGTGATCATTCGGAGGAGTCGGAATACCAGCCAGATTCCACAAGTCACCCTTCCACTCGTCCAAGCGGTGGTACTGGCTACCAGTATCGAAAAGCAAGACGCGGGGCGCGCCTTCGATCAACCACCGTCCATAGAGCACCTTGACTCCCTGCGCACGCATCGCGTCGAGCGAAGCCGCGACGTGAGGGTCAGTGGGCTCCTCCGCTTCGACTTCCATGGGTGCGGTCTTGTAAGATAGAGGGCCTATGAGGGTGTATCTGTCGCCATACTCTGATACTGTGACGGGCACTTTTGTCTTGATGACGGTGTAGATGCCGCCGACCTTGTTGGCGACCTCCCAGGCGCACTCGAACAAAATCGGATTGCGAACGTCGCGTTTTTCTTCTGAGATGGATGTCGCCATCGTCTCCGCCGTTGGTGGTGTCGTAGGCGCCGTTGTGGATGATCAGGAAGGGAGAGAGACAAGGGCGGGATGTGGCAGGGCGAAGCAGAGTACTTAGGGAAGAATGCGGGGTCGATTCCGTTGTATTCCAGGTTGGGTAAGCAGTGACGTCAGTGCCCCGCATAGAAGCCGTCTTCCCCAGACATCAGCGGTTTCTCCACCCTCAAGGTCATCGATCTGTGGAACCCAGTTGACTCAACGAAACACGGCGCATCACAACCTTCGACTCCCACTGCTCTTGGAGGTAGCAAAAATATATATATACAGATCTATCAACTTGGGCCACCTGAAATATTTCATCTCGGTTTTCAGGAACATATTCTCGTAGCCGAGCTCGACGTCTCTGGACGCATGCAAGACGTGCCTGGACTCGTTCGACGTTAGGCAATGGGCAGCCTGCGCTTTGAAGGCCATCCGGTGACGTCCGTACACGAAATCACAAGCGTCGGGATTGTCCTCCAAGCTTTTTCCTTTCCAAGATCTCGACAGCTCTGGAGGACATCTTCAGCCATGCGAACGTGCATACCCACAGTGAGATAAGGAGCAGTTATCTTTAGCACATACAACAAGTTGCGAAACTTCGGATCATCTCTAATCACCTCTCGCTCCTACACAACTTCGAGCATCCCTATGCAGATCCATTAGCGTCTTTCGAGAGCTCGACCGCCGCTTTCACTACCTCTTCGCCTGGTGCAGATGCTGTTATGCCGGCGTTGACTCGGAAGGCGGGGCAGTCTCTCCAGGAGCTGCAACAGGTTTCGCCGCGTTCTTCCCCTTGCCGGGAGGAGGCGGATGGTATACCTTCTCCTGCAGGACGAAGGCAAGTCAACCTTCGCCGGAAAAAATGCGAAATATATGGGAAAAGACAAACCTTCTTCTTCTTGGCCGGTTTCGCGTTTGGATCAGGGTACGCCAACTTTTCCGTTTCCTGCCACTCCGTGCTCTCCAAGAACGTCTTCCTGATCGGCTCCAGCAGCTTCACCAACGCGTCCGCCACCGCCACCTTCAAATCCTTCGGATGCAGCGTCTTCTCCACAAACGCAACCTTCATCTCCTCATAACTCTTGTAATGACTCGGACCTCCGAACTTCTCATCCCGATGGACCGTGAACACCGTACCTTCCGGTGCACCCTCACCGACGAACGGTTTCTGATTATCGTCCGCTTCCCCCTTGCCCTCCTCGGGATCATCACCCGTCTCACCCCGCAAGCGCTCGAGCCGCATCTCCGAGATGGGGATGAGCACGGCCTCGACAAACGAAAGGACACCGTTCCCTTCGACATTACCCTCTTCGCAAAAGGCAGACTTAATTTTTTTGCGCACGGCTTCTGGAGGGTCGAGGAAGTCGATCTTCGAATTCGGGTCGGATGAGGACATCTTGCCGCCTGTCAGGCCGGGTACCATCGCGTTCATGAGATGAGCGCGTTTAGCGTAACCGAGACGCGGGAGGTACAGTTCGGCGAAAGTGAAGATCTTGCGCTGTGCGATGTGATATGAACGCCACATACGCCACAGTAAGTAATCCGACCATCATAAAGTGAATGAGATGCAAACGAAAAGGCCGTACCTGGTCGACACCACCGAATTGGAAGTCCACATCGAGGTACTGCTCGTCTAACGCCTGTAATCCAGGGTATAGCAACCCACTCAACAACGGACTCTCAACCTGCTTCACCACCTCCGCACCAGCCTTCTTCGCGTCGTGCTCCGTCACGGTCGCACAGAGCTTGTAGTTATCGAGGTTGTACTCCTTCGTGAGTTGGTAGGAGGACCCGAGGACGAAAATGAGTTTATCCGTGGGGATCCCGAGGGAGTGAAATACTGATCGCAGTATATGTTCGTAGTACTTTGTTCTGTGCTCGACGAGCGCGAGTGGTGCTTTCATGTTGTCCAGGAAGGCATGGATGTCTAGACGAAGAGAGGCGGGTTATGAAGAGCGTCGAAGGTAGTCCGGCGTGTTTTCTACGGACCAGCAAGAAGGATTTTGACCTAAGACGAGAGCGAGAGCAGATGATAAGCATGGAGATCGACGGTATAAAGGATTGAAACCAACCTCAACACCCGCCCTCAAAAAGTCAGCGATCTTTGTCAAGGGCACGAAATATCCGACGTGTGCTGTGGATTCAACCGACATATGTTAAACCTGATGCATATTGTGCTAAGAGTGTATGGATCCGGTGCTCACGTCGGCCAGTAGGTGCAGTACCTAGACACATCACAATCACCATCTCGTCAACACATCTGTTCAATCCAAAGAAGATAACAATCACACGCACCCCAGTAACATTTCGGAGTCTTTCCCTGGTCCAAGAGAGCCTTGATACTCTCCGCACCAAGCACCTCCTGCAGCCCTCTTGTAATCAGATGATACTTTTCGTCTGCGCTCATTGAAGAGGCCATTATCGATATATACTCCGCGCCTTACTAGTGCCCAAAGAGAACGGTTGGGTTGGACGGAGGTAAGAGGTATAACGGTGGAAGGGGGTTTGACTCGAGTGCTAATTTATAAATCTTCGCCACACTGTGCCAGCGATGATCGAGTCACGCCGGAATTTGCCGGACACTGTATGGAGGATGGTTCAAGGATCGGAAACCAGGTTCGAGTTCGATATTGCATGTGCTTACCATGAGACTTGCTCAAAATGACTTGGAAATGTTCATCTCAGGCCCATCCGGAAATGCGTGGATCTCTGAAGTTGCATCCATACACGAAACCGCCACATGCAATGAAGAATGGGCACAATGGAACCAGCTTCGAGTTGAAGCCGAATCCGACAGCTGTCTTACTTCCACCTGTGCTACTGGATGGTGAGTGGTATATTATTCGCCGTAGGCATTTTTGTAGCTCTTATTTTTTTTTTGACGATGCGACGACAACACTAATATTGAACGGGTGGACATGAACCAAGAGTGGCACCTTCATACCCATCGGATGTCTTTCAGCGCAGAGTTATCTGTGCCCGGGTATCGAGCAGCTCGATGGGCTTTAAGACCATAATATCTTTCAAATAATGACCGCTCACATCAAGTTCCAGGGATACAGCGAAGACTAGAAACGCATGCGCTCAATGTTTGTTGCCTCCCTGCTGATATTCCTTTCCTCTTTCCTCTTTCAAGTCGCCAGCGTCCGCGCTGTCGTGATGCCGCCTAACGCGCGTTCGGGCGGACCTCTGTATCAGAATATTACTACGAGCTCTGTTGAGTCCATATCTGTGCAGAGAAGACATTCACATTGACGCGTTATGCAGATGTCGTACTAAGTATTGCGTGTGATGCAATCCGTCAACCGGGGTTCGACACCTACCACTGAGTCGACTCCTCCGTCGAGGGCTCCAAATCACTGACCCCGTCTTCTGCACATTCACTTTCATGAGGTGTTATAGGCAGACACCATGTTCTACTAGTTACATCGAGTTGAACGGTGTCCGTTACGCTCTCTACGGCCAGCGGATCGTTGGTGGTTTCAAAAATTCAAGAGATCCTCGACTGTGTCTTGTTGACGAGCAGTCAGGCGATGCTTGCAACTTCAACTTCAGGAAACCCGACGGCCTCTCACCACCAGCCACCGAATACTTACGACTACCTTCCACTTCCAACTCGGTGCGCAAACTTCTTGCTCTCTCATCTTCCCCGATCCCCATCCTCGTCTTTGAAATTGAACCTTACTATGTAACGAATTCCTTTTATAGTCTCCGGTATTTTATAGCTCATCTGCAGTGAGAAAGCGCAATATTCGGTCTACAAAACATGGCTGCAATCATCACCTCTGTCAACGATGCTAAACTCGAGCCTTATTGTCCCTAGTAGTGTGCGCACCGCCAGCACGTACTCGCACAAATCGACCGAATAGTAAACAAACGATCACAAGGTTATATACGCTGGTCTGTGCGTGAGACTGAGCTATTTTAATTGAGATGCGCCGCTATCTTATATACATTTCCGGATCCTCAGCCTATCGAGGCGCTCGGTCCACATACCCTTCACCTTCTTACCCTCCGATTGCACTGTCCGCTGAGTTCGTCGTCGCTGTACTGACCTTCACGAATGGATCCATTCTCCTTGGCTACCGGTATCGCGGGAATTCTCAGTCTTGCGGGGCAAGTCGGTGCAGGTGTCTGGCAGTTCCAGCTCTCATTCCGAGACGCTCGAGAGACCTGCACAAGTTTGACTCGAGAACTAACCTCTATCAGCGATACACTGACTGCAGTGCAGAGGAGGCGAGATGATGTCGGTCGATCGAAGCCAGATGTGCTCATGCATTTGGAACCTTTACTGGAAGAGTTACGGACGGTCTTAGCTGACTTACTAGTCGAATTTCCCTCCGGCGACGTCATGACGATCCGGAAGCGTTTGGTATGGGCGTCAAAGGGGGAAAAGATGGTGAAGGAATGTATATCTCGCTTGCAGAGGACTCAAACTCAATTAGTATTGATGTTCGAACTGGACTCGTCGTAAGTCTGAACTATCCGTGTCTTATTGTTTACGGTATGCTGATTATCATTTCTGCAACTCGGGTGCCAGTGAAGAACTATACCAGATCAAGGAAGTCGTGAACAGCATCCAGTCAGAGCAGCACAAGATCTATCAAGCACAGTCTAAGGTCGATCAAGGTTGGTTTCAGTGCCCTATGTTTCCATACAGACTAGAGAATAAAAGGATCCGTAGAACGCATCGTGCAAGATACAATAGACTGGCTTGCGCCACTGGACGCGACGAACCGATTACAGATTTGCTTAGAGCAGCGTCATGAACAGACTTGTGGATGGTTGCTCGAGCACGAACAATTCAAGGGCTGGAAGATAGGTTGTATGCCTTTCATCTGGCTTAATGGCATGGGTTAGTGTCTCACCATCTCCATCTCTGACCGTCCACCTGATCACTGACATCCATTTAAATTTAGCTGGTGCTGGTAAGACAATCCTGGCGTAAGTTATGATCATACACATGCACAGGGGTACGAAAGACTGACCAACATACATTGATTTGTAAGTTCCTTTGTCATACAACACCTCCAGGAAGTCAAGAGGCCCAACGATGTGCTTGCCTATGCATATTGTGATTTCCGCACGTCGGAGGGTACGGACCCTGCTTCCATCTTGCGCACACTCTTCGCCCAGTTGCTCGCAGATTTTCCCGGAAGTATCCGAGACGAGTTTGAGGATCTGATCCAGTGTCGCGTCCGCAAACAGGGTCCACCTTCGTCCTTAAAGCGTCTTGTCGATTTGATTCACACAGCTGTCAAGCCTTGGAAGCGTGCGTTCTTGGTCATAGATGCATTAGACGAGGCGCGTGACAGGCAGAAACTGCTGGAGGTTGTCTTGACGCTTGGATCGTCCAGCATGATCTCGCTCTTCGTGACTAGTCGCAGAGAGAATGGCATCTTTCAAATATTTGGAAAACTACCCTCGGTCTCCTTAAACGACGAGCTCCAGCAGGTTCAAGGCGATATCGACTTAATGGTTGCCCATGAAATCGCTTCTCGTCCACAGCTTTCCAGATTGAGAGAACCCCTGAAGACCGATATATCCGACGCGTTGAAGGCGAAAGCGAACGGGATGTACGTTTTACTATGCATTATGCACATGACACCGTAACCGGCGCTAATACTCCGACTTCTCTTCATAGGTTCCGATGGGTTCAATGCCAGCTCGACTTCTTATGCACTCGAAAGACGCTTCGAGGCATGCAAAATGCGATACACGATCTACCTGCTGACTTGGCAGCTACGTATGACCGGATCCTCCAAGGCATCGAGGACGCTGGCGACGAGACGATTGCAATCGCTAGAAAAACTCTTACATGGGTCGTTGGTGCCGCTTATTCGCTTCGTCTTGACGAAATTGCAGAAGCAATTATGCTGTCCCCCGGATGTTCTGCGTACGATGAAGACGCCGAACTCATCGATGCTACTATGCTCTTGGACATATGCAGCAGTCTGCTCTATTATGAGCCGCTCAGCGGTTTTGTCACAATCGCCCACTTTTCAGTCCAGGAATATCTATTGTCAGATTATCTGGTCCATAGCTCCCTCGTGAAGTATCATCTTTCCTCGACCACAGAAGTCCATCGATACCTCGCTATGTGCCTCATATCATACCTCTGCTTCAATGACTTTAATGTCATATGCAGTACGGTAGAAAACCTACGAGAACTATGCAGTAGAATGCCCTTGCTATCCTATGCAGCAGATCACTGGGCAACTCACACCATGCTCGTTGATCATGAGGACGAGGATCTTTTTTCGCTTCTTCAGGAATTCGCTCTCGACAAAAAGTACAGAGTCAACCACTTCCTCAGCTTCCAGGCATACCAGATGTTGCAGAGCGGCAAATTCTACCTCTTTCAGCGTGACCCTGATCGCCCCAACATCCCTTCATTTGCAGGAGGATGTGATCCCATCTGGTCCTTTGTTCATAAAACAGGTCACACCTGGCCTCTCCGTCGTCTTCTCCAGAGGAAACCTGAGCTCAAAGACCATGTCACCATGGACACAACTCTGTTGATGTCTGCCTGTCGCTGGAAAAAGATCGCAGCCGCCCGAGTTTTGTTAGAGGCTGGCGCAGAGGTCAATATGCTACATCACGGAGCCGCCGATTTTGTGTATAGGAACCTAATACTGGTATCTCCTTTGATCGTGTCGTGTTACTACTTTGACAAAGACATCGCCGACCTTCTTATCGCTTATGGTGGGGACGTCAATATGGGCACACAAGGCCAATGGAATTGCCTTTGTGCCGCGGTTTATGGGGGATTCTTTGAGGCGGTGCAGTTTGCTGTTGAAGCACATTGTGACTTGGATGTCAGGACTGACTCAGGAAAGACTGCCTTAGGGATCGCGATAGAGGGGCACTCGCATAAGATCGCGTCTTATCTCATTGAGCACGGGGCATCCGTGGAACAAGCGGTCAAGCATCTGACTGTTGAAGACCTGAACTGGGCGAAGGAAATGCCGTGGTATGCGCAACTTATGTCCGCGATGAAGTCTGGCCATCACGATTTAGTGGCAGAGGGCGGCCTAGGTGCAGAGGATGTGCAGTCGATTCTGATCATTCTCCGACTCCGCCTACGACTGCCCATGCCAGTCTCCAGAATGATCCTTGACCTTGCCGAGTATTGGGTCGCTACCACCGTCTATCGCAGCGCTCATGTCGCTGTCACGGCTCAAAATGGTTTGAACAATGTCCCTTACGTCTCCGCTGTTGTAGAAGGAAATCAAAAGTATCCTTTACGTCGAATCACTTTTGTCATGGTGTCGCATGATCAAGGTACGCTTTTTTGTCGTCTGCAACTTGCTCGAGGAAGGATTCTAATCACCCCCCTAGGATGGAGCGACTACCCTGGGGACCATGGTACTTATAGAAGCTCTAACACCTGGTTTGAGGCCAGAACCACCAATAACCCCATGGCGGTCTACATCCAAGAGAACGTGCATGCTTCACAAGAGAGCCATGTCCATACACAAGTTTGGAGCTACGATCAACAAGATGTACAGCAGTCTCGATGGCTGCGGAGCATAGAGCGTGGAGATCGTTTGGAAGTATATGCGAGAGCTCAGTACAACGGCTGGGTCAATAATGTCGAGAGCGTCCGAATCATTTTGGAATGGGCAGTATGATGTTGGTAAGATGTATTCAGAGAAGGTTTAGGACACGTACAGATCCATGTAGCCCCGGGTCTTGAGTCGGATTGAATTATGATCTGTGTGTTCTCGCACTTGGCGTGACTTCAACAATGATGCCAGAGACAAGTCTGAGTGACGATAATCAACTTGAAGAACGTTATTCCTCGTGATACTGTACTTTCCAATGCAGATCTCCGCGTCCCCTGCCCCAGAAGGGACATGAAGGGACCTCCCGCATAGGATAGCCCCCCCTCCGAGCTACCCATGAACTCGAAATCGGACATAATAGCATAAATTTACCAAAATTGAATATCTCCGTACATCACCTTCAAAGAAATTCTTTTTGTGTGCATTTTATTTAGTTGACTTTTGCCATAAAAGCAACGACCCAAAAGGAGGCCCCAGCGCCCAGTCAGTGATCCTGACAAGAATGGATTATATAGTCACGGCAAACTCCGATTGAGAGGGGGCGGTGGCGTGAACACCAGCGTGGAAAAGTACAGCAGAGAAGTCCGCGCCCATAAGGTCAAGGTTGGGTCAAGGATTCGAACAGGATGCAACAGCCTGTGCTTAGAAGATTCTGGTTGCATAGTCAGCACAGCTGGACAAGACCTCTAGTCGAACTTCGGACAATCTGACTCTGGTCCTCACCACTTCAACTGATCCTCACTGAGCCAGACAAGTAGACTTTGACTCGTAGACTCCTCAGCTTTGACTCTCAGACGGTCGTAATCTTATACTTAACCTTCTCTTCTTCTACAGGCTATCTCACGATGCCCATTTTTATAAAACTACGAAGCCCGCGGCCCGGCATGCACACCCCTTGTACTTGCACCTTCCTCCCTCGAGCTCATCGACCCATGTTTGAGTTTCAAATGCAGGGTTCTCCACACAAAGCCTATCAATTTCCTTTCCTGGTCGCCATTGTCTTCGCTTTGTCGGTGCTATGCCAACTTAAATGAGTTGGCACAATGACTGGCAGGTATATAAAGGCTCTTCGAAGTATAGTCGAAACCATCCCTTTGTCTCTTCACTCGAGATCTCTCTTACTGCGCATAAACGATGCCGAACTCGAGCCTTTCCGTCGCTGTGCACCGTGACTTACACCGTGACAATGCGATCAAAAAAACGTCACCTAACGGTAAAGAAGAATGCCTTATTGCCTTTGTATGCAATAGTGCTGAATGAATACTTTGTCTTCCGTTTGCTCGTTATAGGTGCACCTGTGCCTTCCCAGATCGAAATGACCGAGCAGCTTGAGAAGCTTGAGAAATCTATTGCAGAGCGAATCCGCCTATGCGAGCGTATCGCAGGGCGCGATGGCCCATGCGCACCCACACTCTTACCGCACTCACCGTCACCTTTGATGCTATCACGATCTTTACCACCATCAAGGCCACAACAATCACCTTTTCAAGTCATCATCCCGTCCCGACCACATCCCTCGACCCCCACAATCACGATCACTCCTCCTTCGCCGCGATTTACCATGACCTCGATGCCCTTCGCCACCGCCACCTTCAACCCTTCTCCCCATGGACCGGCTCCGACGCTCGAACAACTGCTCCACGAAAGGATCGCTCGCTGCGAAGAAATCGGCGCAGCCATGTCAGAGCTCTCGAACTCTCCTGGCTTGATCCCAACGATGACGCCTCGGAATACGTTGATAGCGCTCGCTCTCGGTCCTCCAAAGCATATCGGCATCAGTATAGGACTTTCTGGAGGCGTCAAACTTGGTTGTTAGGATTGTGATTAGATCATGATTCTTACTTTCGTTCCTTCGTGTTCAAGTTCGTGTTGCTTTTACGGGAGGATCGCCATCTCTCTTCTCATTTATGTGGAACTATGTCAGTACTGTACCCAGATCTCATTTATTGTTCACAGTTCTCCCCCGTCTTGTTGTCGTTTTCTCCCGCTCACCTCTTCTCTTCCATACTTTGCTTTTCGTTCTCTACCCAGTCCCGACTAGTTCGTGACATGTGGCGTATATTCTCCTCCATATATCTACCTCTTTTCTTCAGTTCGTTGATCTCCTAGTGTTGAGCTTGTCTATTCGCTGCCTACTCCCCTGTTGCAATGAGATACTTACATTATCCCACCAGCGCCGCTGACGCCACACAATACAGTACGCCACCGCTAACTTCGTTCTTCACTCACATCGCAAACATTCAACATTCGTTCAAAGACAATCGTTCAATTGCATCTGAACGTATGGCTATGACAACTAGTGAACTAGTATTGCAAGAAAAGCTGATGAATCGTGTAAAGGATCAACTACTCACACGTCGCGGTATATAAACGTACAAGTGAGGACTATGGATGCATATGATGATCGCGCGCGCAACTCGACGTCGCTCGAACGCCCCCAGTAACAAATCGTAACATAAAGGATAACGAAAGTGCAGTGGGTGGGTTCGAGGAGGAAGAGAACGACGCGATGGGATGGTATAGTGTACAGGGTGATGAGACGAGGACGAGACAGATTATGAGAGACGAGCCGTGATGGTAGGCGGAGGAAGATGCACAAGAGCGAATAATCAAGAGATGCGAGGCATGACAGGATAGAAAGAACATGGAGGATAATGACATGGAAGGATGCTGAGAAACGCAGTCCGGAAAAACTAACAGAAAATCAACGACAACAGCGCAGCCAGGAATGGATCACACTCCAGGGTAAACGTACAAAAGCAAGACGGACGAGAAAGCAGACAAGGACAGGGAAATGAAGAGCTTAAGGACTGAACACGTTGCGCGAATAATACTGTGAAATGACATCCGCAACCTCCTCTCCGTGGTGCTCCGCAAGGTACTGCTGCCTGAGGTGGTGCAGCCTCCTCTCCCGTTCATCGTGCCTGTGCCCCGCCTTCTTCGGTGGGAGCCGATACTTATACGTCGTAAGCTGGACCTCACCGCCTAGTTCGACTTCATCATCCTCAAACTCCAGCCCATCGACCTCTCCGCCTAACTTCTCCTGCGTCTCAGCGACCTCGACGGTAGGATAAAGATCCTTCTGCGAAGCGTGAGGCGTCCACTCCTCGTACTGCTTCCCGAACACACGTTCCCCGGGCTGCAACGCGAGTTCCTCCGGCAACCACTCGTTGGGCATGATCTTCTTCATAGGCTCACCCTGCGGCCACGGCACCACCTCCCCGTTCTCGTTCAACCTCTCGCCCGCGTCGTTCAAGTCGAACGTCTCGAGCCACGGGTGGGTATACGACTTCGCGCTCTCCTCGAAGAGTTCTTTGACCTCGTCGCTACGACGGAACCACTTGCCGACGCCGACCTTGATGACCCTACGATCATACGGAATCGGATCCGCGAGCTTCTCGGCGTCGATACCCCTCCCGAGCTCATTGTTCGAGAACCGAATGCCGACGAAACCTCCCTTCCGGCTCGCGAGACCGTCAGCCATACCGGTGACCAACTCGTGCATCCTCTGGATGCGCATATTGCGAATGCGTTCCGTGAGCGACTTGGAGATCTTGCGGTCCTCGTTGGACACGTTCGTGACGAAGGGCGCTCCGCGGGAGATGCCTTTGCATAGACGGTTGAGCGCCATAGCGAGTGGACGGGTACTCATCGTGACGGTGATCAGCGGGCGCCAGAACGGTGTCTCTTTCAACGTGGGTTGATATCTTTCGCGTAGGGCCGTCAGGTATCCCTGGACGTCTTCGATATCCCCAAGCTCATCTCTGCGAAACTGACGAAAAAAGTTGTGTTCTTCGCGGACCGCGGATGGAGAGGTCGGCATCGAGACCTCCGACGCGCGGACGAGGGTGGAGGAGTGGAAGCCGCGTTTGTAAAACGTGGAGGTCCCGTTCTTGTTGAAGGCGGCGGCGGGAGTGGGAGGGATGAAGCCAGAGGGATGCGTGACGGTGCCGTCGGGAAGGACGACTTCGAACGGAACCTTGCCCTCGAGGGCCCTGGTCTGAGCCCTGAGGAACCCTTCCTTGACGCTCTCTGCAAGGACGGCCTCCTCCGTAACACGGTCCGCAACGCCCTGCGTCTCGACCAGAGGATCGCGTTGACGAAGCTCGGCTCTGGGAATGACATGGGGAGCGGGAGAAGGTACCATGAAACCGGACGGATGAATGAGATTTCCGTCGATGTCGAGGTGCTCGAAGGGAATCTTGTGGGCTGGGCGGTTCATGCCCGAAAGTTCAAGAGGCTCAGCGTGTGCGAGTTCCCGGTCTGGTTTGCCGTCCCGGACCAATTGGCGTTGCAGCTTGCGAGCGACGAAGAACTCGGGAACCACCGAATCGGGATCGACTTCGACGAGAACGGCGTCCTTGACTTTCCCGATTAGGGCGGCGGGGAACTCGTGGGCAGGAGTCGGAGGCTCGAAACCGGACGGGTGCCGAACAGTCCCATCGGGCTCTTCGACCTCGAACGGAATCTTCTGCGAATGGGGGCGGACATGCGCACGAACACCCGTATAATCCTCCTCGCCAACCCGCTCGGCGACATTTGCGGTCTCAATCGATGGGTCTCTCTCCCTCGTATCGGCGTAACTGACGGGAGCTTCTCCTGGAGAAGGAACCGTGAAGCCAGAAGGGTGAATAATGGTACCATCTTCGGCCTCGAACTCGGTCGGGATCTTATTGGCTGGGCGGCGAGTAGACGCAGCGATGTCATCCGAGAGGATGCCGGCACCGAGCTCGTACATGAGCGAACCCTCGAGCTCCTTCCTCTCTTGGATCGCGTCACGTTGTTTCTTGCGCTCGACGTAGTACTCGGGGACGGTGCCCTCGCGAGCATGGTCGTCCGATGTCTTGGGCTTAGGCCGAGGGTTGGAGTACTTGCTGGCGGAGGAATGAATGCTGCGAGGGCTAAGGAGGAAGACCCGAGGACCGTCGCGGGCAGAGGTATGGAAGCCACGAGCTTGGGCAGGAGAAGCGGAGGTAGACGAAGACGTAGAGTGAACGGGAATAGACGCGTCGAGGTTTATCTCCTTCACGTCGTAGTCGGCGTCTTCGCCATTAGCGAGACGTTCGAGGATCTTCTCGGGATTTTCGCCATCTTTCCACCACTGCACCGGTCTCTCTTTCTTCGCCGGGAGCCAAGGCCAACGTGCGTTGTCCATACATTGGGTGGCTTTCGGGTCGAGCTTGTGGGCTGAAGGACTGTTGAGTTTGCGGAGAACGTCGGGGAGTTCGCTCTCTCGGGTGACGGCAACAATGTACTCGTGAGTGTCGGCACGTCCTCTTGCAAAAGAGATGGGATAACGAGACTCGGCGACGAAGACTGTATGAGGTTCGTACGCTTTCGGGGAAGGGTTGTCGTATTCCTTGCCGATGGCGCGGTAACGACCTCCGGGGAACCAGTTAGAGGCGCGAAGGTCGCGAGGGCGCGTAAAACCTCCCATATATCTGTGAAGCAGTCAAATGCGTCAGCATATGATTGAACCGGCAGAGTGAAAAAAAAATGACATCGAAAAGGAACATACGTCTTGACCTCCGTGAGGTGCGTGCTGATGTCTATGCGCTCATCTTTCTCCGCCTTGCGAACACGACGGACTTTCCGCTTCATACGTTCGACGGCTATGACGGTCTCGGCGCTCGAAGCGCCAACAGACGAGCTCGCCCATCGACGTCCAGCCTGGGGTAACCTGACAGAAGTTGGAGACGGCCTCATCGTGCCAGACTTCGTTATACCGCGGGACTAGTTCGTTTTGTTTGTAGTAGAGAAACCTAGCTACTTGCCAGGAAGTGTAGAGGGTCTAGAGGGGTGAGTGCGGGGTAAGGAGATGGATGTAGAGGTCGAGGCTTGAAGCCATCCGATTTCTGAGCTCTCGCTATTTCTTCCAGCTTGCGGCTCTCCGGCCCGGGCTCCCATCGAGCGAAGCAGGCCAAAAACCAACTGCTATCGCTAGAAAAGGAAGGTCTTCTTTCAAGCATGCGTTGCGGACTGCCGTCATAGGCGCTACGCGGTGGATCAAACAGTTTGGGGCTCTGACATGGCGGTCGGGGAAGAGGCTTGAGAACGTCGACGCAAAGCACAGAGGATGATATAGGTGAGACGGAGCTATCGCTCGCGTTCCCGTAGTCAGATGATGCGGTGGGTGGCGTTTTCTGTCTTGCACCTCAATCACTCGAACAAATGCTGGGCTGCAGCTAGTTCACCATTCCCGCTCAAGAAATAGGCACTCTATCTCCTCATCTTGCTCGGACCCCTCGCTAAACCCATGCACCCTTATATGATGTCACTCCATTGCGCACGGGAACATTGCATCACACAATCATGAGACTGTGCATTGATCGGTTCATCATATTTAATTTCGCCAAAATTTCGCCATGGACCTCTTATGACAAACATCTCTGATAATGGAGCGGAGTATGTGCATGATCCGAGTTGAACAAAGACTTTCTAGAACTAGTAATACTCCCTACGCACAAGGCTTCTCTTCCTATATATACATACCAACGAAAAGAGAATATCAATCAGCCCAACTCGTCCACATCAGACCACCAAAACAAGATAAAACAACAGCCAACTCACGAGCTGCTCGAACTATCATCACTATTTCCAAAGATCTCACCCGCAATACCACCTCCAAGCAACGTCCCGACACCATCCGCCACAGCGCCCTTAATAGTGCTCCCAATCGAAGTCTTCTCAACGGCCTTGGCTCCGTCCTCGAGAATCGTAGCAGCACCACCACGAGCGGCGAGTTCTTCCGTTGCGCGAGCGTGGATGTACTCCAGGAGCTTGCGCTTCGAGCTGCTGTCGTTGTTGCCAAAAATCTCGCCGGCGATACCACCTCCAAGTAGCGTACCGACACCGTCAGCCACAGCACCTTTAATCGTGCTGCCTAACGAAGTCTTCCCCGCAGCCTTAGCTCCGTCCTCGATGATAGTGGCGGCGCCGCCCCGAGCCGAAAGCTCTCGCTTCGACCTGTGTACAAATAAAATAAGTGGCACAATCAGCGCCGAAACCACCTCTCAAGGCACGAAGGAGTACTCACGAGCTGCTAGAAATGTCGTCGCTGCTTCCAAAAATCTCACCCGCGATACCACCGCCGAGCAGCGTGCCAACGCCATCCGCAATAGCGCCCTTGATAGTGCTCCCGACCGAAGTCTTCTCGACGGCCTTCACCCCGTCCTCAAGAATCGTAGCAGCACCACCGCGGGCAGAAAGCTCGCGCTTCGACCTGGAGAAAAGACACGTTCAATGCTCTAAGAAGCTTTAAAATCGGGGGATGGGAAGTATACTTACGAGCTGCTCGAACTGTCATCGCTGTTGCCGAAAATCTCGCCGGCGATACCACCTCCAAGTAGCGTACCAACACCGTCCGCCACAGCTCCCTTGATCGTACTGCCGACTGTAGTCTTCTCCACAGCTTTAGCACCGTCTTCAAGAATCGTAGCGGCGCCACCACGGGCATCAAGCTCCCGCTTCGACCTACGAATACGAACAAGATCATTCAATTCTCCGTAATCTGATGGGAAACTAAAGCGTATGAGATAGACTCACGAGGTGCTGGAACTGTCGTCGCTGTTACCAAGGATTGAGCCCGCAATACCACCTCCAAGCAAGGTCCCGACGCCATCTGCAACGGCACCCTTAATGGTACTCCCAATAGAAGTCTTCCCAACAGCTTTGGCAGCGTCCTCAGCTCCATCTTCAAGGATGGTGGCTACACCACCACGGGCAATCAACTCCTCCGTCGCACGAGCATGGATATACTCCAACACCTCTCGCTTCGCCCTATGATCATTCCCGTATCAGCGACGTCGTAGAATACACAAGAAGTTGAGACACTCACGAGCTATTGGAACCTCCAAGAACTTCGCCGGCAATGCCACCGCCCAATAACGTCCCCAAACCATCGGCAATAACACCTTTGACGGTACTCCCCAAGGAAGTCTTCGCGACTGCCTTGGCGGCATCTTCGGCGCCGTCTTCGAGGATGGTAGCTGCGCCACCACGGGCAGCGAGAATAGAGGATCTGAAGTCGCGGGTGGCGAGGCTGGGGGCACTAATCATGGAGAAGGAGGGGAATCGTCGTCAGTCACTGGTTTAAAGTAGAGGGTAGATTGGAGAACGTACGATGGAGCTGCTAGTGAGGGTGCTGCATGTACCGCGAGAGCGATGAAGACGAGGAAAGATGTGGCGCGCATAATGGCAATGATAGAAATGTCGTGGAACAATTAACAGAACAAATTATGAGTGGGTTCGTATGTAAATTTGGGAGGGTCGTAGCGCGAATAATGAACGTGGATAATAAGATGTTAATTTAGAAAGAACGTGGGTCACCAGTACCCTAAAGAAAGCGAAGACGAACGAAGAGCGGGAGGGTAACAACGGGAGCAAAGAGCTACGAGGCTACATGGTTTGCACCCAGCTTGTATATATACCGACTCTTGAGCTGTGAGCTGTGCAAAAGGAGCGCCGTAAGATGAGCTCGAAACGTCGGTGCAAAGTAGAATGCAGCTCAAGGAGTGGTAACTGACAACCAGGAGTCCGAGGGCTATGAGGCGGATGTTCCGAGACAGACGTTGCAGAAAACGGAATGCCCTGTCTTCAAAGGAGATCGGCGTGTCCGTGCCAAAAGCGAGATCTGTGGCTTTGATTGATGCTGTCTATCGACCAGGTGCTTCGACTCAGTCGCCGACCGGTTTCAAGTCGACGTTCATCTGTATGGAGTGTAGGATCATTATGCAGCAGTGTGCAGCCAGAGCCATGCATCGAGGGCCTGATTGATCAATGACCTGGAAAACGTTTCGTGAGGGGTGCGAGCACGTTGATCGTACTGATGCAAGGACAAGAGAAGGCACGGCAATCACATCGTACGGGCTGTCTTTGTGATGGACATCAACAGGCAGGTCCAGGCGAACTCTTCAGCGGAGCAATCATTGAGGCCTGGTTTCGCAATGACGACGAACAAGACGCGAAACGTAACTTCACACCATGAAACCCGTAGCACCTAGCAAAAATTGATTGAGGCGCAAGCCGTACGCAAGACAGGCACTTAGACGTGTGCTAGAGGGGTCTTAATCGGAAGGTAACTGGCATAATCAGAAAGGCGAGAAATAACATACACGTGGCACAAGCGACTTTAAAACAAGACGATAACAGACCTCACACTGGGGAATCATCTATAGCAAGCACTCTTCCTGGCCTTGTTCGAAATCCTGGTCAATACAGAGCGTTCGTTCCATTGAGCGAAGCTTACTAACTGACCGGCCCAAGAATCGCAAGGGCAAGGCGTACGTAGGTACGCAACTCATACGGCACCATTCTCGACCAAGCGGCCGCAGACGATGTACTTGTTCGAAAAGTGGTCGAACCAACCGTTCATGTTCTCGCTATTGAGGATAGCTGGATGAGCTGCATGTTTAAGTGGGGACCCGGAGGAGGAAGACGTACATTTCGTCAGGGGTAAGGTCCTGGAGCTTGTCCAAAGGTTGGTCAATATCGGTCAGCATATCTGCACATACAGAACGCGGATTTGATTCATGATTAGGGACACGCCCATAGGTCTACAATATCATGATAGACGCACCTTCGTCGAAGGATTGCTTTGCCATGCCACGGGACGCATCCCTTCCGGCGAAGTTACCGTACATTCCATCTGCATCACCGTCAATCGTATCAGTACTCTAACGTATAATATTACAAAAGTAAAATGGAGTATAACTCAGTACTAACCAGGTCCATAGAAGTTCCTACCGGCGGTGACATCAAACACAGTTCCCTTGATGGCCAAGAGTATCCTCCCCCCAGTTGCCTCGTTCTTTCCGTTAAATGGCACCAAGGTCTTCGGAGTGTAGGTAGTGAAGAGCAAGGTAGGAGGGTGATGAGCTGGCATCCATGAGTATGACTGCTTGAATTCCGTAGGGGTCTTCTCGGCTGGAGGGACCTTGTTGCTTGGGAAGAGCAAGCGCTGGACTTGGTAGATGGTGTAGAGCAACAGAGCAGTATTTATTGGAGACGAGAGCGCAAACGAAGTCATATTGGGCGACTAGAAAGTAGTCAAAGACTGTGAACTCGTTAATTGATGTGTTGTCGAGCTGTATGTGGTCTATAGAAGACGTTGTGTCTGACGCAGTTGACGGTGGGATGGCAAGAGCTTTGCTTCCGTCAGCGTCGGAACAAGCGCTCACAGGTGCCACCCGGTCCATGCCAATGGGCCACAATCCCTCTTTCTCTCTTCCATCCACCATCTGCCCGAAGTGCTGCCTACGCAAACGCGACCTGCGGGCCAGGTACCTAGCACTATGGCAGACTATGACTACGGAAATGATTCCCCGTTAGCTTGCCCTACCGGGTTCCTCTGAATCGAAAGCGTGACGGAATCGTCATGTGTACCGCGTTGGTTCGACGAAAGTAACCAGCTGACGGATTTCTCCCATATTTTTGCGCTCGATAGGCACATCATCTCCCTCGAGAACATAGTGTTCACGGTCCGCGGTAATGAGGAAGAAGTCTGAGGGACGTGAACCTCTGTGTCTCGTGGCCTCTTTCCGTCCTACAAGTATGCTCACTGTGAATGGCTGGTTAAACGACGACTGCACATCACCCAGTCTGTCACCATGGGTTGGGTCTCATCGCTACTCAACATTGTCCCCAAAATATCTCTGGTATGCTTAGCACTTTCAGCCACGGATGTTGCTCGTGCGGCTATCCAAGTCCTCAGCAATACGACACTAGGCCCTGATCCACAGACTGTCAATAGGCTCAACGGAGAGTCTTTTCAACAGGAAGCTCTGGTAACTTTCAATGGTACGAATGGTCTCCTATCATACATGACTCTGTCGCTGATTCACACGCGAGCAGGGTATCAATATGCCGCGTTCTGGTTAGCGGATACATCGAATAGTTCTGTCCGACATCCATCCGTCTCTCGACGAGACCTGTCCGCGGATCCATCTTCGCCCGGAGAGTGGGACACTTTCACTTTCATGGACTACAACCAGACCGAAGATGATGGGCACGATATGTACGTTTCTTCCTACCACTTACGCATAATACGCAACTAAATGAGGTTGTTACATCTCGACATTCACAGAATGGTGATTGGCGTGGCGCCGGCGGATGGCACCGTCCATCTGAGCTTCGACCACCACGATAACGAGCTGAAATACCGAGTCTCCCAGCCTGGTGTGGCCTCGAGTCCCAACTCAACAAATACCACATGGTCTGCGGATCTTTTCGGACCTATCGTCGTGAGTTTCCAGTCTTCAGAGCTTTGACACTTTTATCCAACACCGCTGACTCTAATATATATCAGAATATTCTTCCAGGGCTCGAGTCCCTCAACGAAACTGAATTCTTCGGCGACGTGACCTATCCTCGCTTTCTGTTCTCTTCCCCAGATCCTACAAATTCGAGCTTCATCCTGGAGTTGAGGATCGGAAGGTCGGGACTCGGAGATGACTGGCTGTACGAGTACAACGCGGAAAATCAGTCGTGGACGATGATAGGCAAATATCTGGAGGTATGCCCTTGTCATTTTGCTACTCATCGGTAATTAGAGAGCTCATGGTACGGGCTATTCCGCGGCATAGGGCGTTAACAGTGCGTAACAAACCAATGTTTCATATACGCACTATTTGGCTCAATAATAGATGATTATTGCAGACAACGCTTATATCAACGGTATCGACTTTGATAACTCTGGAAACCTGGTCACTACCTGGTAGGCACCTTATTATTTGCTGCGAAAACATGGACCCTTACGCGGTCGAATAGGACTTACCGAGACTACGTGAACGACACCGGCCAGGACGTCGCCGTTCAAGCCGGTCCAAATGGTCCTGAAAACGTTCGTATGCTCCTTCCATTCACCATTTGAACTTTCTAGCTCACAATTATGTGCGACAGAATCACGACCTCATGTACGCTCAATCGCCCGACCTCGGTCGCACCTGGTTCAACACTTGGGGACAGCCCGTGGCCAATCTCTCCGCCGACCTCTCCCTCGACAACCAAACGCCTATATTGCCTACTTCTGCTGGTGTCACCGTATTCAGCATTCCAAAATACGGGTACGTACTGCATATGTTACAAGCGGAGAACGATCTCTGATTGGTAACTTTCATGTGTGGCGTGTGGCGCAACAGGGGCATCCTGAACCAAGAAGCCCAAACGATCGACGAGGAAGGCAGGATACATGTGCTGAACAGGGAAAACGGGACTGGATACGAGCAATGGTGATGTCACAAACCGCCTGTAAACGTTCTTGTGTCAGACCCTCTACTGACATAGACGTTCACCCGCTTAGGTATCACTACTGGCGCGCCTCCTCCAACCACTTCTGGACCCGCACTGCCTTCCCTCTTCCCATCTCTTTACCACCGGAAAGCATCAACAACATAACCGGGACACCCACGGTTATCGGTAAACGCGGGAAACTCGTCTCCTTGCCCGCCGTCTCTACTTCTATACAGAACACCACGTCCACAAGAAATTCGACGACCCTTCTCGCTCTTCTTCCCGATAACGCGGTAAACTCCACGGGTCTGTCGATTCTTGCAAGCACGGCAGAAGGGCATTTCAGGGATTGGAAAGTGGTGTGGGAGGTGGAGAGTGGGTGCGAGGCGGAGGTGTTGTTTGATAGGTATAGGTTGGCTGCGAGTGGGAGTGAGGTGTTGAGTTTGTATCTGGTGGATGGGATGGTAAGGGTTGTGGATCTCGATGTGAGCGATGTATGAGGGAGTATCGCTAGAAACGGAGCTCTGGAACACATGGAACACACAACATTGTATCTGAAGTCTGGCAGAGGACAAAGACAAGATTTAATTAACAGTCTTCCATATCGCCTCAGGCTGTGAGTAACTATAAAGACCCATGTATACAGAGACGTGTATCATACAAACACATAGCAACAAAATCCACCCTATGTCCGCATCAACAGAATCAGTCGCCTAGCTTGGAACCACAACCTACAACGCCCTCCCTTTCTCCACATCCCCAATACTGGCAGATTCAGAGTCCCGGTGGTGCAACATATCGCCGCCTGTGTCAAAGCCATCGAGCCCAGGTCTCCCCTTTGCTTCCCCATCCCCATATTCAGTTTCCGCTACAGTTCCAAATCCAGGATATCCATACTCTTTCATCGACCCAGAGAAACTTCTGTCATGGAATTCCCTTGACTCCTTCCCCTTCAAATGCCCTGTATAACTCGTCCAACTACCCGTCGCACTATAACTCCCCACTGCAGTTTTACTTGACATTGGGGACGTCGGTGAGGTCGGCGAGGCCATATAGTAGTCCGCATCCGACATCATGGAGATATCGTTGCCTTTCATGGTCGACGAACGCCTCTTCATTTCGAGGGCGAGAGGGAGTGGCGAGGGGCGTGGGCGACGGGGTTTGTGGTTATGGTTGTGGTTGTGGTAGCTGTGGTGACTGTGGTGACTGTGATGGTCGGAACCGTTGGCGGCTATAGCAATATCGATACCGTGGCCGGTGCTGAGGTCATGAACACTGTTGAGGTCGGGCACGCTTATGCTCGCGATGGTGTTTGTTTCGTCGGAGGGGGAGGCGACTTTCCCGGAGGTGATGCCGAGGCTGGCCATGATGATGATCATGGTCGGTACCATTCCCTATCAAAAAGAAAATCTCTTCAGCATCGGGTCGAAGGAGAATTTGATCAAGGAAGATGAACTCTTGCGGGCCTGAATACTCACCGTCAGCTGGGCAATCGGGTCATACACAATATAAAACGCATTGTCGCCCAAAACATACAATACAATCTCAATCACCAACACGGAGGAGTATATCATCCCTGACTCGATGATAACATACAAGACTCTCCTATACTTGAAAGATGTGAAGGCAAAGGCAGCCTCGGTCTTTCTCGCTTGGTACCTGTCGAGCCATCAGCATCGACGTAGCTTGGAATATGTTTATTTCTGTCTATAGATGACTTTAGGTGGTAGATGAACATACCATACTCGACCAGCAATGAGAAAGGTAACAAGGATGTTCGTGATCAACGACATAGCGAAGAGGGCTGCGTTCCATCTTTCGATCTCGGTGGCGAAGGCGCTGTGCGCGTTTGTGGCGGTAGCGAACATGATGCCTTGGCCGAATCCGCATGCTGAACAACATCCAACCAGAGAATATTGTTAGTTATAGGATAGGTGAATAGTAGCGGAAGATGTATTACCTGCAGAACCCATGATGAGCAGAACAGGAAAGATACATACCCAGATCTTCTTACTCCAGACATGGTAGCAGCGCCACACCTATCATAACACAACAAAACACACGAAGCGTTCATCAGGTAGCTCAAGTTGACATACACCGTATGAAGTCACAAGTGTGTCGCGGCACCAAGGTTCGAGCATGAGAGCATACTCACGACGATCCCATCCCCAACAATCGAATTGACCGTGTGCACCACCACCTTTGCCACATTCACCGGCAACGAAACATTGGAGAAATACGCCGATGGTCCATTAGGCTCGGCCCCACCTCGAAGGTATATGAATCCCTCGAGGAGTCTTCGAAATCCAAGAGAGACGTGGACGGTAGAGAAGACGATCATAGCAATGGCGCAGCAGAGGAGGGGACGGTTAAGGCGCGGAGTGCGGCGTTGGTAACGAGCGACGTAGAGGTACATGCAGAAAAGAGAGACGTTGATGCCTATTATAGCATATTGTGAGAACGGGACAGGTGAAAGTAGAGCAAAATCAGTTCATCATGGAAAGCGATGGATGTGATGAAAGAATGTGAGATGCTCACCGTAAAGGAGTGTCTCGAGCCATATAGCAGTGAGGTAAGCTTCGTCGAGAGGGAGATCGGAAGGCATAGTATGACGTTGATAGAGTATCATAGATCCAAAGAGTGCGAGTTGTCATGAACCAGAACGCGAAGGTATCCAAATGAGCGATACACCCTCACATTCATGAGTCGCGACCCTCCGACTCTCCTTCAGATCGCACCTTTAAGTACTCTTTCATCTAAAAATAATAACGTGAGCTGGCGTGGGTTTCACGGATCCAAATACAGATAAAGGTCAAAGCGTCGAAGAATGTTGCAAATACACAGAGCCGAAGATACAGGGCGGAGTGCACCGGGAGGAGTAGATTCGAAGCACGATGCTCCTCATTCCGCTGAAGGAGATGTCGCTACCGCATCAGACGTCAAGAGGTGCAGTGAGAACCACCCGCCCAACCGCTTTAGGAGAGTAGGATAAGATCGATGATTCGATTTGTTCAGCTGTGGGAGGACGGAGGTGAGGCGGCTAAAATCCTGGAACATGCCTGGGCGGGTATGGCAAGCGTTCAATAAACGGAGAAAAGATGCCAGTATCTGCTGGCGAAGATACCGATACGTTTGAGGTTAGTTATTGGATATTCGGTCCGTAGTAGAGCTAGAAAAGGTTCAATGTTTTCATGAAACGATGGACAGCGATGAACGTCAACCGCAAAACTGTAGACTCTAGAGTCGTGAAACAGTTACAGTTCCGAAGAAGCTCAGCGCTCAAAGTTACACTCAAGCCTGTAACTTTAACCGGGGACAAAAAAGAGCGTGAAGAGGAAGATGACGACTCAGCACCCAATCGTGAGTCGGTGACACAGCCAGAATCCGGGATAGACCCTCCCGCCGGGCGACTAAGGAGGATCTCGTCGCATCATGCCACATCCATGATCTGAGGATGTGATGCGATATAGTGCAGATATGGTTATGAGCGCTGTAGAAGTTCATAAAGAAAACTGCGAGGGGGGTTGGGTTGGAGGCCAGCCAGAGCGATTCCATGAGACCGAGGACTCCATGAACAGAACACGGAATTCGAAGCGCTTGGGCTGCTGCAAAACCACATAATGACCGGTCAAACGCACCTGCAGCGCCTGACTGGTTGTGACAAAGCGTACACGACCAACCGCGTGAAGACTCCGTAGTTGTATCATGACGTGCCAAGCGCAGGAATTGGAAGAGGGCTGCAGTGCTGAGAAATCCATCTGGTTTGCGAAAGGTTCGAGTGGTGAAGACAAAGATTGACCAATTCACATGCACATCACTAAAACATCGAGACGGAAGCTTGAAGAAAACTTTATCGAAGAGACCTTCCAATGGTTGTCCGTATGCCGATGTCACCTGGCTGTGGGATCATCGATGGGATGTGGGCGCCTAGAGATACGAAAGGCCGAACATGGGTAGATTCACTCTCTAAATAAAAATAACTGTATGGATGGCTCACCAGTGCGATATCTGAGTGGATATACAGCGAGACAGGAAGAAACAGGCGCATCACCTTTACCGGTCTATTCGGAATTGCGTTCGAGCCCCGAGATCCAGTCATGGAAGCATTCTGCGACATGAGATGACGATGCCATCGGCTGCCCACAAAGCTTGTACAAGTAAATACCACCCGCCTCAGGGCTGCGTTGCTTGGGGCAAATATCACTGGCTGTGAAGCCGATAAAATTTGAGCGTGATCTGCAGGAACAGAGAAGACCTGACAAAGGGGTGAGTACACATTGGAGTCGAGATGAGGAAGAGCATAGAAGGACGCGCCTGAGAGAATGAGAATGTTCGACTGTCTTGCGTCGGTGTCTTAATGAATGTGAGAACCTTTGTATGCCCATAGAGTAGAATACGGCCGTGCTACTCCATGGACTCAGCACCGAAGCTCGATTGGCGACGACGCGTGATTCATAGCGAGCTGTTGTCCTTACTCAGAAATGAAAACACATAGAGGAACGCACTGGCTTCCATACTTGGAGAGATGAAAGGACAGCGTGATACCATCCCGTTATAACCTTCACAGATCAAGAGTCAGTTTATTGTGTCGTAGATAATTTTCTGTATTCTTCAGTACAACGAGAGAAGACCTTCGACTTCTACGTACACTCGTGGAGGATTGCTAGAGGCGATCATCATCATCCACAGCTCGCCGCGGAGTCTTCGCTGGACCCGCGCTTTGCTATCCGGGGCACAAGACACCCGAAACGCTCAGTTTGTCGTTCTGGGTTATACTGAAATACCTGCAGAGAACAGTAACCGCGTCGGTTATCGCAAGGGAAGTAGGGGGAAGTCCGACTTCTGAACCAGGCCTCGGCAGGTACATCATAGAGGAGGGAGGTAGACGAAGCCTATCAAAAATAGCATTATGCTTAGAAAGTTGCCATGAATAGCGCATGGCAAGGAATGGCAGGACGCACCACTATCCTGTGCGAGGCATTTGGCTTGTATATTCGTGTTGTTTTACCAACATCAAGGAAGGCATCTCCACAGTGAGCGATCTTCTGACACTCAGATGTTGATCCAACCCCAACCAGCAAGACTGCGACCGAATGGACCTCGCCTCCACACTCTACTGATCAAATCCCTGGATTACGACGAATATGGGGAATGGTGGTCATATACAAGCACTTCAGCGGCGAGCAAAGCTCTGTGAATTGTCTGTGAACGGCTTGTAAGTAGCTACTTGAACGCTGTTGGCCGCACCGCACTGGAGTGACAGAGTGATCCTCGCGCCCGCCGGTTGAAACGATTGGCTACTCTGCTTAGGGAGACTACTGACAGATCGAACTAGGCATTTCGTCAACCTAGCCAACTTGTAGAGGCAACATCTGCGCCTAATGGCGACAATTGCAGGGATTGAACCCGGACTGTTGATCTAGTTCGCTTCCGTTCGGGGGCGATCAACCTTTCCCCCGAGAAATCCTCGATAAATGACTCGATCGGCCAATACAGCGCAATAATGGGGATATCAACGGAGATTATGCTGTGCTGTGGACGGTGGTTATTAGGAGAGGTATAGCCTAATCAGTGCGAGCATGCGGCCTAACCTCACTCTTCTCACCGCTGTTATATGTGAAGCGAATATCGGTGCCAACGCGCTGTCACGTACTGGCAAAGTCTGGCATGTCAGACGGCAGATGGTGTACGATCTCTCCAATTTTGCTGACTAGGCTCGGCGAGCCTGCGTGCCGGAGGACAAGATAAACCGAAGTGGTAATAGTATCGCCGGCAAGACAAGCGCGAACAACGAGCGAGAATAGAACGAGAGAGCTGGTGGCGAGTAGGAGATGGTAGAACTAGGAAGAGGTGTGGCGAGACGCAGCCAGGATATATCAGGCCGCGGAGTTTCGGAGTTGGCCGGGTTATGTGTTCTAGGTCAGAACACGTTGCTCTCAACAAGCTTGTGCTACCACGTTCGAGCCTTAATCTACTTTTTCTTTCTACGGTCAGCCACAGCGCTCACAAGTGGATCTTCCGTGCGGGTTGATCAATGCCTATGCTAGAATCTTGGAAGCTGCCAACGCCGGGCACTGATGTTCCTTTCCTGAACATCCACGGACCTACTTTACCCAACCACCGAGCAATCAATCCAAACGGGCACAAACTAGACGCCAACTCTATGATGCATCATTTCTTGCAAAATTTGTCCACTATTAAATACACTTGTATGCTCTGCCTGATGCTCTCCGCATCGACTGTGTTACTAGTCAGCAGGGCCGTGCCGGGAAAACTCTGTTGTGACTGTTTCTTCCGTCGCACCTATTCCTGTCGGAACCCACTTCGCGCTTCTGACTTCCAAGCAGATCGTATCTTAGTGGAGCCATATCTAGCGATCAACTCATCCTATAGACAGTCCTCCTTTTCTTCCTCCAGCTCGTTCTCCTTCCCCGCCGCCGGAAATTTCATCACGCACGCACCCTCTCCCTGAAGGGAACCCATCATCGACCTTCACTACAGTGAACGTAGACTTGCAGAACCCGTGCTAGCTCCAATAGCTGTTCCTTTCTACGATCTCAATCGCGAAATGTCGTCGTCGAATTCAACCCAGCCTCAGCGAAGTAGCACTCCGCAACATGAGGCAAACAGCATGCCCGCCCAGCCTGAAGACGCGAGCAAGGCGTCCACTTCCACGCCAGCATTTGCTCCTACATCTGCATTACGCGTGCCTGTGCCAGACCGTGCTCTTCCTGCGATTCCTCCTTCTCGTCGGGCTCCTCCCCCCCTCTCGCCTATCACCACCGGGACCAGCACGGATACCGCACCAGCACCCGATCCCCCCTCCACCGGGACGGCGTCCAACCACAATTCATCTCAACACGGATCTAATCCATCCACCACAATTCCTCCGCAAATCTCGCCTCCACCTCCCGCCCTGTCTCGCAGCCCACCTCTGACTGCCCCCGGTCCAGGCCGTCTCTCCCGCCACAACACCACCTTCCGTCGGTCCTACTCGCCACACGAAGGCGAAGGGTACCCTAACCTTAACTTTGTGGATTACTCTAACGTCACGGGAAATCCTGGGAGTCTGGCACTGACAGGTGCGGATGATCTCGGTAGGGTTCCAACTAGTACGGCAAGGAGACAGTCGTATCATACCGTCCCGCCGCGAGACAGTATTGCTTCGGGCAGAGGAGACGGAAATGGAGCTGGAAATGTCAATGCTAATGGCGGCAATGGGAACGGGCAACGCGCCTCAAGGTACTCGGCGTACGACAGTGCCCAGGGACACATGTCGGCTGAGGGCGGTGCGAGCGGCAGTAGCGGGGGTGGCGGTGGTGCCAATGGCAGAGATAAAGGTACCAACGGCGTCGTGAATGGCATTGACAAATATGTGCCCGTGCTACCCTATGACCGGTCAGAGAAACGGAACGTGCGTAATCTCTAAACTCAGTTGGTCCAAGTTCCATGGTGACGTGCAAGACTTAACGGGTGGTATGACCTTCAGACGCTGAAGTTCGAAAAAGAAAGAACGGTGGGTGAAAGGCTCAAACCTACAATCGAGGCAGCGGAGAAGGAGAAGTTGAAATCCGAGCAAAAAGGTATGCTCACATCTTCGGCTCTCGGACTGCGTGATGTCTCGCCCTAACTTATATTGGGGTGCTCACTGAATTTTTATTTTTTGTCTGATGACGATATAGCGAAAATATCCGGACTCGCGCTGAACATCGCTATCGGCGCGCAAGTCCTCCTAGGTGCACTCACCACAGCTCTTGGAGCTGCATTGACCGGAAAATCAGTGAGTTTTCGTACATCTCTATTTTCATCTGGATCTCAGTTCGTACCTGCGTCTTCATCCTCATCCTCATCAAGCCTCCATCTCTTCATTCTCAAATGCTGTTTTAATCCCGCTATTTGTGCTTCTTTATATTTATATTGGCTATCGTATCGTTTCATCTGTTGATTTTGGAGTAATGCGCAGGCTTGCCTGCATTGCATCAGACCACCAGTCTCGCCTCTCTTTATTTGGTCAATCAAATAAGCATTGACCGTTACCCTGATACGAAGAATTCCTTTTCTGGGTCATCCCTTTCTGGACCCGCTGTGTGGAAACCACCACACAACTTACTGATGGGCCCATCGTTTGTTTCTTTTCTTACAGACTTCGGTAGCTATTTCTATTCTCGGTGCGTATAACACTCCCCTAATTTACTCTTTTGTCCTCGGGTTCACTCCTAAACCTACATGCGAGGAACTCCGTACTTCTCATTTTCTCTACTCTATTTTTATGTGACCCGCACTAACTTCCGCCACATGCTTTTCCCTTTGGCTTCTTGGTCGTTGTCGATGACGTAGGCGGTGCCGCGACACTGGTCGCATCTTACCTTGCCCGTGTCCGTGGATCAAACGAGCCCGAGTTCAGTACTCTGCGCGCAAAAACTCTCGAGTCCTATCTTCGTGAGATTCACGCGTTCGTGTAAGTTTATGGTCTCCCCGTCTGATGTTCAGTCGTCTAATGCCTTCCTCTTCGTCCTTCGATACTCATTCATTCATTTCTCTCTTGGCAGTATGGATTATGGACACGAAGTTGGCCATCATTGGGATGCCAAAATCGAAACCTACCGTGGCGCTCTCGAAGCCATGCTGGGCAATGCCTCTAGTTCCACCACTCAACAAACTTCTCAATCGACGACCGTTACACCGACGCCTAACATGGCACTACCTATCCCTGCCAACGTGCACCCTTCGTGGATACAAAAGATACGAGACTTCGGGCACGATGGGGTGAACGGCCTGAGAGGTTGGGGAGAGCAGGGTATAAGGGATCTGAGGGGCTATGCGGGTGAGCAGACTAGGGATATGAGGAGTTACGTGAACGAGCATGGGATCACCGTCAACCTGCCCGTTGACCTTACTCCGAACCCGAATGATTTGCTAGCCACGGGTCCCGTCCACCCTGACCTGAACAGAGGACTCAGCTTCCATGCTGGCGCTGGTAATGGACAGGGGTTGGACGTGAATGTGAATAACATGGGTGTGGACGTGGAGAAAGGAGGGATAGGGATGCATTATGGAACGGTGCCATATGCGGGTGGCCGTGGTGGGGGATACATTGCAGGAGGCGGTGGCGGAAACGGGAATGGAGGAAGGCCAATCTCGGGACAATCGTACGGAGGTCAACCAGCCGGGCTCTCTGGGTACGGTGTGGGTGGCGGCGTCGTCGCAAACGACAACGGCTTTCAAGGGACCGTACCCGCGCTGACGATGATGATGGGTCCTGGAGGGATCGGCGCGGATAGCGCAAGGATGGGCGAGAGGGCGAGGATGTCGATGCATTAGAGATCTTTGCGCCAGGTCCTCCTAGCGCAAGATTCCTGATGCATGGAACAGAGGTTTGTTGTCCTGTCTAGTATATCTCTGTTATTTCGTCATGCAGCTAAGGCTGGGTCGATTGAAACCAGCCGGCTGTTCATAGTTGGTTTCTTTTTTTCTCTTGGGGTCTCATGATGAATCTTGGTGAGGGCGTTGGTCTATCATTTTTGTGTGGCCTGTGGAACTTGTGTTTGACGCCTTATTATGATAACCCCAGGTTGTTTTCGTCTTGTTGTTCTTGGCTTGTTGTAATATCGGTCTGTGTAATCACGGTGTTGTCACGATTATTGTTCTTTCTAGTACTTACTCGGGCCTCCTAATTGAAAGCAATACACACGGTAATTTGTAGCATGAAATGTTGATGTAGGCTCGACCATAGGAAACAGGAGAGCTCGGCTGAAAGTACATCACACCACACATCGAGGAGAGAGAATGTTCAGACTCTGAATTTCTTCTTCAAAGCCGTTGGACATCCCGTCGACTCGGAGAGGTCAGATGATGGCGACGGCGATCCAAGTGCGGAGTTCCGGAGTCTGCCGAGGTTTTCTTCGCAGAGCGTCGCTCTCACTAAATTTGCTAGCCTTTATTTTATTTCCTTGTGCCGCGTTGGAGCCTCGGTCTACCTTTCTCTCTAGTGCTATGGCCGGTCATACCATTCGCGAACCAACAGACGTGCTCACCGAAGCGCTGCCTTCTGACGGGCTTTCCAAGAGGTGCGCGCCGGTCCAGAAACCCCGCACATCTGAGAACGTGAGCTGAAGGACCTCGGCTCAGCATGGGGTACGTTGACGTAAATCCATATTTATCTCGCGTGGACCGCAACCGGTCAGGATAATGCGCCGCTCTTGTGCTCAAAGTTGTCCTGAAGGGGAGCTTTGAATGTTCTATTCTATTACTAAAACCACAAAAAACACCTCCTTTTCCCTCTCGGTGGCACAAGTGGGACTTGCATTGATTCCAGGCGACTTGTATCGATATCGTCCGCATGGATAAAAGTCCAGAGAAAACAGTTTCGTATCGGGAAATTTACCCCTAGCGGTACAGAACTCCTCGTTCCCATGCCAGCTTAGAGCGTTTTTCCATCGTCTCGGGTTTTTTTGCCTCTCTTTGCCGAGGGTTTGTCTTGTAAGATACACCTCGGAGCTATGTGCCCATCCGACTCAGCAATCAAAGATTCGACTCTGTAGGGGTTCGACCATCTTTTAAACCTCCGTCCTACTATCGAGCATAAACTCACCTCCGCCTGACACCCTTCGCATTGTCTCCTCGAGCTCAACACCACCCAGCGGAGCCGTATGTACCGGGAGAACCCTGACTATATCTTCCGTCGCCAAGCCCATTTCTAGCGATCGCTCCATTTGAAGGACAATCCTTTTCGTCTTCCTGCAGCTCTTCTCTCTCTTTCTCCGTCACTGTACTCCCTAGGACCTTCAACACCGTACGCTCCCCATCCCTGAAGAGGACCTATTATCGACTTTCACTTTCGTTTAACAAAAACTCGAAGGATCCGTGCCACGACCAACAGCCGTTTCGGTGTAGGGTCTGGATCGTGAAATGTCGAATACAACTCAGCCTCAGCGAAGTGGCACTTCGGAACACGAGGCGAACATTAATCCCACTCAGCCTCCGAATGCAAGCAACGCGTCCGCGTCCACATCTGCATCCGAATCACGCGTGCTTGCACAAGATCGCGCTCTTCCTGCAATCCCTCCTTTCCGCCGTGTCCCTCCTCTCTCGCCTATCGCTACGGGGGCCAGCACGAGCACCGAGCTCACACCCGGTCTTGCCTCTGCCTGCACGGCGTCCAACAACGACTCATCCCAGCATGTATCTAGTCCATCCATGGCAGACCCTCCCCGACTATCTCCTCCACCTCCTTCCCTTCCTCGCAGCCCACCCCCATCTGCCCCAGGTCCAAGCCGTCTCTCCCGCCACAATACCAGTACCTTCCGTCGATCCTACCCTCCACAAGGCGAAGGATACCCTGATCGCAACTTTGTGGATTATTCCAACCTTACGGGCAATCCTGCAAGTCTGGCACTGACGGGTGCGGATGATCTAGGTAGGGTCCCTAGTACGGCGAGGGCGTCAACTTCACATCATTTCATTTCATCACGAGACGGCAATGCTTCGGGGAGAGGAGAAAGGAATGACGTTGGAACAAGTAACGGAAACGGTGGCGGGAATCGCAATACACAGCGCATGTCGAGGTATTCTACGTACGAGAGTGCGCAAGGACGCCTGTCTGCGGAAGGTGCTACGAGCGGCGGTAGTGGCGGTGGCGGTGGCGTCAGTAGCAGAGAGAGAGGCATAAAAGGCGTTGGGAATGGCATTGATAGATATGTTCCAGTGCTGCCCTATGACCAAGCAGAAAAACGGGAGGTGCGTGATTGTCGTACTCTTTCGGTTTCCTTTATGATGACGTGCGATGACTTATTAATAAATGTTCAATCCTCAGACACTGAAGTTCGAAAAAGAGAGGACTGTGGGTGAGAGGCTCAAACCCACAATCGAGGCAGCCGAAAAGGAAAAGTTCAAGGCCGAGAAAAAAGGTATATCCACATCTTCTTCTTTCGAGACCATATCACGCGTCGTGACCACACTTGAGCTGAGGTGCTCTCTGAATTCTCCGTTTTCGTTCCATGACGATCTAGCGAAAATAACTGGACTCGCGCTGAACTTTGCTATTGGTGCACAAGTCCTCCTAGGTGCGCTCACGACGGCTTTGGGCGCCGCATTGACTGGGAAATCAGTGAGCTTTTATTCATCTATATCCCACCATCGTCTCCACCATCACCATTTATGTTTGAATGACGTCCCGTGTCTTCTGTTCTGCCAATTTTTCCGGCCAAAACCTTTCGTTTGTTGGTTTCAGCACATGAGCATCTGCCCGGCTGGCCGCCGGTCTCGCCTGTATATCTTGAACCAGCCAAATGAACTCCGACTCATACCTGACATAGGGCTCATGCTGTTCAATGCGTTGTTGTGTAGAAACTATGGTACAATTTGCTGATGGATTCACCGTTTCTTTCTTGTAGGCTTCCGTGGCTATCTCTATCCTCGGTGCGTACAAATTTTACCCACTTCACTTCGAATACATTCCTAAAACCACCGCGAATCTCTGTTCTCATAACATGCACTGACTGTATTAACTTCAATGGCATGTTTTGATGCAGGTGGAGCTGCGACACTGGTCGCATCTTATCTTGCCCGCGTTCGTGGATCAAACGAACCTGAGTTCAGTGCCTCACGCGCGAAGACCCTCGAGTCCTATCTTCGCGAAATACACGCATTTGTGTAAGTTTTATTGTAACTCTATCTCGCCGTCTATCACCTGTCATGGCTTCGTGTTTCCAACTGATGTCCACTCACGTTATATCTTACTCATTGGTGACAGGATGGATTATGGGCATGAAGTCGGCCACCACTGGGACCCTCAAATCGAGAGCTATCGTGGTGCCCTCGAGGCCATGCTGGGCAATACCTCCAGCTCCAACACCCACCAAACCTCCCAATCAACGATCGGCACTCCCACTCCCATTACGCCAACGCCCATACCGCCCAACATCAATCCTACAGCGTGGATGCAGAAGGTCCGCGATTTCGGGCATGATGGAATGCAAAATCTACGGGAATTGGGAGAGCAAGCTAGGGATATGAGGGATTATGCTGGGGAACAGGCTCGGAATATCAGGAGTCACGTGAACGAGCATGGGATCATCGTCAACGTACCCGTCGACCTTACACCCAATCCAAATGTTTCACTGGCCCCTGTTCAGCTTCATCCAGGATTGAATCGAGGATTTAGTTTCTATGCGGGAGCTGGGAACGGACAGGGACAGGGACAGAATGTGAGCGCGAGTAATATGGAGAAAGGAGGAATGCAGTCGCTGCAATATGGAACGATACCGTATGGGGGTGGCGGTGGTGGGGACGGCGGGAATGGCAATGGAGGACGACCGGTATCGGGACAAATGTACGGAGGTCAAGCAATCGGAGTGTCTGGATACGATGGTGGTAGTAGCGGTGGTCCCGCAGTCGTAGGCGGTTCTACACCGGTCCCCACCAGGACGATGACGATAGATCCTGGAGGGATCGGAACCGATAGTGCAAGTATGAGCGAGAGGACGAGGATTTCGATGCATTAGAGGCTTTCGCATGTACATTTCGACGGGTCATCGTGGGCCAATCTGGGACAGAACTCCTGATTCGGAGGCCAGTTGTCTTCTTTAGGTTATCACTATTACATCGTGGCGCAACGACCAGGTCAATGGATATTAGTTCAAGTTAACTATACGTCTCCATACTTGGCCGTTTCTTTTCTCTTGGTCTTCCTGGAAGAGGTCATGATCCGGACGATGGTCTATCATAATGGCTCGTGGCATTTTATTATCATAACGCGTTATGGTGGCTTTGATGTGCTTCATCTTTCTGGCCCCCGTCTGTGCGACCACGACATTATTATAAAAACCCCAATTGAAAGCAACGATATATGATGATATGTTGGAATGCATATATGTAGATTTGACACCACTATTGAAAGAGAGCATAGCTACCTCCTTCCTGACACCAACAAAAACATCTAAGTACTCAAAATTTCTTCTTCTTCCTTCCCTTGAAACCCTTGAACACTGCGTCGTCCGAGTCATCATCCTGTATCACCTTCCGAGTCCTCTTAGACCCAGTGGTGGCGGTATTGCGCGTCGACTTTGTACTGGCCTGGGTCCTCAGAGTCTCCTCGTCGGAATCCTCGGGTGCCACCTCGTCTTCCCTATCTATAGCAACTGAACCAAGGTCAAACTCCTCATATTCTTCGTCTTCTTGAATACTTTGATGTCCTCGTTTCTTACTCCCGGAGGCGGGGGCACGAGTCTTTGCATGGCTACGGCTCTTTGGCTGGTTCTCCTCGTCGTCCTCAGAGGCGAGGAACAAAGCCTGCGATGCGGCGCGTGTTGATCTTGTTGTACGCCCACCTGCAGAGCTGGCCACACTTGGAGGTTTCTTCGATTTCGAGGCCGGAGCTCGGACGGGGACGGCGACAGGTCGCGCTCTTTTCCTTGAGGGAGCTACGTCTTCTTCTACCTCCTCTTCAGAGTTGAATTCAACTTCTGCGTGTTCTGGAGCTTCCGTGGCGGTCCGAGACTGGAGGCCATCCATAGGTTGACTGCGTTGTGCTCTGGAAGACTTATGTGTGGCACGGGGGTCTTGACTTGACACGTCCATCGACTGTGAGGCTTTGCTAGATTTCCAGTATGCTACGAAGGATGAGTCAAATTATGTGAAAGGTAAGCGGAATTTAAACGTACATGTCCCCATGCCGTAGTCGTTCGTGGACTCCTCGCTGGGGAAGAGGTCTATCTTGGGTCGGGTGGCGTGTGCAACGGGTTGCTAAAGCAAATTTCGCGTCAGTATCTCGAGACTCTAGTAAATACAAAGGTAAAATAAACCTTCTTGAACTTTTTGAAATTTGGCCTCCCCGCCCACTTCTCACTTCCTTGCTCCAACGGTCCCGCCACAACCCTTCCTACACCCCTCGCCGCCGACCTCGCCCTAGCCGATTCCACACTGATGTCCAACTCCACCACGACCATGAAGTTTCCCCTCAAGGTCTCATCTCCAAAATCCTCACGACTCATCAATTTCCATTCCTCCTCCCTCTGGCTCCTCTGCTTGTCCATCTCTTTGACATCAGGCTTCGAAATTTTGAGTTCGTTGAACTCCTTGTCGAAGACATCTTCTTGCTTCTTGCCCTTCTTGACCGAATTGACAGCTCTGAGGAAGTTGTCGTCAGTATCAGGACCATCTTTCTTTTTCTTCTTCTTCGAGTCGGTGTCTTGCTGAGAAGGAGGTTTGGCGAAACGTAGGCTTTGAGATGAGGTGGTCGGTAAATGGCCCTTTCTACCTGTTTGACTAGCGGGAGGTACGGCTTGAGATGTGCCAGATTGAGGCGCTTGCGTTTGAGAGGCTATAGGATCGACGCCGTTGATGTTCTCGAGCGCTCGTCGTTTGTACGGATTTTGCGTCCCATCCTCCATTTCTGCATCAGGGTCATCCTCCATCTCCCTCCTTTCCGCCTCGTCCATCTCAACATCCATTTGAGCGGATGTTCTCTTCGTCCCTCTGGCCTGAGAACTGACCCCAAGACCCCCACCCACAGCTTGGCTCTCCTCCTCTTCCTCCTCTGCCACAATATCCAACGCCACCCTCTTCGCCGACCTTCCGCCACCGCTCATGCCGTTGACGCCGCTCTGACTCTGTGTCATGCTTTGTCGTTCTAGCTCTTCTTGCTCCCATTGACTCTTCAGCTTATCCGGGTCGGTAGCGTCGAAGAGGTCCTTGTACTTGGACAGAGATGCGGATTTACTGGCTGTGGGGAGCACGTCATCGTCATCGCCGCCGAGACCGAGGAGGTCCAAGGCAGAATTGGGAGGAGCGGGGCTACGACGAGACCTAGGCGTGAAACGGGAGGGTGCCTACAGATAGTTTGACGTCTGGCAATCAATATAACTTATGTGACGGAGGATTGTGGGGGATCGATGATGACAGAAGAGGAGTCAGCTCACTCGTGCTTGTGTCACAGGTTTTGGAGGCGCAGGCGCAGGTGTCGTGGTTTCGGAGACCGAGGTATCCATGATGGAATCGTCGTCGTCCTCAAGTCCAAGCATACTCAACAACGATTTTGGTTGCTTTGAGCGGATCTGCAGGAGAAGAGGGAGAATGACCACCATTTTGGTAAGTGCTCTACGTGCCTACAGTGGAACAAAAATTGAGCCAGAACGTACTCTTCGGAAAGGACGGCGGGCTGGGGCTTCTTCCGGTGCTGCTGGGGCAAGAGCAGATTCCATCTCAGATATAGGTTGCTCTTCATCTGGCACAGGTGCTGAGGCCTGGTTGGAGGAAGGGCCTGCTTCCAAAGATCCGTCTGGTGGATAGGTTGGTTCGTCGGGGTGAGTGTTTTGGACAATGCTGGGCAGATCTGAATGATATATAGAGAATATTTAGTCTAGGTAGACGAACGGCAAGAAGGAATTTTACCGTTTATGACACTTGACTCCATCCAGGACTTATCTACATGAGCGATTGCCTGGAGAATATTCTCAGGAAGAATAAACTCTAAGTCAGAGCTACAATACCGCCGAATAAACATTAATGCATGTTCCACGTCGAAGAAATACGCAAAGTCTGAGATGGTGGACACACACCTCATCGCTTCATTTACAAACGCCTTCCAGACTTTCTTCCCCGCGGCTGCTTCCATCACCTCTGAGTCCGCTACCAGTACTAGCCTGCCATGCTGTTTCGTCGCCCCTTTCTTTCCCTTCTCTATCGCTTTGCCCCACTTCTCCACACCAGCCGCAACGTCAAACACTTCAAGTTCTCCTCTACCTCTCTCGACTAATGTGTGGTACTCGGAACTGGCTTCTCTTCCTGCTTCTCCGACAAAGATGAACTTGTACTTGGACAAGAAGTTCATCCTCTCTTCATTCGGTCGCCAGTACTTCTCGAAATTTTTGATTTCGGAAAGGACGGAAGAGGTGAAGGCGGGCTGATACTTGGCTTCGGATGGTAAGTTCAGTTTATACTCGGGGGATTTGGGGTCGGTTGGAGGGAGGGTAGCGGATGCAAGGAGGTCGGTAAGCCAGTCAGGTTTGACGAAATGGGCAGCGATGAGTAAAGACGTGGCGACAGCAGGGGTGAGCGTAATGGAAGGGGTGAGATGATGAGTGATTGACGGGTCAGGAGTTCGGACGAAATTGATGCCTAATATTCAGCGCTGTTAGCGCTCCTATACTTCAACATAAGAATAAGAGAATGTTGCACCTAGAGATGCACATCCGTCGATGGACACGGCTGACCTTCCCTTCATGGATGGCTCGTAGCAGCACATGCGCTGCCAAGTCAGCCTATAGATATTGTTACATATCAGTGAAGTGGGGCCAACGAATGGGGAGCGTACTTTAACTCGCAACCACTGATTGGGGATATTATATCGCCGTCCTGCAAAGTTTGTACGCTGCCAGGAGGTAAATATGTCGTCTGTCCATCACGTTTAAGATAAGGAGCCTTTCCCTTCAGACTCGAATATTCGAGCGTTGGGATCCTATCCGGATTTGCCTGTCCATGTCGCTGGAAATATTAGAGATCAAATACTTGGAGGAGAAGATGAGACACGACTCGCCACATCATCTGCGGTGTATCCTCCTACGATAAATGTTCCGTGATGTTTCGAGATTTTGTGCGAGTTGACAACAAGGGGTGTATCTCGACGTCCCAAGGCGTATTGAGACCCCGTTTTGAGCAGCTTTGACTCTGTCGACATACATAAGCATGAACTCAGACAAGAGTGAGAGTTGTTGATGCCTACTTGCCGCGGGCGGTAAGTTCGTTTGGTCATCGCCATCGAATTGACCGTCGATTATCCACATGATCAGCCTGATCCTAGTAAAACCTAAGAGTCTTGGATAGGGCCGACTGTGGAAGTTCTCTCCAAGAGGTGACTCCGCGTCGTCGCGTTCGCGTAGCCCGACGCGTTCCCTCGATGTCACGTGAGAGCGACGCGCGTAAGATGCGACGAAATCGAACCTGCTCTCCCTTTGTTCCAAACCAGTCCAAACCTCGAGTGTACCGTATATCAAGGGTACCCTCTTTCTTAACGTCAAGTCTCCACTATCATGATCAACAACGAAGAATTATAACTCTACCTGCCCAAAACTCAACTACAGAACCACTGGATCGGCTATCGATCAGTAGGACACCCGTGTCATGACTTCGCACAATTTACCAGAGCTCACGAATCTCAAAGAGTTCATCACCGTTCTCGACGCACAAAGAATTGCATCTCATCAGGAAGACCTGGATCGTGTCGCGCAACGCCTTCTTGAAACATACCGCGCTTGCCTTACACAGCGCAATGCTCTGGCTAGAATCAGCCGCCTCCCTCCGGAGACGATGCTGCACGTCTTTGCCGAGATGGACATCAAGGATCTGATACACTGTGCGTCCTCAACTGTGGCTACGAATTCTGACTCTGTTAACATAATACTGCATCCTCCACAGCATCATGGGTATGCCGTCGGTGGCGTGCCATCGTGCTCAATAACGCAGGTCTTTGGGCCGCACACACGCTCGCGATACTAAACCCCATGATGGTGAAGGCTGTTCTCGGACGCTCGAAAGAGGCCCCAGTCACGATTCGGTTAACCCGACAGGCTTTAGCAGCCAAGGACGAACAACATACCCTCAAATACATTCATCTACCGCCCCTTGTCAAAGCAGCTATCACTCATGCATTTGACGAAGCATGGCGTGCCAAAAGCGTCTACCTCTCTGGAACCACCAGTTTCTTGCGCGATTTACTTCGAAAATTATCCGATTGTGTACGCCATCAGACACCATCTGTATTAGAGTCTTTCACGCTGGAAACGCTTCAAACGCCAAGCCTCACAGGCTTTGATCCGCGCACCATATTCTCGTCTGCTGCCTTATTTGGCGGCCAGAACCCCGATCTGAAACAGTTATCCTTGCGAGGACTTGCTCCTTCATGGCCGTATCCATTATTTGGATCCAACATTAAGCATCTCTCTTTACGATTCAGACTTCCCCTTCCTGCGCAGTGTCTACCTCCATCGTACGATGACTTGTTTGCGTGGTTAGGCACCTTGCCCCTTCTCCAGCATCTCGACTTGGAAAACGCTTTTCCTGCCGATACCTTGTCCCCATCCGCGCAATATAGGCTACCAAACCTCCAGGAGATCATTCTCTGGGCCCGGCCCTCCGAGGTCATAGATCCTTTTCGATCTCTACTTCTACCTTCCTCGAACCGCATGCGTGTCATATGGCGCAACATATACACTCGCACAGATGATGTCGAGATTGAAGCTCAACACTTCTCCATGTTGTCTTCACCGTCTCTGTCGAATTATGACGTTGCGATGGGCGGGGTATCTAAGCTCACATTCAAGCCGATACGCTTCTTGAAAGTGACTATCGACGTGTACGGCCCAATCACCATCGACGGATATTCATCCCTTACGCATTGGCCGCTGCGCAGCACCAGCAGCATCGGTGCTAATGTATGCACTTCTCAGACACATTTCACACTCGAGACCATCTGCCACCCCCTCTTCGTGGACGCCATATACTCCCTCATGATACTCATACATATACTCCACGTCTCCAGTGTAGAATCCCTCTTCCTCTCGGTCCCTACGCTTACACACCGAGCCCGCACTCATTATCTGCAGGATGCCCGACCGTTCAGCACTGTTCACACAGTTGTCCTGGAAAATTCGGCCGCTCTTGTTCTTTTTCTAGATATGCACGTCAGCGTCTGGAAATCTGGAATCCCAGATCCGGACTGCGACGCATATAACATCATATTTCCGCTGCTTCGTCGGATCATTTTGCTGGAGGTCGACGCAGAGCCAGAGTTGAAGCGCAGGTTCCTTGGGTACTTGAAGGATTGCCAAGAGCGAGGTAAACAGTTAGAGGAATTGCGTGACGAAGGTATTCGTGGTAGAGTTGTGGACTCGGAATGGTTGGCGGCATTGCAGACCGTTGTGCACAAGGTCGATTGGAAGTAGGCCGCCAGATCGGGTAGATAGGCCTTCAAGAAAAATCAGATTTACTATTCTTATGATGTCTGTTTTCTCCTGTCTCTGATTTTTTTTGGCCTATGTTGAGTAAGATAGTTAGAGGACGACAAATCGAGGATACTACATAGTATAAGTAGTACATGAAGTGTACCATATCGACTATATGACAATGATCCTTCTACCCATTTCTTGAAACTTATGTTCTCGTGTAAACATGGCCTTTTACGGAATGCAGTTTGAGTGCTAGTATAACTTGTATGTGATGAGGACTTTATTACGGGACAGTGACCAGCACGAACGAACAAATTCGGGTGACAACAACAACAAGGCGCGATCGGGTGGCGTGTATCCGTTTAGACGCCACTGTTCAATATTCGCAGGCTCATCGGGTCCAACCGGGACTGGCTTTCTTTTGGACTCACACGCAGGTACTTACAAGTTACAACTGTCGAAATTCCTCTGTCCATGCTCGTGCTTTATTTATACTCTCAACTCTCCTGCAGGTTTTCTAGAGACCGTCTCCGAGCTATCGGCAATGGAGCTACTAAACTTGTACTTAGTAGCGGCTTGACCTTGCTTTAACCTAAGCTCGCACCCGGAGAAGTTGCGGAGAAGTCTTCTAATCTTCAAGAAAAGAACACTTAATTCCTCCACAAGGATGCACATTTTTCACTTGCCTGAAGTGTCGCATTGAAGTTCGAGATGCGATCGATGTCACGGTCATCAAAACGAACAGTCGATCTAGCGACGGAGTTCGGTCACGTGAGCCACCCGCCCACCTTGCTCTGAGCTCTCCGCCGTTATTCGCTGAAGTTGTCTCCCTCATTCATCCTCTACTCAAATCTCATTCTAGCCCTGCGCGTTCTACTTACGCATACCACACTCTTTTACATCTTCTGCAAACATTTCTATGCCGCCCATAGCTCGCTCGATGAACACCACGGACCAAGCTGCTCCAAATATACCCCGAGTCCCCCTGGTAGAACACGCCAAATTCCGCAAGGACCAGAACCGACCCGCCGACTCTCGCTCTGGCACAAATGCCTTTGGTCTCGTGGAACATCTTTCTAGGCGCCTCAGTGGCACCAAACGTGTATATCGATCCGACACTTCGGCAGATATGACCGCTGCTACTCGACGTGCGGCGTTTGATGGGGGCGAAGGCACACGAAATTTACAAAGAGGCGTGTCGTCGCCTCGGACGACGTATATCGCGCGGAGGTTCAGTCGTCCCCACGACAAGGAGAACGAAGGCGAGGGAAAGGGTGGACAGACCCAAGGTCAGCTGCCTATGAAAGAGACGACCGGGGATGATGTGAAGGGAGATCGCCAATGTCTTCTCTCTGTGAAAGCGGAGAACTCGAGGGCGGGTACCGCCACCTTCGTTGAAAAGGATCACCAGGGTTTTGGGACGCCTTTGCCTTCTACTTCTCAATGGCGACGTCCACGCTCAATCTATCGTCGTGGACGGCCTGCGTTCTCGAAGGATTCTTCTCACGGACGACTCGTATACACCCGCAAAACTCCTGCATCATCTTCTTGTCCCACCTTTCCTCTTTCTCGCTCATTCAACCTTGATTCCCCCGGGCCGGTGGCGGCCAAGCAGTCTGCTGTGGCTCTGGTTCTTTCTCGCCCGCAACCTCGCAGGTCTATAACCACTCCAGCTGGCCCAGTCTTGACTTCGCGATCTAGAACCCATACATATTCCTCGTTCTCGCCGGCTCCTTCATCGCTTCCTATGTCTGCGGTCTCTCGGCAAAAGACACACATATCCCCTCCTTCTGCTACCTCCGAGCTTGTTTCTGCTAAAGCTCAGTCTCAGTTTGCCTCGCACACGGATCCGCAATCTTCGTCTCCGACGCCAATTCTGTCAGCATTCCGCTCTGTGTCCGAATCGCTGTTCACGTCTTCGAGCGGTTTCACCGAATTCGGACTGGACAGTGACGACTCATCTCTCTCTCCATCGCCTCTATCTGATCTCGAGCGCCAGATAAAGGACATCAGTCTCAATTCCATGACCAGTTCCCCAACGAAGGCTGTGAGGGAACTGCAAGTTTTGAGGAGGGCGGCGTTGGAGAGTCAGGTCAGGAGGATGCGGATGACGCGCGGTGCATGTCATCCGGTTCGAAAGACCACAGGAGAGGCTATGGGTTGCCCTTCCTCGGCTCAGGCTGTGGTAGACCGATCGTTTTCAAAAGCTCGTGGCCCGTATCTCATGCCGAGTCCTGGAGGCCGCCGGACTAGACGAGCAGCTACTTCGCCTACACCGTCTCTACTCGTCGCTACTGGTGGTCGACCTAAGGTCATCTACGAGAGGATGCACCTCGACATTACGCAGGCCGCAGCCATATCAACGACCGAGGTGAAGACGAGTAGAAGCGCCTTTCAGTCTCAGGCTATGCACACGCTCCCACCGCTCGACTTCACTACAAAGGCTACGAAGCGCTCGGGTGCGATGTTCAAATCCAACGGACCGTCCTGGTTAGATTTTGACTTTTCATCATACAACGATGAGCTCCCTCCTGCCGCCCACACACCACCAAGCCTAGACATACACAATTTTCAGGCCCTCAAGGCTGAATCTGGCTCAGGTTCGCCATGCCGAGGACCTGCCAGCACTCATCCATCCATGACGAAATCAGCGCCCTTCCTCTGTTCGACTCAGGCGCAACCTCAGGTTTCAACCTCCTCGCGGATCAACCACTCGAAGCACGCGCGAAACGCCAGTTCTATCGATCGTTGGCTTCTTACCCTCCCTCAGCCCGATGTTGGCACCTCGCCAACTTTATCCCAGTCTCACTCTTCTGGTGGACTACTTCTTTCCCCAACCCGCACATGTGCTTCGATCGCAGGCCAAAGCGAGCGGCGCCGTCTCCCGCATTCGACTAGCGCCATGGTCTCTCGAATATCTCTTCAGGATACGCCTGAATCTCATCATCAACGAAGAAAGAGCGTCGGCATGGTTATGAATGAGAATAACGCGCGGAGGGCGAGCGTGGGCGAGGAGACTGACGGAATCAGAACGAGAGTTTCGGTGGCAGCGTCGCGGTCTTCGCAAAGTAAGCTGGTACTGGACGGCCTGGACGATTCGTTAATGGAGGATGTGTTTGGATATCTGTTGAAGCCTTGAGCTGGGTTCGAGTCAGTCTTTCGCTACTTTTTGGTATGCTTAACGGGAATTTCGGATGGCTGTGTATATTGACCGTTCAGATGTACTCAGGCTGACATGTATGTAGTCTGGTACCGTCTCGAGGCGTTCGGAAGTTCTGTAGGCAGCTTTTGAGTTCGAGTCCAAGCTGAAATATCTGCTATCACCGGTCTCAACCACATAATATTTACGAGGCACAACTACACGTCAAATACACGCAAATCAAACGGAAGTTCAGCGACATCCGAGGAAGTAAATCCTATCTTATTCTTGGGATATGGGCGTGCGCCGTGGGCTTGTGCCACAACGATCAGCCTGAGCTCCGTACGCCACTCCCTTCAAGAACTCGGTACCGGATCGTACCGGCGGCAACTGGCGGCGTTTGGCGGAAAGTCCGATGTGGCGGGATCGAGAACATTTTGTGGAGTCGGACAACGTCCCCGACCTGCTCCTCCTCCTCCTGAGGCCTAATCTTCTGTCATCCACCCACACCGATCGTCATATCTTCGCAGCATTTTTTTCTGAGCACCCTCATCGGTAACTCTCCACGCAATAGGACTCGGACTCGGCCCTAAATCCCGTTTTTGCTCCTTGCATTTGTTTTTCAAAAAAAAATCCTTGCTTTGAGGGCGACAACCAACGCATGTGCGAAGTGTGGCGGTACTTCTGCGCATTTTGTCTTGAGGTATTCGCAGTCAACTGCGACATCAAAGCGTTCTTTTCTTTGGCTAGCGTGGTGAAGCCACCAAGAGAACAGCAAAGCCTCTAGGCCCATAATTTGGAGCTTCGACACCACTGCTTATATACAACTTCATGCAGTCTTGTCGACGAACCAGGTCAAACAAACTTCTAAAAACAGCGTCTGGATCGTGTTTGCTTCGCTTCCGTTGTAATCTACACCCGATAATCGACAGAGATCTATTGTTCCACAACAAGCGCTCAACCCTTTGTCGTTGTCTAGGCCTCCTATGTTACTCGGCTTCCGTACCGTCCCCGAATATTTTGAGCCAATTTTCCGGGGTATACATGATGTTCAGGGTTCGTCCTTTGCTCAGGCAGCTTTTGAAACTGCGCGGTCTCGAACTTGGTCGTTCACGGCGGTCTTTTGTCAAAGCCGCAGTCCCCTCATTATCTTTGCTGCGCGCTCATTGGTCGTTCAAACAAACTTCGCCTTTGTTCCTCCTTGGGCCGGCGAATATATAAGGTCTCCTGTCTATGCTCTACATTTCCCCCATCGCCTCAGATCCTCCCTCACTCTTCAATTCCATCAACGAGACTCGAGCTTGCTCTTTCCCTCCTCACTCACTCACTCCTGAGACCTACTTGCACACCTTGCAACCACCCGCACCGACTCTTCTAACATACACAATATGTTCGCCGTCCTCTTTGTCGCCTTCTTCGCCCTCTTCTCTATGACCGCTGCTGGTCCCATCCAAAAGCGTAGCAACTCTGGCCGTGTACGTCGCTTTTGTTCCTGTACTCCGTGCTAGCTTATACTCACTTCACTTCCTTCACTAGGGCACATACTACGCAACAGGTTCAGCGTTCTCATCTATCGTGGACTTCGCATAAGTTCTGACCAAACCATTATCCTTCACCACTCTAGGTCTGGGCGCGTGTGGAACTACCAACACCGATAGCGACTATATCGTTGCTCTTTCCCAGGCCGATTACGGTAACGGCGAGCACTGTGGAGAGGTACGTTCATCATTTCTCGTTCTGTTCATTATGTTTCTCTTGCTCACAATGCACTCATATGGACGTTTAGACTCTCAAGATCACCGCCAATGGCGAGACTCACACCGCCACCGTCGAGGACAAGTGCATGGGCTGCTCTTCCGGCGACCTTGGTACGTTCTCTTCTCCACCCATCTTATGATCAATTACTGACCATCACTTCTTGTCGTCTTGCAGACATGTCGCCCACCCTCTTCCAGACCTTCGCCGACGAGTCCGTCGGTGTCGTCGAGGTCTCCTGGTACTACACCTCCTAAATCCGTTCCTCTTGGCTGTAACCTAGAATCGTCTCTTCCCAACTCCCGCCTTTCTCTGGTCCTTCTATCTTCCGTGTAATCTGCCCTGTATCGATAGTCCTCGGGTTCATTGCTCGTTGCCCCTACCTGTATCAATTACGCACATCTCGTGTGGCTGGGTCCCCAAAACTTTTTCATCATCGCTACCCCATCCCATTCATCTATCATTCTCCACTCCTTTACTTCACTCGTATCAGGGATGGGTTTTTTGGCCGCGCTCTTTCATCGCTTTAGCATGTCTCGCCTCCTTGAAGGAGCGGAGTGCTTTTGTTTGGCTTGCCATTATACTTATACTTCATACCATAAAAAGCTTCGTAGAGATGCCTTTGTTATAGTTACCTTTATTACACATAGACGGTCCGGGGATGCAGTGCACCTCCCGGCTTTTGTTTGTTGAATCAAAATGGTCCGCTACGGCGTTGTTGTGTCTCTACCACCTCGTTGGAATTCGATCTAGCCTGAGTATTGTCTGAAGAATGCCTTGTTTAACGTGATGATCTCGCCAATGATTTCTTAATCCTGCAGTGCAGCGAACTTTGCCAACTCGCTGAGTTCGTTCCACTCAGCCGAGCAGGGTGGCCCACAGCCCTTACGCAGCCGTCGGCAACGAGCGCGACGCGCATCCATCGACTTGTGGCGCCGTGGTGCTTCACCCAATGTCTTCCTCAACCTCGTCCTCCCCCATCCAGTCCCGGCCACACCAACCGCACATCCTCACGACATGTTCCAACTCATCGTGTCGTACTCAACTCGAATTCCCAGTCCCGACTAGCCCGTCGATCCCGAGACAGGGCACGACGCTGAACGTGCAATGTTTCAAATGTAAAGCTGTGTTTACGCATGTGTTTTACCCGGGGCAGGTATTGGGTGGGGGTTTGCAGAGCGTGGAAGGGAAGAGTGGGGCGTCAGGATCGAATGGTGGTGGCGGAGGAGGCTCGTCAAGTGGTATGGGCGTGAGGAAGGGCGGGAGGAAGATTGGGACGCAGGAGCGGCCTTTAGAGATGGAGTACTATGATCTTTTGGGTGTTCCAGTCGATGCGACGACAGACGATATCAAAAAAGCATATCGTACGTCCCCGTTCCTGCGCTTTACCTTTCCTTGGATCTATCATTGTGCACGAGACTGACTTTAGTCAACCTGGGCCTCGTATTTTTTATTCGTATATCATAGGACGTCTCGCCATCAAGCACCACCCAGATAAGAATCCTGATGATCCCAACGCCGAAGAAAAATTCAAAGAGATCGCTATTGCCTACCAGACCCTTTCTGACCCCGACCTCCGTCGAAAATACAACGAGTTCGGATCGAAAGAGAGCCAGCCGGAAGGTGGATTCGTCGACCCAGAAGAGGTATTTGGTGCGATGTTCGGTGGAGATCGGTTCGTTCCGATTATTGGACATATCAGTTTGGCCAAGGATATGAAGGCCGCGATGCAAGAGGCGGAGGATGAGGAGGGACAGGGGTCGGCCGTGGTGCAGAGGGATGCGAAGGGGAAGGAGATTCTAAGTCCGGAGGAGAAGGCACGGAGGGAGGAGAAGGCGAGGAAGGTTTCTGCGGAGGTAAGTGTATCATCCATTATGCTCTTCATTTCTTTGCGTGGTCTAACTTTGATATAGAAAGCGGCAGCGAGAGAGAAGCGTGTACAGGAGCTTGTGAGTAACCTCGAACGCAAGTTGGGCATCTTCACCGAGTCCGCAACTGGTCCTGATGACAAGGATGTCACCACGAGCTGGCGGACAATATGTTCGTTGGAAGCTGAGTAGGTTAAACCAACTATCGGCGATGAAGAACAAATAATTGATCAACGGTTGCGACAGGGAGTTGAAGAGCGAGTCCTATGGGGTCGAGCTACTACAAACGATAGGATTTGTATATGCCTCGAAAGCCAAACATTTCCTGGCGACTGCGCAGACTTTCCTCGGTGTTGGTGGTTGGCTGCATAATGTCCAAGGGAAATATCATGTTTTCAGCGAAACGTTCGTACTCATAGCTTCCTACTCGTCCTGTTTATCGCTGACATCCGCTTTTGTGTAGTGTATCCACACTACGGTCCGCTATAGAACTCAAGGCTGTGTTTGACCAGATCCAAGCAGCCGAACAGAACGGTAATATGAGCCCCGAAGAGAGGAAACGACTTGAGGATTCAGCAGCCGAGAAAGGTATACAAGCACTGTTTAAGGTATATCATCCTCTTTTTTTCCTCGGTAGAGCGAAAATTCATTGTCCACTTTTCGCTTCCAGGGCACGAAACTCGAAGTCGAATCAGTCTTGCGAGAGACATGCGACCGTGTTCTTGGTGACCCGAACATCACACGGGAGAAGGCCCAGCTCCGCGCCATTGCGCTGCAGATTCTCGGGCAGGCATACATGACAGTTCAGAAGGAGCAGGACGAGGCGAAGGAGGAGAGTGAGTACGTCAGGGTCGAGACGAAGGGTAGCCGAGATAGGCAGAGCCAGAGAGCAAGTACTGGTGGGTCTGGTTGGCCAGGGAGCAAATCGTGATGAAGACAAAAGTGGATCTAGGGAGGTCAGCGGACGATTGTCTTTGAAGGCGTTAGAGGAGGTGAGATGGTACTGTATTCTCATGGTTTGTATTCTACGCTATTTACCGCTTTGGAGTTCGACATGCGCGCTATCAAGTTTATATCATCCCACAGCGTACAGAAGCTTGCATCGCGTTTGACTGGATTGCTTTCGTCGCCCAGTTTCAGTAATAGATGTGGAACAGACTTAGAACACGACGTTTGCGCCACAGTCTGAACCAGCCTGTGGCGAGTGACGCAGTCCTTGCCTGTTCCCGCACATCGGCGCGGTTTTCTTCGGTTCCGGGGACGGCGACTCTATTCAAGTTGTCTGAAGTTGGAATGTTATGATCTCGTTCAAATCTCGTCGGTTCGCCGATACGGAACGGAGGTCTCCTCCAAAAGCTGGAAAAAAGCCGGTTTGTCTCTGGTAAGCCCGATTTCTTTCCACATAATCACGGCCCCTTGCATCAAGTACTCAAGTTAACATTAATATTCACACAGCGGATGGCGGTGGTCTTCGCCTTAACGAACTCGAAATTGCTGGGCTCCGCCGGATTGCCGCCGGAGGTTAACGACAGATCGCATTCTCCGGATGTGAGCAAGAGGTTCTTCCATCTGTGACACGTTTCTTCAAAACGTCATCGACGAGCGGGTGAACTCATTGAAAGACACGGACAACTACAGTCATGTCAGATCGAAAGGTCTCAGCCAGCTTGGGATGACTATATAAAGTCGAGAGGGAAACCCAATGCCCCCAAGGCTTAATCTCCTACACATTTCTATACCTCACATCCTATCCCCTAACAAACCGCCATGCGTTTCGGTGCTCTCACGTCTCCCGCTGCCCTCGGCGTCGTCACTCGAGGCCTCTCAGCCCGCGAGGCTTCGAAGCAATGCACTAACATGACCATCCCCGTCACGCTCGCCGCGCGGAACGCCGTCTTCAACGTACCCACATTGTCAAACAATCTTGACGCGACGACTTTCTTCCAGAACGTCTCAAACATCGGCGGGAACTTCACAGAAGAATCGTTGGTCGACTACCGCGACGAGACCGGCACATATAACATCTCTGCACAGTATTGCACGAATGGTTCCGATCCCACCACCCTGCTTTTCCTCACACACGGTATTGGATTTGACAAGTCGTACGTTACTGTTCCATATCTCTGCTCGTAGCATCGTTACTGACGTATTGTCGACAGTTACTGGGACCTGCCATACAATGACTTTGCCTACTCGTTCGTGGACCGCGCCATTGCCGCTGGCTACGCAACCTTCTCCATCGACCGCCTCGGTATCGGCATGTCCACGCACGCGGATCCCGTGCAAGTTGTACAGTTTCCGGCGGAGCTCTCAACCATCCAAGTCCTGACCTCGCAGATTCGGGACGGCAAGGTCGATGGCGTCCCTGCTCCGCAGAAACTTGCCCATGTCGGCCATAGGTATGTCTCAGGCTTTCGGTGCCCTTTTGCGTACATCACTGACACATCTGTCCATGACTGTAGTTTTGGATCCGAGCTGACTATGGGTCTCTCCGTCATGGCCCCAAATCTCACGGATGCCGTCGTTCTTACCGGCTTCTCCTCCAACTCGTCCTTCCAGACACAGACCTTCGCGAACTTCAACTCCCAACTCGCCAAGCTCAACCAGCCTGATCGTTTCAGCGACCTCGACCCAGGCTTCCTCACCTGGAACAACAACCAGTCCAACCAATTCGCTTTCCTCTACCCCAGTGGATTCGAACCGTCGATTCTTACGTTCTCAGAGTCGACGAAGTACCCATACACCGTTGGTGAGATCTTGACTCAGGGAGGAGGATCTGTTGCGAAGGAGTTCAAGGGATCAGTGCTCGTTTTGACGGGTGTTGAGGATGCGATTTTCTGTGGTGGGAATTGTTATAGTACTGGTGGTGTGGGAGCGAGCATTCCCGACGCTGTGGCGAAGGCGTTCCCAGTTGCATCAGCGTTTGAGACCTACCTCCCTACCACCACCGGGCATGCGGTCAACCTGCATTACAACGGTTCGTGTTCTGTTTTTGTTCTTCTCGGATTGAATGCGACGCTGAATATTTATTCTCATCTTTATCATAGCTCAATCTTCTTACACGTACATCATCGACTTCCTCAAGAAGCAAGGCTTGTAATGCTCGCTCTGCACCTGTATGATGGATGCCTTCTCCTTGGCAGATGTTCCGTGAATGATGATGTTTATTGGCTGGTTCTATAATGGCGTTTGTGTTCGGTGGGCCACGGTGGCGCAAGTTCGCTTCGGCCGGATCCGGGTGTTTCTCCGAAGGGGTCCGAGTCGTCGATGGTTTTGCTCTGACTTTGCTCCACTTCATTGGTCCGGTAAGTTCACTTCGCCATCCGTCGTACCTACTCGAATGTCGACGGCAGTTTCGCTTGGAATCCACGGATAATAGTCGGCTGTCTACTTCGAACCGACGTTACTAGCATTTCTCTTGCTCACCTCAAGGATGCAAGGCCCGGTACGCGTAGAGTAAATATAGCAATCAATGCCACAAATTAGTGTAGGGTTGTTCACTGTTCAGGAGCACACGGACAGTTAGCTCTACCTTTCACTAGTAGCCTTGCCAGACTGGTCAGGCTACTAGCTAGGCCAGGTCAGGCAGGATATCCCCTTTCTGAAAGCCGTGAGGCTTAGCCAGAGAGCATAGAATCCTGACAGAACCAATTATGCCTAGCTCGCTAACATCTGGTTGACCCAAGCAAATGCAAGTTTGCGACATCACGCGTCACGAACGCCATCACCACCCTGTCTCTCAATGAGCAATGTGACCCAGGTTGAAGCCCAATGCCAAGTTTGTCTCGTTTTCCTTTTGGCTTTCTGCTTACCCTTTTCTTGAACTCTTTTCTCGTTCTCCGCCTCATGATACTTGCCGTCACACCCTTAGCGTCCTAGGAAAAACACGGGCCCTGGTAGTGCATGCCTGAACCACCAACAATGTAGGATGTGACCCGATCTTCCTGGGGGTTTCTCTTCTACATTCGTTCGTCCGTCATGGTGCTCTGGATGCTATGGGCGACTCCTTCTCCCATTCTGGCACTGTCATCATTCAAGTCGAAATATCACTCGACGGTACCGGTATCCTCAGGAAATGGTGAACCTATATCTATAACAGACTATAAGTGACAGTTCGTTCTGGGGCCTCCGCATGGACTACTTGCAGACGAAAGTCTTTGTGCTGGCAGATGTCGAAATCATGAGGAGAGCTCGTGTCTCCACAGTCGATGGTAAGCGGTGCGAACGGCGAACACAGAATGACCAGGGGAGAGCGAATTATTTGAATGTCTTGTGTTCATCTGGTATAAAGTACGCTCGTTCTGCCGGCAATTTTTTTCCAGTGTTCAGTCACGAAGAACAATATGGCGCGCCCTGTCTCCACATTTATTGCTCTTGCTCTTGCTCTGGTCTCCGTACTCAGTGGAGTTGTCGATGCGAGGACGTTCACAGTGACAAACTCCTGCCCATACACGATCTGGTCAGTGTCAGGACATGGACCCGTCATCATCGTCCCATGCTGATTACTTGTATCATTTTGAAGGCCTGCTGTATGATCCACAGTATTTCTATCGATCTCTGTAATATCTGACCGGATACCTGCAGCTTTTCACCGACCTTCATGCCGGCAATGCTGTACCTCAACAGGCCACCGGGTACGTTTCTATGTGCACTGAATGCGTCTGTCAGTGCCCTCTGTTCTCTGAACCTCAACTTTCCTTTCCTTCTCTATTTTCACAGGTGGGAAGCAGCGCCGCACACCTCCGTCTCCTTCCATGTCCCGGATAACTGGGTGGCCGGTCGTATCTGGGTCAGTTCTCCCACTGCTCTCATTTCTATCTCGTCATGAACTCAGTTCAGAGAACTTATCTGAGCATTGGATAGGGTCGCCGCAACTGCGATTTTAGGACGAACCCCGGGGCAAATTCATGTCTCGATGGCGGGTGCAATGGTGGCTTGCTTTGTGATCCTCACACAGGTACCGTGAGTGTTCCTATGAAGGGGATGGTGAAACCCATTCGTAAGGTTATGACGGGCCATGATTTTTGGTAGGGTGTCCCTCCTGCGACGGTTGCCGAATTCACGTTGAGCTCGGATCCTAATGCTGCTGATAATTATGACGGTGAGTCCATTTGTCGGATTAGGGTCAGTCGTCGATATAAGAACATATTTCTGATACTCTACATGTATGGGATGTGTCTAGTTTCGTTGGTGGACGGGTACAATCTTCCGATGCGTGTGACCAATAATGTCGGGTAGGTCTATCAGACACCACATTCCTGCCCATACGGCCTCATGACAATGCTACTCTACCAGATGCCACATCGCAGATTGCCCTGTAGACCTCGCGCCCAACTGTGAGTAATTTACTACATGCGCATCGCAGTTCTAAACAGTCGTCATATATAACATCTCCGCTGTTGAAGGCCCTGCTAAGCTCAAAGGTCCCTTTGACTCCAAGGGGAACCCCGTCGGATGCCGCAGTGCTTGCCAGGCTGGTCTTTCCCCCGACCCCGGTACGTGCACTATATTTCTCATCTAGCGTCGAACTGTGAGACTAGACCGTTTACATTTTAATGATGGTCCTATCTATCCTCGTAGCTAATTCCCCGTACTGCTGCACCGGCTCGCACAACACTGCTGCGACATGCCCGCCATCGGGCGTACTTGATTATCACTATTTCAGTACGTCGCTGACCGTCTTATCATTTCTAACGCACGATTGATTCTTTATCTCGGTCGCTTCCTTGCAGAGGATAATTGCCCAAATGCCTATGCGTGAGTTAATTTCTGAAACTCCAGGAGTCATCTAGAAAGGGCTGATTACATCCACTGATAGCTATGCTTACGACGAGTCGAGTGGGACGGCTCTGTGGACGTGCCCATCCCACCTCAAGGCGGACTTCACGATTCAGTTCTGTCCTTAAGGCGACATCTTACGTATGCACCTTCAGCGACGCTGCTAAAGGGATGTAGGCAGGGTTTTGGACCAGACCGTGGCTGCGTTCCAAAAGGCAACTCCCATTGAACCTTGATCTTTGTGTCCCTGTGATAATTGTCGAGTCGTCCTACCCATGCCCGCTTTTCTCTCCACCCCGATATCAGTACATCGGCTTTGTAACGATCGTGTGTGTCAGTCTGTACCCAGAAATCAACGGTTTCGAAACATTTGCGGGAAAAATCTGGGCCGCGCCCTGAGTACTGCAAACGGCTGTCATTGTGTGAAAGCAGAAAAGACTGAAAGGACATACAAGTGAAGGAGAATAAATGCGGATCAGATGACAGGTGGATGGGACGGTAAGAGACGTGGAGACGGATGAATATCAAGAAACAAAAATAGAGGCCTGGACCGGAAGACATGGTCAAGTTTGGAGGAAGATCGTTGCATCAAAGCTGAAGAAAAAAAAATCTTGGTCCATTTGGGCTCTGCTCCCTCGCCGGAGGTATCATAGACACTGTGTCTGTGTGTATCGTCAAGAACAATACAAGAGAACAATATGTGATATGCGTGTTCAATCGCAGATGATGATATATGTCTCAGGAGCCTGAGAAGAAAACCAAAGCTCAGAAGCTGCGCGATCATATATCGCTACTGGATTCCCAGCTAGACAAGTGAAAAATAAGCATCAACTATCATGGGACCTCTAACAAGGGTCGCTAATAACACATACCGATATCTCTCTCTAGCAGACATCCCCTCCGCGTAAGATATCTCCACCGCGTTTCTTGACTTCTCACGTTCCCACCATAGCCGACTCCTAATGGCATCTTGCCCCTCCAATTTGATAGGCATGGATACCTCCACAAGGACCAGAGATGGAAGGCATTCGATCCAAGCCTTCGCAAGTGCTTTTCGACACTTGATGAGATTTTCTGAGTCCGCTTGGGTGGTCTTACGAGTGTGGAAGATGTCGAGGCGGAGGTATTGCAGGTGTCGGAAGCATGGATGCTCTTCGAGGTCAGGTAGTGTGAACTGAGGAGAGCGAAGGTCTCAGTTGTGGATGACCTTCTGTAGCGATATTGTATTCAGAGGTGAACTCACGTATTCGAATATAACGTTTGATTCTATCCATGCAGCGACCGTGATACTAAGGTCGAGGACCTCAATGTTCGGAATAGCCGCTGCCAACTGCGACAAGCAAGGCGAATTGGGTTCCCTCAAAAATATTGGCAGCGAAAGATGTGTGATCGGACACTCCCCGATGGAGCGTAGAAAAATTGTCCAATCCACCGAACCATCCGCGAGGAACTTGTCCTTCGAGAACTCGATGCGCGTCAACGTATCGCTGACCGCTTGGAAAGGAAACAGGGCCGAGTCTGTCTTGAGACTCTTTATAGGAAGAGTAGACCGTGATTGACCGAGAAGCATCCCACTCTTCACTAGAGAGAGATGTTCGATGTTCGGAAATGCGAGAGCAAGACGTTCGAGGGAGATGGTGTAATGGAAGTTAGTCGGGTGACGGAGGCTGAGGTGGCGCACGGTAGGGTTGATGCGGACGGCGGCCTCGTATTCGCTGTACACCAGATAAGGCGGTTCGATGTCTGAAAGCGATAATTCTGTGAGGGTATCGATTGAATTGGTAATCATGTTTGTCACGATTGACTCGGCGTCGATGAAAGAAGAACGGACAGCTGAATGGGCAACGTGGATTCCTAGGTGATGGAGACCTCGTATGGGATGAATCATGCGGAGGAACGGTGTATCGACACCCGAGACCGAGAGGTATCGCAATAAAGGACGGCCCAGGAGCGTCTGAGCTATCGGAAGCTCGCGGCCCAGCGAATAAATTCCTGGCAAGGTGTTGGAGTGCAACGAAAAGTGTTCGAGGTTGGTAAGCTTGTAAAGAGTCTGCTCCAGCGTTTCTACGACACTTCTCCAATATAGGTCTGTTTCGCCTGCGAGCCGGCATGCCGCGTCACCCCGTATGTGCAGATCCTTGGTGATGCTGCCTACATCTCTGGAAAGAGAGAACTGGCAGAAAGCCATGAGTTGTTTCGTGGATCGGTCAAGTTGGACATCCCGGACGAGGTGGGACTCAGTCATAAGGGCCCCATTGCGTGAGGTCCTCGCAAAGGTTACGATCGTAGATCTGTCGAGGAAGTGCAGAACACGATGGAGGCAATCTTCGTCCAGAACTGGTAACGGATGGACTGTGGAGGACTTCGAGATATATGCTCACCAATCTTTTGACAATTGGCAGAAGGATAAACGCTTACCATGTTATGTTATCAGAAAAAGTCGCAATGCGATATGCAATAGAAGTCGCTGAGGTTCATTCAGAGGGCAAATGGACTGAGTCCTTGTAGGCTAAGCAGTTCGGTGACCTATCAGCTCTCTGAGAATGTTAATCATCAATGTAACGGACTGTCCACTCAAAAGTTCAGCGTAATCTCGAAACCAATTCGCAAAAGCCACGACTGCTATGTATTTGTGACAAGAAAGAGCGGTTAGGGTCGACTCGGAATCAGGTGTGAGTATGTAGCAAAGAAAGACGCGGGTGAGTGTGGCGTAGCCCCTTGTGCCACTAGAGAGTACAAATTACATAAGCACATTAGCCGCGTCACCGTCGAACGCGTACGCGTTTACTAGCACTTGTTCTCTTACCCCTACCTCATCTTTCTCAGTTTCTACCTTGCACAATGGATCACTTCCCAACAAACTGGGGCCGCCCAGTCAGTAGAAAATAGCATGGCTTTGCTATACGAAGGAATACTCATGCATCTAAACGGTTCACAGAGAAATGACGCGTTTGATGCGTACGGAACCTATCCTCTCCACGTCCGTCCCCAGAACGAACCGAAGGATACGTTCGACCATGGTGTACAGCGCACCCAGTGCGTGCGACTACACTCATGTATGTCTGTAATTTACTGACTGCTTCCAAAAGACAACCCATCGTAACTGGAACGAGCGTCCTTGCTTTGACATACAAGGATGGCATTATGATGGCTACAGACAATCTTGGTGCGTCTCTCTTCTTTTTCAACTTATGCCTTCAGACTAACATGTTCTTAGCCTCATATGGGTCTCTGGCACGATTCAAGGATATCCAACGACTGCATCCCGTTGGCGAGTACACTGTTGTCGGAGCAGGTGGCGACATGTCCGACTTCCAGTACCTGCAACATATCCTTGACGACCTCATCATCGAACAAGAAGTGAACACTCAGGATAATCACAAACTGGGCCCTGCTGAAGTCCACGAATACTTGTCGAACGTCATGTACGCCCGGAGGTCGAAGATTAACCCCTTGTGGAACTCTTTGTTGGTCGGTGGTTTCAAGGACGGGAAGAAGTAAGTTCCAGCACTTCATAATCCACCATAATTATCGTAATGGGCTTATTTTTAACATGATACATCTTAGGTTTTTGGCTTATGTCGATCTGCTCGGAACGACATATTCGGCATCAACAATTGCCACAGGTTACGGTGCCTACATTGCTCTCCCTTTGCTCCGTAAAGCTGTGGAAGGCAGGGAGAACACTCTGACTGAAGAGGAGGCTCGTGCCATCATGGAAGAGTCCCTTCGTGTTCTCTTCTACCGAGATGCCCGTAGCTTGAACAAGGTACGTTCCGGTCACTATGTCCTTTGCATGCCTCTGAACACTCGCCCCTACCACACAGTACCAAATCGCCACCGTCACTGCTTCCGGCACTTCAATCTCGGACTCTATCAAGTTGGAGACCTCTTGGGGCTTTGCAGAGGGTATCAGAGGCTATGGCTCTCAAACGCAGTAATTCTGATGAATCTTGTCGGTACTTTGCCAGATTTTCGTTGTAATGAGAATTGTATGATCATGGAGTCGAGCTCAATGAGGTGCGGGGTCACGGTATGGGCCAGCGAGACACTCACATTTGCGTCTATGATGTGGCAGTCATCAACGTGCTGGTGCTAACGCACTCCAGCTGAGAACGTCATCACAGCCTTCACCTGGAACTGACTGTCATTTGTCTTCGTACAGGTTGCTTCGATGAATCACGCAGTGGAAAGAAAGGAAACCGGTCGGCGTTGTGTGCTGCGATAAGTCGCTCATCTCTCTTGCATGCTTGCTGAGCTCTCCGATCCTGTCGTGTCTCCTTGCACGGCATCAGCTGCCTTAGTCGGTTGCGCAGACTTCCATATTCTTTCTGACAGAAATCTCTTACCGTACACAGCTTGATGGCCTTTGTTTCCAAAAGCGCCAGAGCTTTTCCCGTTTCGTGGCCCAATTGTTTGATTAATCTCACGATATATCCTAGCAATGACCGTTAGGTGGAACACTAGTCTTCAGCCTCGAACGGTGGTGTTCCTGGTGAATACCGAGAAGTCCCTGGTTCGGTGCCTCTCACGCGCCCGAAGCTCCTACTTATAGCAGTTGGGAGATGTGGATTCCTATCATTCTCATCTCGCATGCCCGCCAGTGATCCGACTTGTGCTCAAAGGGGAATCCCCTTCGTGGGCACGTTTCACAAGAATAACCGTTCCACGGCGCTAGACATCTTTTGTCTCCACCTCCATCATCTCCCAGTCCTAGCTGTACATAACGCTTCGTGAGTCCTTCAGGCATCACGCTCGACCTTGGGATCGTCCCCACACGACACTCGCTCGTTGTTCTGGCCTCATTGTGACCTTTTCCCTCTGCCATGTCGTTGCGATGGTTCACTTTGCCCATCTTGATGGCGGTCGCCAGTTCTCTTATGATGCCCTGCTGGGCGCGAGCACAGGAGATATCATTCGGCTGGTCGTTTGCAGACAACGTAAGTCGTTGGTCTGATCTCGAATTGCTTTCTTCTCTCTTCTGAGCGAACTACGACTCTGTGACTGGTGTTTGCAGCGAAATCCCCGACTTGTGGAATGCGAAAGTATCGCCGTCGTGGTGAGCGAGCAAAGGGATGGGCCTCACCTTGGATCTCCACCATATTACGTTGTTGCGTATGAGCTCGACGGAATAGTCACAGTCAGTGAGATTGGTTCCGATGCTGGCAATCTCAATTGGCTGGTAAATCACCGCGCAGGTACGTTTCTTGTCATATTTCTTACTTGGTTCATGTGCTAATCTTGCGGCAGGTTCCAACGTACTTGTGAGTGTGGTCGATTCCCAAGGCAGAGGCGGAAGTGTCTCGTCTCTCTATTCTATACAAGGTACGGCAGCCAACGTCGCGTCTGAGATAGGGACTGACCCGGTGACTCGTGTGTATAGCTGGTTCTTCTGCCTCTTGCCTTCCTTCGGTCCCTTCGACGTCCCCACTTCTCGCAATAAACGTCAAGAGGGACAGGAATGCCTGTGAACTTCACATGAACAAGGGCACGCCACCTTACACCGTCTCCATCGCCGAAGCTGGCGCTTCTGTGACCAATCTGACTCTTGGTTCTGAGGACCACACGTTCACGTACATTAATAGAGCAGCGCCCGATACCGATGTATTTGGTGCGTAGCGGCTTTGGCGTGGAACGCAAAGTGCAGATGAATGCTGACTTTCCTTCGGTGTTCCTAGTCTCCGTCAGCGACGCGTCAGTGCCTGTACGAGTGGTGTATATGTGTTTGAGTGCTAACTCCTGGTATTCTTTGTTCTTGATTAGGAACGGTATCTGGGCTGGGCAGACTCTCAGCATCAATACCATTCGACCATCAGATCCCTCCTGTGGCGCAAGTGGCGATCGTATTTCCTCCCGGGGATTGCTTGATGCTGAGGTGCCGGGTGCTGCAGCCAATGGCTCACAGCAATCTGCACATCGCATAGCCTTGATCATTGGTATCTGCATCGGCGTCGCCGTCTGTGTGATCATCCTCTGTTTCGTCGCCTTCGTTTTCTTCCTGCGTAGAACTGGCAGGTGGCGCTGGGGCCGTAAATGCTCGCAAGACGCGATGCCACGGACGTGGACGTCCGATGCTGGGGGAGATACCACTCTGGTCTCCAATACCTTCATCAGTCCACTAAAGAACAAACGGTCGCATGATTTTGCCAAGATGAAGTCAAGGTCAGAGCCAAAGCTGACCCTGGATACGATCGACGATGACTCCAATTCACGGACATCACCCTACACCATTGACGATACTCAAACATCTTCGTCTATCTACAATCACCCTCGTTTGCGCCTGGATATTGAGGTCCTCGACATTTCCCCTGCGAATAATCCGGACCCCAGTCCACCGCTGTGCAGTACCAAAGATGTCGGCGCCGTATGCTCTCCGGAAAGAGCAGAGCACTTTTCGCCAAGTGTAGGAGGAACGTTTCCATCTTCTAGCGTCACCTCCACACCCATCCGCCCTTTACCCACTCCACCAACAAGGAGTCGCTTCCCGTTCAACGCTCCATCCGCCGCCTCACCCCTCAGTCCTGCATCACGTCCACTCCCATCAACACCAACACCGGTTACACCCGCCAGCCCTCTATCGCCGCCACAATCCAGACGGCACCGCGACGTCACGACCCCTACATCAAGCACACCCTCTTCGCATCCTACCTACCCCCGAAGTGACCACCGACCATTACAGCTGCATTCCTACGACTCTCAACCCGGCCATGGCCACCTGCGGTCTTATCGCTCGACACCCAACGTCCGTCCCTCCGCATCCTCGTCCGTCATCTCCCCCATCCATTCTTCGAATCCACATACACGTCCGAATGGCCAAGATCAACCTCGGCCTTCTGATTCGAATTCGTCGTCGAGGGCCAGGACTCATGAGCGTCAAGACCGCAATCGTGGTGTAACTCGCTCGCGCTCGTTCAATAATCTGCGCACTTTCGAGCAGGGGACCTTGAGGGAGAGTTGGAGTGAAGATAGGTTGGGGAGGGACGTCGTTATTTTGCAGCACAGGGACGCTTCTGTGCCAGATACTGTGGTCCAAGAGCTTCCTCCGCCTTATCATGAATTGACCTTCGAACATAATATACCACCGGGACGTCGAAATGGGAAGCTAGGTGGACGCCCGTGATCCGTCGAGATCTGTCGTTATATTTACTCAGACAATTATTCTTTCCCTTTGCTCGATTTTTCAGGGATAAAATTCTCTTGTTTACTGTGGTATATGGGCTTGCGTAATGTGGTCACAGTGGTGTCCTCGTTTGAGAGGTTGTTTATCGATATGTTGTGATTATTCTCTTTGGGCATGCTCGTTCTATACGTGGACCATTACTTTCTACTTCACTCATACCTACCTTCCTGCTTCCATCTATATTCTGTAGCACATTCGTCGAGTTCGTCCTCACACACACATGTATCTCTTACACTTCTTTTTCTTTTGCTTCCATTCTCAATCATCGATCGTTTCAGAAGATCATAAAATGTTGTAGAGGCTGGGCCTGTCAATGGCTGAAAAAAGTCCCTAATAATAAGTAGACTATTACTTAAAGAAGATGTACCAACGGTCCCCTGTGAGAGCTATCAGAAAACCAGGAAACCCTGGAATAAAAATAAGACACGGCAACTCACATATGCTCTCTCCTCAACCGTAATCCCTCTTCCTTCCCCACTTCAATGATGCCACCGTAACCATCACCGTCGCCATCACCGTCAACGTCAAGGCTCATTTCTCCGGCGTCCAAGCCGTCAACTTCCATCCTGGAAGAGGAGGACACACCGGCAGGTTTCCTTACCCACCACTGCCTGTCATAAGACCGAAGATGTGTATGGACAGATGTCTCTACGCAGACGCAAGTGTTCGAACTAAGATGCGAAGAATTTCGACCAAGCCACTTCTGAGCGATAACTCGCTGGATGTTCTCGACGTCTACCGGGGATGCACCTAAGACTGGACAGCGCAGTTTGAGATCGAGCGCGAAGTATTTGAGGTCGGCCAGAGTCGAGGTATTGATATCGTCGGCGATCTACATATGGAGTCACACTATTAGTGAGCATCATGATTGAGCCAGCAAAGCCTAAGAATACCCACAGATTGCGTCAAATCCTTGATGCCCCAGGACGGCTCGAGCTCCATCGCCACCAACAGGTGCAAAAACCGGGCATGCCCAACGAGATCGTTCAACCATTCCAGCAACGATATGAAAGACCTATGACAATGAAAGCCGACGATGATCCCGCGCAACTGCGCCTTGAACGGCCTCACAGATCTCCCAAACTCATTATCGCCACCCGAATAAATCGTCGGCGTCGAGAAATGGACATGCGAGAGCTGGACGGTGGCAAACTTCGCTATCGAGTCTTGGCTCGTCTTGAGCGCGACGAGTGGTAGGTCGGCGGGAAGTGTGTCTCGCCAGTCGTCCGAGAAGTTAGGCTCGTTGAGGGGCTTGGGGGAGTTCGCGGAGAGGTGGCGTAGACCGGGAAATACGGTCGCTACGCGCTGAAGAGAAAGTTTGGGGTCGGTGGGACAGGACCATTTGCACCGAAACTCGAGTCGGAGGCCGCGAACGTGGGGGAGGAGGAGGATGGGAGGATCTTTGGTGCCTTCGAAGAGTGTTGGTGGGAGGGTACCGATGAGCGTGAGCTCGGTCAAGCTGTCTGCGAAGCTGTCGAGCAGTCGTGTGAGGGATTGAGCTGGGTCCACTTCCAAGTTCCAGGATGCTTTGAAATCGGTCGTCAATGATAGAGACTGTAGGCGGCAGAGGCCAGCGCCCATCAAGGATAATACGGCCAACTGTGGCGCCGGCACTAGGCTGAGAGACGGATGTTCCGAAGGTGGGTGCGATTGAAGGGTCTGCACGAGGAGAGGATGCGGGGCAGAGATGATTTCGGGAGGCTCTTCTGTGGATGTTCTATTGATGAAGGGAGGAGGCGACCACTTCACGAGTGTCGAGTCGGGGGGTGTCGCACGAAAGAAGGATCGGAGATTGCTGGTCCGTTTGAGGAGAAATGACAACGCGCGAGCGCATTCTGTCGATTCATCTATGGCATGGCCTTCGATGTGCAGTTTCTTGATGTTGGCGGCCAATCCTTTCGTCAGCGTGTAGCGGCAGAAGTCGACGACTTGGGTACTGGAGCGACTCAAATGAACGTCTCTTGTAAGATGTGGCCCGACGAGAAGGTCGCCCCAGCGAGAGGTTTGCGCGACGGTGGCAAGGGTCGAAGGTGGCAAGTAGGCCATGATGAGGTTGGCGCAGTCGTCATCGAATGTTGGACGATTGTGGTAGGAATTATCGTTCGCCTATGATGAGTTCAGTATTCTCTGAACTGGCCTGCAATCAAGATGGAATGTACGCACCGTGCCATAGAAAGATGAATCCATAACTGTCGCGATGATGGGGGCAGAGTCAGAAATCAGCGTGAGCCACTCGTATAGGTAGCACAAAGTATTAGGGGTTGGGGCCCTCCGGCGAGTTCCGGAACTCGTGTTTCCCACTTTGCACGCTATTGATTCTTCGCTTCTACCTGATCACATTTTACGCCTCCGTTTACAATCCATTGCACCTTGATTTTGTTTCGGTCATCCTTGTTTCGAACGTACTTACCGTACTTACGTGACTCGAAGTGGCTTTCTTGCGCTGTTCTTACTTTATCCGTTCGGCCCGGCGAGGTCCTGTACCTGAGCTATGTTTGTAGCGTAGTCGGCCTATCAAACTTGTTTCCTTGTGATATCGTGCACCACCAAGAAAAGTACATCTGCGCTTCTCGACGGTGCAAGATGGGCATTAGAGAAGAGATTTCGACAATGCCTGCAGCAGTGTGTACACCAGCTCCAGGGCTTCATAATGTCCATGTCTTTAGAAGAATGGGTCTGGCAAACTTACTGGGAGGAAATAGTCCGACTCGAGATACGGAGGTCGGAGGATAAGGATACAGATCCAGTGGCGCGACCTTAAAGTGCCCTCAAATAAATGTGGCGTTGAGAAAGGTTTTGACCACCTTCAGACCTAGTCTTGCTGAGTATCGACAGCTGAATGGCCAAACAAAGTCTTGTTATATCTCTGCACCGTCGCTGTTATGGTTCACTGCAAAGAGGGAGTCAGGAGTAGACGCCCATGCCCGCGGAGTGCTGGAAATACGTTGGAGATGGAAAGATGAGCGCCTGGCATTGCGGTGAAGTCCTGTCCAAGGCATGGATCACATCTTTCCACGCGATCAAACGCTGCACTCGACGCCGACGTGGCTATCGATGCGGTGAGATTCTCTGATTCTGGAGACAGTTGATACAGCCCGCTTTGTGCGTGGAGACGCACCATGATAGTACTAGTGTATAGGAAAGAGAAAGGGGGCTTACTTGAATGGTCTCCTTTGACTTGCCTCACTATTGAGCGTCATTCCTCGCGTGCATCCAGAAAGAATGAAAGCACTGATGAAGCTAAATGGCTCTTGTCAACGGGAAGAGTCCAGATAATGGGGCCAGCATAGACGTTCGGGTTGGAGACAAGATATTGTTTTAGGCGCCTATATTTACACTCTCACCTTGAGCAATGCGTCATGGGGAGTCGATTGCGATAAATGGAGAATAGTCTCAACACCTCTGTCCACGATGCTACGAAATTATCGGCCCTGATAGCTGGTGTGGCCCTGGTTATTTCGACGGGATTGTAAAGGTCCAAAAGCCGTAGGTACCAGGAGCCTTAATAAGGGCTACAAGTCGTGAAAGATAGTCGAACGACTTGCTGTGTCCCAGATATTTTATCGAGCAAGATGGGGATGAATGAAAAGCACGAGACAGAGCCAGATCACGGACTGGATGAAGCTCGACCGTTCGAGTTCAGTCGCGAAGTGGCGGGACCGAGCTGCCGGACCGCCGCACGTGGCTCGGAGCAGGGGCATGCCGAGTCGCGAACGAAAGCAGCTCTTGATCGCACTCTCCCTTCACTCTTTGCTCTCCCCAACACCCCCACACATCTCGTCGTCGCCGCCGTTCTCAACAGCGAGGAAGCATCCCTCGTCATCGCGGCGCTCGAACTCAGGACAATTCTCGGTTTCTGGGGACATTTCTCGAGTTCGTCCCGCATCATCGAGCAGCTGCTTGACAGTGCTAATTTGAGGCACGAATAGCCTACAATCATGGAGCCTTCAAGCCCAACCCCCTCTCTCACCCCATCTCGCTCCCCATCACCTGAACTACCCGTACAACCAGACCATTTCTATGGGTCTGAAGGCGTCCCACTACCACCGTCCCCAGACTCACAAGGCAGGACATGGCTCGACCCTGAAGACGACCCGAACGCTGCACGGGGCATCCCAGTCTTCAAACCCACCATGGAGGAGTTTCAGGACTTCGAGGGTTACTTGAACAAGATTGAGGTCTGGGGTAATCGTAGTGGTATTGTCAAGGTCATTCCGCCGAAAGAATGGTACGTCTCGTTCGCCATGTTCCGTCCTGGTGTCATGCTCAGCGCATTCGTAGGTCGGACGCGCTACCCGCGGTAGGCGACCAATTGCCCAAGGTGCACCTCAAGAGTCCAATCGAACAATACATGGACGGCCAAGGCGGCTTGTTCCGCCAGAAGAACATAGAGAAACGGAAGGCCATGAGCGTGCGCGAGTGGGCGGAGCTGTGCAGCAAGCCAGACTATGCAGCACCCGGAGTGGACGACGTCGTTTTACGAAAGCCGGACGCAAAGTCGACACGGAAACGAAGAACGAAGAAGAGCACGGAGGCTGAATCACGACCGAAAGAGGAATCCGAAGAGGAGTCCCATCCTCACGCAATGGCGACCCCGCCCAACGACACTGAGCACGAGGGATCGGAGGAGGAGAAACCGCGCAAGGGTAAGGGCCGTCGCCCTCAAAAGGAGGTTCAGAGCGAGAAGGAAAAGAAGGATGCCGCGTTCTTTGAGGACTTTGACCCCCACTCGGACTGGCTACCTTCCAACACCGCACCTTGTGATTACACGCCAGAGTTTTGCTCGAAGCTCGAACGTCAGTATTGGCGGAACTGTGGTATCGGCAAGTCTGCCTGGTACGGCGCGGACATGGCTGGTGCGTCTCAACTTTTCGCGTCTAGTCAGATGACTTGCTCACGACCGTGTATGATCTGCATGACCTCATCCAGGCTCGCTCTTCACTAATGAAACGACAGCTTGGAACGTCGCGCGTCTCCCTTCGCTTCTGGAGCGCATCTTGCCTCGAGACAAGCGAGGCGTTCCTGGCGTGAATATGCCTTACCTATACTTCGGAATGTGGCGCGCGACCTTCGCCTGGCATGTCGAGGATATGGACCTTCACAGCATCAACTACATCCACTTCGGCGCCCCCAAGTTCTGGTACGCTGTCCCTCAAGCACGCGCAAATGCCCTCGAGTCCGTACTCGGAGGTATGTGTTTGTCTTTTCTTATGTTATGCTCTGCATCCGCTCACATCTACATTCTCCTCCGCTCGAATCATCCAGGATTCTTCCCAGAGGGCCCAAAGAGCTGCCACCAATTTTTGCGACACAAGTCATACCTTGCGTCGCCCAGTCTTCTTACCAATCAATCATGCCGCCCTAACACTCTTGTCCAGAAGTCGGGAGAGTTCGTCATCACGTTCCCTCGGGGTTATCATGCTGGTTTCAACATGGGTTTCAACTGTGCCGAGAGTGTCAACTTCGCTCTCGATAGTTGGCTAGAGCTTGGTCGTAAAGCGAAGGCATGCAAGTGCATCGACGATAGGTTCGTTCTCTGTCTCACTGGTATATCCTTATATTCGCTTACAGTGATCTTTCAGTGTAACTCTCGATATCGATGAGTTATTACAAGAGCGCGAGGCCGAACGCATCGAAGAGGAGGCAAAGGCAAAGAAAGCTGCGAAAGCCGCTAAACTTTCTCGAAAGCGCAAGTCGGACGAACCCCACCAACAGTCTCCCAGCAAGAAGTCGAAGAAGAACGACAAGGAAAAGCCTTCCAAATCTGCATCCCCGCCGAAGAGGACGAAGCCTTCATCCCCGTCCACGCTCAACATTGCCTCCACATCATCATCCGCCCCTGCGCCCACACCTGCATCCGCGCTAGCGATACCCACTCCTAGGATCACGCTCAAGCTTGGTCCACGACCGAAGGATTCTGAGCCCTTCCCCTGCTGTCTCTGCGTTTCGACGGATCAAGACGGCCTATTGGAGGTGCAACATCCACCGACCGTCTCGCATCCGGCGTATGCAGATCTCAAGAAGTGGATGGCACATGAAGAGTGTGCGAAGGTCGTTCCGGAGACATGGGTCGATACGATCTTCGTACCCTGCGCAGATGGAAACGGGATAACGGAGAAGAAAGTCGTGCTCGGTGTAGACGCGATAGTGAAGGATAGGTGGAACCTCGTACGTTTTCGTGATTCGTTTTGGAGTATTCTGAGCTGAAGTGTACTAACATATTGACTTCAGAAATGCACTGCTTGCACGAAGACACGATCGAAAGCACACGGCGCACCGATCCAATGCACGAAAGGCAAATGCCCCAAAGCCTTTCACATCTCCTGCGCGCGGAGTACGGAAAGCGTCGTATACGAAGTCGTCCAGGAGGTCGATAAAGAGGTCGTTCTCGTGGATGCGGCCGCTATCGCTGCAGCCGCGCCACCTGCGCCAGCGCCGATGCCGCTGCCGGATCTCGTCTCCACCGCGATGGACGTCGATGCTGTGCCGTCTGGATGTGTTACGCCAGCTGAACTTCAGTCTATGACCGTCGATGTCCCTGAGCCCCGGGTAGTGAAGATCGTCAAGAAGATGGAAGTGAGATTGCTATGTAGCCAACACAACCCCGTACGTTTAGTCTTTGGATTCATTAATTGACCTCCGGTTCACTTACTCCCCCCCTCGCATATTGTCGTACAGGCGATGACAGAGGCCAAGAGAGTCGGTAAGTTGGACAAGCTGCGCAAGGATTTGCTTGCGCTCGAGGCTATGGCTCGCATCAAGGTCCGCGTCAGCGCGGGAGTCTTTGAAGTCTCCCTTGTACGTGTGGTGGAGGAAACCAATTCGGTCGAAGTGCTCTGGGACAGAGGGATCAAGAAGGAGTTCAAATGGGGTAGTGTGGTCTGGGGCAACACCGATGGACTCAACATTGGACAAAAGCCAACGGAACCAGCGCCTGAACCAAGTACGGGTTTGCGCTCATTTTCTTATGATTTTCGGCTTGGATGCTAATCCTGACTTCGTTTAGGACGGGACAATATCCCACCGGTCACATATCCTTCACTATCCGTGGCAATGTCGAAGAGCACTACGGCTTATACTCATCCTGCCCCTCCTGCCCTATCCGCTCCTCCCGCCACCGCACCCTCACACGACACGGAAGCACCTATGGCCTCTTTGCTCCCTCCATCGGCCACGCTGTCCACGACCACCTCCCCAACTTTTTCTCAACCTGCTTCAAACGCCACATCCTCTGTTCCACGAAGTTATACTCCGTATCAACCTCGGATGACCACCTCCACCGCTACTACAGCAACCTACAACTATGACCCTTCGAGTTGGACGCACCTGTACTCACACTATCCCTCCTCCACCGCCTCGACTTCGCAGTATAACCCTTCCCTCTACAACCACACCCAAGCTTATGCCACACCGGGCACCCCAACCTCTACCTCTACTTACGCTGCGCCGAGCCCTTCCACGTCCGCGTACGCCGCACCGAGCACTTCTACCGCTGCCTCCACCCCGGCCTACTCCTACCCGCCGTACATGACCTACCAACAGTCGCAGTACCTGTCGTACAAGCCGGCATCCAGCACATACGCCGCGTACTACCCGCAGACGCAGACTCAGGCCGGTCGGAGTGGGACCACCGCCACGGCTTCCACCACAGCCGCGGAAAGTCAACAGTATGCTCTCCCCTCGTCGAGGTATCAGGCGATCTCTGCGTCGAGAGCTCACACGCAGCAGGGTGGGATGAAGATACAATGGAAGGAGCCGTATGTTGCGCCGAAATACAATGATGGGTTGAATGGGACCGGGATTGGGAGCAAGACGTCGAGTCGGACTCAGTCGAGGTCCACTTCGACGGTGCCTTCACCTGCTGTAGCTCCCGTAGCTCCTGCGCCCGCCGTCCCCTCGACGAGTGCGTCTGCGGCGACTCCTGCTGCAATGCCTGCCCCTTCTGTTGGTCCATCTACTATCGCTGATGCGTTGAGGAACGTATATGCGCACGGGAGTCCTCATCCAGGCGCCAGTGTGGCTCCTCTGCAGCCATCTCAACCTCCTTCAACGTCACTGGCTATGGCTCGGAGGGAGGAGGAGGAGGAAGAGGAGGAGGCGTCCAAGGTTGCGGCTTGATCCGTGATTTTGTCCGAGCTGGCTGGCTGGCTGGCTGGTTGGCTAGAGAGAGAAGGATGTTCGCTTGATGAATGGGCTTGGTTAACGACCGTGTTGTATTTTCTCAGACCTCTGCAGTATCAGATTCCATGGCTCTTACTTGGACTTCAGCTTCCCTGTCGGCTATACCTCTTTTTCCTTATCCATATCTTAGCGTTTCTGTGTCCCTGTCTCCCTTGTCTGCGTCGTTTGAGAGTGGCCGACGTCGCGGTGGTGTTTCGTGTGCTTACTCTTGTCGTTCTCGTTCTCGCTATCGTTCTCGCTCCTGACCTTTTCTCGCTGTTCTCTATTCGCTGCGTCTTTCTTCTTACAATACATAAACGGTTTCGGCTCGTAGTACAGAGTGCTTGCTGGCAGTGTTGATATTAAATGAATGTATTTTTAGCGTGGCGGATTACTTCGCAGCGGTCTTACGCAAAGATTCGAATATCATCCTCGCTCTTGTTTTCACTCGTGGTTTGTGGTTTGATCAGTCCAGGCTCAGGCTGCAACATGCTGCATCAGCGCTCGGAAGTGGCAATTGTGGGGGTGGCACTCGGAGCCGAACTACCGGGCGGAAGGTCACATTTCTCACACGCCTTGCCACCTTTCCATCCGATTTTGTTCACAACCTTCATCTAATCCGTTTGCGCTGCTCCACTCGAAACGACTATTATCAATGGGATTCAGGGTAGGGCCCTTAGAAAGCGACCATACATGGCTTCAGCTCGAGAGTTCTCCGGCGACTTTCGCTTGAGACAGGCCGCAAACGCTCCGAGACCAATATCTCACTTTCCAGCCTAGCCTGCTTCATGATGTATGCAGGACAACTTGGCTCATCTGCCATCCACATCTATACAGTATTTCTCTGCTTTGCTCTAGGCTTTTTTGATTTCATACTTTCAGCTCTGTCGACGATAATCTAGGCCTCCTACCAGTGGGTTTCTCGGTGGCGAGATTGTGAAGATGACTGCTGGTCCAAGACATAGTCTGAATGTCGATATGTCGATATGATGGCTATGATTTGGATCTCTCTGCTCTCCTTACCGACCAAATTCTACCACTTTCAAGCTTACGCTACTCTCGGTACTACTTGCGCTTCAATCGCGACTCAACCGCGATCAATATCTCAAGTTCAACATGTCGCTCTTCGCATCTATCAAGCATGCTTTCACGTCGGCGTTGACCACGGTGAGTACCCTCCAGGACTTCGTACTTACGTTCAAAGTGTGCTCATGTACATATGTCTAGCTCGTATCCTCAACCAACTGGACAGACTCAGCGACGCACGTCGAGCCTGAAGACTTCCGCCTCCCAGGGTCGTATCCCTTCGCTGCCCGTCAAGAAGTCGCCACCAAAGTCCCAGCCGATGTCAAATCCTTCGACTCTGAGCAGCTCACGCTGGAAAGCCCATCATCCATGATCAAGGCCGTGTCGATCAAACTTCCCGCCGCCGCCAGTTCCACAACTGTCACCGCTCTCGCTGCCAGCAAGGTCACCTCTCACATCTTGTCAGCTCCATCCTTTGACTGGTGCGCCTTTCTCGGGAAAGGTGCATCCGGGACCGTATACGCTGCTGTGCTCCACGATACCCAAGAGATGTACGCTACCAAGGTTATACCTCATCGTGGCCCAGGATCAGACGGCTTCCAGGACGCGATACTGGAGCAGCGAACATCTAAGGTTGTCTCCGGACACCCCGGCCTGCTTCCCATTGTGGCCAGCTTCATCGACAGGAAGAACTCCTACATCGTCACACCATTTTACGCCGGCGGTGACCTCGCCTCATATCTCGCGCGCAACTACACAAAAATAGATCAAGCGGGATTCTTCAGCATCATCGTACCGATGGTTCTCTCCGTCTATACCCTCCAGAGCCTCGGCATTGGTCACTACGATATCAAGCTGGAGAATTTCTTCATCGATGCGAGTGGATGGATCGTCCTCGGCGACTTTGGCCTCGCTCAGTCGGTGAGCGAGTGGCACTTTGGGAAGAATGGCACTCCTGGCCATATGGCTCCGGAGATCTTCTCGGACGGATACAACGGCGCAGCGGACGTGTTCGCGTTGGGCGTCACGATTTTCTTCATGCTCTGTGGAAGGCTGCCGTTCGGACAGGGCGCGAGGACCATGGAGGAGTATCGGGTGGCTCTGTTCGAGCAGGTATTCGCAGGACCCGTCTTCCGGCCTGAAGACAATGTCCATCCGATGCTGCAAACTCTACTCCGAATGGTATGTATGATATTCTTCTACGACGCGTTGTTCTGTTTACTCATGATCCACGGTCGCTCAGATGTTGATTCCCAACCAATTTGCACGGCCCACAATGGCCATGGTTTTATGCTTTCCTTACTTTCAATACGTGTATGTTGAAGTGCACTTTCATTATGCGTCGCTCCTTCTCATGCTGTTCTTCGTACAGAGACTGGGATGCTTTCCGACGACGTGAAATCGCTCTCCCCCTCCCACAGGTCCTCCCTCCGACATTCTCGTACGCTCCCCTCCCCATCGAGGGCATTACGGGCGCAACTCAAGACTCAGGCGAGATCTCTTCTAACAGCGAAATGAACTACGTCTCCCCCGACCTCACCGCCAAACTCGAAGAGGCTGAGCTCACCAGAAAACACGAACGATTGCTCGCCGTGATGTATTCCAATACCGACTCCGACTCCGACTCCGAATCCTCCTCGATAGCAGCACACACCTCCGATACGGATACATCGGACTCCACATTCGAGACACTCTCGCTCTCTGGCACCTCTTCGAACTCCAGCAAGAGCTCGACTTCAGCATCTTCTTCCTCCCCCATCGTCATCATTGAGACGAACGAAATCACCAAGAGGAACGCCACCCGTGTGTGGTTCGCGCGCAAGCTTGCCGCCAAGTGCGTTAGTGACAATGAAGGAAGGAAGGGAAGGCACGTTGGGAACGATGGCGGCCGTCCTGTGCGCGCAATGGAGAAAGTGAAGGGATGGTTTGCGAAGCGGAAGTGATTGACGTATACCGGATATTTCCAGTTTTTATATTAGGGTTTATGGTCGTGTCCGTATTTGTGTTGTTTTGGATCGTGTTTCGTATGATGCTTTGTTACATGTTTTTCCTGGTTTTTATGGGTCTACGGTCTTCCCGTGTCTTTCCTTAGCAATTTTTACAGCACATTTGTCTTTTCTTGCGTCCGCGTATTCTCCATTTTCATTTTACCTACTCTTCTTAGTGGACCGAGTTCTACGTGTTCACTCCGTGTATTTATTTCCCTTATTACAGTTATCGGCTATTCGTTCTTCGATGTTGACCTAGTCACCTGAACATGCCGGTGACTTCACTGCCGAAAGAAAGGTATCCTTCGCTTCTAAGCCTCAACAATCTCTGTAACACGGCGGACACTGGAATAGAAATCCATAGCCTACTAGAGGATGAAAGCAATCGCCGCAACGAGGGAGAATCCCACAAAGTCCTACGCTCCTACGACCCTTGGGCCTCATGAAGCAGCCCTGTGCATCTATTGAAGGTATCGTTTTAGTAACCAACACCTACGGTAAAAAAAAAAGGGGGGGTTTATGGTTCCAGCTGGAAACACACCTCTGTAGGCGGATTTTGATAGAGACTTTCGGGCATTTCTCGGCCTGAGACGACGAGGGACGTGAGAGGTGCGGATACCATACTGCGAAAATAGAGACCACTGAAGAGGGAATTTTCGCGGGATAAGCAGGCGTCAGCGAACTGCTGACGCTCTTTCTCCAGGTCTCGGGGGCCGAAATCGCGACTGAACTCGACGTCGAGCTCTAAGGTCCGGAGGTTCGGCAGTAAGACTGTGAAGGCTGCCATAAAATCATGGGTAGATGGGCCCGCCCTTGGGGACAGTGCAGCTAGCGCACATTCTATAACATGTTTTTCAGCACAGATGCTGAGACGTTCAACCTGTGGCATGGTAACGAAGAGGAGTCGCCAGGCCTCTTCTGGTATGTCATATGAAATTGACCGTTTAGCTTTGATGAAGAGCCAACGGACAGTCTGCATCTGAGACCATGTACACGTATTGATCATCTGAGCCAGAAACGCATCGTTTTGGAGATTTCCTAACCTTACTATCGAAGGATAGTGAAGTACGATGTCGAAGAGGAATGGACGGGAATACGTCTCTAGGGGATCAACTTTGAGTTTTAATTCCACAAGGTCTCTGACATCCATTATCGAAGTCGGAGAGGATTCTGTGGCTAAAAGGTCGGTTAGAGGATCGGTGCTCTCTGGATATCCGATTGTGCGGATATTCTCTCCGAAGAGGCCCACGAAGAGGCTGGAGAGACTACCATTAGCCTGCGAGGGACGAATGTCGCCAGCGATGAAGTCGGGCGGTTCGGATGTAATGAGAGTACCATCTATAACTGTAGGACAAGATGAGGCGAGCCTTCTCGTGAGGTGCTGCATCGCTGGCTTCGTCGCCCTGTACGAGAACAATTTCAGGGGCAGGGTGATGACTTCTGCTGGGTATACAAAACCAGTATGACTGGGTCTGTTGGTGAATACGTCGATCAAAGCAAGGCTGTTCAGTGCAGGTGACGCCGCCAGAACAACCAAAGCATCTTCTACAGACCAGGGTTCATGGTGGGAAGTCACCTCCAAGTGAAGAGAAGTGAGGTTTCGGAGTAGGGGTGACTTGGCCGAAATTCCGAGCCCAATCCTCAAAGCAAAGTGGCGGAGACTAGGAGTTATTCCGCCAAACAAAAAGGGGTCCAAATTCATCATGGAGCGCTCGGCGGACAGGTGAAATGTACGCAATGTAGGAGCTGGCAGGCGGAGGTTACATACAGTTTCGACGGTAGAGTTGTGAAAGATATCCGAGTCGTCTTCGATGTGGATGCTCTGCACGCGATTCATGTCCTCTGAGGACGATGCCAACGTCATGGACAGTCGCTGTAATGCTGAAAGGGGCTGTGCCGACCGCTGAGAATTCTTTTCTCGGATCATCCAGATAGAGAGAGGCATATTCTGAGAGAGCCTCAGAAGTGGTGCGATCCATCCGGGATGATGGCATTCGATGGTAGCCCAGAGCTTGGGACTGTTGACAGCAGCACCGTGCCATTGGCGACAAACGAGCATAATCGGAGTCCATCGTAAATCTCCTGGGGGATAAGAATCCACCACATATGCGAAGATTTCGGCTAGCAGCTCGAATGCGAGGGACAAGCAAGGTGCTACTTGTTTCGAAATCTGACCGGTCTCAGGTTGCACACATATGAGCTCTGGGTCAGAACTCGATGGGATACGACAGACTCACATCATCGTCCGCCAAACTTAAGGTGTCGATATCTGGCGCTTGAGACATTGGACGTCCTTACGAGGGTAGATGCGCCAGCAATGTGCTATCGGGGATGTCGAGTTTTAATATCCTCCAAGGTGATGCGTATGCAGATTCAGGATAGATCCCAATGAGCAGGCGATGACAGTCAGAACCAAGGAAAGACTGGAGATGGATGGGGAGTTGCTTTGTTAGCCAGAATTAGCAACCCCCGCATGCATCGTGGCGTTGAGGAGCAAATAAGGCCAAATAGTGTGGCGAATGTGGCGGTCTTGTCAGGCTCGATGGCCGCTGATGTTGACATTTATATACATGTCCGCATCATGATGGGTTAATGTTCATTCAGGAATATTGACGACTATACAGTACCATTAGAGCTAGCTTTGACCGCCGTCTCTAACCTGCGCCTTATCCAAGTCTCGAAAGTTCCCTGCGGAAATCAAGACGAAACTCACGAGCAATGCCCACTGTCATCACATCGCAATGAACACTTCACTGACATGCAGTCATACCAGTCAAAGCTAATTGGAGACCGAATGATCTTTCATGATGATCATCTGCTCGACCAAGTACTTACTGAGTTACTCTCAAAAATCTCAGCAAGGTTTCCGCCGGCAGCAGCCGGCAAGCAGCCTTCCCAAGTCAGCAACGCGGCCACGTGGCAGTGGCAGTGGCGAGGGTGTCGACCATCGTGTCGACCAACACGAATGCTTCACTTACCATCAACGATCTCGTTCTTGCCTTCCTCTTTGACATAGTCTCTTTCTCTGGGCTGTTAAGAGTGGTATAAATGGTGCGCTAAATGCAATCACTCCTTATTCGCCAATATTTATTCATGGCCATACATCGTTCTATGCCCGCCACAGTCTGCCCTCTTCAACTTTCAGTCGTTGTTGTTGGTCATCCTCCTTATGATCTGCACATGCACATACGTGCGCGCTGTTGCTCCCAGACTGATAGATAGAAACAAGGAAGGGTGCGTTCTGTCAGCAGTCTCGTATCATTAAAACCACGGACTCAACTCCCTGATAGGTTTCTTGGTCTATTCTTTATGTCTGCACGCATCGGTACGCTCGAATCCATTGTGAATGGTACTGCCACTGATTGTCTCCTAAAGGCGAGAGATTGTCACCATACGTCGCACTGGCATGTATCGCAATGGCAGTCCGCATACTGGTGCAATAATGAGCATGACCCGAGTCCTTACCCCAAACCATGCGGCGTCTTAAGACGTTCGAGCCTTTGGACATATACCATGCTTGTCGAGCTTGCTCTCGAGCTTACCCACACTCTGTATGTGATCCCCCCTTGATGCGCTCCTTCTTGTACAATTTTGCACACATGCTCCCGACACATTCGGCCTCCATCATTTGCCCTATTAAGTGGCTTTATGTTACGCGCAGTGCTGCACGTTCCGCTTTGCCTCGTTCTATCCTCTGTTCTTAATTAAACTATGAAGTTTGGACATATCTGTCTACCACAGGCGGTCACGGTGTCCCTCCGGAATCATATAACTGTTCGCACTCAACCGTCATACGCCTCTGGTCTCACCCCAATACCCACCCGTGAACATCCATATTCGAGCCTTTTTCCCGATGTGAACTCAGAGGCATTATACTGACACTGACGTGGCTTCCCCCACGTTGGTCCGTACCTGTCTTTCCCGACCATATTCTTCAATTTCTTGAATCTGTCACTTAGAGTATACTCAAACCAAGTATGCCCTATCATTTGTTCTCTATCTGCTTCGCCATCCTGCCCCATCGAGCATACCATGCAACAGTGTCTCAGCATCGGACTGTGCTTTGACGGAGCTCCAGATACAAAATGACGAGTGCAAGCAGGTGCAAGCGTCTGCCTGCCCAACTGACGGTGATCGCCCTGTGACATCATCTCTATTTCACATCAGTACTCTGTGAGCCTTTCCTTAAAGTCGTCCCCTAAATCGGTCTCCGCCTTTCCTTCACTTTCTCCTCCCTTCCTTTCCACTTCTGTACTTTGTCGCCCCGCTCCTGTATAGCCTACCATGGCGCACCACGCGGACGAGACATATTCGGGGAAGAAGCATAATTATACCATGGTGAGTCCGAACATTAACGGGACCGCCTTTCTATCTCTTCGCGCCCGAGCATTTTTATAGTTGTGTCGCTGGGGGTGTACGGCGGGTAGCTGGTACTGACTTGGTGCTTCTTCGTGTGCGTAGATTCAAGCGTTCGAATGGTACGTCGAGGGTGGCGGCGTGCATTGGAACAAGGTCTCCGGCCTCGTAGACGATTTGTCCTCCATGGGCATCACAGGTCTGTCCACACCGGCCCCGCTCCATTTCCTTCTCCCCTTCTCCCTCTAATTTTCATTCCCATCATCTATGCTTAACCCCTGTTACTTACACATATCTTACTCTGGCTCCGAACAGCGATGTGGCTCCCGCCACCCACCAAAGCCGCAGGGCAAGACTCGACGGGCTACGACGTCTACGACATCTACGATCTCGGCGAGTTCGACCAGAAGGGCGGGGTGCGGACGCATTGGGGCACGAAGGAGGAGCTGTTGAAGTGCGTGAAGAAGGCGCAGGAGAATGGGATCGTGACGTATATCGATGCGGTTTTGAATCATCGGTGCGTTAGTTATGCTTTTTTTTTTGGTAATGCATATGTATACTGGATGCTGACGGACACCGTATGTAGGTTTGGTGCGGATAGGGCTGAAAAGTTCGCGGTGACGGAGGTAGATAATGCTGATCGGACGAAGGAGACCAGTGACTTGTACGATATCGAGGTGCGTCTTTCAGAGTTTCTCTTACACATTCTCCTCCTATCCCCTATCCAAACACTACCCAATCTCATAGTATACTCTTTTTCCGTTCTCTTGTGATCCATTGGACCTATCTTCGCCACCGCCACCCAGGGCTGGACAGGTTTCGACTTTCCCGGTCGCGGCGAGCAATACAGTTCCCTAAAATGGAACTTCAACCACTTCACAGGCGTGGACTTCGACAACGCGTCGGGCAAGAAGGCGATATTCAGGATTCATGGGGATGGGAAGTATTGGGCGGAGAGCGTGGATGGAGAGAATAAGAATTATGATTATCTTAGTGCGTTTTCTTCCCTTGTTCTTGCTTTCGATGCGATATGTTTTTGATGTTGATGATCGTGCTGCTCTGTGTATAAAGTGGGTGCGGACATCGACCATTCCCATCCCGAGGCCCGCGACGACGTCATCAAATGGGGGAAATGGATCATCGAAGAAGTAGGCGCGACAGGGTTCAGGTTCGACGCAGTCAAGGTCTGTCCGCCCTTTGCTTCTCCCCCCGGTGTTCGAATCACTTACGATGCGGTAATCGATGACTAGCACATCGACAGCGGCTTCATCGCCGAATTCATCAAGACCGTGCGCGAACAGACGAACAAACCGAAGATGTTCGCTGTGGGCGAGTTTTGGAAGGATAGTCTGGAGGATCTGAATGCGTATCTGGACAGTCTCGGGACGCAGGTTCGTTCACTCTCTTCTCTATCCATATTCTCCTTCTCCCTATTTCCTTCCCGCCAATTTAATTCCACTTTCCGATGCTGACTCTGACGGGGCATTGTCGAAAATGATAGTTCAGCGTGTTCGACGCGCCGCTGCATTATAACTTCGTCGAAGCGGGCTCGAAAGGCCAAGATTTCGATATGCGCGCGATCTGGGACGGGACGGTCGTGCAGAACAGGCCGATCGATGCGGTCACGATTGTGGATAACCACGAGTGAGCCTCTTCCCTTCCCTTCCTTTCCCTTTCCACCATACCTGTACCTGTTCATCGGATGACTGGCTGACTGGTACTTTTATGTAGTACTGTGAGCGGATTTTCTAAGTATTTGTGTTGGTTAGGGTTTTGAGACTGATGAGTGTGTCCGGGGTGTTCGTAGCAAGTCGGCCAGTCGCTCGAGAGCTGGGTCTCCCCCGTGTTCAAACCCATCGCCTACGCGTTGATCCTTCTCCGTCCGGATGGATATCCGTAAGTCCCCCACCCCCTCTCTCCTCCCCTTGTTCCCTCCCCTCCCTCCTACCCATCTCATCCATCTCACCGTCCTCACCATCCTCACCGTCCTCACCCATCTCACCCCATATGCTACAATCAACCAGCTGCGTCTTCTGGGGCGACCTCTACGGCACCTCCGGGCCCAACCCTCAAGAGCCCGTCTCGCAGCTCGCGGAGCTGATACGTGCACGGAAACTGTTCGCGTATGGGGAGCTGAGGGATTATTGGGATCATATGAATTGTGTGGGGTGGGTCAGGATGGGCGATGAGGGACATGATGGGTGTGCGGTGGTGGTGTGTAATGGGGAGGAGGGGTGAGTTTCTTTTGTGTGTTGCTTTGAGGCTGCGGTTGGATGCTGATTGCACTTTTTATTCGCAGGTTCAAGAAGATGGAAGTTGGACAGGTACGTCTTCCCTCAAGTGCTTGTCCTCTTGTTGAGTTCACATATCTAATGATTTACAATTGATAGGACCACGCCGGCGAAAAATGGACAGACATCCTCGGCTGGCACGAGGGCGAGGTAATTCTCATTCTCATTCCCATCTCACTCCTCGCTCCCTCTCCCATTTCCCTCCTCACTCTCCCAAATTACTGATTCTTTGTATTCTTGTATCTTTGTGTTATTGTGATATAGGTCGTAATCGGCGAGGACGGCTGGGGCGAGTTTAGGTGTAGTGCGAGGAGCGTGAGTGTTTGGGTGAAAGAAGGCGCGAGGGGGAGGGAGGAGTATGGGCGGTAGTTCCAGATTGTGGTTATGGAAGGATGCTCAGATAGATCATCGTATTCATTATGGTAGCAAATACACAGGGACGACTGTAGGATTATGTAGAATAGTTATCGTACATATATACATGATGATGTAGAGGTTACAGTAGCCAAGTATTAGTAGGAGTCCTTCGCGGTAGGATTCGGGAAACATCCGTACGGTCTTACGATGCCGTGGTGTGGACGATCCGGAGGAAGACGGTGCCGAGGAGGAGCGAGGAGCGTCCAAGAAATGCAACGAACCGTCGCGGCAGCGGTAGGGCCGCAGCGAGAGAAGCAAAGACTCGGAGACCTAGAGCGAGTACGAAGTCGTCTTGTGCTGATGGACTCGTGGAATATTACCTTGACAAGCCCACGGTACCCGCGCACCAACACCTCACTGAAGTCAAGCAAAAAAAAGAGCTGCGTTCGCTCCAGCTCCAGTAGGATAGATTCAAAGCACTCATCAACATTGAAGCTTTGAAGCTTTGAAGTCCGAGTCGGTTCAAAGCGAAGGCACGTCAACGAAATTGCGGGGAAGGGACGAGCCTGAGAGAAGCGAGCGCCAGGGACGGACGCCAATCCCGCAATAAAAACGAACGGGGTGTGTGGTTCCGAGGCGCCGGCTCGTGCCCCGCGCCACTCCGACCGCACGAACGGATCGCCCAGCAGTGGCATGAGCGAGGTTTCCCAGAGTCGCTGAAACACCATGGCCGTCTCTAAGAAAAGGTGCGGGGCGGACGCACTACGGGGCATTCTGCTCGAAGCGTGCATATCCTCTTCGTCGCTCCTTTGCTCTTCAACAGTTGCCCATCCCCGCGATCCTTTTGATTTACATAAAAATCGCAGGATATTCCACTCGTTTATATACCCCGTCCTACTAGCCTGAGTGCGCGCCATCCGATCAGACCGACGCAAGGTTGCTGCGCCTCACGTCATAATTCGCTCTCGTTCCAACCTTGAGTTACTGAGTGAGGGTCTCGGTACACCCGGTTCTGGTACGTTGCACTACAACGAGGCCGTCCTCTTTTCACTTGGCCCGCTGGGCATGCACGCTCAGCCCAATGGCGCTCAGTAGTACTTATCCCGCCGTCACTATCTCTATCAGAAACACATCCACGACCCAATCCTCACTAGCTACTTAGTCGCTTTGAAGTAGTTGAAAACTAAGACTAGTCACTAGTTGCATAGACGCTCTTCTCCATCGTATATCCCCTCTCAGCGCGTCTGCTCTCCGTGCGTATCTCCTATCGTTCTCCAAATGACCCTCCGACGCAGACTGACGCCCGCCCGCCTTTCACAGACCTCTCACGATATATCAACGACTTATACCCTCTCCCCCCCGATAACAAAACCCGTCTGAGAAAACGATGCGGAAAAGTGGTCCCATGCACCTGCTCGCAATCCCTCTCCTGCTAGCGCTCTCAGGCGCTTTCTTACCCCGGAGCTACGCCCAAAACTTGACGGATGCACAGATAGCTGCCATCACGGAGAATCTCGCGACTGGGGCTACGCACAGGTGAGCTCCGTTTAGGTTAAAGGGATTGCCTGATATGGAGGGAGCGCAGAGTGGGATTTGCGTGGTTGGGCGTTGAGCTCGAGGGATTCTATTCGCTTCGCTCTCTGCGCTAAATTCTCGGAGTGAAAGGGCTGTCAGTGCGGACGGAAGCGCAGTCTATTCTTGGCCCGTCTTATCCTGCTCAGTGTGGCGTCGTCGAGCCACACCTCCTCCTCCTTCCAGGTCCCAAAGAGAAAAGAGACAAAGACTGACCTCCATCCGCCCTACGTCTAGCTGGGAACTCGGCACCCGCGCCGAAACCCTCACCGAACTCGACTCTCCCTCCCTCTCCGTCCTCACCACCGGAGCCTCCCTCCCACCCCCCACCTCCCTCAACTCCACCCTAAACAGCACCCTCTCCACCGTCTTCTCCATCGCCCGCTCCGTCGTCTCCAACCGTATCTTCTCGAACCGCAATGCGACGGGCGCGCAGCCCTTTATCAGTGACGGCGCGGCGGGCGATCCGGCGAGTGTGGGCGTTGCGGTGTTGTTGGCGAATTGGACTGGTTTGGGTTCGGGTGGCGATGGCGGGGACGAGGACGGGGAAGAAGAGGTGGATTATGCGGGGGCGGCGACGGATCAGTTGAATTATTTGTTTGAGGTGGTGCCGAAGACGAGCGATGGGGCGATTTCGCATCGGGTGGCACAGGTGCAGCTTTGGTGCGTCTTCATTCTTTTTGCTTGGTCCTTTCTTCGAAAGGTCGAAGCGCTGAGGTGTGTATGTATTGATTAGGAGTGATTCGGTGTATATGGTCCCGCCGTTCATCGCGTACTATGGAGTCACGACGAACAATGAATCCATGCTCGCCGAGGCGTACAATCAGGTATGTTTTTACTACTTTTTGATCATCTATTGTCCTGTGGTCTAAATTCTATATGTCTGCTTGTGGCGAACGTAGATAAAATTGTACCGGAATTACCTGAATGATGACGACGCGGGTGGATTATGGAAACATATTCTTCTTGGGACCGATGACAGCGATGCGTCGAATGATGAGGGACATTGGTCGACCGGTATGTAGTCACCCCTGTCTCTTTCATTTCTCCGAGTGCTCCATGCATCTGATTCTTATTCGCGTGAACGCTCATTGTTGATTGACGTGATGCTGACTTGTTATTTGGCGTGGCTAATGGATGCTACTAGGCAACGGATGGGCGGCGGCAGGGATGTTACGCGTGCTCGGGACGATGCAGAACTCGCAGTTTTCGGGCTCGTTCAAGGATGAGATGAAGGATCTGACGAGCTGGGTGTTGGACATACAGAAAGCGATGTATGCGAACATCGTACGTCCTTTTCCCCTTTTCCCCTTCTCCCTCTGCACCTGCCTTCACCTTCATTGACTCTTGTGACGGGTATTGACTCTTGTTACGGATGCACGCGAACAGCAATCGAACAATCTCTTCCTGAACTACGCCGACGACAACACCTCATCCACCAATTTCGACGACGCAGCCTCCACCGCACTCCTAGCCGCCACAGTCTACCGTCTCTCCCTAATGACGAACACGCACACCTACCTCCCCCACGCCGAAGCCTGTCGGTCCGCCCTGCTCGCCACCTCCACCTCTTCCTCTTCCTCAGCCTCCACCTCCTCATCCTCTGCATCCTCTGCATCCTCCGCGTCCTCTGCATCCTCAGCAACCGCAACCGCCTTCATCAACGCCGCACACTTCACAACCGACGGCTGGCTCACCCCCGTCGTCAATCCCGACGCCTACGGCTCCGAGGGCAGTCAAAGTCCAGAATCGCAGGCGTTCGTGCTGCAGATGCAGAGTGCGTGGCAGGATTGGGTCGATGCGGGGTCGGTGGGGGCGAATGGGGCCGTGGGGAGGATGGGTGGAGGGATGGGGGTTGGGATGGGTGTGGTGGTGGTGGGTGTGGCGATGGGGTGGGGTGTTGGGGGGTGGTGAGGATGAGTCTGTGTGTTGAGGGTGAGTCTGTGGGAGTGGGAGTGGAATGGGTGGTGGGGGTTGTAAGACTAGAGGACGGGTGGAGGGCGGGGCGACTGTTTTGTTGGATTTTCTTTTTATTACTTCTTTCTGGGATCTGTGCGTTTGTTGTCTTGTTTTTTTTTTTGCGCGTTTGCGTGCCCTGCTTTTTGTCGGGACTGGTTGTTCAGTGTTCAGTGCTCAGTGCTCAGTGCTCAGTGTTTAATACTGCTCGTCGACCTCGTTTCGGTTTCTTTCATTCATTCATTCGTTCTCTCATTGACAGTGTGTTTACTGTCCACTCGGGTATATATACTTTAACCCCCACCCCCGTCCCTCCTCTTCTCTTTCGGATTGATATTCGAACTTCAAGTCACTTCGTACTTCTGCATTCTGAATCACGGTTCACGAATTTTCGTAGTTCCTGTCTTACTCTACTTGACAGCTACACTCAGACTGTAACTCAGACTCACACTTGCGTTCGGACTCCATAGGTCCTTTCCTTTCCGTCCCTTCGTCTTCCAAAGTTCAACTTGGAGGCCTGCGTACATCCTTTTTCTCTTTCTCTTTCTCTTTGCGGGTTCGATTTCGATTTCGATTTATTTTCGTGCATGGCATGTATAATTATCTCTTGCTCTTTTTGATCTGTTCTCGGTCGTCTTTGTACATACTGTGTCGCTTAGTGACTTAGGTTACCCTCCCGGCCACGCATTGTTCCTTTTCCGAGACGATGTCGATGTCGTTGATTTCTCGTGGCAATCTCAGATATGATCGCCATTGTCCAGACAGACGAGCGTTCACACATGCTTAACTCGTCTTGTGCCCACAGACGCATTATTATAATATCCATCGTCAAAGGAAGGCCCAGGAACGTATATTACCTTGACACGTTGAACGCCCTATCTTCAACACCAAGGTCTGCCTGTGGGAGACTAATATTACCTTGCTTGAAGGTCCTTCCTACCCCCGTAATTCCTCAGAATCGTCCCGGAAATAAACAAGGACAAACAGCGGACTTATTATGTGGCACCAGTGTGTGGCGTCGCAGAGGGTCTGACCGCTACCTTCACTGGGGCCAGACGTGACTGCAGCGATTCAAATGCAGACGTTGATGTTCTGAACGGGGTTGTCGATAATTAACGGCAGCAGTTTAAATATAGGGCTTTGCGACTCGCGGTACCAGCACAAAATGACGGGGCCTCCATATAAAAGTACTATACTCTATCATATAGCAGGGAACCTTTCTATGTGCTGTGAGCATCGTGTTCAAATAACATTGACCGTAATCACAAATCAGTCTCGCGCTAGACGGGTAACTCGCCGTCGGATGCAATGAGGGCCCATACCGTTCGCTGCCTTGGCATTTGGGTTCATCGGCCTCTGCTTTGCCTTGGAGGAATCTCGAGTCAACTTGACTGGATCGCAGAATGCTGACAATGACTGGGGCCGCCGGGCACGGCGTAAGCACTCCCAATCCCGTTCAAAAACATGTGGTATAGAGCAGACCAGAAGTGCTTGTGCAAGTTATTTACCAAGCAAGGTGGCTGCTGCCGAAGGTAGCGCTCCCCCAGTTCTGTGGGTTATGCCATATATAATCCCCAATGATACGCTGCCGACGCGTGACGAACCACGAAAGAACCGAAAGACCGAAAGCTGGTAGCTACAAGCCGACTCGGAGGAGACGAAATAAGTATAAGAAGCCCGATTTAAATGGGACTGGAGCTCGAAGGGAATCCTATCGAAGGAACTTGAAGGGAGGAAGGAAGAAGAACAAGGAAAGAATGTTGGATGAGGGTGATAAGGATACAAGGATACAGTGATGAATAAGGAGATGTGTGAGGGATCGTGACTGATGCCGCGAGAAGTGGGTCGAACGAAATGGATACAGGATAAAGGGTGTTACGAGAGCGGCGGCGTGTTGTGAGAGGTCAGGATGGAAGAGGGAATGGGATGTTGTTGGGTAGAACATGAGTGTGAGTGAGGGTGTCGCTTGGTGACGGTCTTGGTCTATCGACGAGGATGATTATCGGTGACCGTCAAACCGATATAGATTGCTTCTGAAGAAAGAAATGGACAAAATAAAAGAAACAGACTAATAAGTCTCCGTTCCATGTATCGCAGGGAGCAAGGGAGAGCCCGATAGCGGAGAAAAGCAAACTCACGAAAGACCTCAAGCAACGACGCAGTACGTCGAGTTCGAGATATTAGACTCCTCCTCAACAGGAACTTGAACCTCCTCTTCCGTCTTGTGCGAGACGATGGAGGGTTTGACGGAGGCAGAAGCGGAAGAAGAGAAGGCGGAGAGGATGTCGGTGAAAGAGTCCATTGCAGCTAGGTTGAGAAGCTGGTGAATGTGATAGACGGTAAGAGCTGAGAGCGAGGTGAATACGATCGAGCTCGAAGGTAGCTGTGAGTGCGAGTGCGAGGGAACTGCAAATGCGACTGCTTGGCTGGTGTGCTCTCCGCCGTCGAGTGCTTGGCTCTTATACTGTCTCGATAGACGCACAGCGAAGAATTGCATGAGATAGTCCAGCGGCATAGTGACATGCATGTTTACCCCTCTATTGTCTCGCCAACCTATGACCGTGCCGATTTAGCAACTCCACAGAAGAAACGGTTCGGCGCGTACAGCGTTTCGGCAGAGAACAAGACGTGCCTTGCAGAGTGAGATGGCCGATAAGTGGAGGCGAGAGGGCTCATGGCATGATTATGCGTGCAGAACAAAAGAGTGAGAAGGGACAGGGCATTAGAGTGACGGGAGGTCCGAACGCAACAACAACAATGGTGTGGGAGGGTGCGACATACCGAGGTACCGGGGTATATTGGTTGCTTGGTTCGTCGGGTATGGCGGGAGAGGAGACAAACACGGCTCGAGATAGCGAGCGTACCTGCAAGGCCATGCCAATGGTCGTGTGTGGACATCGGGTCAAGTTCAAGAAGGATAAGGCACAGCTGGTACCCAAAAAGTCGTGAACAATAAAGTGTGTGGTGGGAAGTTCAACAAGCGCACAGGCAGCAGAGGCTTCGATAGATCCGATGTCAACGAAAGAGTACAAGCAGATAACGAATCGATAAATGTGCCTCCATATTGTAGTCTCGTGAGCGAGTGAAGACAAGGGGACGATAGAGACGTCTTTACGCTCTCATGTAGCAGCGCCGCGACACGCTCCGGGATAGTGATCATGAGACCCGCAGGAACCCATAGGATGCACTAGGGGCGCACGCCTAATCACTACCTTGTTGTGCACTCGCTTCCTGCTTGAGCTCCTCTGAAAACAGGACAACGTTCAAGGGCGCAGAGAACATTTCTTCTGTGATACAGGTGTCAACATATCTGAGAGAATACTAGACCACATACTAGAGGCATAGAACGTCTCCGACAATTTAGCGTGTAGAACCAAGACGTATCAGAGAGTAGTGGAACACGCTGCAAGGCGAGGACTTTCTGTAACCTCAAAACTATATTGATGACGGTGTTGTACAGGGAAACAGACATGAACGATGGCTTAAAAGCTAAACCAAAACCTGAGCAACTCAAGATAATCAATTGATATGAGCGATGGGTAACGAGGTGGATGAACGATGCATACAAAGCGAAGCGGCGACGATGGAAGTATGACGACAAGAGTGGTTGTACAGGCGAGAGCTCCGGGAAGCCTATGAACCGGCGTTCATATCGACTGGCTTGCCAGATTCGTTCACGGAATTGGCGAGCACTCGTTGCTGCTTGGCCTTTTCTGAAAAGGGGAACGATCTCAATTGAGAGTGAGAAGATATGGAGAAAAGAGCCAGGGCGTACCTCTCAGCTTGTCCAGACCCGGTGACTTTGTCCACGTCCATTCATCCCTGTCCAAGAACCAACGAGGCCTGACGCCGGGAGCAACGAGATCCTGAATCTTCGCGGCAAAGTCCTTCGATATGGCGCCGTGGTAGTTCGTCCCGATGGTCACAGCAAGCTGAAAATTCGTACGAATCTTGGTAGGATCCGGATCGAAATTGCCATCGCAGACGTATACAACGTCGATCCGATCGTCAAACGGTAAGTCGTGGTCCTCCATAAAACATACCAAGGCCTGATGACGGCGCCATAGTAGTTACGACGATGGCCTTTGTTGTCGTGGATCATGCAATCGACTCCATGATCAGAAGCGTAGGTAAACATGCGTTCTTTATCGACGATCCAAGCCAGGTGCATGAGGGGAGGGATTAAGACTGCGACATCTTCAGGTTCGGGCATGAGATACTCTTGGATCCGGTCTAGAGGTTGGCTTCTGAAAGCTCTGGCACGATCCTGTATCATCCACAGAACATGACCGACCTTAGTGACAGTAGAAAAGGGAACATCAACAGGGCGGGATAATGACCGATTCTGTGTATCTTAGGCGAGGAGGGCGGACTTTTGGAAAAAAGAGCGGGAGATTTTTCTTGGTTTGCGTTGAAGAATCCATGTGGAGGGTTTATAACGCAGAACACTGGCACAAATTCGTTGAGGGGAGGACGAAAGGAGCGAGCCGCCAGCGTTCTACGAACACGGGCCACGTGCCCTTCAGGGAGTTGCCGGTCTTTTGTGCTCAAGCTAAGTAAACCGTGACCGGACTCGGAAACAATGCACAGAAGGAACGTAGCTGACACGTTGCTGACACGGGAGGCGCATATTTAAACACGCCTATACATTCGCATGAACTGTCCCACTTCTCCCATCAACCTTCAACTCGTTCTGTCAGTCAACCCTCCGGCGACTCTCGATTTCGTTTTTGCAGCTGCCAGTGGAACCCGAGCTGAGTGGCTATCACGACCTAAAGTTGATTACATATAACAATCTCAGATCCGAGTTGAAGAATTGAAAGAAGGACCAGTAGAGCGTACCTTTGCACTGGGGCCCTCTGCGTGACCTCGTCCACATCCATCGCTCGCTGTCCAAAAACCAACGGGCTTCGACTCCAGGCGCAACAAAGTCCCGCAATTTATCACCATATTCTTTCAGTATGGCACCCCGATAATTAGACCCTACGCTCAAGACAAACTGAAAATTGCAGTGATTCGGGTCGGTGGGGTTCAGGTCGTAGTCCCCGTTGCAGGCGAACACGATCTCGATGCGCGGGTCATCTGGTATGTTGAGTTCCTCGAGCATTATGGTCAGAGCCTCATTGCATGCATCGTAATAATTACGATGAACTCCTTCATGGTCTTCGATCAAACATTCGGTTCCGTGCTCTCGAGCATACTCGAACATGCAGTCCTGGTCGACGATCCAGCCCACATTCAGGCGAGGAGGAAGCAAAATTGCGACATCTCGGGGTTTGGGTATGAGGTAGTTCTTGATATAGTCGAGTGGCTGGCTTCTAAATGCCCTAACGTGATCCTGTACTCTCCGTGAATGACAATATAGGTGAGCGATATAAGAATATAATTGAAGGAAGCGGCTGCTTACCGCTTGTGTATAGTTAAGGCGGGGTGGATCAACTTCTGGAAAGAAGAGTGGGAGTGTCTTCGCGGGCAGTGAAGGATCCATTACAGAGGAACGAGCCAGGTGAAGAGCGTAGGAAGAGGGCGAAAGCAAGAGTACAATGCGGTGAGTCGGCCACGTCCGCGTGTGTCCGCGTCCGGCAACGGCCGCTTTTGGTCGCCTTTTGTCGTGTCCTAGTGTCCTAGTGTCCCGTTATTACAAGCTACCTAGTTTATTGCCTGGTGCCTTGGAAATTGTTCTGCTCAAAATGTCGTGGTATACACTAATATGTGTGGACCATTTTTCACACTCGTCTGTAACCGGTGTCTGCCTGACATGCCGCCGATTGGCAGAGGCTCGCCGAGTCCTTCGCCACTGTTAGCAACAGCATAGCTATATGCCTCTGCGATGATCTCATTGACGTTCATACCATGTTCTGGTCTTGCGAACCAGACATCGACATCAAGCTAGCCCGGGCCACCACTGATGCACACAAGTTGAAAGGGTTGTACTTATACTAGCGGGGGCTCAACAAATCGACCAAAACTCAAGCTAAAGATCGAAACAATGAGTCAAGGTGCACGATAGTAGAGAAACATGAGTCGAGGCGAGGGAGCTCATGGCATGATTATGCACGCAGAACAAAAGAGTGAGAAGGGACGGGGCAATAGAGTGACGGGAGGCGCGAACGCAACAACAACAATGGCGTGGGAGGGTGCGACATACCGAGGTACCGAGGTATATTGGTTGCTTGGTTCGGCGGGTATGGCGGGAGAACGGCTCGAGATAGCGAACATACTTGCAGGACCATGCCAATGGTCGTGTGTGGATGTCAGGTCAAGTTTAAGAAGGATAAGGCACAGCTAGTACCCAAAAAGTCGTGAACAATAAAGTGTGTGGCGGGAAGTTCAACAAGCGCACAGGCAGCAGAGGCTTCGATAGATCCGATGTCAACGAAAGAGTACAAGCAGATGACGAGTAGATAAATGTGCCTCCATATTGAAGTCTCGTGAGAGAAGACAAGGGGATTGATAGAGGCGTCTTTACGCTCTGGGATAGTAATCATTAGACCAACAGGAACCCATAGGATTTACTAGGGGCGCACACCTAATCTCTTCCTTGTTGTGCACTCGCCTCGCACTGAAGCTCCTCTGAAGACCAGCGACGTTCAAGAACGCAGGGAACAGCTCTTATGAGGGTATAGATGTCAACATGTCAGCAACAGAGCTTAGTTTGAAGTAACTGGCGGTGTTAACAGCGTAGCGTCGTGGAGCGAATGAGCGTATAAAAACCCTTTGAACTGAACAGATATGTCTGTAAACATGAAATATTGATGAGCAAAGAGGTACACAGAAGGCAAGGGGATCGCAGAGTACCAGAAATAGACGTACAGTCGGCAGCTCGAGTAAGTCGTAGATATGAGCTGGAGGCAAAAGGCTACGGCAGCAGCTAGGGTGTCGTTCTAGTTACTTTTCCTTCGTAATAAGAAGAATCTCAGATTCGGGTCCAAGGGTCAAATGGAGTGGAGCGTACCACTGGGTCGAGCCCTTTTGCGTGACTCGTCCACATTCCTCGTCCCGTGTCCAGGCGTAACAAAGCCTCGTAACTCATCGCTATGCTCTTTCGGTATGGCACGGCGATATTTGATTCTACGCTCAAAGCAGGCTGAAAACTGTGATGGTTTAGGTCGGTGGGATTCAGATTGTATTTACCATTGCAGGCGAACACGCTCTCGATGCGCAGGTCATCTAGTATGCTGAGGTCCTCAAGCAGGATGTCTAGTGCCTTATTATAGGTATCGTAGTAATTGTGATGAACACCTTCACGGTCCTATAAAACATTCGGTTCCGTGGTCGCGAGGATACTCGAACATGCGGGGAGATTCAAAATGGATGATGTAGATGAGGACAAAAAGGACAAACAAAGAGCCATCGCGTTCGCACGGCGACGGAAACGCGGCACATACTGAGAGCGAAGCGGGAGGCCACAAGACCCGCACAATCGCTTCTGTATTGTAGAAGTACTTACCTCTTGCTGAAACTACCACGGGAGTCGCATAGCTTCATATGTTGAGCGTCCAAGCACACAAACAGGACTGTCCCCAGAGAGATAGATGCTCAACATATATAGAAATATCTCAAAGTTCGACTAGAGCAATGAGGAGTATCAATAGCACGGCACGTCGTGAACACTATTTGAACTCTTTGATATATTTGCTGACGTAAACGTACAAAGGACATACACGAGCGAGTGCTCAACAGATCAACCAAAACCTAAGTATACCGGAACGATTAGCCAAGAGACACAATGGATAATGAGATGGGAGGAAAAGACACATACAGGGCAAAGCAGCGACGATGGTATCAAGACGACGAGAACATTGGTACAGACGAACGCTTAAGCTAGCCTACGAGCTTGCGCCAAGGTCGTTGGAAGGGGTTGGGGTCTTCTTTTTCGGTTTGCTTTTCCCTGATGAGAGAAAAACCATCAGAATCAAAGACGGGCGGAAGATCACATAAAAAGTATAGGGAAATGAGCCGAGACGTACCATTCGACTTTGCTCGTTTAGGCGCTTTCGACCAATTCCATTCATCCTGATCCAAATACCAACGGGGCTGGACGCCAGGAGCAAGAAAAGCCTTCAGTTTATCGGCTTGCTCTTCCGGTATGAGTCCTTGGTAGTTGGTCCCGATACTTAGGGCGGGGTGGAAATTATCATATTCCGGATCGATGGCGTCAGGATTGTAGTCGCCCTTGCAGACGTAAACGATCTCGATGCGGGGGTCATACGGTATGCCAAAATCCTCGAGCATGAAGTTTACAGCTTCATTGCAGGCATCGAAATAGTTGCGATGATCGCCGTCATGATCGTAGACCATGGCGTTGACGCCATGAGCAAGGGCATATTCGTACATACGGTCTTGGTCGACAAGCCACGCAAGGTGCATGATGGGAGGGAGTAGGACGGCTTCGTCAGGGCCTTTAGGAATGAGATATCTTTTGATGAAATCGAGGGGTTGACTTCTGAATGCTCGAATGCGATCCTGTATCAGCCATGGCATGATATGCGTCAGTGAGATCCTAAGAAAGGTCGAGAAAGAGAAGCTAATTACCGCTTCTGTGTATTTCAGATGGGGAGGGTCGATCTCTGGGTAGAAGAGCGGGAGTTTTCGCTTGCGTGAAGAGGATTCCATCGCCGAGAAATGATTAAAGAGGTGTTGAGCACGGTTATGGCTTGGTGAAGGGTAGAAGGGAGTGAGTGGAGAGGACGAAGGAAAGCAACACGCATCTGACGCTCGAACATTAACCACGTGCGCCACGGCATTTGCCGGCCGTCTTTGCCGGTCTTTTGTCCAACAAAAGAGGTCTGCCTGACACAAGAGAATTACTTACATAACAAGTTCAACTTAGTTCGCTTAAATCTTGCTCTTTGCTCGCATCGATCCACTTGAACTTCAGTCTCTTGGTTGCATCCTTGAACATTCTTTTCTCGCCCCAAGCGCTCCGACCCGATGCCCTACGATCCTTGGCGAGATCCTATACAGGTTACCTTCGAAAACCATTTGCGTCAAGTCGCTGTGCTCTTGAAGGAGAATCACCTCGATGGACCGGAACGAGAGCAATCAATATACCGACCTCTGATGCAGATATTCAGCTACATGTGTTTGGCCCTCTCGACGAACTTGACATCTGCCGATCAGGGCATACCTAGGTTTCTCTCGGTCTGCCCTCAGGGCCCAGTTTACGCCCATTACCCGTCGGTATCTGCTTCTGCGATCCCAACTCTGCCTGAGTCTGAGCGTACGCCTTTTGTCTAAGACGTGAGAAAAGGACAGCTTGCAACATGCTAATCTCTGCGTTTTTTTAAAATCTTAGTTGTACAGCGCATCAAGGAGGAGCCTCGCAAGCGAAAGCCGAGGAAAGTAAATCTGGATGAAGTATACTTCAGCTTAGACAGAAACAGTGAGTGTTTCTGTTACCCCACAAAATTTCTGTGTTATCTAGTCAATAACAACCTCTCTTGCCGTCTTGTGTTTGTCCCCAACAGTGTACGGCACCTTTTTCGGGACCGAGGCCGTGACTGAGACCGAAAGTGAGACTGAGACCGAAAGTGAGAGCGAGCGTGAGTCCGAGGCCGACAGCGACAACAGTAGCGAGGAAGAGCTTCAAGACGAATACGATCAAGAGGCCGATGTATCTGATCAAGTGGCCGAACGATCCGAGTCTGAAACCTCTTTTGACATCTCTGCCCTTGAAATTGCGTCCTCCAATCCCTCGGCTCCACCCCAATCACCCGCGCGCATCGTGGACTTCACTATTCATGTTAACGACTACACAGCACAAACTTCCAGTGTTGTCGTCGGTACTGTCGAAGGTAAACTATTTCCAGTGGAGCTTGCCTCCCAGGTCATGAACACACGGAAGCTTGCCGCCCAAGAGATGAAGAAGATGCTCCCGCAGGTTGTGCAACAAGTACAATTCGTGTTTCACGAGCATGAACATATCACCGATCTCGTTTCATTCCTCTTCGTCAACTCTTATTGCAAGACTCTCAGGTTCAGACGTGATCGGGTTCCTGCGCTTGACTTGGACAACATCCCTCGTGATGGGTTTGCCTTCCCACAGGATTCCCTCAGATCAATCGAGTGTATCCCAGAAAAGGCCACTCGTACGGAGCTCTACCCTGTGATAACCAAGAAGGGCAACTATGATAATAGATTCAAGGCAGCGTTTAACAGAGTCGTGGATCTTGCGCGCAAGGTGTAGATCAGACGACGGATGTCGCTAGATGGTGCGTTGTTTGTTATTTCGCGCTCTTAAATCAGTCGGTGACGTTTTTGACCTTCGCCTTTGTAGAGTCGTCATCAGGTTGACTCCCATCTCGCACTGTCGCTCTGACGGTTACTTTAGTGCCGCGAATCCAGACCCTCAATGCTCCCAATTTTCTCTCATCTCGATCTTTCTCGTGCCGAGCCAAGCGTTTCACTATATTCTCCTTTGTTTGCTTTGAACTCTGCTTCCGACCCCCGCTTACGTCGACATCATCGCTTGTACATTTACTTTCGTAATGTTTGTCCTGCCGATGTTGTCTTACCCAATCGAATCAGAATGTGTTCGAATTTGCCTGATATGCCCCGACGACCTATACCGGCGCCAAAGAAGACTTAGTAGAATTTTAACCATCATAGAAGTCTCTTTGTGAACTGACAGTTCGATATCTTCACAGCGGAAACTATTTGCGTTATCTGTACAGGTCAAGGCAAAGAAAGTTACGTGTCTAACAGGTGTAGGTAAGTGGTCCGTGTCAACAATGTAACACCGAAAAACTTGAGTCGTCCAGATTTGCCAAGCCGGCTTTTGACTCGAACGAAGTCGATTCAGTACCCCATGCCCTTCTACGAGCATGACAGTATGTTGATTGGCCAGGAAGTATGGTACATAGAAAGGGAAGCGACAAGAAGACTAAGAGAAACGATCGCCATACAGAAGAGAGATTGAATCAGCCTACAGACTGACATTGGTATCGCCAGACTTATCAGGTTCAGAGTTGTTCACGGAATCGGCGAGGGCGCGTTCCTGCTTGTATTTCTCTGAGGGACACGATGTCAGCCAGGTGGGAAAATATTGAGCGAAGAGCCGGGACGTACCTCTCAGCTTGTCCAAGCCTGGTGCCTTTGTCCACACCCATTTATCCTGGTCCAAGAACCAACGGGGCTTGACGCCGGGCGCGACAAAATCCTGAATTCGCGCAGCAGCTTCCTTCGGTATAAGGCGGTCGTAGTTCGTCCCGATGGTCACGGCAAGCTGAAAATTCTTACGAGCCTCGGTAGAGTTCAGTTCGTAATCGCCATCGCAAACGTTTACGACGTCGTTTCGATCGTCAAACGATAGGTCGAGGTCCTCCAGGAAACAGAGCAAACCTTCATTACAGGCAGCATAGTAGTTACGACGATGGCCTTTGTCGTCGCTGATCGTGCAATTGACTCCCTGTTCAAGAGCGTGTTCGAACATAGCTTCCTTGTCGACGATCCAGCCCAGGTGCAGAAGGGGAGGGAGTAGGACTGCGACGTCGGCAGGTTTGGGGATGAGATACTTTCCGATACGGTTTAGAGGTTGGCTTCTGAACAGTCTAATGCGATCCTATGTCATTCGCAGAACATGACATATATGAGTGATAGGAGGAAAGGGAATATCAACGAAAGGGAACAATTACCGCTTCTGTATATCTTAGGCGGAGAGGGTCAATTTCTGGGTAGAAGAGGGGTAGGGCCTTCTCACGGGGAGGAGAAGTCATGATGCAGTGCCTCGGATTTGGAGGTAGCTTTTGGATGCGTATCGGCGATTATTTCAAAGCCAGAGACGACGAGATGGAGGTCATGGAAAGACGCGACAAGCGACTGCCCGGGACTGCCCTCGGCTACTGGTCGTGTCAGGCTGCCGGCAATGGCCGACAGATGTTGAACTTTTCTCTTCAAGAACTCATCTCTTCCTCAGATACATATTTTCCCCCCACTCTCACCTTGGGAGAATTGCCAGTAATTATAAGCTACATGCGACTTCGTAAACACAAGAGTAAAGACTAGTCTTTACTCTTGAGTTGCACCCAGAAAGGTTGAATACATGTTATATGTACGCAATTTTAGAGGGTATGGCAACTTGGCCGAGTGGTCTAAGGCGCTAGAATCAGGTTGTATCCCTATCTAGTCTTTCGAGGCGTGAGTTCGAATCTCACAGTTGTCAACTGTCGGAAGAGCGATTTTTTGTTCGCGCTCACATTTTCCATGTTCTCATCTAAGCCAGTCACTTTTCTCGTCGATATCGAAGCCGATACTAGATAGCGTGCGAAAAAATGGCCCGAACCCAAGAACGAAATCACGGCAATATCCGAGTGGCACCAGGACCTGATCCCGAGAATTTGAGGCGTCGTGATCTCTTGCCTCTCTTTCCAATGGTCCGCCTCATAACACATAACCTGCTCGCCTGCCACGCAAAAGGCTGTAACGCCAACAACTTCCCACTCGCATTTAAAGATGTCCAGATAGCACTGCGCGAGGCGGAGTTCAACCCTGATTTTCTGAGGGGATTCATGCCGAAGATTGAATGGAATGCGTTGGTTCAGGCTTCGAGACAGGTGCGTATTCTCACTTTTGATTTTTATGAACAGGGTATTGATTGCGCTCGTTGTTGGTGGGACAGCTTGGGGATACGAGTCTGCCGTTGGAACAGCCTGAGATGGTAGATGAGGAGTTCTTGAAGTCATTACACCATGTATTGCTCGAGGTGCGTTCGCTTCCTCTTTCACCTCTCCTACTATACATCTAATATATCTCTATGTTCTGCTCATGAAGATACACGTGGAGGAGGGCGCTATGGTCTGTCCAAATTGCAGCCACACCTACCCAATCTCGAACGGCATCCCAAACATGGTGCGCTCTCAGTATCGCATCTTTGTCCCTGACGCGGTCAATACTCACTCACACCCCTCCCCGTGGTCTAGTTACTCGCGGAGCATGAAATCGGTTAATATTATCTGTACATCTCACCCGGCTCATGCGATCCGTAAAACTTGCTTTTGGTGGCTGGGCCACCCGCACACCTCGCCACAGTGACCTCGCAGCGAAGACCTGGCCGTGTTGATGGGCCGCTGTATATCAAGGGGAACGCAAAGTGATAGCTGGTGGGTCCTGACGTGTAGGTCTGAACTGTATTCTCCCAAAAAGAAAGAGACGTGTATGATTATGTTTCCTACTCCGAGATCATGAAATGTCGCCACTCGCTAATAGCGTACAAAGAATATGGATGACTTCAAACGGGTATGGGTATAACTGTCTCGCTATATCACCCAGGGGAATCGAGAATGTAATGCAAAGAAAAGGGTATAATAAAGTAAAAGACCGTTTCCTCCGTTATCCGTCCAAAAACCAACCGGCCCTCCTCATCTCGTCCGCCAACCCGTCCCAGCCCCTTTTCCTCGCCTTCCTACCAGACAACTCCGTTGCGAATCTAGGAACGCGCCACGAGTCAACCCATGTCGCTCGCGGCGAGTAGCACGAGTATGCCAGAGCGAACAGAACGTACCTCAGACACTCATCCAACCTCCACCTGGCTTTTTCCTCGCCGGGCCAGTTACTACCCTCATCCCCCATACTCGCAAGCCCGGGACTGTAAGGACCTCCGGGGAGTAAACGCCGACTCAACGCGTATATCATCCCAGCCACGAACGCGTCTTGTGCCCCGACTTCGTCCAGGAGCGGTCCGCTAACTGACCGTTTTGCACCACCACCACCACCACCACCGCCGCCGCCACCAGGACCGTTCGTGCTTCCACCCGTCCCTGAGGGCCGTCTTCGTGTCCCACCATGGTTCCTTCGTTCCCCACCATCATTCGCAATCTCCGTCCCCTGCGAATCGTCCGACCCATTCCCATCCTCATCCCCATCCTCATCCCCCTGCTCCTTCCTCTTCCCGTCCCTCCGCCTCCCCCTCTCCGTCTCCGTCTCCCTTTCCCTATACCTCATAATATCATCCTGCCCATAATGCCCATACCCCAACTCATGGCCCCCCTCGCTCGACTTCAACGCACTATGCGCCCCTTCCGACCCAAGCAAAGCCGAGAAAATACTAACGCTCGTCCCGCTCGCTCTCCACGACTCTTCACTTCTCTCCCCCGGCGCCGCGAAAAAATCAGAGCCGGACCTCACGCTCCGCACATCCATCAGATCCTCACCTCCCACCGCCCCTCCACCACCATGCCCTCCCCCACCTCCTCCTCCTCCATCTCCGCGTCCGTCACTGGTATGACCGAAGTAGGACGGCGAAGACGCGGCGGGCAGGGCGGGTTCCCAGGCTGAGCTTTGTAGGTATTCCTTTGTAGGGACGGAGAGGATGGCGGCGCCTTCGGAGCCCCAGTGGGCTATGAGGAGGGCGTGGGGTGGAGCGAGGGAGGTTAGGGAGAGGAGGAAGGAGCGGGGGGTTATTGGGGCTGAGGAGGTAGAGGTGGAGGAGTGCGAGAGGGCGTAGTGTTTGTTGAAGAAGATGACGTCGGCGTGGGGGATGAGCTGTGAGACAGGTAATGTTATGTTATCGTTAGTGTCGAGGCGCTGAGAGCGGGGGGTGGGGGAATGGGGGATGGCTTACGGCTTCGACTCCCGCACGAGCCCGACGACCGACGTCGACGCTGAACACGCAATACCGCCTCCATTTTCTCTCCCTCGCCAATCCATCGATCCCCATCATATTCGTCAACGTAGTCCTCACGCTCCGCCCCTCGAAATGCAACCAGTCAAACGGCGCCGGCGACGTCGGTCTTACTCTTGGTCCATACTGCAGCAAAATACGATTGAAGCCCGGGGGACGGTTCTGATATTGATAGCCCGGGTGCTGATATTGTCCATTCGGGTTCGGGCTGTTCAAGGGGGAGTTGGATGGGGAGTGGAGGGGGGCAGGAGGAGAAGGGAGGGGGATGGGGAGAGGAGGAGGGGGTGGGTAGTTCTCTGGGGCGAGGATTGGGCCGAGGAGGGAGACGAATTCTTCGTGGGTGATGTCGGGGAGAGGGTTATGGTTGATGACGGTTTGTGTGTCTGTATTATCTGCAAGTGCCCTTGGTTAGCAGTTGATGCGGAGGATGGATGCCATGAAAAACACGAGATAGTGGGAAGGAGAAAATTCTGGACCACACTTTCTCGTGGCTCTTGCTGGAATCAAAACGAATAGCGTGGCAGTATAAGACGCCATAGTGGGACCTGTGCGGCCAAGGATTACATGGGGACAAGATCACCTGCATCAGCAAACTCTGGACGATGCGTTTAGTCCCTAGGCGGATATGGAAGTACACTTCACCCGCATAAAACAATACGCTTTGTGTCTGGTTCCAGCCTCCCGGCGCGGTAAACCAGCATGTTGATCCCAAAATACTGTCGCGACGATCATTGACGATCCCAAAGCAGTATCCGAACCTCATGCATGCAGTCCAGTCCTTTACGTCTGTTATCCCACCAAAGGCTTTGAAGTCCACTAGGACAGGACCGAGTCGTCTTCGATGGTCAAGTAGGATTGAACCCAATACCGACCAGAGACCGCCCCACCAAAGCGAGAGCGAGACACAGAGGCCAAACGAACGAAATAAAAGCACAGTACTCACCAGCATGTAGAACCCATGCGCCCGGGACGCCTACCCCATCCCAGATCTTACAATACTTCGTGCTGATTCCGGCCCTGTCCAGCTCTCTCAACACCTCCTTCCCCTCGTCATTTCCTCCCAGACTCGCAATCAACCAACACCCCTCGACCCCACCACCACCCATACCCGCACCCCCCGTCGGACCCTCATTCGCAATCCCAGGCTGAAACTGAGATAAGACCGCTAGGACGCTGCAGGCCGAGCCATTCCTTGAGCGGATGTACGAATGCGCTCGGACGTTGCTGTTCGACCCCGGCGAAGGATGGGAGGGCAAGGAAAGCGTGTAGGTATAGAAGAGGGTACCAGAGGCGAGGATCCGGAGAGGGCCAGGGTGGAGAGACGAAGGAGACGATGGGGGCGGCATGCGCGAGGCTCGACGCGTCGCGGTATTTCCGGTGAAGGTGCTGAGCATTGAATTACTCGTCCCGCGCCTGCGTTTACCCGGAGAGACAAATATTGGGGATTGTAGGCGTTTGTGGGCGCGCCGCTTGAATGGTGCGAACATTCACTGGATATTTTATGTGGGCTTGCCGATGGGTTCGGACTCAGGAAATAATGGCCGATCGCGTATTGCACTGCCTGGCCTTACATTCAGCATGTCAAGATAGGTCTCTAGCAATTCGTCATCTGTTCATGTCACATTAAACCGATGGTCGATCGACACGAGCGAGTCGCGAGGACGTGTACAGTAAGATACTATTGTGCGCATACATTGAGACTATAGATAGAAGCCTGACGCATAAGATTGGATGCAGCAGTCGCCTCAGACCCGACATACATCAATGCAACTTTGCAGTTGAACGCTTCCGGAACTGGACATTAGCGAGCCCGGGAACGAGTGCGGAACCCACAGAGAAATTCGTTGGGTATGTCTTGCCTTCCAATCTGACATCGTAGGTCGATACGACGTGGGCCAACATAGCTTTCATCTCGTTTGCCGCAAAGAATCGGCCTGGGCTAAAGAGTGGTATCAAACTGTCAGCGACTCGCCGCGATGTTCGTACGGCCGAACTGAAGACACACCAAGCGTGGCGACCATGGCCAAATGCAATGAAATCGGTCTATTGATGTCATTAATGCATGTTGAAGTGGTCAGAAGATCATTATATACTGTAGAGAGAGAACTTACACCTGTGGCGACGAATTGGTGCTTGGTCTCCTCCCCATGACCGTGCCCACGCACGTCTGAGAACCTGAACGGGCTGAAGACATCGGGATTCTCATAGATTTCCGCGTCGTGGTGCATCGCTGAGGCAGCGCACGATAGGAATGCGCCCTTCGGCACCTTCAAACCGTCGGAGAACGTGAAATCTTTACTCACGATGCGTCCCAGGCTGACTGTGTGTGTTATTTAGCAGGTTAGCAGAGATCGGCGAATTATACCAGCAAGGATGGACGCACGAGCATTAAGTCCGTCAATGCGTTGACATTCTTTGAGGAAACTGTCCACCTTGTACAGTTTCTGCATGGCGGACTTTGTCCAGCCCTCTGAAGCCACGACAGCGTCGACTTCCTCCCGAAGTGGTTGGATATACTCCGGACAGGCTGCCAGATGGTGCAATGCATTGGTAAAGCTCTGCAAAGAAGTTACTACTGATCGTTACAGGATGAGGGGCGAGATGGCCGACCATAGATGAGGTGTGAACGGCCGCGAAATTGACGGTCAAAATCCTGAGGGTCAGACTCCGTATGTCTTGTTCATCTTCAGGCGCCTCTTCCATGAGCCACATCAGAATATCGTTCTGCAATGGAGTAAGTGAGTATAAACTGACAACAGTCCTATTGAACCTCAAAGCAGCACCCACCGGCTTGTCTTCCCACTCGTTTCCAAATTCCTTCATCCTCCGCCTTCGCTCCTCGATTATGGGTTGCACATGCTTGACTGATCGGTTTATATAAGAGGGTACTTTGCTAAATAGCTTCCCAGCCAACCTACAAGTTTTGTGTCAGAGGTTTCTGTTATACGCGGGGGGAGCTCAGATAGTAAGTAACGTACGGCTTCAGAAAATCAGGAAATGCATTTATAATTATGCCCGACTTGACGACCTCGACTGTGAAGTCCACGTTGATCTTCAAGAACTCTGGGTCCCGACCTACCGCACGACCCAGTTCAAATCAGCTCCAGCATCACCGAAAGGTAAAACTCTAATCAGTGTAACTCACAGACCGGTAGACCGATAAAGACGCGGTTACTCGTGCGACACACAATCTCCATCATAGTCTTCAACGTGGGGACACTGGTCCATTCTATATCAGGCGGTAAGAAGGAATCGATACAGCGAAAATATCAGAACTTGAAGGTCCTGATACGAGCCGCAGTTGCATGCTCACCATCTTCAACCACGGGAATGTTATCCTCAAATGCCCTCACGATCTCCTCACGCACAACCGGAAAGAGCGTAGCAAGGTTCCGAGTCAATTGCTGCCGGATGATGGGGATATGGTAAGGGTTACGAGCGACCGCAGGTCCAATCGTATACTCAGTTTGGAGAGTCTTCGAGCGTCATGGGTGTCTTGTGATTAGCACCTCCCTAGTCTTCTAAGAAGAGTTAAGAAGAGAGTGGGGAGAATGACAGACCCTGTTGACATGTTCGTAGAAGGACAGAACATCGTCAGGAGCTTGACGCATGTCCTCGACAGCCTGTTGGCCACTGGCTATGACCTCCCAATAATATAGCGTGGCCACCTTGAAAATTCCGCCTTTGTGCTATGAAGGTCAGACAGGTGGGTAGAAACGCGTGGTGTCAATATTTGACTGGACGTAGGAACCTAGATATCTTACTTTGTCATAGCCTCCTTGAATCAACTTTGGCCCATTGAACATATACTTGAACGCTGTAATATATGATAAGACCGGATGGGAGTAGCCCACAGTCGGTATAGAGGACAGCTATGCAGAGGGTGGAGTCAGATGTTGCCATATCGCCAGCTAGAAAGACGATGCAAACGTACGTCGGTCTGCGAAAAGTAGCATTTGGCGCATAAAATGATGATTGAGCATGCAATAATGACGACGAAGTCGAAGAGGAAGGTGGACAACATCGTGACAGAACAGACGAGGAATCGGGGAATGAAAGATGGGGAAATTACACCTGGATATCGTCTCCTCGCCTTGATGGATCCGTGCTATGGTATTCTTCTATAATGAACATCAGATCGCAGGGAAGATGTCTGGAATCCAAGAGAGGCTGTGTTTCAGCGCTGCGTTACGAATGGGCTCTTGGAGGCCCCAGGATGGATGAAGTGTTGGGCGCAACTTCGCACACCCCCCTGGTTCCAACAATAGATTCTCTCCGGGTGATTGATGCCGATGATGCCTTGCGCTCAATTCGTCTACTTACTAGGCGCAACAAGGCGGGTGTGTCGGAAGGAATGAGCGATAGGTGCCGAAAAGGCATGGTGCAGTCTAGTTTGACTGTTCCCTGGGAACAATCCCCGTATGATCCGGAACGTGTTGTGGTGCGGAAAGCGTGGTGATGTCCACCACAGAAAATGTGGACTCACAGCTTCACTCAGACGGGCTTGGTGTAACAGAACGACAGTGAACATTCGGCGAGATGGTTTGACCGAGGAAAGACAATGGGCGACCTGCCCAGTACTGGTGCGTTTTCAGCGCCCGAGTCTGAGGTTGATGATTGGGTCTGGATGAGAAACAGAGCTCTTTCAGTGATCGTACTTTCACTCACTGCGGCCATTCGTGCGGTTTCAGTCCGGTTGCACTTTACAGGAAACATACACGGGAGGACGGCGGCGTCCGAAAACCTGGCCTACTCGTGTAATTCCAATAATTTCGTGAGCGCAAACGCCCGGGCTCCTTGGAGGGCCGCGTGGCGAGGCTGTGCGTCGACCTTTCAGCGTTCAACGTTAACATTGACTTCGGACTGAGTCCCAAGTTCTGGCCCCTCGCATCGCCAAGTTATGAATTTTCCGCATAGAATCACATCGAGTTTGGGTAGAAGAACGGACGAGGGAGTCACAGAGTCGCTTTGGTACTACAATTGAATCATACGGATGAGAACAGGCATGTCATACTGTAGCATAACTTCCCAGCGCCGAGACGATACAATACATTCGAGTGAGCCCACAGTCTGCAATGAACGAAAGAAAGAATACTAGCTGAGAACCCAGCGTGCCATAGTCTAAGAGCCTCAGACGCCCATACTGCCGTCAAACACGAGGACATAACTCGACCACGAGCGGATCGTGCAACCACAGATTATGCTCCTACATACTCAATTCAACATTATGACCCGCTCACGCCCAAGAAAAACGAACAACGAACCTTATAAGACGCATCGAACTTCCGTACATCGAAATCAGCAGAAAGTCGTAGCTGAAACTTCTTCACCAGACTGGCGGCCAGGAGCCTAGCCATAGATCCGTCACAGGTTCGAAAGACTTGGACTCGAAAGGGTATATATATGCTCACTTCATGTTATGCAACGCGACCGGTTTTCCGATACAGACACCGACGCCGTAGCTGAAGGGCATATAAGCATCGGCATTGTGGACACCACTACTAGGAGAGTCCAGCCACCGAGCGGGTAAGAACTCTTCCGGGTTGCTGAAGAATCGCGCTATGATGCGACCACCATACCAGATATCAGACCCCGAGAGAATAAGGGTGGTGGGGCAGGAATGTCCCTACTCACCATCGTGGTGCATTCCAAATATCGGACAAGCAAGAGTGGTGCGAGGCGGAATATAACGGTCCAGTATTCGAACACCCCTCTCCCCACTGTAACGCGGAGGACCTGATAAATAGTATTCAGTCAGCTCGTCATTAACTACTCTGCGTAATGGGAGAAACCTGTCAGGCTCGCTCACCGGCCGCAACAGGAGGAACCATCCGCAGCGTCTCCAGCACACACGCGTCCAAGAACGGCAGCTTCGCGAGGCGGAGGGGATCCATATCCTGAACATCTGCATCGAAGGCTTCATCCAATTCATTCCTCAGACGCTCAAGGATCGTTCGATCTGCGACCACGTAGCGGAAAAAGGCGGTCATGGCCTGCGAGATCGTGTCTTGGCCGGCTACGACCATGAAGGACGCGTCGGCCGCGGCCTCTTTTTCCGTCACCTGGTAGTCACTGTCGTTTTGCTAGTGCATTATGTTAGGTTATAGCAGAGGGGGGTGGGGTGGGGGAAGGCAGGGTTTTGAGAGAGAGAGAGAGAGAGAGAGAGAGAGAAAGCGTACGAGGATGCCGAGTATGTCTCTGGGTATCCCACCGCTGAGGTTTCGCGTCTCGAGGACTTTGCGTTTGGCGAACTGGGGCGTATGAGGAAGAGTTTGTCAGATCGAAGAAAACGAATCTTCGGATATGTTTCCATGCTACATACCTGCTGAAACGTGATAATAGGACCAGGCTGGGGCAACATAGCCACAATATCGCGCATCCATGGAACCTGACCCAGTACTATCCCAAACATCGATTAAAAATACATATAAGTAGATGAAATTGAAGACAAAGAGAACATACCTCCGACAGCAAGCACGCCCATAGACAACTAACAAGCCAAAATAGATGAGAACGAACAAAATCAACTGCGAGATTCGATTCCGATACGCACCACCTCCATCCAACCCTCCGAGTCCTTCCCAGAAGCCATGGTCTCAAAGCCTCCAGAGAATGAAATATCGCCCATTATGTCCCTGTGAGTCCAGGAGGATATCAGTCCAGTCGCTAGAGATGGAGGGGAAACCCTCCTCACATAGCCCAGAGAGATATCCAATGCGATAGGTCTACGGCTTTCTCTTTCTTCTCTGCGGCAACTTTTGTAAGGACGTCCAGTAGTTGCGATGTTCGAGTCTAACGAAAATCACGTTGAACTACTTATGCGTATATACGTATGAGAACAAAAACAAGCTTTACACACCTGAGCGACAGCCTGGAAACGTTTCTGAGATTCCGAGTTGAAAGCCTTGTTCCACGCCTATCAAAGGATTCAGACATACACTCGCTCGGCAGGATGAGACGGAGGTAAAAGAAATCACGTACAAACAGACGCAGGGTATGTTCCGCTCGAATCGTGGTCGTGATGAGTGCATCCGCATCCATTGGCGCACCTACAATAAGTATTTGATTTGACTCAATCAATATTAATGGCCATGCGCCCTCATTATCAGGGAGCGATTGAAATAATGGACATACCCTGGTAGAACGGCGCGCGAAACATGGTCGTATACACCGGACGGACTGCTTCCGGGAGACTGATAGAGAGCTCGTTCGGGCCTGGTTGGCATGATTTCCTTTCAGCGTCAGCAAGAATCCGATATCGAGATCAATACACGGACTTCTCACCGACTCGAACCCAAGGACCGTACTTCTTGTGCAACCTGTAATAAATAAAAGGGTGGCGAACAATGAGTCTCGCGCTTCACCTTATTAATTAATCCGAAGAGACGGCTGCAATCTTACCGCTGGAGTACGAGGTGTCGTTCACCCCTTGCGATCCAATACGCCATCCACCATTTACTTAGCTTCGCGAGCCTCGGGCCCGGATAACTTGCCAACGGATGCCACGGCGCAAGACGATAAAGCACAACTGACGAAGCGAGGGCCACAAGGTAGACACCTGTGGTGAGTGAAGCCGTCAGTGCTGCGATCGCAAGGTGACCGATGTCTAGCGTTGTGCGGTCAACGCATTCTGTGAGAATCGCTGTATAGTACGAGAGGATCAAGACGATGAAGGCTAGGATTTTAGGTTCGAAGAAGTGGAATACGGGGTGTGATGCCTATTGTCTTTAGTAGTGAGCGTCTGAATGGTCAGAATGGATGCAAACTTCAACGCACTAAGCCGATCATGGCTGCCCAAGAGAGCAGCACTTTCAAGTGCATCTTCAAAAAGCCTGAAAAAGAGGCTGTTATGGAGGATAAGAGTGGTCAGTGATGATGGGAGAGAGGAAGGAGTGAGTTGATGCTGAGCTCGCTGAAACCCAGCATGCCCGGGTTCAAGGCTTCTATGATCAGATCAGGTCCGCGATACTCGAGAACAATAGTTCGGGAAGGTGATGTGTTCGGCGCTAATTTTTCCCTACATGTGTATCGCAAGGTCTCACGATCTCGCGTGAAGCGAGAACGTCAACCAGAGAGACGATCATGACAGGAATCGAAAAACACGTGATGATGGCACACGGCAACAGAAATCTGGAACCAGCTCGTCTGGAACTCGTCGCTTGGCCTAAAAACCCAAAGCAACAGAAAGTCGGATTTTATTCAACGCTAGTGGCCCTCCACGTCAGGACAGGCTATCATGAATATGCTTAGATTTACGAAGAAAATAGAAGCTCGGCGTGCAGTCAGCACCAACATGGATCAGTATCTAAGCAGATGACCGCCTTCGAGTCCTAAACTGGACATTCACAGTCCCGGGGACGAGCGCAGAGCCCACAGAGAAGTTTTGTGGATACTTGTTGTCCTCCAGCTTGACATCATACTCCGAAACAACGTGTGCCAGCATAGCTTTTAGCTCGTTGGCAGCGAAGAATCTTCCAGGGCTGAGCAGAAATCCCGTTAGGGAAGTGCTGGCATTTCGTCATAGAAAGAGTTGAGACGTACCAGGCATGACGGCCGTGGCCAAAAGCGACGAAATCGGTCTAAGATGATAGTTGTTCGGGTTAGTATGATCAGCAATTCATTGAGTGGTATATTAAAAACTTACCGCTGTGGCGACCAGTTGGTGCTTCGTCTCCTCTCCGTGTCCTTGTACGCGTACGTTGGAGAACCTAAACGGGTCGAAGACGTCAGGATGATCGTAGATTTCCTCGTCACTGTGCAGTGCTCTGGCTGCGCATGACAAGAATGCGCCTTTCGGCACCTTTAAACCATTGGAGAATGTGAAGTCCTTCAGTGCGATACGTCCCATAACAACTGAATCAGACGCATTCCGAATGCGCCGAAGTAAGTCACGATGTTAGACGTTATGAGTATAGAGTGGACGTACGAGCACCAAGGCCGTCAACGCGTTGAGACTCCTTGAGGAAGCTGTCCACTTTGCGCATCTTCTGCATGGCGGTCTTCGTCCAGCCTTCTGAGGCAATCACTGCGTCGACTTCCTCTCGAAGAGATTGAATACAGTCTGGATTGGCTGCCAGATGGTAAAGCGCATGGGTGAAGCTCTACAAAGTCGTTAATGATGTGCATAAAGAGTACGGGTAGAGGAAACCTACCATGGACGAGGTGTGAATAGCCGCGAAGTTGACGGTCAGGACTCTCAGAGTCAGACTTCGTACGTCTTGTTCATCTGCATTCGCCTCTTCCATGAGCCACATCAAGATATCATTCTGTTGCGACGACAGTGCAGGTAAACATAAATGGTCTTTCGTTCACGGTGTCTCTAGAAATAGTACTCACAGGCTTGCCTTTCCAATCATCTCCGTGCTCCTTCATCTGCCGTCTCCGGTCCTCGATGATAGGTTGAAGATGCTTGATGGAGCGGTTGATGTAAGAAGGTACGTTGGTCAGAAGCCTTCCAGCTATACTGAATACCATCAAAAACGGTGAGTTCTGGCCTATCAGAATGGAGAAAAAGGTGAAAAACGACGCACGGTTTTAGAACGTCAGGAAACATATTTATCATCGCGCCCGCCTTGACGACCTGAATCGTAAACTCGATGTTGATCTTCAGAAAATCTGGATCCCGACCTGCAACGCGATCAGACATAAACAAGTTTGCGCTAATGATTCGGACCAGCAATGCAACTCACAAAGCGGTAGGCCGACAAAAACACGGTTACTCGTGCGGCACACGATCTGCATCATGGTCTTCAGCGTAGGCCCGACACTAACCCATGCTATTGCAGGCCACATAGCAAGGCCGGAAGCAGAGACAGATGAGCGATTGACAGGCCCTAGGATGAAACTCAAACGTTCCGTACCATCTCCATCTATGGGGATATTGTCACTGAAGGCCTGCGCAAGCTCCTCTCGAACACTCGGAAAGAGTGCCGCCAAGTTCCGAGTCAACTGCTGCCGGACGATGGCAATGTGGTAGGGATTTTGTGCGATAGCAGGGCCCATCGTGTAGTCTACATGAAGTGTCTGATCTCTTGCGATGAGCCAGCTTGTATAGTGAATGAAAGGGTGAACAGGAAGAAAGGCGCACTCTTCTAACGGCTTCGTGAAAGGATAGGACGTCATCTGGGGCTTGACGCATCTCTTCAACTGCTTGACGGCCATTGGCTATAACCTCCCAGTGGTCCAATGTCGCGACCTTGAAGATGCCATCTTTGTACTTCAAACATCGGCGGAATGTGTAAGATCACAAATATGCGCTAGACCAACACGATAGGGGCACACCTTGTCATATCCCTCCTGAATCAGCTTCGGTGCGTTGAAGATGTATTGGACTGCGGTGATGTATGACAGTATAGGATTCGAGTATCCGACAGTTGGTATCGCTGAGAGCTACAGAGAGTCGGAAGGGTATACGGTCATGATTTGTTTTATGATGTCCAAGGGCTCGCAGAGGCCGCAACGCCTTCAGAAAGGACACGGAGACGTACATCGGGCTCCGAAAAATACCACTTCACGCTGAGCAAAGCCAGAGCACCGGCAACAATAGCGCCAGTGTTCGAGACAAGATCAGCCATCGCAGGACGATTGCTTTGTCGAACTGATGGAGGTGGGGTAATAAGGAGAATATCGCCTCCATGTCATATGATAGCTCACCCTCCCAAGCCGCGGGTGCAATTGGAGGAGTGTGAACACCACCCACGCTCGAGGGGGGTACGAAATCATAAGTGCCCGGATGTGCCCTTCGAAAGCCTTCGAAGGGCTCTTTGCCGACAGTGCTCAAATGGCAGTGCTGGACGCATGGAAGAACACTCGGAGGTATGGAATCCTCAACGTGAGATTACGTTTTGTCACAGAAAAGTGTGTTGCGCTCTCTGCATAAAAAATTCCAAGCAACATCAAAAGCTTCTGACGGTATGTGTGGGATCAAAGTGGGCACAATAGCTGTTGATGCACTACACTGGTGGAAGTGAGAAGAAGAAGGCAGCCAAAATAGAGCAACGCAGGAGTGTGAGGAGAATCGAACCGGCGGCGATCATTGGACACAAATTGGACATCTGATCGGAGGTTGCCGTCGGGTCTGCCGCAATCGTTGGAGTTGTTTGCACTTGTTGAAAAGGGAAGCCCTCGGCGCGTCGCGTCGCGACGCGCGAATGTCGATCACGCGCCGCGCACCATTTGCCCCTTTCTTCTCATCCTCATCTGTACCATAAAGAGCTCTGCCTATCATCCAGCATATCCTGATCTGATAGGATGGTTCTGAATCTCAATCTGAAAACCTCTGTAAGTTCCGAAACAATACGGGCAGTTCGCGACGGAATGACCGTAATTTTGAAGACTGACACAAAGCCTCGTTCCTCTGTTTAGCCTTATTTCCCTACATTTTCTTCCCTTCCAGGCGAGCCGGAAAGCGGAGAAGTCTCACTCGAGTATTACGCTTCGGCTGGCTCCGGCTACTTACAACCATCCAAACACTGGGTCTTCATTGGTGAAATCGTTCAAAACATCTCCCTCATTCGTCCCGGCTTCCTGGTCAAAGACAAAAGAGGCGTGCAAGTCGGTGTTCACTTCTATCTCGACAACGATGTCGCTCGGACGGCAGATTATAAGAAGTTCAAGGTTGGGAGTACGATGTGTGTCTATTATGCTCATATGAGGTACTTCATGGACGGGGGCGTAGGGATCAGGGTCGAGGATATGTCGAATGTGAAGGTGAGAAACAGTGTTTGTTCCTCTGTGACATCGTAGGGAAGAATTAACTGGGCCCAGATCATACCATGCAGCATGAAGATCTTACTCGAGACGAACATCGCTAAAGTCAAGAGCTCTTTGGTTTGTTCAACATGCGCCAAGAAAGGTGAAGATGTGACGCTTCAACAATGCAAGCGATGTGGCACACGATACTGCAGTCGAGTGAGCGATCATATCTTCGAGAGTGATATATGCGTTCTTCGTTGATGAGCTTATTTGACCACAACATAGGAATGCCAGCAACAGGACTGGCAGACTGGTCACAAGGCGAAATGTGCCGCCATCAGTCAGGTTCGAGAGTGGAGGGCTAAGGACTGGGGCAACTTCAGCGACTACTGGTCGGTCTAGAGCTGGCACTAAAACAGCTTGATGTGTGGAGTCATGGACGCGCTTTAGTGTTTCCAGAATACCACGGGAAAAGTAAAATAATTGGAATACATAGGATGCCGAAGAGGGTACATGGTGACGTCTGAAAGAAATGCACCATTGGTTATCTAAGCAGGCATAGCTGGTATATTAATATGAAGACACTGAACAACTATTGACACAAGCGTCCTGCGCACCGACCAAAAAAGCTGTAGTCAGTCTTCGGGAGATTCGATCCAACGAAGCACTCACTCGACGATCTTAATGCGTGATGGAGATAGTGACGCGTTTCCCAGGAATACCATTCGGATGCGACGAGTCGTCCTCGATGCATATATACACCCAGCCGCCGCATGTATCGGTGTCTGCTGGTAGAAGGCCAGTCCCAGGGAGGCACTTACAATGATGCCTGTTACATGTCGATCCTAATGGTGCGAATCGGTTGTGTCCAGGATGCATGATGTAAGCCTTGCTCCTATCGAGGGTTAATGCGCATATAAACAGCTGCGGGAGAGCTGTAAACACAAATGAGAAAAGCACGAACGAAAATCTGAGAGGGGTCGATTGTCGAAGTTCGGTGGCTATTGCGTGCATTCGGGTCTTGGCATCCACCTTTGGATCAGTGGCTACGATGCGGTACGAGGACTGAGATTCGAGACGAGTCGATCCTTTGGAGGCATGGGAGATTGCTTGGTAGACATCTGCCGACGTTCCATACTCTGGAATATTTGAGGAAGACTTGATGTATACAGTCAATGACTGATGGGGTGAAATAAGAAAGGACACGAGACTGACCTCTCCTGGAGGATGTAGAACTTTCTTCAATGACGGCGAAGACGAACCGACGACGGGCACCTTCGTCCACTTGATTCCGTTTTTAGATATATGAGACAGAATATCGCCTGAGTCCTAAGGTGAAGTACCAAAAATTCAACGGAAGGTATACACTGGACCATAAGATTTCACAAACCGACCTTAGGCTTCTCAATCTTCTTCCGTTTCGCAGGGGGCCCAATCGATGCAGAGTCAAGTTCGCTCGCGGGTCGCTTCTCCTGAGGATTGAGATCCGGCGACGTCGACAACGAAGGACCAGGGACAGTTACGATCGGATTCTTCGCTTCGGCTGCCTTGCGTTCTGCTGCTCTTCGAGAGGCTGCCCGCCCATTCTCGCGACACGTTAAACATAGCTTGTAATTTTCCGTCGGTGAGATTGCCTTCTTACACCCTCTCCTCGAGCATTGGACGGGTGCTTTTGCCAAAGGTTGCGCACTGTTGGAGGAGGGTACGGGGTCTGGTGAAGTATGTAGAGAGGATGACCGTAAGTCGGTGGTGGAATCGGACATGGGGGCGTCGGCCATGATGGTGGAAGGAGAGAGAAAGCGCGACGTAACTTATCCGCGACGCGACGCGCGAGATCAGGCGATCAGAGCGCGTTGATTGAAGTGGCAATCTTATCTTATCTAACTGTGGAGGTGTGTCACCGTGTCGCAAAGCGTCTTCGCGCCACATCTCACTTGATCTTGAACATCGACCTACTTTCAGGTGAGTGGCCTTTGGCCATCTTTTGTGTTGTCTTTCTGGTCAATTATCTGATAAGTCTCTGAATATCATAGCTAGTGTCTTGGTCTTCACTATATCTCGCTCAAACTGTCTCTTCTCCGCCGGTGGTCTGTGCTCAGAGCACGTCGCCTGCTCTCTTCAAACATGTCTTCTGGCTATGGCAACTATCAAGGCCACGACAGAGGGGGAGACAGCCCAAGCTACTACAATACCTACGGGGATTACCAATTACAAGATGAATATGGAACATATACACCGTATCAAAGTGGCAGCGGTCACGGTCAGCCAGCCTCCTACGACCAGTCTTACATCAATCGAGCACAAGGGATGAACCCATTTTATACGAACCCGATGCAGACCCAGTGGCAGATGATGCAACACTATTACTCAACGGACGCATATAGTGGTGGCGGGGGTAGTAGTAATGGTGGTTATAGAGCAGGAGGAGGACAACAGTACGGACAATAGTGAGTCCTCCTAAACAATCGAATAACTGTGCTTCCCTTCGAATGAACTCCCCTTCAAAAGCGGAGGTTACTCCGGAGATGATCAGTATCCCCGCTATCACGATCAAGACCGTTCGCACTCCCACAGACGCCACAAGAATAAGGACTCAAGACAGTCCACCTCTCAAGGCCAAAGTCGTCGTCCCCACATCTCTTCACCTTACATGAAGATGCCGTCACCTCCGCCCCGACACCATCGAAACTCATCCCCACCATCTTCATCACCCGGACCTCCTCCTCCAAGTAGCCCTTCACCTAGCTACCTCGAGCTCTCTGCGGCCTCGTCCGAACCCCTTTCCTCCCCTGGTACCTCCAGAAAACTGTTAATCCTTGACTTGAATGGAACGCTCGTTCTTCGCTCAACACGCCCACATGGCAAGACGACGTACGACAGTCGACAACGGGCGGCCCCTCGCTCGGTCTACCCGAGGCCATACATGGGAGCATTTCGGGAATGGATGTTTCACGAAAAGAACAGGGAGTGGCTAGACGTGATGGTGTGGAGTAGTGCACAACCGCACAGCGTGGACGATATGGTGCAGAAGGCGTTTGGCGAGGACGGGAAGGAATTGTTGAAAGCTGTCTGGGCCAGAGATAAGATGGGGTTGGGAGCTGATGCGTATTGTGAGTCCATTGAATGTACACTCGTTCTTCCTATGCTCCCTGTGTAGCATATTCCGGGGTTGTCAAAACTCTCGGTGCGATTGTGTGTTCTGTTGGTCGAATTGGCCATTCGGTTCATCTCGTCACGGATTTATTTGCAAGCCATACCACAGATGCAACTATGCGTGCGCTATATGTGTATAGTGAGATACGTGAAAACGACAACGCCTGAATTGCAATGTTCAGACACTATTCGCTTTTGTCAAGCAATATCGAACGATTTGACTCTGTCAAAGCATGCAACCGATTTTCCAGATGAGCCCGTGCACTCTTACCGGCCTCTCGTCATATGGCCTGTATCTCGGTCATTGCGTCACTACTCCCCAAACGTGAAATATCTATAACTCTAACACCCACAACCCCCAGATCAAAAAGTCCAAACCGTCAAAGACCTCACAAAGCCCTGGACCGAGCTCGCCTCCCTCCCCTCCTCCTCCTCCAACCCCGCCTCGCCCGTCGTCCATTCCGCCATGACCACCCTCCTCCTCGACGACTCCTTCAAGAAAGCCATCCTTCAGCCCTACAATCACGTCATCATCAAGGAGTACACACGAGAGATGAGGAACGCCGACGTCGCGTCGCTCGCGCTCGAGACTCGACGTGCACAGCGCGCTGTTTCTGCTTCTACCAAGGATAAGGACGACGTAGAAGCACAGTCTGAGTCTATCGCTTCCTCGACCAGCCCACCGCCTGAGGCCACCTCGGGAGTCTTTGTCTTTGTCAATGAAGGACCCGAAGTGGAGGGCGAGCTGTCGGCCAAGCAGAAGAAGAAGAAAAAGACGAAGAAGGCGAGGCAGACATTGGATCGGGAGGAGGGTGAGGGTGTTGGGGAAGAGGAAGGCGAGGTCGTTTATGACGAGACTCTGTTAGCGATCATCGGGATTTTCAACGAGGCGAAGGTGCAGAGTAATGTGGCTGCTTGGGTACGAAGTGGAGGACTTTGGGGACCGTATGCTTCGTCGATGCACGAACACCAACGCCGCGATAAGAAGTCTGGTTCACGGAGTGAAGGAGATACGAACTCCGGTTCACCGAAGAGAAAGGGAAGACCAGAGAAGAGAGAGGACGTTGTTAATCCAGGTAATGGGGAGCCGACGTACGTGCCACTGGGCGAGGAGAGCGAGGCGAAAATGGAAGACGGTCCACCGGTGTGGTATGAGCATCCTGGGACGATGATTTATTGGAGCGTCAAGGGAAGGGATGCGTTGACGGAATTGGGGATTGAGATCAGGCATGGGCTGTAATCGTGGCATCGTTGGACATGCTACAGACTCATACCAGGGTCTTGTGTCGATTTCTCCCTCTAATATCTTGCACGAAGACGCAATGCCTCATGTGTATAACGTACGGTACACATATGTTCCTTGTCCCCACTCCTCTTCTATCGAGCTTGAACCAATCCAAACAGTTTCTCGAACGCATGAAGAGTACCTGCACAGTGACGCCCGCACTTCATATGAATATGCTGATTCCGTGGTTCGCGCACGCTGCGTTTATCAGATAGATATCAGAGCTGGGATATCATTGGGTCATGACTAGGATACACAATCTACACATCTTCGACGTTCTCCCACATCGCCCACGCCTCGGACCACGCCGACATCTATAGCGAAAAAGAGAAATCTACAGCAATCTATAACCTCTAGCCACACGCAAGATCCGATACACCTCACACCACACTCAACGAGAACGATGAAAAGGGGGGGAGGGGAATCTAGTGTTGCTTGGCGGCATCCTGGCCGACGGCGGAGAAGTACTCGAGCTTGTCGGTAGGGGTGGCCTTGATGGTGCGGCTACCCTCGGTCCAGTTGGCGGGGCAGACCTCGCCGTATTGCTCCTATGGGACGTGATAGCGGGTGATGAGCATGCCGACGACGGGATAAAGAGGGAGCAAGGGTACATACAGTGAACTGGAAGGCCTTGACGAGACGGAGAGCCTCGTCGACGGAACGGCCGACAGGGAGATCATTAACGGTGATCTGCCTATTCACACCAAAACAAAATCAAATAAACACGCAACAGAACGCTCAGCAAACTGAGGGTAAGAAGATAAGTAAAAGAAAAGAAACGCACCTGAGGATGCCCTTGGGGTCAATCAAGAAAGATCCACGGAGAGCGACACCCTTGTCCTCGAGCAAGACACCGTAGTCGCGCGAGATCTTGTGGTTCTTGTCGGCGATGAGGGGAAGCTCGAGGTTAGGTCCGATACCACCCTCCTTACGGTCCTGGGATGCCCAGGCGAAGTGGGTGTACTCCGAGTCGGTGGAAACGCCTGTAGAAAGGAAGGAAACGAGTGGCGATGAGGAACTGCATTCTGACGAGCATGAAAGGGGCAGAAGGTGGAGTTGGGGATAAGATAGACGTACCGAGGAGAGCGGTGTTAACGGACTTGAAGGCAGGGAGAGCGTCGTTGAAAGCAAGGATCTCGGTGGGGCAGACGAAAGTGAAGTCCCTGAAGAAAGTGTGAGCTACGAAATGGCCGGCGTGCACGATTACGATCCGAAATAGCGTACATAGGCCAGAAGAAGAGGATAACCCTAGAGATTCACACAAAAATCGATAGGTCAGCCAATCAATCGCACGAAGAGCCCACAGCCAGCAGCGAGAAGTCGTACCATTGGCCGAGGTACTCAGAGAGGGAGATGTCCTTGAAGAGACCTTCAACGACAGCAGGGGCGGTGAAGCCAGGAGCGGGGTGTTGGATGCGGGCGGTAGACATGGTCAAGGTCGTAGAAAAAGCAGGAGATGAAGGAGATGAGAGGTGCGATAGGAGGGTGGAAGATGGTGGAGGACTCGGGCTCGCTGCGTGTTCTAATAAATATCATCTCGAAATTCGACCACACGAGATAATCATCGTTTACCCGGACTCCGTCGGCCACTGGTCCCGAACAGGGCCGATTCCGATGACGGACGTCGTTGAAAGTCCCACAAAAGACATCCGTCAAAGACAAGTCTTTCATGCGATACTCGGGTTTTCCGACCTCAGAAAAGCGCGTCTAACAAGGCGACAAAGCAACATCCTGATCATTCAGAGTTCGTGCGAGTATGAACGAAGAGAAGGGGGTCATCGGATCACGTCCCAGTGCAGTGGCGCGACGCGTTTTCCACGTCGGCTACGCCGAAGGAGGCTTGCCACATCGGCCAGCCGCGGAGCACGAGCGGGAGAGATAGCTTACAAAAACTCTGACGAAGCGTACAAAATCGGTCACGGGAGGTCACGAGTAGGTTTGAGTCACTGACATGCTGCTGGTTAAAAAACTTGATCAGGAGCCTTGAGATCGTTCTGCACCGTTCGTCTGTTTTCTTTCAAAAAAAGTGGCATGATCGTCGTAGAAACGTGACTAATGCCTGGCGTTTAAGCAAAACTGCGAACTGCGACCTTGTGAGTTGGTGACGTAGTGGACGCCGATCTTGAATGTTTGAACGTTTCGGGCTTCGAGTGAATCAGTGTACACCGTCGCAAGTCCTTCAACCGGCATCCAGGTGACAGTGGTAGAACACGAAACGGACCATGGAGCAAAGTCATCAACGGAGGTAGCCAGGGCTTCCGAAGAACCACATTTGTGCACTTCATCGAACCGTACAGACGCAAAGACGAACAGCCACTCATACACGCCACACCAAACATCCACCCTACCTAACCTCCACATTCCTCCCCTTCCAATCCTCCCTCAACCGCCCCTCCAAAAACTTCTCCAACTCCCTCGCCTTCCCCACCGCCACCTCCACCGCCCTCAACACCTCCTCCGGCGCGAGCGGCAGTCCCCCCGCCTTATGCACCACGCACAACTCCCTCTGCGCGTTCAGTGCGAGCGAGAGCGTGCCGGTGGAGAGACGTTGTTCAAGATGCGAGGGGTCGAGGAGGCAGGTGGGTGTGTGGGGGTGCGAGGGAGAGGGGAAGTAGGCGAAGGTGATGCAGAAGGGGGTGTGGTGGAGTGAGAGGGGGACGGGGGCGCGGGAGGAGGGGGGGTGCTGGAAATAATATTGTGTGGTGAGTATTCTGTGGAGGCAGGACAAGATACGAGAAAGACATACGACGGTCACTTCATCCCCGACGACCTCGACCTCCGGTCGACGGAAATGTTTTAGTGCAGCGATACCCGCAAGACAAGCACAATCGAGTAGATTTCCCGCATCGGCCAGACAATGGATCGTTATTCGGAGTTGCCACACCTATGTGAATCCCAACCAAGCCGTCGTCAGTTGCGCACTTGACACCATCACATAGTCAAATAAAAAATAGAACGTACCCGTTGCCCGGCCAATATACATAGCCCCTCCTTATCCACCGCATCGCTCCGTCGCAGGACTTTATCCAACATGCGCGAAAGCGCGACCTCTTCGTCTGAAGGTCTACAATACACAATACCCCACAACAACAACAAAAATAGAGGTTAAAGGGTGCGACATTAAAAAGAGGGCCAAGCATAGAACATACCTACCGACCGGGCTCATATTCACTAGACGCCATAGGCGATATCTCAGAATGAATGAGTATCTGACCTTCGTACGGGCGTTCCGGCGTCGGACGTATCATCTTTGCGTCGACTTGGGCCAGCACTCTACGGACAACATGGTTCAGCTCCCATCCATCCCTTCCTTTCCATACCCAATACCCAATTCCAATTCCAAATCCCAAATACCAACCCCAGTACCAAAATACCAAAGGAGGAATACGATTGGTGAAGGAAGAGGAGAATCGAAAAAACACACCTCGTCTTCCCAAAAACACACTCCACACACCCCAACTCATCCCCAAAAATCAATTCCGGCAGGCGCATCTCGAGCGCCGCACGGCCATCGAGACGTAGATTCTGTTCGAGCGCGTGGATGAGGAATTCTTTTTCGGGGAGGGAGGGCGAGGGGGGACGCATCGTGTTGCGTTTTTGATTGTTTGGTGAAGTGGGGCGGGTGGTAGGGGGAGGTGCGGCTAAGGGGTGGGCAGAGGGGGGAAGGTTAATTCTTTTGATTCTTGTGCGAGGATGTGGTGAGCTGTAGCGAGATTGCCGTAACCTGGTTTTCGGTCGAGGAGCGAAAGCTGGAAAGGAGTTGTACGAATTTGGATTTGAAATGCGCCACTTCAATCTTGCAGCAATAATTTGAAATTACGCGAACCGTCATTGTGTGGCGGAAGATGTGGCCCATCAGCCCTCAGGAGTCAGGTCTCAGGAGTCGGGCCTCAGGTACTTGTCAGGTACGGTTCTTCTCCTCAAAGCTGCATCCTTACATACCAGCAGTATAGGGGTCCTTACATGCAACCAAGATAGGCGTCCAGATGTAATAACAGGTTCGATTGTATATCACGACGCCGAGCACGTAACATATAATCTCATAAACAGAAAAAAGACGAAAACGAACCGCTGAAAACCAACCAAAACCTATTCTGAACAACCCAGCAACTTATCCGACACGAGAAGAACAACCTATGTAGCAAACCCACAACCCACCCGAAGAAAAAGAAAAACCTAGCCGCAGGCTATGTACAAACAGCATCATAAACAACGAAAAGGGAAGAGAGAAAGAACGAGCAAGAAAGAAGAGGCAGGTAAGTATTACACGAACAGAGACCTTGAATAGAATAATCGATGAGATCAGATGAGGACTTGAGCATGCGAGGCGGGACTGAGTAAATATGCCGATAACCTGGATATATAAGTTATCGAAGAATCGAGAATCGAGCTGAGATTCAGAGAGATGTGGAAGCGAAACGGAGACGGAGACGGAGAAGGCAAAGAGCGTCGACGGGTGAGCTAGTACTGAGCGAGATACTGGAGACTGGAGATGGAGATAAGGATAGAGAATGACGGGGAGCAGCAGAGACCGAATTCAGGATGCGCGAGATGAGAGATGAGAGATGATGGGAGGGGATGTATGTAGGTGTGGAGGTGTGGATGGATGTACGGGTATTTTTCGACAGACAGACAGACGAATAGAATGTCTAAAGCTGAAGAAGAGTGAAAAGCGGGGACCTATAAAACAAAAACAAAGAATAAGAAATAAGAAATACAAAGCGTGCATGATGATATTTTAGTGATCGTGGGCATCCCCCACCCACTCCCCTTCCCCTTCCCCTGCACGGCAACATCCCACTTAACTCTTCATACAAACAAACGTAGGCGCCGCTCCTTCTCCTTCCCCAGGCGGCACGATCCTCCACTTCGCGCCCGACAAGAACGATACATCCCTAAGTGACGGACAAGCCCCACACCACCTCTTCAAATGTCCCTTCTCATGCAACTCCCTCGCCGCCTGCGGCACCGGCGTCCTAATCTGCACCGGCATCAACAACGAACCGCTCCCGTTCCCGTTCGACCCATTCCCGTTCGCACTCAATCCGTCGGCGGTGGTGGGAAGCGGTGACGGCGGCGGCAAAAGATCAAACGAATCGAACCCGGGCGAGACGGGCGACATGAGCGTGGGCGAGACGGGCATGCTCGGTGGGGAAGGAAACAGAAGGGTATATGAATCGATTTCTTGGGATGAGGCTGCGGTCGTTGGACGTGAGTCGAGGAGGAGGAAAGGACGGGGTGTGCGTCGGGAGAGACGGAGTGTGCGGAGGAAGTGGAGGCGTGGGAGGATGCTTGGGATTTGTTTGTATAACGTCTAGCCATGGGGATTGGGGATGGGGATATTCGGTCGGTTAATTCGAAGCATACGTGGAGACGGAGACGGAGACGGAGACGGATTGAATGGGAATGGGAAAGAAAGAAAAGAAGGACACATACCTGATCTTCGAGTACCCAGCCAATATGAAGTTCTTGTAACAGAGGCAAGCCCGACCCAGCGGCCAAGAACAATTTTGCAAGCGTACGTGCGTCCACCGCCTGTGGCGTCGACGATATAATCGACAGACTCGTCAACGACACCGTCGACTGTGCCAAAGCGGACATGAGCGCAGCCGGACGGAGACCATCATAGAGCGTGGAATCGACATGTAACGTAATGGATGTTAGCGGCCTGCCCGGAGCTACGCGAGCAGCGAGCGGCGGTGGGCCGGCGAATCTGGTGAGATTCGAAGCGCACTGGCTGCTTGCGAATAGCGTTGACAGGTCGGCGGCAGACGTCAGATAGGGAAAGGACAGGGAGGTGATGTCGGGTTGGGACGATAGCCAGGAAATGAACGCCGCTGGATCTGGCATGCTGTCCTGGCGGAGGGTGACGCTCTTCAGCCTGAAGGACGCGCCCTGGAGAACGTCGGGGAGAAAGCGGGGCAGGGAGACAGAGGTGAGATTGCGCATGTTGTTGAAGGCCATTGTGAGGGCGAGAGTGAAGGACGGGGAATGGGTAGGGAACGAAGGGCAGACAAAGGATTGGACGAGGTCGGCGATTTCCTTCTTGGACGCAAGAAGGGTGATGCATTGATCGATAGGATGGTCATCGCAATCAGACAGGTCGAGTGCATGATAGAGTGCATGACGTGAGTCTGTCCGGAACTGTTTCGATACTCTCGCGAGGCTCGTAAGGTCGTGCTTCGGCAAGAATGCGAACACAGAGCGAAAGGGGATAGTCGCTCGCCGTGAAGGAGTGGAAGGCGTGGATGGGGTTGGAGTGGACGTGGTCGGAGTGGATGGGTTTGTGGCGGGAGGGGTGGGCGTAGACGGTGTTGAGGTGGACGGTGTGGACGTAGAAGGGGTCGGTGTACTTGCCTTCCGGGATGGCTTGGCGGGCAGTCTAGGAAGCGGCGGTAGTGGCGGCGAGGGTTGACGTGGTGCTACCACAGGCTCTGATACCACAATGGTCGGAGAGCTCAAATGGCGCGCCGCACGACCCAGACCGTCGACGCTGGGTGGCACAGGCAGCGAAGGCGTCGTCGGCGTCGACATGGTGCTGTTCACGGTCATGATGCTCGCACGACGACCAAGCCCGCTTGGCCGTCGGATGTCGGGGGACGGCGGGGACGGCGAGCGGCTGAGCGAGCCCCATGCACGGATGTTGGGCAGGTTCGACGCACCCGACTCGCGTTTTTGACGGATGGTGAAGATGTTCGTGATCGCCGTCACCCGTTTCCGTATCGTCTTTGAGCTCGGATCCGGTTTGAACAGGCTTTCGACCGCGTCCGTCGACGCTTGGCCTGGTTTCAAGCTCGTCTCGAGATTGATCTCAGAGGGCGCTGGTGTGCCCGAGCTGCTCGCGCCCGAGGGTAGACGGGAACGACGACGGCCAAAAAAAGACATAAGTACTAGTAGTTGAGTGCAAGGGAGAGTGGGTTAGCGAGTCGACGGTGGAGGCATGGGCGAAAAACCGACGTCTTCAGCGCGTCCTCCGATCGGGCTCGACTGGTTTTTCAAACAGGCATGATGTCGGCCTCGCACCGCGTTCTCTGGTTGGTTGGGCAACACTGCCGAGCGGGGGCTTCCGTTGCCCTAGTCCAGATGGGGGTCCCGCTTAATGATCTCCATGATCCCGAGACTCCTCGATCTTCAGACCTCTTCAGTAGCTTCCCCGCTAGATATAATCTCTAAACGCTTCAAAGCTTAGGCTCATCATCTTCGCAAGATTCATGCATCTCTCGTGGCATATTGCGGGGAAGTCAGGGCCGATACTTTCTTACATCCCGAACTCATCCCATTACTTACCCCTCAGTACGATAACCATATTCCCCGACCAAAAGAAACGACATCTCCGAAACGGAAAACATATACACTGGTATCCATCCAAATGTCCCGACGTAAATTACCTCCTTTCTCCTACCAAATCACCTCACCTCACCTCGGTCGCCTATCATCCCGCCTCCTATCCCCAACCTGCGTCGGCGGTGGCGAAGCATACGGATGAAACCTCCTCTCCTCCGCATGCCCATGTCTCGACCCCGACGAATCCATCGACCCCCTCGCACCCACCGACCCAGAAGATCCCATCCGTCTCGGTGAATGCGAATGCGAATGTCGATCTTCGACCATCTGCCACGGCCCAGGCGCAGGAACAGGTGATCTCATCTCAGTATCGACATCGATATTGTTCAAGTCCGGCACGGGCGCGGCTTTATTATTGATGATATCCATAAGATTCTCTTCCAGGACGTGCCAGCCATCTACCGAGCGTTCGCGTACACCGCCAGCCCCTACTGCGGTCGAGGGTCCGGGTTGAGTTTGCGAGGGCGGAGGAGTGAAAGGTAAGGGGGCGGACGCGGGACCTGCTTTCGCGGCGCGTACGCCGGCGAGTCTGTTGAGACCCTGTGAGGTGGATTGTTGGATGGCTGTGGGGGTGGAAAGAGTTGGAGGGGACATGGTCGATTGTGTGGCGGGGACGTTGAAACCAGGAGGGGGTAGGTGATGCTGTGGCGGTACGGGCGCGGGAGCAGGAGCAGGTGCAGGATACTCTACAAACGCGAACACCCGTAAGTTCAGCACCTCGCACGAGCGAGAGAAAGATCGTCAAAAATCAAAGCACGTACCCGTCATCGCCGACTTATCCTCCCCCACCCCATCCACCGCATTATTCCTCACATAATCCATAAACTTCAAATACGTATCCAAAACCTGCGGTTTCCAATAAAGATCCTTATGCGTCTCCCTCGCATGGTCCCTCATCGCCCTAATCCACCCCCTCATCTCCTCCTCGCTCGACACGTCCTTCCAATCCCAAATCACCGCCATCATACACACAAAATCGACCGGACTAACCTTCTGCGTCCCCCTCAGCACCTTCAAAAACTCCCTCCCCTCGTCCCTCCTCAACATCTCGATCATTATCCCGAACGCCTGATGCACGTTTGCAATGAATTGGGGAGAGAGGGAAGAGGGGTCGGACATCCAGGAGGCGAGGTGGTCGGCGTTCACGGCGCGTCGGTGGGAGGGGTTGGCCATGAAGTAGATGGCGGCGGCGGTGAAACGGTAGGATTGGCCGCGTTTGTGTTCGAAGGGGACGGAGAGGAAGAGGGGGTCGTGCAGGTATTGGTTTTCGACGGCGGTGATGAGCGCGCTGCGCTCTGTCGCGGTCTCGGCTTTCATTTTCTCTGTCGTGATGAGCGTCAGTGAAATGTGATGAAGAAGGGAGCGGGAGGGGTGACGTTACCTGCGGGCGTTAGCGCCACACCGAGTTGGACGCGCTGCGGGAGGGATTGGCCAATGAACAACGGGGTTTTACCAGGGAACGCAGAGACGTACCTTGAAGATCTCGCGTTCTTGGTTGTCGGTCAGATCTTGGTACTCGACGCATAGGATCTGCTTCTTGGAGAAGAGGTCGCGGTACTTCCGCGGTAGGCGCTCCTGCGTCGGTTTTCGGGTCTTGTACCAGAACTTCGCGTTGGTATCGCTATATGTAAACAGACGGTCAGCTCGATGTACGGATAGGCGGAGAATGCGTGTCGCACTCACGGCTCTCGGACTACAAAAGGTCAGCTTATTTAGGGGATGAATATTTTTGAGAGGAGAGTTGAGACTTACTATATATCTAAGAAGCAATCAGATTGTTGAGGGTTAGTGAAGGTCAAAGCTAGAGAATACATGTACTTACTTCACCATCCATGAACCTGCAATAATGAAATTGAAGAAAAAGATGACATAAATGAGTGAGTCATGTGACTTGTGCCAGTAAATAGGGACCCACTTCTGAATAGAGGTCAGCCTCTGTTTCCCATCAATACAAATCCTCTTCTCAGTCCCATCACTTTCTTGGGACACAGCTGTGCGTGACTGAATAAGCAGAGAGCCTTCAGGACAGGAGAAGAAGAGGCTTACAGAAAATAATTGGAGGAAGATAGAAATTTCTCATGATGGAGTCTAGGACTCCAACTTGCTTGGCTTCTGGCCATACTACATCTGATGATGTGTTCAGATGATGTGAGATGTAAGTCAGCCTGAGATGTTCAGGGTATCCTGTTGAACAGTTCAGCAAAAGCTTACCTCTCTGGTAGTCAGGCTCTAAGTTGATGGTCCCATCTATGATCTGGTCTGTTTCCCCACAAAACAAAAGAACAATATACATCAGTTCATCTTTGACTCTGAGATCGAAGGAATGAAAGAAAAGGAAATGAATTGAAGAAAAAATATGGAAGAGAAAATCTCACCATACAAAGCCTTAGTAGGAAAAGTGATCTGTCTGGGTGCTCTAAGAGCAGCCCTAATCTGATATTCTTTCTTCTTGCTTCTCTTCTGTCCTGTTGGTTTGAAGTTCTCATCTTCAAAGTCAGAGAGATCTGTTTCAGAGGCCATAGATTCAAATGCTTAGAGAGCAGAGGGAGGAGAGCCAGGAATGATGAGATAAGGAGGGAGGGAAGGACAAGAACAACACTGCTCATTGAGGCTCCTGCCAACATCATGACATGTGATGCCATGCTTGGGAAGGTGTCAGCAATTGGAAATTCGGAGCGCGACGGTGCGTAGCGTCGGACCGGAACGGTGAGTAAGTATGAGAGAGGACACCGTCAAGACCGTCATGAACAATCGCTCATGAATATTGACTATATACTCGTCTGAGAATATTCTACTGGCTCTGTTAACTTCATTAGGGGGCCAAAAAGATGAAAGGTAGTACTCCGTTGTCCTTGTACAATTACACAGTCCTATTCTCGAGTTGTGTTTTTAATGCGCACTCACCTCGAGCTCATAAATCATGGCGGGTATCCCTCTCTATGGTCGGTTCACTGTACTATGCCGTGGTGAGAAGAATCGTGTATGCAAGCAGTCAGGTTCTGGGGTTGAGTTCGACATCGATGATGGCGGTTGCAAAAGAACAAGCATGTGTGGCACTACCGCGCCACGTGCTGTGCCACAGCCTGAGTTGAAGCGCGCAATGACCGAACGCGTCTCTTGTCCTTGTTCTCCTTTCGTATTCTTCTCTTACTCCAGATTCTCTTGCTTGTACGATATAATCTTGATTCTGGCTCTGTGAAGGCACGATGAATAGAAGCAAGTACACGACACCGCGAAATGCAGCAGCACCGTCTAGCGCACGGCCGACGACGAGGGCCACCACAGGCATCAAACGCGATTCACTACAGGCCGAACTCGAGCGAGGTCCGTCTCATTCAAGCCCAGTTGTAGGCGCAGATTTACCTACAGACCGATGTCATACAGATCCTCAACTTTCAACTGCCAAACGCCAGCAGCGCACCGAGGCCCTCTCTACATCCATGGCTCGTGCCTCCCTCGAGCGTCAGCTCGTAGCGGCCCAGACGGCCAAGCTCGAACTCGAGACGAAACTCAGAGAGAAGGAATCGCGGATAGACGTGCTCGAATCAGATCGTCTATATCTTTCGGAGGAGGGGAAGAAATATAAAGAGGAGCTGGAACGTGAAACTGGTAGTTGGGAGGCACAAAAGGTGCGGTCCTACTTCACTCAACATCGTGACGTTGTTCTGTATCCATTGACTGACATATATATCATCTTGCACGACGCCTCGGCTACTCAATATGTTACCTTCCTTTACCTTTGACTTCAAAGGCAAAACTTGACTCGGAGCTTCGGGAACTCCGTACTGCTTTGACTTCCCTGCGCGAAGAACACGCCGACCTTCAAGACGCACACTCGACCCTTTCCAACTCGACCTCCAACACCATCGCATCCCAAAAGTCCCAAATAATCACCCTCACCTCCCACCTCTCGCACCTCCAATCCCAAGTCTCAGAACTCCAGACCCTCGCCTCCGAACGTGGCAACACCATCTCGTCCCTCCAGAACGAGATCGACGAGCTCAGCTCAGCACAGGCCGATACGTCGCGAGCGAGCATGGAGGAACAGGATTGGGATGTGTTGAGACAGGAGCTGCATAGACAGTCGGGGTATACGACTAAGCTGGAGAGCGCGAACGTGAAGCTGAAGAGGGAGATTGCGTTGTTGAAGGACAGGCAGACGAGCGTGGAGGTATTGAGGGAGGAGAAGAGGGGTTTGGAGAAGAAGGTGCAGGGTGTGGATAAGCTCAGAGAGCGAGTTATCACACTCGAGGGCGAGTTGCAGGCGGCACAGAAGGAGCGTAAGGAGTGGTACGTCTATGACTCCTTCGGTTTCCCTCCTTGTGTACATATTAATTCTGACGCATTTCTGTAGGGCCACACGTGCGACGCAGCTAGATAGTCCATCCAAAGTCCCCGTCACCGTCACTCAGAGTCTCTCCGCCCTTCGTCTCGAACATGCTCGTCTTCTCGAAGAACATGGCGCAGCCAAGGCCCTCCTGCGGACCCGCGAAGCTGAGATCGCAGCCCTTCAAGACCGCGAGTCGGAGAATCGCGAAACCATCGAGACATTGCAACAAGATCAACGTCGGCTGAAGGACAAGCTTTCGCGATTAGAGCACGGCGCTACGCTGGCGGAGAGGGAGGTCGGGTTCCTGAAGTCCTTGAACGTAAGCTACTCTTTGTGTCTTTGTGACGATTTTCGCACTCTCAATCAAATTTGACCATTGTGCAGGAGAGTTATATAGCAGAAGAGTCAGCGAACCAGACAGGCGAAGTCGACAGAGCGAAGGACGAGCAGATCAAGAACCTCACAGAATTGATCGAAGAGTACAGAGCCAAACTCGACGCCTCCGAAAAGGCTCTGGAGCAACGACCTGAGACGATGAAGCCCACCGCTCGTTCGGAGGAACTCAAAGCCCAGCTCGAAGCACTGAAACAAACTACCCAGGAGCTCGAGGATGGTCAGTTTCCTCTGCTGTCCAACGTCAGATCGCAAATGAGCTTAATATCCACCCACAGCATTGAAAGATCGTGACGTCACCATTGAGGAATACGAAACACAGATCGAGAGCCTCGAACAGACGCTCTTCGAGCTGCGTGGCGAGATCGGTGCGGGGCATCATGTTCCGCCAGGCGTGCGCGTTCTCTCGATGAAGGAGAATCCGATGCAGGAGTGGTTTGACTCAAGGAAAGAGGTTTTCGATAGGCTGAAGAGCGAGAATGAGGCATTGATGAACCGGTTGAGGGATCTTGAGGAGGCGGGCGTCAAGACAACAGACGGCCAAGGCAGCTCTGCAGATGATCTAGTACCAAGGGAGAGTTGGGAGGTCGTGAATAAGGAAAAGATGGAGTTGCAGGGGGAGTTGAAGGCGAAGGATAAGAGAATCCTGAGGTTACAGCAGGTCAGCTCCTGTCTCATCCTCCGCCTTTCCTTCTATCTGCGTCCACGCCAATGCTAACGACGATCTCCCCCAGGTCTTTAGTGTGAAAGCCGAAGAATTCAAATCTGCCGTCTCCTCCATCATGGGCCTCAAAGTCGCATTCTACCCCAACGGTCAAGTCCGCGTCACCTCCCAATACGATCTCAACGTCTCCTTCATCTTCCAACCAGCCAAAGCGCCCGCCAAGAACCCGGTCAAAGCCAGCATGAACGCCAACAAGGACGATGAGGAGATGTCGATGACGCTCGTGGCCCAGGGCGAGGGTGGACCACAGGATCTGCCACAGATCATGAGGAACTGGATCGAGGTTGAGCACAGTATACCAGGTTTCATGGCGAGCGTGACGTTGGAGTGTTATGACAAGTGGAAGTCGGAGCATGGGCAGGGGCAGGCGTAGCTTGTTACTGTGGCGTTTCGGTGTTGTCATTCTCTTTTATCTTTATAGGCTTTGCGGATCGACTGAATAAGAATGCGAGAATGCAGCAGGGCGCTGATGGATCGCTCGCTCCACGATTCCAGTCACTGGCAGAGCCTTTACAACGGTGTCAGTCCTACCGTCGCTTTACAGCCTTCGACACTCGTGCGGTTGTTGCCTCCTTCCGTGAATGAGTATGAATATCTTGCGATCCGTAGGTATCGGAATCCATCTTGTCGCAAACCGCTCTGCGTTCCTCAGTCCGACTGTACATTCAGATTGTCACTGCTGACGCGTATGAGATCACAATCCTACTTCCGTCTCAGCGAAATCAGTTCCCGTAATGGCTTCCTTCCAGGCCTCCAAGCATTCTAGAGTCTCTTCACATTTCTCTTTGACGACCTCATAGCAGTCGCTGCCGATCTGAAGCGATCCCGAACGCGGTATGGGTTTGCCGGCTGCGAGACCCTCCGAGCGAACGATGTCGACGATGAGAGAGCAGAGCTTTGGGGTGGAGCCGAGTTGGTTTCCATCGAGCTCTACCGATAATTGAGGAGAAGTCAGAGAGCGAGGTGGAATGGCGGAGACATGACATTGACGTTTGTGGGTGAGGTCAAAGTACTTACTATTGAAGATCTCGTCTTTCGCTCCGATCATCTCTCGATAGTCTTGAACATGTTCACACCGAGGGTTAGCAGGTCATATTTCGCGTTAGGGCACGAATGGACAAGAATTTGTTTCACCTTCAATGTGATTCACGTATGGAGCCCGATTGGCAGGATCGACGGCTTTCGTTCTGAAGTATCCCGGTTCGATACAGAGAGAGCGCAAACCAAACGGTGATAGTTCCACATCCATAGATTCTGAGATGCCTAGGAAACAGCGTGAATAAATTACTACAATATCTTGAAATGGAAAAAAGGACTGGAAATTGCACACCCCGCATAGCGTGTTTTGCTCCAACATACACTCCGTGGGTGTTGCCTCCCCTGAGCAACCGAAACATAAACCCTGTTACTCAGTACATGTTACGTGCTTCGGCAGAGTCAAAAAGTCTGATGGGGAGGAACGCTTACTGCCAACCCGTCAGCGAGCCTATCCATACTATTTTACCAGATCGCTGCTTTCGCATGTAGGGTAGGAAGGCGCGCGCGACGTTCAGCCCACCAAACAGCAAAACACTAACAGTGGTATCGCGTAGAGAAGAATGCATGTTAGTTCTGCCTTAATGAAGATACGAACTAGACTAACTTGAACTGGGAGAACGTCTCCTCCGGTCTGATACAAAGAATTCACATATCCGTCAGTGCTGTGGCTCAGAATGAAACTTTCTTCACGCGGAGACATACGTGACCTCCTCCAACGCGCCTACCGCAATGAGCGCACCTGAGAAAAACCAGCCCCTGAGTATCATGATCCCTGCAGCGAGTGGGTCTTTAAACTCACCCGCATTGTTCACGACCACATCCACCCTGCCCCACAAACCCACCGCCTTTTCCGCACATACCTTCAGCTCATTTAACGGAGCAGTAACATCCAATTTTAGGACGGCCACTTGTGTATCGAACTTCTTCAGTTCTGAATCAGCTTGGAGTTGGCGGAATGAGCGCTCTCGAGCGGTGGCGATAACTCTGTCACCGCGTCGAAGGGCGGCCAGGGCGAGCTCGTATCCAATGCCAGAGCTGCATCAGGGTATTGTGTGAGCTTGAGTAAAAATCAGAGAACATAAAATGGTTATGAGCCGACGCACGATGTGCCAGTGATGAACCAGACCAGCGCAGATGCGGTTGGATGTGCAGACATGGTTGCAAGCCTAGTAGGGGGAACAGTGCGAATTGCACTTCTCAGAGTCGATTTATAGTAGAATATGGTGGGCGCAAGTTGAGCCCTCGCGCTGACCAATGAAGAATGCTCTAGATACTAAATATACTGCTTCGTGGTGCTTTGGTTGGAGCGATTTAGGGGCCCCAGTTCCATACTCGTTGTTTTAGATATAGATGCCCTCCAGGGGAGGCTTTCGATGCCACGGAAATGGCAGGAGCACTCCGGTCGCTGGTAAAGTGCCTTCATAATGGTGTCAGTGTTATCATTGCTTTATAATCTTCGATACTCGTGCAGTTGCTAGCTCCTTCCACCAATGGTTATGAATATCGTACGATCCGCAGGTATCGGAATCCATTTTGTCGCAAAGTCTACCAATACATACAAATCACCACTGATCACGAGCATGGGATCAACCGCAAGCAATTCAGAAGGCAGTCGTTCAACGCACCATCATACTTCAGTCTCAACAAAATCAGTTCCCGTGATGACCTCCTTCCAAACCTCCAAGCACTCTAGAGTCTCCTGACACTTCTCTTTGACGACCTCATAACAATCACTGCCAATCTGGAGCGAGCCTGAACGTGGTATGGGTTTGTCGGCTGCGAGACCTTCCGAGCGAATTATGTCTACGATGAGATAACAGAGCTTTGGGGTGGAGCCACGTTGATTCCCAGAGAGTTCTATAGATAAGTCAGGAGAAATCAGATAGCCAGGCAAACCGATGGAGACATGATGTTGACGTGGGTCGAAGACTTTGTAGTAGAGGTCGAAGTACTCACTCTTGAATATCTCGTCTTTCGCGCTGATTATCTCTTGATAGTCTTGTAATGTTCACATCGAGTTAGCAGGTCGTAATTCACGCAAGGCACAGATAGACAAGACGCTGTTTCACCTTCAATGCGACTCACGTATGGAGCCCGATTAGCAGCATCAATGAGTTTCGTTCTGAAGTATCCCGGCTCGATACAGAGAGAGCGTAAGCCAAACGGTGATATTTCCGCGTCCATGGACTCTGAGATGCCTAAGAAATATGGTGAAGAAATTACGACACCAAGTTGGAGTCCCCAGAAAGGACTTGATATACATACCTCGCATAGCGTGTTTCACTCCAGCATACATCCCGAGGGTGTCGCCTCCCCTGAGCAGTCAAAGCAGAAGCCCTATTGATCAGTACATGTTACGTGCTTCAACCAATTAAAAAAGCCTGAGGTCGGCTTGCTTACTGCCAACCTGTCAGCGAGCCTATCCACACGATTTTACCGGATCGCTGCTTTCGCATGTAGGGTAGAAAGGCCCTTGCGACGTTCAGCCCCCCAAACAGTGAAGCACTGCCAGTAGTATTACGTGGAGTAAGATGCAGGTCAGTTCTTCCTTAATTGAAGACAGGAATTAGACTGACTTGAACTGAGCGAACGTCTCCTCCGGTCTAAAACAAAGAAACCAATTCTACGTCAGTGCTGTGACTCAAAAGGGAACTTTTTGCGCATAGACACTGACGTGATCTCTTCCAAAGCGCCTACCGCAATGAACGAGCCTGGAAAACGCCACCACTGAGTACGATCATCTCCGGATCGAGTCAGTCTCCAAACTCACCTGCATTGTTCACGACCACGTCCACCCTGCCCCAAAAACCCATCGCCTTTTCCGCACATGCCTTCAGCTCATCCAACGGGTCAATAACATCCAATTTCAGAACCTCCAATTGTGTACCGAACTTCTTCAGCTCTGGGTCAGCTTGGAGCTGGGAGAATGAGCGCTGTCGGGTGGTGGCGATAACTTTGTCACCGCGTTGAAGGGCGGCCAGAGCGAGTTCGTATCCGATGCCAGAGCTGCATCAGGATATTGTGTGAGATCGAAGAATTGATCAGAGGGCAACAGAAATTTCTAAGTTAACGCACGATGTGCCAGTAATGAGCCAGACCAGCGTAGAACCGGTTGTGTTGGCAGACATGGCTACAAGCGTAGTAGGGGGAATGGTGCGCATTGGACATCTCAGAGTCGATTTATAGTGGAATAGGGTTGGCGCCTTGGTTCCTCGAACCAACCAATGGAGGAGGCTCTAGAGACCAACTGTACTGCCCCAAAGGCCCAGAAAAATCTTCGAACCACTAGAAGCTTCAGTGAACGAAAATCAAGCCAAGTTTGGAGACCTAATCATTTCTCGCTGTTAGGCATGCACCGTCGGTGACGCTTTCAGGCGCTTATGCGTATCAAAGAACTGATTATCCAGGATATCCACAAGTGCATTAGGGGACAAAGGTGAGCATTGTTAGGAGAGGTTTAGAAGCCAAGCCCCACACTCGGGGTTTTCGATGTAGCAATTGGAAGGGTTGTATGCCAGTGAGCGCTTGCTGAGCGAACCACGCGACTACAGAGGCAACCCAAAGTCAGTTTCACAGTGTTTTAGAGAGGATGCGTCCAAGTGATAGCGAAGATAGTCGACTCCATGCGGGGGCTTCGATGGCATGGCAATAGGAAGAGTTGTCCACCACTGGTACCAAGGTCCATGGCCAGCTCAAGGCGAACCATGCGACCCCGTAGACATTCCCAGAGTCTGTTTGCGCGGTATTTCAAAGAAAAGCCTAGTGATGGCGAGTATAGTTATAATCCAAAGAAGCGGCTTGAATCGTCAAGCAAGTCGAACTTGAGGTTTTTTGAAGCGATTCGTGACAGTTGGACTCCACCAGGCTGACACCGCGGACAAGGCCGGGACGACGTAGACGCTCCCGGAGAATCACGGAACGTGGTTCCTCACGCAGCTCGCCCCTGAAATTCCCTGACCGCCACACTCGATGGCAAGAAGTTCACTCAAATACTAGTGATGGTACGTATTCGAGATGAACCCACGGGCCTCAGCCTCAGATCCAACAAAGAGCCCTAGGCAAACGGGGCAAACCATTGGAGCCATTGGTAGTGGCAAGAAACCGCCAATCAGCGCGTGCTGGACCACCTTTGTACGTGCTACATATGTCACCAAAATCCCGAGATATCTGCCTATGATGATGAACGCAGCCGTGGGCCACCAAATAATAACGACGAAGCAGCCTCCGGCCAACCAGACGGTAGGGTAGGTTGGCTGGAATAGGATGTAGTATGTACTAGTCCCCAAGACATATGGAAGAGGGGAAGCAAAGGCACGAAGACTCGAGTGCTCAAGTTACAGTGGTGTGTGAACGAGAGGAGTAGAGCGGAGTGTGGTATGAGAGGATGGGAAAATAGTTGTAAAGGAATAAACAAGAGAAAAAGAGAGACTGATAAAAAGACCGAATCACCGAATCCAAAAACTGGTACAAATGGCCGTCGTCGCCCTACATACACACCGCCCGACGTGCTACATACACTCCACACACACCCCACGGAGAAACGAAAATACATTTGCAATTGAACTTCTCGGTCATGCTTCATGCAAGTCGTGCAAAGAGAGCGGAACTTCTCGATATATGGTCCATGGGCCTTCGTACTGGTTCCCTTCCTCAGCCCCGCGATTTCCCCGATTCTAGTTGTTGACTTGACCCTCAGCATCGGAATTATGCTCGTCACCGATACCCAGGCCCAGCCCTATGCCCATGCACAACCCCGCGCCACGTCTCTATAAAGCTAGCTCAGCCGGTCCTCCTAGAGCATCACAGACTACGATCGCCGCAACCGATCAAGCTCCCCCCGTCGACGAATTGACCCCACTCGCAATCCTCAACCCACCCACCGTATTCCCCTTCCCCTCCCTCTCCTTATCTCCGCTAGCCTGCACCTCCTTATTGGCATTACTCGACGCCTCATCCAGATACAATCTGTTTTCTTCGATATAGCGCACGACGGCCGCGGGTAGGAGGTACCGTACGGACAGGCCGCGACGGAGGAAGAGGCGCACTTTCGTCGAAGAGACGTCGTTCTGGATGAGCTGGTTGATGAAGAAGATGTTGTGTCGCCAGCGGGCGAGGGCTTCGGTGGCTTGGTCCATGTCGGAGCCGGCTCGTTCGACGATGAAGGTTCCGAATTTGCCGAGGATGTGGTCCAACTGCGTTCATGAGCGACGTCATCGCGGTAACACAAATACAAAAATAAGTTAGGATGCGAGGTCAAACGTCTAACGGGAGAGGCAGAAGGATGCAATTTGCCGGGTGCGTTGCGGAGTAGGATGATGCAATTTGAGCGCAGACGTACATCAGCCTCAGACCAGACCCCAGGTTCGGACATGGTGCTGATCAGATCCGACCCGGCAAGCAACATAACGCGCACATCGCGTCGTTCGCCTTCTTGGGTATGCACACCGCCGAGGACGGTATTGATTTCGTGCTCAAAATGATCGAGGACGACGGCTGTACGTTGGTATTCTTGGAAGGCCTCCCATGGATCGACCATGAGCCATTCGGAAGTTTCTTCCGTGGCGAGCGTGCACATGTTTACTCTGGAAAGGGGAGGAAAGTGTTAATATGATACATTCTTATGACGAGGAATGGTATGATAGTAATGAAAAGTCGAGAAAAATCCTAAGGTTATGGAGAACAAGATAACGAGTTATACCGAGAATGCCGGAAGGCTCGTCAGACATCCAAAACTACAACATGAAGCATAACCTTGAGCCAGAATGCAGCAGCGCCAGACGTGTGAGGGCGATTAGGGGTTGTGGCGTCGGAAGGGAAAGCGGTACCGAAACAATGAGCATGACCGAGAATGTTACGGCAGCGCTTTGACTACCAAGGGATATACGCTCCGGCCGTTCGCCATAGCAAACCGCTATGCGACCATTCGACGCAAGCGGTCGGTGAAAGCGGCGAGCAGATGGACGACAAAACGTCCCCGTCGATCAACACAACGACGAACGACGACGGAAGTTCGCTTCGGTGTCCAGGGCCGACGAGGTCAAATTCGAGTCACCGTCTTTCAAACCATTCGTGAAGCTCCTTCCGATTTTTGTGCAACGACGCACACGCAATTGATGCTTCCCTGCACGATAACGCCACTGTGTGTGTAGAGGCGGAATACAATCCCACACCCACTGAAGACCGCGAGACCACGAGACCCACAAGAGATAGATGACATGACCGAACGGAACTCACCGATGATTTGCGCTCAAGAGACCTGGCTTTTTGTACTGGTCACTGACCGGGGAGAGGTATCCCCCGAGGATCTCAAAGTCCGTATTCTGCCTGACATAGTCGACAGCCATCTCAAACATTCGGAGGTGAAGGTATGTGACGGGACTGAAGGAGCCACATGCTACGAGCACGATAGGCTGTTTTTCCGAGTTGCGAAGGACGCGGTTGAGACGATGGTGTGGGAATGAATAATTTGGTGGTGACGTGAATTGTCGGGTAAGAGCTGGAGGAGAGTCTGGCGAGGCAGACATTGTAGACGTCGGGAACGGCGAGCAAATGAAGATGTGGAGCTAGAAATAATGGCTGGCTGAGTGGCGGAAAAGCTGTTCAGATATTAGCTCCAAAACCCTAAATAATGATGAAAGAAAACAATGAACCTGGGTAGATGATGGCCGAGGTAGAGAGGAGAGCACTGTGAGTTTGGGATAGTGTGGTGGGGAGAGGAGAGGGGATAAGAAACGGTCCAGATGACGGACCCGCGCCGAGCTTGAAACTACTGCATAGCAGGCCCATTAATGGCAGTTGGTTCTCACGTTTCTAGGTGGCGCCCTTATGGCGGCCAATTGGTGGCTGTTCCGCAAGGTCGGCGCTGCCGTCCATACCCACATCTTCCCCCCGCTGACAATATTCCTGTCTCCCAGCTGACTCACTCATCCGCATCGCGGGCGGTAACGCAGGTCGGTGTTCATATCAACAGTTGCGGCGGTACTTTCATGACCAAGTAGTTCTTCCGATGCACCAAACGGGAGGACAACCACCCATTTCCGCCTCCAGGGCTAAAAGCGCTTCTACATACGCACGCTATTCGCGAAGGCCATGTCAGCGCACTCGTACAGCTATTGATGCTGAGATCAACCGCAAGGATGAACTCGCGGAGCAAATTCGTGCAATGCTCCATTCTTGGAACTACTTCAAGTTTTCGTTTTTTGTCCCTCGAATTCTTCATCATCCTCTGTGGCTGCAGATCTGCCCACTGACGCTTGATATATCTGTCTGGATCAAATTCCTAATGGCACCATGACATCAACCGAACTTATGGATATCGCTGAACAACTCTGGAAAGTCTTCGCAGGGATGCAACCTACTCTAGAGGCTCAGTTACACCACCGGCAAACTCTATCACACCTTTTCCCGGTCTACTATTGTTACAACAACGTTGCGCGTGTGTATTACTCCCATATTCCGAGACTCCGAGCTTAGAGACTTTTATTGACATCTGCGCCACACCATTCTCGGGGTAACTATCGTCTTAACTCCTTTGTAATGTGCCCCCATTGACATACTGTTTATTCACGCATACCTATTGCCTCGAACCGTCATGGCGGTCTATACCTTGTACTCGCGCAGCCGTCACATACTGGGCTATAGAGACTCGGTTACCAGTCTGGGTCGTTCCGGTCGACCGGTTCTTCTACTGCTGATGATAGTATATCTAAGGTCTACCTCGGTTTATTTTCTCGACGATGCCAAGGTGATTTATCCCATGGGCATGTTACTGATTAACAGGTCCTTCGACTCATTCATCTAATGCGGAGCCCTGCACTTCGTCGACCTACCTTCCCTGATAATCCCACGTCCTCCTACTTCCGCCTTCCGCCGACAACACTCTTCTTTCATGAAGTTAGGGACCACACACCTGCAGTTTATTCATATCGTTCGACAAGTCTGAGGAAGGGTTCCGCGTGTATATACTTCACAGGCTAGATAGTCGGATAGGTACGATAACTCGGAATCTCAAGCGTTGGACTGCTGCTGACTATGACTGAGCGACGAGCGACGCATGGGCACCAGATTGGGAACCGAATGTTCACGTTCTACTACTGATGCAAAGAAGGCATCGACATCTGAACCTACTACCGTGGCGTACAGGTATTTCCAGCATCGAGCACTGAGGCAACAGGGTGCAGTCGACCTTTAGGATCAAAACAAATGGACCGGAATCCGTCTGATCGTAAATAAGACAGGTTTTGGAGGTCCTCGTTGAATCGACGTTGCTGTTTGTCCGATATCCACCCGGTCATGCCGAAATTGATGAACGTCTTTTCTCCTTGCCATCTCCTCACCTCGCGCAATATCCGATAAGGCCCTTGGATGCCATTTCTCTTCTGAACGTGAATCACAGTCCGGTACACTCCAGGCAAAGATCACAGAGCATCAACCTCTTCAGGAAGATTCTCCCGATGTTTCCTCCATGTTTCCTCCATATCTCATTAGTGTGGCCCCGAGTGTTGCTTGAATCATCTCCTTTCTGTGTCTCTGCACTTGCTTACACCCGCATTCTCCCTGCTTAGTACAATGACAGCATGATTTGCATGACATTCTCATGACGAATCCTTTGACATGGTCTGCTAAGGATAGGACGTTTGCGGAACTCCCTGAGTCACTTCGTGTGGCACGCCTCCCCGGGCCAAGACGGGGCTAGGCGCGGAGAGGGACGGGAGGCCGAATGGGGCAAACTTGCGCCGTGGCCGTGCTGAGAGCGTCGGCCAGCAAAGCGTGAAAAAAAAAAGCTGTTGACTCTGACCAGAACGACATAGACAAGATAGACCGATTTGGATAACTTATAATACCGTCCCTACCCCACATCCTACCCCATACCCCGCCCTTAGATCCCGACCACCACCATCCCCGACAGCACAACCATGTCAGTCACCCAAACCAGGACTGTTCGCGCTCGCGCGCGCACTCTTTCGCTCATCGCACCTCGCGGCGGCCCGTCCTTCGCGACACTTCCCGTCGAACTCACACTCGACATCCTAGAGCTCGTTCTCCTTTCATCCACATCCCCATCTTCAGGTATATCACAAAAATCGATCTCTTCTTATGGCCACCAACAATCTGTCGCCGTCACTCTCGCGACGATATCCCGATACATCACCACCCTGCTCAACCAAATCCTCTACCGCTCCGTCGTCCTTTCGACACCGCGTGCAGTCTCTCTCTTTGCACGCACAGTCCGGTCAAAGGACCCTTCCTTCTTCGCAGCACAAGTGAAAAGACTGTCAATCACTTCTCAGGCATCATCCACGCGACCCCTCGCGAGCACGGGCTTTTTCACTGCCATAACGAGGGGTAACTCTCGTTGGGGCGAGTCTGGGTCGAGCAATGATGACCTGCAAGCTATCCTGGCTGCCTGCTCTAGCGCGAAGACGCTTGTCCTCCCAGAATATGCTCTGCAATCTTTCTTCACCCTCCCCCTTTCATCACAATCACAATCACAGTCACGCCACATCACGCCACCCGAACTTACCGTCGGCTCTCTGAGCGACATTCATCCATGGATGTCGTCCCCCTCAGGTCACGCATCCGAAGTCCTCAATAACCTGACTCACCTGCGCCTTGCCGAACCAGGCGATATGTTTGTCTCACCCTCGTCGTTCTTATCCGCTCTCGGACCGCTCTCCCACCTCACACATCTTCACCTCAGTCGCCGAGCGAGCGCGAACGAAGACAACGATATCGCGTTCGTGCAGGACTGCGAGGATGTCCTGAGGCGGAAGGAAGGGCTGAAGATGTTGGTCGTCAGCGTGTTCTTGCCGTTCTATTATTCCATGACGGCGCCTGCACTCCCGGCAGGCGGAGGTGCGGATGAAGATGCGGAGATGCGCGAGATGGACGAGGAGAAGGCGAGAGAGGCGACGATGGAGAGGGAATGTGTCGAATCGTCACTTTGGAGGATGCTGCAGGAGTTGAAGGCGAAGGATGAACGACTGGTCATTATTCAGGGTCAGGAAGGGGCTTGGAGGAAGGAATGGGAGGGTGTTCGCGTTATTGCGAATGCGACGGGCGCCGGAGATTTCTGGGTTCGCGCGAAGCAGAGGGCTGCAGCTAGAGCACGGAAGACGACGAACTGAACTGTCGCCCGAGTCGTAGGTTCGTCAAAGCTATGGAGGTGAAGGTGAGAGAGAGCCTCAGGATGCTCGATGGAGAGTGAGGTATTAGAAGGGGGGAGGAAGCTCAGCGCTGGCTTGGCTTATAGACTCGATCCTTGGCTATTTACATATAGATGCCTTATGTTAACCTTACCAGAACAGCTGCGTCGACTTACTTTGAACGTGGAGGGGCGTGTGAGAGAGTCAGGTGTTACTTTTAGGGGGGCGCACGGCGACCGTCCTGGGATCACATCTTGCTCTCTATTGATGGGCGTGGGTGGGTGCTGGTCAGCTGTGGTTTCTCTTGCGCCCTACAGTAGCTTTCCATCATTCCTCTGCGGTTCGACTCGTGCGTTCTGATATTTACGATATTCCCTGGAACGGTCCTCTGTTTCGACCCGATTTTGTTAGATTTCTCTGCCCTACAGCTATTGTTCTAGATATTACGGTCTTCACCGTTAGACTCTGTCTATTTACGCACACACTAGAGAGGGCGGTCTAATTACGACTTTGTTCGCAGGTTTTGAATGACCGCCTTCGTTTCTTATTGGTCTCTTTTTCGTCTCGTTTCTCCGTGTTCATCCTATGACTTGTTCCGTCCGTCTCTTTCTCTCAGGCTGGATTATGCCTATACTATGTGACAGCTCGCCCAGCAATAGAACTTTACAGATTGTGCTACTAGCGAGAATGTGCTTGCCGCACGATTCGAATATATAGTAACAGTGTGGCGCGAGTGAGAGGAAGTGCCACTCATCCAAATTCCATTTTTCGCCGATCCCATCCGCGTAGATCCCGATTCTCTCCTCGCGGCTCTGTAACCAATCAGCTGCTTGTTTAACTTAAACCTGGACGGAGAGTACGACATCCATACCGGCTGGAAGAACCGAAGCCGGGGGCGCAATTACTTGTGTAGTGGGCCATGTGAACTTTATAGCTTGCGTCCTTTGTTCTTGCCTATCACTTGGACCAACAGCGAGTCGTCCTTCGGCACTACTTAGTAGTCCTGCCAATATGCAACCTGGCATACCAAAAACGATTCCAATTCTACGAGGACAAGCGACGCCCCCTTTGAATACTACCATAGTATCGCTCTCCGCTCCCAAACATGTCGCCTGTATGTCGATATCCGAAGACCGTGCAGTCCACACAGACGATTACGCCTCCATAGCCATCTTTACCCCTCCACCACAAGGTGCGAATCTCACTGTAGAGTCGAAATTCCGCAGGCATAAATCGCGGAGCGATCGAAACCCGTACCATAACCATCCGGTTCGTTTGGATCGGATATGTCATATGCATATTGAGTCGGCTGCGTGGGAGGAGATGTCGAGAGCGGAGATCGTCACTTGGCGAGGGATCATGAAAAAGTAAGAGTTCAATGATGTATTCCTGCTTGGATGGAGTTCAATCCATGTATTGATATAAGTCGTATTATGACTTTCGATGTAGGATCATATCCGTGGGAGGTGCCAAACCCATAGAACTGAATGTGTCAGTTCTCGGCGGGCGGCTCTATTTGGAGGAATATGATCCTACACCCCTCAAGTATGTCGCTCAAGGGCTGGCATCTAACATACTGTTGGTATAAATAACTTATGCAGAGGAAAATTAGGCAACGCATTCTCTCGAGGGCAGAATACATTGGGTAGGTACCGTTCTAGCGAAGCCCAGGAAGGCTACTTATTTGGAAAGTCCCTAGACATCGTTTCGAGGCTCTTTGTACCGGAGGCACACAGACCAGCGACATGGGTCTCCATGCTAGCTGGTCCGCGGGTGTCATGAGGAAGCTTGGTGACTTGAACATCCTCATAGCTGGTGAGGTGGATGGTACTACGAATCGTAAGTTCTTGTATCATCATTTGATAGAGATGCGTTGATCGATCCTGCTCCCGCCATAGCATCCAATCTCGCTGCGTCCGAGGATTACATAGAAATCAAGTCAAAAACGGAAGGCTCGTAAGTCTCTCATGCAGGGTCTACTATTCGCATTATTGTTTCAGTTGCACTTACTCGTCCTTGATACATTTATGGAAGGCAAGCAAAATTGCGAGACTGGTACATCCAATCCATGCTAGTAGGCATCCCCAAGATCTTTGTCGGGTGGCACAAAGACGGCCGGTTGCATCGTACCCAAACTCTAATGGTCGAAGAGATGGAAAAAGCCACTTGGGACATTCCAGCACGCTTGACTTGGGCATATCAAGTCCTTTCATCTTTACGGGACTTCTGTATGCAGGGAGGTTCAGGGATAGACGGGCACAGAGTATGGCGTGCGCAGGTGGGAGGGCCGTCTTATGGAGTTCAGGTACGTGAACTCGGTGAGACGGAAGTGAGACTGTTGAACCGGGGAGAAGAAAGGGTGGGCATTCTCCCGAAGTGGTATGTGGATGGGCTGAACGAGCTCGAGATATCCCTTCGGATGAGAAACTTGTAGTTCGGTGTGGTGTTCAACTATGAAGGTCAATTACTTCGTTGCTAGTCGTTTCTCCACATCGCCTCTGAATCTGATTGTGTAGCAGCACACACTTCTGGCACTTGATTTAAGTACCGCGGTGCGAGTTGAATTTCGTCACAAAGGAAAGACGAATCAGCTTCTGCAGTCCTGGGACTAAGTCTACAGGCTGCGAGGCTATCTTTCCCGGTAAAATCCATTGGCAGGCATCTACTGGCTCGGTAACACTCGGGCCCTACTCGGAAAAAGCATCATGTGAGCCCCCTCATGCAGACTCATCGACAGTTTCCGCCTTTGTCCTGAATGTTGAGTCTTACGATATGTCATGATCCTGTTCTTGTCCTGTTCTGTTCCTCTACCGCGTCGCTACATTCAGCAGAGGTCGAAATTACCTCTTGTTTGGCAACGACAGTTGACATGGCGGTGTTTCGTACCATGATAGGGGACAGACACGCCTTAAAAATCTATTAGTGAGTGAAGTGAACGCCCTTTCTCATGCGGATCCATGGCGCAGGCCGTGACGCTGCAGCATGGAAGAAGATGATCAGAACGTTCAGAAAACGTACGTATTCGATTGAAAGCTTAATATCGCCATCCTCACAGTGAATCATCATGGCCGTTTCTCGATCCCCTCAAAGCGCTCGGGTACGTTGATGACATGGATGTTCCGACTACGGCGCACAACCGAATCCAGTCCGTCTTCGTCGTGTGTCTTGTCCCAACGTCTGGCGGGCATCAGTACTCAGTGATGAGCTCGAGGAAAGGTGAGGACGTAAGGCTTCGCGCCGGAAGCCGACAAGCTCCTGAAGCCATTGGAGATAAACTCCAACGAAAGGTCACAATGATTCCAAACGCGAGCAAACGTGAGAGGGAAAAGAAAAATGGATAAAGCAGAAACGCTATCGTGTACACAGCAGATGATACAAATATGATACAAATGCCATTGTTCGCCGCCATCATGCGTGAATTTTGTGTGCCAGCATAGATACTCGACCACCGCAGACAAGTTCATAAATATCATGCAATGTTCTCGCCACGACAGTGAGAAATGCCAGCATCATGCGAGGAAATTACATTCCGAACATGACATGGCGCTTCTCGTTGAAGGCCTGGTTGTCACGGATAAGGGGAGTCGAGATACCCACGGGCTCATCCGCCTGTTTCAATCAAATAACATGAAATGTCAATCAGTCACCGAATCGCGCACAAGCTCGAGGATACAACACGACATGGACGTACCTCGATCCTGTCAAGACGGATCCTACGCCCATTGTACATGCGACGAGCAAACTTCATCGTCGAGAATGCTAGGAACATCAAAAGGGCGGCGAACATGGCTCCGTACATCGCCGACATGAGAGGCTGAGGCTCTCCAGCAGAAGGAAGGGTCTCCGCGTTGTCGATGCCAGAGAATGGGTTAGGGATCGCAGGCCACACCGACCTGGAACCGCACACACGCTGCCACTGACTGTGGGATCCGATCACTGAGTTCTGTGAGGAAAAGTGATCAGTATGAGTATGTCATGCAGAGACCAATGATTAGCTTGATAAACACGCATGAGACGCACCTCAATACGGTAGATGAACTCGGTTAGCGGGATGTCTTCCTTGTGGTTGAACGCATGGAGGAGACGGAAGTCGTCGTCGACGGTACCATTCCTGAACTTGAAGCGGAGGAAGTCACGCTTGTCGGGGAGTTCTCCGCGCCTGAGCTCGATAGCAATAGCAGATGCATAGTCGGGGATGGCCTGGAGACTTGGGTCCTTTTCGATAGCGTCGATTTGATGGAACAGGGAGATGAAAGGCTGGTACGTGGTGGCCTCGACGAGGAACTGAAGGGGATCTCCGTCAAGGGTGATGCGCTGCAAGGTGCTGATAATAGATCGCATGAGAGTGCGACTGGCGACTAGATGAGAGCGGATATCAGTCAAATCGGTCATCATCAACGCCACAGTGGCGTAAAACAGGAATCACTGACTGTTTCCAATGCCACCCATCCGAGAGTCGCCGAAGACGGCGGTCTCATGGTAGTTCGCCCAGTGACGAGCTTGCTCGATAAACGTCGGTGGCAAACGGTGGGCATACGTCCTATTGTGGGTCAACTGGTCGTTCATGTAGTCGTGAATCTAAACAAGCCGAACATTGTCAGCATCGCATGTGCAACACGAACGACTTGCGCCACGCAACACTTACATTGTGAACATTCTCGAAGCTGGTGGACCTCCCAAAGACGAAGTCCTTCGCCTCAGAGAGAAACTTCTGAGCCTCTTTGGCCTTCTCCTTGAAGTCACTTGAGCCGTAGACCTTCTTGACGTGGGCCTCGAACGCCTGCGACAACGACCTCGTAGGTCAGAGAAATATTTATTAAGTATTGGGAACATCATACGTACAGGGCAGTCGGTCCAGCTCTCCAACGAACGATCATTCGACGGCTCGACGGTCTCGACTACAGAAACATCAGCATCTCTTAAAAAACGAAACTGATACATAGACTCACCAGGAACGTATTGGTAACCACCAAGGGGCGCCGTAATCCGCTGCTCGTTGGCGAGCTCGATACTGTTCTTCTCCGTCGGGGGAAACAGTCCCTGCAGCATCGCCAACGCGGAGTCGAACACAACACGGCCCTCGCCTCCGTTCTTCACACGAACATGAATCTGTTCGAGGTCGGCTAGGTCGCTTTGGATGCCTTTGATCGCATCAGGCGAGGAAGGGTCGAAGTAGATGTCGCTGAGAGTTTGTCCGAGGTCGAACGACTGGACCTACAGATGTAAATGGGTAACAAGAATGAGCATGCTGGTAAGAGAGATGGATGTCACGGGGGAAATATCGTGAAATAAAGGCATACCTCTCCGAGCGGAGTACACTCCGTGGGTGAGCTGTCGTAGTTCATTGGGTTCTGTTCGTAACCAACACGGTCGCCAGCACGGGCGATGATGACGACGCCGCGAACAGTATCGTGAGCCATTGTTGAAGTAGTGTGTTGAAGTGTAGAGTGTGGGGAAGTGTGAGAAGGGAGAACCTATGAGAACTGAGTAAAGTATGCCGCCAATCTACAAGCCTTTATACCACAGTATCTCGTAGGTCACTACGTAGGTCTGGGGCCTAAGAGGAGAGATCGATGGGAACGCGCCAGAAACTTGAGGCAATATCCGGCACCACCGTTCTCGATGCGAGCCTGAGTGAACATGAAAGGGAGGCGGAGGCACCATTAATCGACAGCATTTAATGTGACAATAGCAATGAGTGCACTTACCATGCGAAGCTTTGGCGTGCTACTAGCGTGTGGGGGCCTCGATCTTCTGTTTCAAGAACCAACTTTGGAGGTTTGGAAACCTACTTCGTATAGGAACAGAGCAAACCTACTCAAAAGTTGCGAGGAGAACAAGCTATAGGCTGTACATGCATCTACGACGGTAGTCAAAATGAGAGCAATAATCCATGGAGGTGGGAGAATGGAGCATACGTAGTTGATCAAAGCGGCGCAAGAAGGGACATGGTGAATAGGCGCTTCCATTCATGAGACACGTTGTAGAAAGGGTGATCCAGCGCATGGTTATCGTTCCCGGTCTTCTGAGGCGCCTTTGGACGCATCGGGACCCGTCGACATTTGGTCGACATCCAGCGTTGTTTCCAGCGTGCTGAGCAGAAGATATCATTCTTGGAAGATAAATTCGGTTATTTACCATGTACTTCGCTGACAATAGATAGGAGGTCGTGACCAGTGAAAAGGTTCGTCTCTAAACATCAGTGACATTGAGGTGTCAAGCCAAGACTGTGATACAGGCAAAGCGACACCTGCGTGTTTGTCGCATGTGTGTCTTCGGGTAATCGAGAATCGCAAAGTTCGTTGAAGCTCGACAATACCATATTGCCACACAGGGTTCAACCATGACCACCAAGGGTCCACTGCAATCCAAAGTTACTGACATTGATGAAAAGCTACTTACACTTCGCTGGCAACCCGTGCCCAGTTTAGACCCCGATCCCTACTTCTTCTTCTTTCCCTTTCCTCCACCGCTCCCACCCTTGCCTTGACCACCGGCGCCACCTGTGGCCACAGCGCTGCCTCCGCTCTCCACGATCCCTTGTGTGGCGCCACTTCCATATCCACCCTTGCCTTTTTTCCCCTTTGTAGGTACTCTGTACGTCGACCTCTCCGTTTTTTTGAGCCATCTCTCTGGATCCGGGGGAGGAGTAACACCGGGAACCACACCCTTAGGAACGCGGCGTGCGCGCACTTTCTTCTTTGTTTGTCCTTCCGTGGCAGCAGCGGCAGATGTGGAAGCAGTTGGTACGACAGCGGTACTAGGTAGCGTGGTTGTAGGTGGGGGCGGGGGAGGCGTGGATTCAATGGCTGATGTGAGCCAATGAGGCATGGCGTCGAGGGAACGGGCGTATGAGGTCGTGACGAAATCGAGGTGTGTCTGAGCTGCCTGGAGATTCGTGAGAATATCCGAATGTTCTTCCGTTTGCTGAAGGGGCGGAAGTGAAAGGGACGAAGTTCAGGTTATAGACTAGCACTTTAACAGCCTAGACACGCGTTGGGAATATTGACGGAAATTACGCGCACCGGGTCGCATGTATCAAGTAGTTGATTATACAGGTCAAAGGCGACTTGATATAAACCTTGGCGGTAACACTGTCATAGTTCGCGTCAGCCCTAAAATATATCGAGAAGATAACGAGAAGATCAGGCCAGGAGGCAACGTACTGTCTGAGCCTCGAGATGAAGTATCTTCCTGTCATCAGGATTCCTCTGCTTCATCCCGCTGAGCACCTCCGCTGCCTCTGCTTCCTGCTGCGAGCGGTAAAGTGCATACGCTCGCTTGTAAGCATCGTCTTCTGACGTAGAAGCGGACGAATCCAAGAGTTCAAGAGCAGCAGCATATTGCCCATCCTCCATTAGGAGGGAAAGCTTCGCTTGCAGAGCATCTGTGTCCTTCGGGTCAAGTCGCAGAACTGGAAGCCAGGCAGTGAAGATTCAGAATAAATCCTATCAATCAAGAATGTGGACGCACTCTTATCGCAGGTCTTTAGGGCATTAGATACATGACCTCCATCAATCTGAGCACATAGCGAAGTGAAATGCCGCTTGACACGGTCTGGGACCGGGAGAGGCTCCTTCTTCTTGGCCAGTTTGCGTATGTTATGAATGGTAGACTTCGGCCCTCGTGGATTAGAAGACTGCTTGGGCTTGGGTATCGCCTTGGGTGCCATCGTAGGCGATACAGAACAGAATGTACTCGTCGCTAAACACGGTTGGCCGATTCCCTTGACGCGGTCCCACGCGAGTTCAGACTCCGACCTCTCCTTGCTCTCCACCATCACGAACGATGACCATGTCTACCGAACAGTGCGTCTGTAATCGCTCATATCTCTATCGATACCTAAGCTCACGCGTGTATCCTATAACAGCCAAGAATCGCCCGTCGAGGAAGTGCAGAGAACTGACGACGATGCTCAGATGAAAGTTGAAGAACCTGAGGCGTCCCAGGTGACAGCACCGGCGGTTGCTCCCAGAAAACGACCACGACTAGATCTGACTGCCGAACCGAAAGAGCGCAAACGCGGCAAGAGTATGTTTGGGCTTGTGCTCGGGACGTTGAACAAGGCCAAAAACGAAGACAAGGCGAGGAATTCTAGCGAAGCGGTGTGTTGCATTTCGTCGCGATCTTGTTGTTTCGCAAACTGATCCATGGCGTACCGTACCATCAGGCGAAGAAGAGACAATTGATTGAGCAGAGACTGCAAGAAAAACTTAGAAAAGAAACTGACTCTGTCAGGAGAGCCGAAGAGGCGAAGAAGGACAAGACCGTAGCAAACCGCAAGGAAGAAGACCTGCAACTAAAAGATTCCATAGTATGTACAATATTTTGCATTGTCTAATGTTCCATGACGCCCAATGCCTATCAAATCCATATGGTCTGTGAACCTGACAATATTCTCAATGACAGCACAAGCTCCGCCACACAAATCTTCCCCTCCTCGCCAATTTCCTCTGCACCTCCGACTCTATACCCACCTCCGACCCCGACTCTCCCTCCGAATCTGACCAACCTCCATCGCGGAACGTATTATCCGGACCTCCACGTTCCCATCCACCTCCGATCTACTACCTCCCGGCCGTCCTTACCCCAGCCCAAGAGGCATTCCTTGTTAAGCGTAAGGCTGAGGTATGTCTAACTATACACGACTCCTATCTGCCCAAAAATTTACCCATCTATCCTGTCACCAGGTCAAAGAAGCCGCTGAGCAAGAATGGGCCACATTCCGTCTCGAGCGCAGTGCTGGCATAGAGGAAATCCAAACTCTCCGGCAACGCGTCCAGGAAGAACAGCTGCGCGTACGTGTCGAGCGTGGAACTTCCTCCAGCCCAACCAAAGCCAACGGCGATCAGGAAATGCAACCCACCGATAGCCCCACGGTTGAGACAAAACCGGCAGGGGAGAGTGGCATGGATGTAGATCAGCCGCCAGTAGATCAGAGCAAGGAGGAATCATCCGGTAAGGATGAGGAGGCGAAGAAAGCTGGGGAGAGTACGCAGGCTACAGAGGCTGCGAAGGTTGAGGAGAAGGAAACAGTGCTGGAAACGGCTCCTGTTCCTGCTCCTGTGCCGATGCAGGCTGATGACGACGACGCGGTCGAGTATTGATCATCTTCACAAGGTATACGTTTTCTTGCTATTCTTTTTTGACCGTCGACGTTCTTTCTTCGACGAGTCACTTTACTCCCCGTTTGCTTTTTCTCCGATTATATTGATGCTCCGCTGTTTGCTTGACTTTCTGTACGTATGTTCGACAATCGCATACTTTTGTGATGACTGACGTTCTGCTCGCGTCTGATAGGTTTGTAGCGTTCGTGCGTGCTTTCTCCGCCTTCGTGTATCTAAACTGGGTTGTTACTACCGAATTCCACGCTTGTCAAGCTTTGGCCATGCTTATCCCGGCCCGCTAATGTCAATCATTTGGTGATGCAGTGTCGAAGTGGCAAGATCATTGAAATGACAAGGTATTGAGCCTACGCGTGTATCAGTGGCGGTAGCGCCGACCTATCCAGGAGGTTCGGTGTAAACTTGAAAAATTATTTGATTTCGACTCGATCCCTGTTGTTCACTGCTCACAGCCTTTCTGGTACTCTCTGGTGTAGAATATGGGCCCGTTCGACTGCTATCAACGCTGCAGCTCAAGATCTCCAGCATGGTCCAAAATCTGCGCCTGCTACGCTCGTCGTGATGGGGACCACTGCTTGACCGGAAACCTGCACAGCCTGAACTGAGCGTGAGGAATAACCTCCGGGTGTAGTCGCGAAGGGTGGACAAGGTCAGGCTGCATCTCTACATGTTCAAAATACTCGGGGAGGTGTAGAGATTGAGCAGGATGATTTGCGGGAAGGTGAATGTTGTCGATAGAATCCACCTGAGCGACAGTACTTAGCCTACATCGATAAGTTGTACTTGAGTTCGATTCCATCCTTCGAGACGAACTCAGGTCAAATCACTACTTGCCTTTCAAGTTACATGGGTCAGCTTCTTGCAGCAGAACGTGCCAGAGAAAATCGTTGTGAGCAAAAAGCGTTGCCGGTATGAGTTGAAGTTTCTGTGCACCCACAGTTTCGGGTATCCGAGAACCATGGCGGCAGGACAACCAGAGTAGAGGAATCACGTTAAATAATGACTAGTTACCTGCGCTCTCGTACATAATCTTACATTTGGTTAACGATAGGGTGTGGCCTGCAGACTTGAGTTCTGAGGACTCGGATATGGACGCCACACTGCGCCACCCTGATTGCTTATGCAAGGTGCCACGTTCTCGCCCACGTAATATTGAACATCGTACTCAACCGTCACAAACGACTTTCAAGATGGTTGTCCACGATTCCTCTATGCATATCACGACGTAAAGGTGAGCATGATTCATTGTGAGGTCAATCAGCAAGTCTCGTTTGGTATCCACATCTTTTTTGTTGGCTGCTCGAACTCGACTCGGAGGGGGGCCCGGGGCTCTAGATCTTGGTCGCAGTGTGTCAGCTACTACGAGCCTGAGGTCTTGAGGGCAACATCCTCTACTGACAGGAGCGGACTACTTTCTCGTCCGTCTTCCGTCTTCTCAAAACTCGGGCGCAAAGTACCCTCGTGTGCTATGGCCCTCTCCTTTGAATACAGAGCGTTCCTGTGCTAAGTCCGGATGTCCCTGGCATGTGCTGGCCTGCGTAGGCAGTCAACACAACTTATACTAAGTTGGTCTGTCTAATCTTCGCGACTGTTCGTGGAGTTTTAGTTGAATCGATTAGATGGACCATGATATGTTTACGGAACTTGGCTTAGTTCAATACCCACTTATGGGGTAGCTGTGATCCGCCTCCATGAACAGTAGCCTAACAATAGTAGATGTCTACAGACACCCACCTGGATGCGCATCGCATATGTTGATGCAGTAAGGCGTGCGCCGCGTCCTCTCCATCGTTGTGCCGGAAATTATCATCTGTAAACTCTAGCTGGAAGGGTTCACTCGACTTCTGTCCAGCAAAGCCGATATGTCTGCACTACCTCCCTTCTGAAGCCACTCTGTCAAAACTGAGCCTAAGAGCTCCGAGACTCTTGAAGGGGATCCACGCTCTGTCTGACGACTGGACGAGGCCTCAACACGCTTCTAGCTGTGTCATGGACGTTTGGTCAAGCGGGTGGCTTGCACGTTATATGGCGAAAAAAATCGTTCCCCGGAGCAGTCTTCGGTCACGCGTGGTTTCGTGGCATGTCTGGCTTTTTCGCTGCGTGAGTGCCAGTTTTACGAAACGAGGACAGTCGGATGGGCAGCAACGAGACACACGGACAAACCCGTCTAACAGATGTCTTATGCATCCTCATGACGGTATCCACTGTCTCATACAATGCGTCGACTTTTTGCTTATGCTCGGTGATAAGGCATCTCGGCTTGGTTCCTGGCAACTTGTCCAAATCATTGCACAACATCACTCCTTCCCGAACTGACTATCTAGTTTGTTCGCAAGAGCGCTGACCTCTTTTTGGGGCCTCAAACTTCCGATCGCCGCAAGCCCTCGATTCATCGTCAAGGCCGTTGGCCTAGGTGGGATGTGGCGTATCTTTGATCGTGGCACTATTCGCTCCGGCCGCAGATTCACTGTTATTATCGCTGATATCTACATGGTACTACGTTGGTCCTTCCAGAGAAGGCCCTCGCTATTTTTGCTGACGCTGAGCATTCCCCTTCCCGACCTGACGCTTCATAGGCTACCTAATATTAGTTGTGCCCATTGTATCTGAGGCATATGTGTCGCAGGCGTTCTGACTGCATGCGTATGGAGCAACAATTGAAATGCATACAACATGATTGACATTATAGACCCTCTAGACGGCTTGCACGGCTGCACCCAACTGTCTCTGGAATGACCAGTATATATGGAGTTTTGTGCCTCGAAGATCTGTCAACATGGGTCAGGCGTCCAGTGCTCACTTATCACCATCCTGTCCTGTTACACGTGAACGTTGCATACATCGCATGCTCTATACTATCGTCGATGATGTTTCCGCACCATTCGTGAGCTGACCTCACCTCTGGATCGTCACTTTACCAAGCCTTACTCTCTATGACAAGACATTCGAGGTATACATTGTGCAGACGGTGACAACTTCTGTCCTGCGAACAGACGTCCGTCTTCCGAGGGACCTATGGGCGACTCATTACCTGTGCATGCACATACTGACTCTAAAAGCCCAGATATCTGCGTCTCTTCCAGGGAAACATTTTCGGAAGGAAAGGCGGCACGCTGGCTGTTGGAAACCGTCAGACGACACTTCGGACGCTCTATCACAATATTCTGTAGGGTGCGTGCTCCACGTTCATTTTGCACGCTTCCCTCACAGTATATTTCCAACCCATTGGTACGAAATCAGTGCCCTCTAGGAGCTTTCGGCCTCCGGAGAAGGGCGACCTTACCAAGCCGTATTTGATTCATTTCTGATACTGGAGCGAACCACCCCTTCGATGCAATTCGATGAAACGCAGCATTCCTGCCTGGACTGCCACTTGAACGTCTCAGGGGTCGATGGAAGAATACTGGAAAAATCTTCCGGCCGAAACCATCAATCTAGACGGCCCCTCGTCGCACCTACAACTCCCGCCCATGGCTAGAGCGACTTGGTGGCCACAGACCTCGTCTGACTCTGAACCCGAGAGTAATGCACGGCCCGTTTAATATCCGTCTGAAAAATGGCGCTGAGAAAATCCTCCTACTCGCCGAGTCGCTACGATTTCACTCGCTTTCAGAACCACCCAGAACAGCGACGCATGTGCAATGTACCATAAGTGTCCCGCCCTCTCTGGTATATCCATGTGGTACCGCCTTTCTCCCCCGAGACCACTGTCTAAATAATTCTCGCAGGTGGGTATTCCAGTCTGAATCCCGTGTGCCCCAGGCCGTACCGCTTACCAGTCGATGATCTTTTGCTCGCTGTCGAGCGGAGACAGGGCTACCGAGAATACCCCTTACCGTTCCCTTCGCGCATTACCTATTCGGAACCGGAGTCAATAAACCACGCACACGAGTTTGGAAAGAAGTCCAACTTGTGGGAAGGCCTAGGAAGGCCTCTCAGGGTTTGGACGAGTTCCCATGCGGCATGGTCTTGGGATAGCTTCTTTCATTATATTACGAGTGAAATCGTCGGATGACTCGGCTCATCCGCGCCGCCCCGGATGTAGATCTCTAAATTGAATACGTTTATCGTACAGAACACGGGACTATCTTCGGAAGTTACGCCCTGCTCCTTGCTACATGGGGTCATGGAGTCTCTTTGCACCTGACACTACCTCAAGACCTTGCGACTCATTGACGTTCTATAGCCAACGTGGTTCTGAAGTGTGTAGATGTGGCGTGTATGGTGCGTCCTTGTGCGTATAGATATTGATCTTACGGCCCATTTGTTCCTTTAGTGACACCGTTTTGAAAGCGGCGAAGCTAGAAGCTAAACCTATCCTGATAGTGTGTCATTCTTAGCGTTCAACCTTTTTCTTATACCACATATCCAGTTGTTTATACCCACGCTCACTACTATTCCTCTTCGAGAGCCTGAGGCCCACAGGTCGATACTTAAGTCAACCAAGCGCCAGAATCCTTCGCAAAGCTTCTCGCCAATGACATACCACCACAACCCGAAGGGACGAAAATACTTAAATGGCTGCTGAGTTCGGATCCAAGGCTCCATTTCCTCACATCGCCAAGCGATGTACGCCAGAATTCTCTATCGGCTCCAAGAACTTAGGACCATGAGTACATCACTCAAGTAGAAAGAACGCCTTCGCACAGCTAATTTCGAGTGCAATATAGCCTATCGCCGTCATCGGATGGGAACGTGTTAACGGCCGGTTTGCGAGCGAATCCGGGAGGCTGCAATGAGGCCAGCAATTCGCCAACAGAAGAGGAAGTTCTGCTCGTATACCTCCATACGTAGAAAGTGATCTCAATGATCAAAGAGGTGAGTTCTCCCGCCGTGTAGCTAGGATCTGATCCAATACAGCTGCTCCCTGCTTCTCTTCGAGACCAACGTTCTATTTTATGTTCTCGCCCACGTCATTGACATTGGCTGAAGAAGCATATGACGCATTTCCATACCGCCAGGCGGTACATAGGTCACATCCGACACCTAATTCCGCAGGGTCTCTGTGATCTCCGCCCTAAGAGCTCTCGGTTTAGTTCGCAGGCGTCCGTGGTCATGATAAGTCTGAATCGGTCAGCGCACGCGTCAATGCTGGAGGGCAGTGGCTACTGTAGGCCAAGCTGACTACACGACAGCAACACCGAACAGGCGTACATTCAAATGGCCGCTGGCGGGACACTACGGGGCGTCATTAGCCATATGCCAAGAATGTCCCAAAAGTGCCAGTCCCATTCGTAGGTTTCCGGACCGAATATTCACAAGGACTTCACATTCGCCGCTGACCATGCCTAGAAAGAGGATCACTATCAGCCTGGAATCTCCAGCGTGCTGACAGCTTGCGAGAGTGGAAACGCTTGGCACATTTCCGGTAGGTTCAAGGTAGGTACTTCAGGTTTTTTTTTGTTGTCTTCCGGAATGAAATCTTCGCTCACGGCTGCGTATGCATAGATCTGGAACCAGTACAGTGGTTGCGTGCAATTTAGTTGGCTTAAATAACTTCCTATTTTCGCTGGTGTTCATCTTCTCCAGCAATCGACCCACCGTATTCCGAACAGTCACACGTCGAGCGCATCCGAGTCTCAGAATTGTTCGAAGACGAAGAGAACTCCTCCAGTTAAGTTCATTATACTTACGTCGTTCTCAGTTGAAGTGACTCTACTTATTCTTGGAACTGATGTGCGTGCATTATAGGAAGGTTCTCAGGTATGTGGATTTCCGTGTACTCCCTCTACCTTACTTAGTACTATCTCATGCTAACAGGGTCATAAAAGTATACTTTTCTCTCATATTCAATTTAAGTGTCACGACTCGGGATCGGAAAGATTTCCGAGCGTTGGCTTCGAGTCTCATAATGTGCGGAAGTTGTGCAAGCTTCATCAGCAGGCGTGAACACGCTTCGGACACGCTTTGATGGCCCACCATCACACTGAAGGGAATATTGAGAGCACGTTGCAGCCGTGCATATACCCTGTTTTCTGCCATATGTGAGTGGTAGCAAAGTCTCGAAGTGTCCGCAGCCAACCAGAACATCCCGTACGTGCGTAAGCATCGTATCCTTCGGGAACACCAAGCTGTTCTTCTGCTCTCACAGTCCGTTCGTTTGGCGAAGCGCTAGCTCATAATCTCTAGAAATCCTTGGATTGCTGCGCACAAAAATGAACGGCGCACCCGATGCCACTGAAATGAATCACTGTTTATTGTTCTCATTGTTCCATCGCATCCAGAGAAGGCTTCATGGGCCGCATCTTTTCCGCTCCCGGTGAAGCTCATGTAGATCTACACCGGCTGCATCTCCATCTTCGCCGTCACCTCCATTCTCATGTGTAACTCATGAAGTACTCCTCTCTGCTTTATGTGCAATGCTCACGTTCATAGTTCTTCAGCGTCTCTACTCCTTCTCCACAACACGGCTTTCGGAGGATCCAAGTATAACTCATCTTCTGGATGCCTCCGAGTACGTGAAGACACTGATTATACAGACCACTTCTCAACCTTCTGAATCACGGTCAACGTTTACCTCCGCATACACATCCAAGACTGTACCCCGAGGGGAAACTCAAGAACCAGAATTTCACATACCAGAATTGTATCCTTGGAGCCGGTGAGATGCGCTATACTTATGCAGCTCTTCTTTCGAGAGTGTCTTCTTCATGAAGAGTGTTCGTGCGTCTGATCTCGCTTACTGATATGCCTGTTCCGTTCCGAGAATGCGAGAACTTGAGCCCCGCCTCATCGTTCCATCTCACTGCATCCAGCTGAGCGACTCCGGGCCATGACGCTGTATGTGTACATACTCATCCTGCTAATTCATAGAACTTGAAACCCGCTATGTGTCATATACGTACAAAGTGCGGTGCGTGCTGTGTCATTGGGCTGCATCAATCCTGAGGACTCACAATGGCACACATACAGTACGGGAAGAAGCCGAACGCTCAACCTCGGCAGTAGTCCAGAAGCAGTGCCCCCATGGCCTGTTCTCGTTCTGGGTCCTCCATCCTCCTCGGATTTTTCAACTTCAGCGACTCGTCCGCACAAGGCGCTTGCCGCTTATACCGAAAAAAGCACACCATGATCTAACTCGGCTCTGGGGCCCAGTACCGCCCGCGAGCAAAGCACGGCGGATAGAGTCGCCCAGCGGCGCGGGATCTCTCGAAGGTTCAGAACATCGCGAGGCGGGACTCACGAAGGTTTCATCAGAGGCTGGATGGTGCTATCTGATCAGAATACCTCTCGCTCGGGCCCACACATCCTCTCACGTCGCTTTACGGCCTGGGTTCTACGCCGAGCTCCCATCTCCTTTCTCCTCGTTCGTGGCTCACCTAACGCCTGCACGCTTTTTGCGTCGTTCCCGCTCTGGTTGGTACACGCCCCCACGCTGTGACTGTGCCTCGCACTCCACCATCTGTTTTTATCCCCCTCTTCTTCTCATCTCGTAATGAGACAGCAGCGGGCGACTCTTTCTCAGGCTCTGCCTGTCTATGACGCTGTGCCTGCGCCGAAGGTCTACTTGAAGCTTGGAACCCATGCTCGCCTAAGTTACTATCAAAAATCAAACGCGGAATTCTGCTGTTGTCTGTTGGCTTGACTGCACGTCTGTTAAACCGTACAACACAACGCAGGAGATCACCTTGTTCCGCACCGTCGATGTGCAACTTCAAGTTGTTGCACTTCTCCCAGTCCGCCCTCGCTCTGAGATTACTGAATCGGTCCCCCACCCCACCTCCAAGTTCGTCCACAACTCCGAACGTCGAACACGACTCCATTCATTCCGCCTTCGTTCTCAAAAATGTAACGTTCCAAACCCTTCGCAGAACCTAAGTCGTACACGGACGTTGGTCATCCTCTCCTGAATCGAGCAATCCGCATCGCAAAACCCAAGCGGCTACTGTAACGGACTTGCTACATGCATACATACGAACCAAGGGTCACCCCACTCACCATCACGCAGTTATTAATAAAACATGCCCATCGTCTACGTCGGGACTACACTCCTTAGATCTGGGTAGAGATCCAGAGCCGGTGTGTTACCAGTGAGGACGCCTATGCATGCGCATGATAGTAGTCGAGAACAGTGCACAAAGTGGATCTGAGCGCCCTTTACCGCCAGTATGTAGTAACGGTAGCAGCAGATACCTTCGGGACTACACCCTCCAGATCTGAGAGATCCAGAGCCGGGATCAACTGGCATGCTGAAGTGCGCTTGTGAGCTTTACGAGAGAGTTGAACTTGGCCAGAAGAAAGAACCGCCCGGGCCTGAGGATGATTGTCGGCGAGAACTCATCGTGCCAAACGCCGCTGGATCTGAGCTCGACGAGCGACTCAATCTGAGTAAAAACGCCAGTGATCACGAATGAATGAGTAAAAGTGAGGGGAGTGTGGATAGAATCGCCTAAGAAAAGAAACTGGACGCTCCGGAGATGTCGGTTCGTGGTTCGCACGGGTTCGACCGCCGGCTTTAGCCTCCCATCCCACCGTCCCATCCCACTGGCACAGTGTCCCATCCGACTCAGCGTCACATCCTATTCCATCCCACCATAGAGTCCTATACTGTAATCCCGCGACAAGTTCATGTACTTACGCGCCCACGACTCCGGAGAATAGGGGCAAGCCAAAGGCGGTGTCGTGTCATACCATGAATCACGGCAAGTCATCTAACTTAATACACTGACACTGTTGTGGTATGGTATCAGTAGGACTTGGGTGTGGGTATGGCGTTCAACACACAAAAAAAAGGAGTGCGGTAAGAGCGTGGTAAGTATGCAGTAACTTGAAGCGTCAGCGTCGTGGGCAATGGTGGAGAACCTAGAGGTTTGAGGGGACTCCGGTGTGTGCTCTGTATTGATGCGGTGTTCACATTTAGCCTGTCGACCTGATTGCAATTCGAGTGTATGTGTGTACGGTTCCAACATGTGGTTCTTGTTCGTGTTTGTGGATGTGGATGTATGCGATGCGGGCGCAACTGTTAGGACGACTGAGAATCGATTGAACCGTCCACTCCGACCCGACTCACGGAAGATTGCGAACAAATAACCTGCTCAGCCTCATCGTGCCCGCCAGTAACGGTATAACCAGGCAGTGCGCTAGGAGGAAAAAAAGTCTGCACATGAAACGCGTGCGCACCGGTTGCGGTTGCGATTGTCGACATCTCGAGGAGATCTTCAAGAACCAACACGGCACAGCATGCTCGACGTGATCGGCAGCTTCCTGCCACAGACACAGACAGGGAAGTCTTCGAGTACAACAGCAACATGTTGATGATGGGGAGGATGACGTGACGATCATGGGTACATACAAAATCGTTGATTGTTGTGCAGTGCAGTGCGATGAGTATCTAGCTATAGAGCAACTTGGGTACGTAGAACCACAAAAAGAACAAGTAAAAACACCGTGACTGCGACAGACCTCAGCTAAGTATGCAAGGTGCAAGGTGAGGTATAAGTAGAACCAACAAACCAAACGAACAACACGATAATATGCAAACTTCAACCTCATGTCGATTCAAAACCGAGACTGGTACGGATACGGATATGACCTCAGGCTAAGTATAAAAGCAAGGGGATAACGACGATGCAATGCAATGCGGGCCTGGACGTCTATACGAATGCGAAGACGGCTTTTACGAGGGGGGAAGACTCGGAGGTGAACGTTATTATAACTCGAAACTAAGCATGAAGAACTAGCGAGAAGGGGCAAGAATCAGTGAGACTGATACTAACACGAGCGGTAATGAATTCAAAGAGTCCATCGAGGGAAATGCGGAGTATAAATGGGGAATGGGGAACTGGGAACGAAATTTGAGCGAGGGGGGATATACAGAACGAGAAACTGAGAAAGGAAATGCGATTGTGATTGAGCGTGGAGTAAGCAACACGGGCTAACGAGGCAGCTAAGAGCTCCCAGAGGAGAACGAAGGCGAAACCAAAAACGTGCAAGTGCAAACAAAACCAGAAACCTAAGCAAGCAAAAACGAAACGACAACAAGCTTTTGTCAGGCGACGAGAAACGGAGCCAAGAAGGAAGATCAAGCAAACAAGCAAACAAGCAAACGAACAAGCGAACAAACAAAACGAACTATCGTATAGGTATAGGTATACTAGGATAAAAGTAGAGACACATCGATGGGTGGGTACGAGCAGACGGGGCAGGCAGACAGGCAGAGCAGGGGGGCTTGTAGGGAGACAGAGGACAGAAGACATAGGAGGACATAGGATAGCATAGGTAACGATACAATCAGGGAGAGCAAGCAGAGAGAGTCCTAAACACATAAGAGATTAGCACACACGCTAACAGACAAAGAGAGAACAGAAGGGTGCTCACCATACAGTCCATAATATAAATGCAAATTGGCGAGCACGACAACGACAACAACAACAACAACGACGACGAAAGATAAACACATATAGCAAACCACAACTTCCTTCCTTCCATCCCCCCACCCACCCGACTCGACTCAAACTCACTCAAACGACGAAGCAGGCGAATACCCACCCCCACCCCACTGCCCGATCCCACCACCAACCCCAAGGCCGCCCCCAAAGGTCGTATAATCCGACGAAATAGTTCCGAAACTCGACATATCATCGAACGAAGGGAAATACGCGTCGTCTCCCAGCGTAGCAAGTCCGCCACTGGGCAACGAGTGCGCGAGTGATCCCGAATGCGAGTGCCCGAGTGATCCTGAATGCGAGTGCGAATGCCCGAGCGGCCCCGAATGCGAATGCGAGCGAGAAAAACCTGGCCCAGACGTCGAGAGGTGATGCGCCGGATGCGGGTGAGAGTGCGAGTGCGAGTTCGGGTGGGGGCCAGAACCGGGGTGATCGCTGAATGTGGCGCTGACGGGGGTGATTGGGAGGTCGTTCACGGCGTTCATGAATGAGGATGTCTACGGGTGGAATGGATCAGCAAACGTGTCCGCGCCACAGGGCAAAGGGGGAAGTCAAAATGAGATGAATAGAGATTGGTAAGAGGTAAGAGGTAAGAGGTAAGAAGACGTGAAACGAGAAACGAAGTGGACCCCGTTCGGGTGCGGGTATGGTATGATGGTATGGAGCGGCGGGAGGTAAGCAGGATATGAATGGTGAACGCTGAATAGTGAATGGGGCGAGACAGGCGAGTTCACGGACGCGAAGTGCATCGCATCACCAAAGCGCACGAGGCCCGCCATCCCGAGCGGCAGACAGACGTAAAGCGGAATTCTTTTTGTGAAACGTGAAACACAAGGGCTCTCACAGTAATCCAGTATGCAGTATCCAGTATCCAGTGGGAGGCCCAAATTCAGAACAAGCACAGCGGAATGAAGACTGCAGACACCAACGCCCCCGATCTAGAATAGAAAAAGAAAAGAAAAACTCACATTACACGGCAACAGCTCAAACGTCGTATTCCGTCCCAACATATCAACAGGGCTCATCATCCCCGATCCCGATCCCGATCCCGAACTCGATCTTGACCCTCCAGAGCCTGAATTCGACGAGCGCGAGGACGGAGCGGGGGAGGTGCAATCTCCTCCATCTCCGTATGCGTATGAGGGAGAGGAAGAGGAGGAGGCGGTGGTGGTGGTGGTGATGGGTTCGGTGAGCTGGTAGACGACGGTGAGGAGGACGTGTTCGGAGGTGGGTGAGGAGCCGGTGGAGGCTTGGATGATTTCTTGGACGATGGAGTATCTGCCCGGTTCTGCACATATATCAAAAACAAAACAAAAAATGAGTATTGGTGTTTGTGGTTTAGGTGTAGGTGTAGTGCAAGAGGAAGAAAAGGGCCTACCATTCGAATCACAAAGCCGTACCCAGAACTGCGGCACGAGGCTCGCTCGGTACATATACGACGACGTCACATTCTCCTGCAACGACGAACAATGCATCTCCGTGCTCTCCGTATGTATACAATTCCCATTAAAATACACCGAGCACGAGCTCCGGGTATCCATGAGCGTCGTGCTCGTGAACGTCACCGTCGGGTCGATCGCCCGCAATGGCCTTGCCTTGGAGGACTTGAACACGCTCACGGCGCCGGAGGCTGGATTCCCGCCGTTACTGCTGCTGTGACGGTTGTGGTGGGTAGAGGAGGGCGAGAGCGGGGGCGTGACGATGCCGCCGGAGCCGATGACGCCGGAGAGAGCGTCGGAGAGGGAGGAGGAGGGAGAGGGACACCAGTATGCGTTGGCGGGGAGGACGTCGATGTGGACGAGGGCGCGGGAGGGCTTGATGATGGGTTGGAGGGACCCATTGGCAATCAATGTCGAGGACGCGATGTGGTCTGGAGAGCCGTGAGAGGGCGAGGAGGACTCGAGGGAGTCATCGATGGAGGAAAAGTCCCGATTCGAGAGGAGTTTGAGGACTGGAAATGGGGAATTTGTCAGTTTAGGGGCCTGGAACGGAGAGACATGGACAGGAGAAACTGACTGCGTTTCCCTCCGCAGGTGTCCCGGAGCTGTTGGAGTCGGCTCCCGACCTGCTTCGCTGTCCGACGCTTGCCGGTGACATGGAAGATATAGTCCGAGATGAACCTGTTCCGGTTTGGGAAACGGCTCAAGGACCTGGTCGAACGCGACGTTTCTGGGCGATATCTGTCGAGAGCTAGAACGAGAGGGAATATGAATGAGATGAGTATGGGGTGATGTTGAACATGGATGTCATGTTGAACTTACCTTCGACGAGAGCGGCCTCGAGGTAAGGAGGCCATACGGCTTCACCTTTTCCTTTTAGAGTTTTCCAACTCTTGCGACCGCTGACGATGGTATGGACGGCATCGCGCGTTCTATCGTCGGGGGCGAGGGGGTAGTCGACGCCGTCAGCTGAAGCAGAGTGCATATCGGAGGACGATGCGGAGGGCATGGTGTCTGTGGATGGGCGTAGAGGATTCGGGTGCGCGGGCAGGCCAAGACGAGAGACAAAGGATGCCGCGGAGTGCGTTCAGTTGTTTATATGAGAAGCAGGCGGAAATTGGGCGCCAAACGGGAGTGCCGCCGGGGTGTTGGGCATGGTGTAATTCTGGAGGAGAGACGCGAGGATGGCGGACGGACGCGAATCGCCTCGGAAGATCGACTGTTGAGAACGCGTGAACTCGCGTTTATTTTTGGGTTTATTTTTGGGCGTCAGAAGGTGGCCCGAGCGGCGAGAGCGAACGGTCGAGCGAGCACAGATCTTCTCGAGCCGAAAGATCGCATCCCGTTCTTGGAGATCTCTCTCTCCACCAAATACGCTGTGCTTCCCCGGTCAAGGAGCGGCAACGCGGCAGATGCGCCATCGCAGACCAGCACAGGCTCCTTCTGCCGCGCCCCTCTTTTCCCATTCGCACGCCCAATGCCACGGCCGTGCTGTGTTGTGGCTTCACGCAACGTCCAAGTCCAAGCGCACCCGCACGAAAAGAAGAAAAAAAAATAGACTCGAGGGCGCGTCAAACATCATCGCCTGCCATGGCAAGTCCCTTCAAGGCGCACCGACCCTGCACGATCCGACCACTTCCAGCTCCCATGCCATGCCCGACGCAGACGCAGAGCTCACTGACTCGTCTGCCGTATACCTCCTGCCAAGAACGTCATCCACGCGAACGGAGGCCTCTAAATGCCCCGATTTGGACGCTCATGAAAAAAAAGAATCAGTCGACGACAAGCGGCTCGAGCAGTGGAGGGGACAGCAGAAGGAAGGGGCTCCGGGACACAAAGAGCTCCTATCGTCCCGATTTAGCGTTTCCAAACCGGGACAAAGAAGGGCGGAAAAAAACTTGACGTAATACTCTGCCAGCCCCGTTAGCGTGGGTTCTGGAGCTCAGATCTGAGCTCCTTGGCCGTCCCGTCCGGATCTAATTAATTACACATTTCAGTTACCGAAGATGCGATACTTATGCGATTATGCAATTACTTTAGAGCAAGAGCAGCGTCCATCCGGCCAATCACGGACGCACCGGAGTCGCCACCCAATCACTTTTTGGCGTTCCGCGTCCGCCAATCACACGCGCCAGCCAGTCACATTTCGTCTTTTTTCTCGCGACTCTGCATCAGCAGTGAGCACCTTCCGACAGAATCACAGGCTACGAGGAGTGACCTCATTCGACCTGGACGAGAGAGAAAAGAGTCGCAAATCGCAACGCTTCCCGTCCTCGGCTTGTTACACTCAAACGCGGATCGCATGTATGTATGTATGCACAGTTCACAACTTCACAACCACTATCACTGCCAGGACAACAACGACAACATCATATGTTCCGCACCCGATTACCACCTCCCGAATACGTCCACTTATCATCATCAGAGCCCACATTCGTTCTGATCCCTGGCAAATCGCTGAGAACGTTGACAGTAAGCCTCCACCACTGCGCCCTCCCATTCGTGCGTAAACCACTCCTTGCGCCTCAAGCTCTCCAGACCTATTTCCTTCCCTAGCCTCGACTCGACTCTCGACCTCGCCGCGGTCTACTGATAACTTCCTATGACAGCTCTGACATCAGATTCAGGGATCAGACGTGTGGCGTATGTCGTATGTATTCCAACTCTGCGTTCTGGTGTTCTACAGTACTTAACTGAACGTCCGAGTCGATTTAGTACAATAAACAAAAGAGGATCGGAGACGAGTACTAGTGCGATACTACTCGTTCTGGAGTTCAGTAGGTCGATTGCTGCGAATGGACGGTCGCATCGTGATTTGTATGCTCTACTTGAAGATTTTCTTCGATGTCGGTGGAAAAGCGGTCGGCTGTTACAGCTTACAGTCTCGCTAGTCTTGGTCTAAGGGCGACTTCGTTTCCATAATGGGATGGGAGTGACAAGCGAGGTTTTGGATCACCGAACTGTTCGAGATGTCGAGGAGCTCGTCTCCCAAGATCTCGAGGAGCGCTTGCGTTCCCCAACTACTAACATCTCCTTACGGAGGGTCTGTAGCTCTAAAGCTCTGATGAGTCTGACGTCGAGGATTCGAACCCTAGTGTCAGCTCCTCGACATCTCGAGGCGCGCTTTCCTCGACATCTCGAGGCGCGCTTTTCTCAACATCTCATAACTCATATCTCCGTGCGCTGCTGTGATCTGAAGATATGACGTCTGACGTCGAACCCTTACTTGACTTGACATCACACTTTGATCTCTGCGAAAACATCGTGCGTCCGTCCGTCCGTCCGTCCGTCCTATTTCCAGCCGCATGAGTGGATGTCTGTCCGTAATCCCATTTCTACGTGATTTCTGTTCGTCGGTCGTCGGTCGGTTCGTTCTCCAGGCGCCCGACTTTCGACCTTTTCGAGCTCTTTGGGTTGACGTAGAAGGACGTTACGGTCGTCTCAGTCGTCCTCGTCCTGGTAACTTAGTGGCGGCCGGCCTACTATGTCATGCACACATACTCCGAGTCCAAGAGCCTTGATTAAACCACCCTCCGTCGAAACTCGCGCGTGCAGTATCATAGCGTATATGTACATATTCAACTTCGTCCCCGGTCTTAATCCAGGAAAAGCAGGACATCCTCTCCATTCTGAGGCTTCTCTCTGTTGTGGTTCTTTCTTGCGTGATGTCTCCCTCTCTTTGGGTGATTTCGTGATTCGTGATCCTTCTTCTTCTTCCACTTCCTTATTTTTTTTCGTCCGAATCGCCCGAGGACGAGAGTAAGTAGAGAAGGTTCGAGCATCTTGGGTGGACGGACCACTGGTGCTGAGCGCTGAGGGGAGAGAAGGTTCGTCCAACTCCATGTCGAAGGGGGAAGGTGGGTTGGCTTTCTTGATTTTTTGGATGAGGTACGACGTTATCCCGAGAGGGCGAACTTGTGAAGCCTTAAAAAAATCGATGAAACAATGGGCCACGGTTCTCATGATCATTTGAGTGCTCGTCACATTTAGTACGGAGCTCAAAAGTCCGTTCCCGAGGGAGATCTGAAAGGAAAGGAAAGGAAAGGAAAGGAAAGGAAAGGAAAGGAAAGGAAAGGAAAGGACACGATACGTCCCGAGGTCTCATCTCCGCCGTCGGTAGAATTCCTTGTTCCACATGCCATGCCAATAGCTATATCATTTCGAATCCGAATCTGGATCTGTTGCTCATTTCAAAGATCGGAGTAACGCGGCATGGACCCACAAACATTCTCATTTGCAAACCCACTGATTACTGATTTGTGGAAGAGTGAGTCGTCATACGTATTGAGAATGATTTAGGGAGGCTTTCATGGAAAGACAGACGCATTCTCTATACAATTGTTACAAATGGAACAGAGAAAAGCCTCCCGGAATCTCTCTGTTTCTGTTTCTGTTTCTGTTTATGTTTCCGAGTCCTTCACTGGCAAAGGACGTCCGGAAATTCTTCCTCACTGCGGCACGTACAATGCACATGCGCAGACAGCGGAAGGCGGGAGTCAGATCTTCGGAGCGTGTGCAATGATATGTCTGAAATACAAATCGTTTGTCGTTTGTCGTTTGTCGTTAGCGATGCCAACATCTACAGTACGTAGGTCGGAGGCGCATCATCGCCGACTTCGAGTTGACCTATCACACGAGATGATTTACGAGTCCACTGAACCCCCGATCAATACGTAGACGGACGAAAAACAAAAAACCGGGGTAGACAGATGTGCAGACAGAGGTCGTCAGAGAACATAAGGCCGAGGTTGATACTCATGACTGTTGGGGAAGACATAATTCGACCTCAACGAGGTCGAGAGGGCTGAGTAAACCTCCAGAACTTCAACCCCGATAGTCTCCGTCGGAGAGTGAGGCTTTGCATGGGGTTTGCTATACCGATGGGACACCACGGAGAATATTGTACCTCGTACGGGCTCACGCTCGTTCGAGTGCACCGACCGGAACAAATATCGACGTCGAAGGCTATGGACTATCCCGTTGACCCCAATAAGTATCCCTGTTGGAATCAAAATGAAACGAGAGCGGGACGGGGAGAGACAGGCTCGGATATGAGCGCACTTGGAGACAATAATAAAAGTGTGAAAGTGTGAAGAGAGAAGAGAGAAGAGAAGAGATACGAGACAATGATACCATTTCATTACCGCACGGACCCGTGCGTTGGTATGCGGTGTTTTTCCCCAACTCAAATCCAGAAAGCCATTGTGATTAAAGCTCTCGATCCCCAACCGGAAGAGATGATGAATTAATTAAGTCTAACATCCCCCCGGTGTTCCGTAGCTTTTCGACGACCATACCATGGGGGGTTCGCCATCACCCGCATACTACACCGTGATCGTCATCATCATCGTCTTCTTCTTCATCTTCTTCATCGTGCGGATTAACGCCCCCCGCACGCGGCCGACGATGAAATGCACCCCAGAAACAGATCCAGCCACAGAGATACGCACACCTCACACCTCGAGCTCATAGGAGTACATAAACCCATTCAGAAAGCTCGTAATTTGATAAATGCACGTACCCACAAACCCATCGAGCGAATATATCCAGGCCAGAAGCCCTGGGCTTACCTACACCTCTGTCCAGACGCAAGGAAGAAGCCGACCGGATCAATGTCCCAGAACGTAGGGTCAAAGGGTCGATACGTCCCAGGCCGGAATATAGAGCGGATATTGGGATTGTGAAAAGTGAGCAGTTCAGGCGCTGATCGTGTCGGAGAAGTGAGCAGGATAGAAAGCCACGCTAAATCGCCGGCCCATCGACGGATATCGCCACGGGCTGTACTGCACGTGTCGTCTACGGCGTGAGTGTTGATCTCAATCTGTGAAGGGCCGTAAGCGTTGAAGGCACGAGTGGTGTCCGGTCGTTCTATGGCTCCTGTAATGTAAAGTTTCCTGTAGCGTAGCCTGCGAGCATGGCGGGAGAAAGAGAAGTTTTTTGTGAGTTTGGACTTCCTGTGCACATCGAGTTTAACATGAGCGTCAAAGCTGTAGCACGGGATGGGGCGCGATGAGGCTGTGGACATCGAGGTATTGAAGGTAATAATAGTGAATGGCATCACCAACAACGACTCGAGAAATCAAAGAGACTGCCCTTCGACGGAAGCACATGAAGTTTCAGAGCTAAGAAATACATCATTTATCAGGTAAATCGGGAAGTGTACCCACGAGGATGGAGCATTGTGTCCTCAACAAGTACTTGAGACGATTCCGAATTCATCTCCAGTGGTAGTGGGATCATGAGAGCCCGTTCCGCTCGAGATCGATATCTCGACTCATTAAAGTTAATTTGACTGCGAACTAGCGTGAATATTGGCGGGAGTCGTTCGCATTGCATCATCGGACTCGAGGATCGCAGGCAGAAGGGGCAGAAGAAGTCGCGGAACCACGAGATAACATGGTTGATTCGGAGTTGGAGAAGACTGTGCAGGGACTTCTCGTACGTGTCCGAGTCAGCGAAAGACAAGGGTGGGACAGGGTGGGACGTCATTAACTTGCGGGGACAAGATCGAATAAGCACCTGTATTTGCCAAGAGAAGTCAAAATCAGCGCAGTAGATAGCTTCAAGCTCTGAAGAAAGTCTATCGGGCTGTTGGACAGCATCCTCCCAAATCGTTTCCGAATCGTGCGATATATTGACTGGTCATGGAAATGTTATACAATCAACTTTTGACTAGAAGGCGGCGTAGATAATAGAGATACAACTTGAGAGACTTCGAGTCGAGCCAGGGCTAAGGCGAAACTCGCGGATGAGAAAGCTAGCCAGCCCAATAGCGTCACGGTCCGATGCCGCCCAGAAGATATTTGACAGGAAACGAATCAGCCCAAAGTGACAGGATAGAGGAAAAGATCACGTTCATTTTGCCGTATAGCCGCCTCAATGCGGGAGATGCCGGCGTCCTCCGAAAATCACCTTTCTCGAAATTTCATCTTCGAGGGCCTCCTGTTACTGGTCCTGGTCATGGAGCCACCATCGACGCCCACAACAGAAAAACAGCAGCTCACACAAGAATGGCAGATTCCACACTGTCAACGACTGCTTCTGCTCTTGCCTCCGGGGAGCGAGCGACTAACTTCAGAGATGAAAGGGTCGAACCGGTGGCGTTGAACCCCAGTTCTTCATCACAAGCTGAGCCGAACGACGACCGCTATTTCCCAATTTGACTCCGTCACCTGGAAGCCTGCCAATGTCGACGAGGAAGGATGAACAAGGACGGCCCCACGGCTCGCCACTGCAACTTCAGCGCCAACCCGAACGACGAACGCCTCTGAACATCTGAGAACAAACCTTCGCGGCGTCTTGGAATCGCGTTACTAGAGTTGTCTGCCGTGCTGCCGAAGAGGATACGAACGTAGACACTCCTCGCATTGCTTCCTATAGGCTTTGTGGCATGGGATGATTTCGAACTTCGATGGCGCTTCCACTGCGCTTCCCTAGGATTTCCACCTCGGAAAGAGCATAGATCTAGGTTGTGCTGTAATGACGCGTACGGGATCATTGGGTATTCCGGCAGGTGAGAATGTCGATGTCCATGATGGTACGCAAGGTGAGAAGGCTGAGCCAGAGGAATAGGAGAAGGGCAAGCCGAGCCATGGGCAAAGGGGGAGGGGGTCTAGAAGAACATATTCCATGATCGAGTCTGTTGTAGTTCAGATCAGATTCCGTTCATCCATCCACCTAATTTCTTCCGTTCTTCTCGCATTAGTTCTATACGAAATACTTCCGCCCCGCAATAAACAGAGCTCGTAAGCGTCAAGGCGTCCAGATTCTTCCCCCGCTGCTAATAACGATCCGGATCTGGCATTAAATCGCCGGAACCAACTAGTCCAACACTAAAACAAGCGTAGGACTGGAGTTCTCTGGATCGGTGTGGCCGCTCACAGTACTCAAGCAGACTAGCTCGTTTATAGCTAGTCTAGACGCGGCCAACTACTTATTCCTCAGTGGGGCCAGACGCAATGTGGTGTGATGAATGGTTATGTGGCGCGGAGTTCATAACGTTCTTTCTTTCCTACCTCGCCGGCGCACGTACGTAGTATGTGTGTAGCTGATCCTGTGATAGCAAACTTTACAGACCAACCCGAACTTTGAGTGTATGTCATTTCGTGGCGCGGAGTCCGAGTCTGAGTTAAACAGAAGGGCGGATCCCCCTCAGGCCAGGAAGCCAGGGAAACGAACACGGCGACTTCAAGGTTCAAACTGCGTCGCAACTACTGTGCAGTGACCGGGTACAAGTAGGCAATAGGTTGGCTGGAAGAGCTTCCAGAGCGCAGATCTTACAGAGACTTATCATCCACGTAAGGTCTTGTGAATGCTATCGGACATCGATTGTCAATGGTTCGCGAACAACCTTCACCTGGAATGACCCGAATTATCGATATGAGCTCATTGGCTTCATCGGCCTGAGACCTAGAAGACGACCTCATGAGCAGCGCAAGTGATGGGTTTAGCTCGCATGTACGTACACCTGCCTGAGCCTCGAAGTACCGGCGCTGGAACAGAGCACGACCGCATGGCGCATGGAAAGTCAATTGAATAGACACCTTCGCTTCAAGAACGAACGAAGAAACTTTATTTTCAAACCTTCTCATCTTTCATTTCGTATAAACCTGCACACCTCGGACCATACACCTCAGCAGCTCGTCTCGTCCGACGTTCCAGGAAAGTAATATTGCGATGTGTCTTCGCGACATCAGGATGGGTGTCACTTTCGAGGAGGAGCCGAGGATCATGCAGGGAAGAATGAGTCGAGATACTCTGGACCACCGTCACGCATGCACCCTATGCAGATTCTTGTACCAGCCGCTGAATAAATACTGCACGTTCGACCGGTTTCTGTTACTGAGGTGGATCTGGAAAGTGGTCACATAAGCCGTGAACAGCCTGAGTGCCATCATAAATAAATATCATCGAAACTCGGGACTGCGAAGGAGCTAGAGCAGACAAGTAAGCCTTCAAGGCAAAAAATGGAAGTCAAAAAATGCTGTAATGCCGGTGTGGATGCGTATATATGTCGAGGCGTATGCACAACTATGTAAGGGATCAAGGTGGATATGTGTATTCGATGGATAGAGAGATATGCAAAACGTTCGGGTGCCCGAACAGAAACAAGGTCGAAAGCAAGACCCAATCAGGATCAAGAAAACATGTCAAGGAGGGAATGTATCAGAATAAGCATATGTATGTGATGCGTGAACGACGCACCGAACTGTCTTTCGGGACACGTCACAAATAAATAAAGTAGTAAGCGCACAACACACAACAGGGAACTAGAAGGTGGCAGATATAGTTAGGGTAGGGATCAAAGTCGGGAATGGAGAGCAGGTGAAAGTTCAAGCAGTCAAAGGGAAAGCACCCGCGGATTCGAGAATCGAATAGAGGTAAAGCAAGCGAAGTGATCAGGACTCACGACCCACAAGCAAAGGAGCGAAGTACGTGCGCATGCACAACGTCCGAGCGGAAATGTATCGGCGAAACGGACGAAGCATCGACGTCGAACACAAGCATCAGCAGCCAAAAGTCAGAAGCTAAGTTGAAAAGCGAATAAAAAAATCAAACAAGCAAAAGGAGCACACGAACACCGAACCGACGCCGAAGCCAATATTACAACTCGGGGCGGAAGCACGCAAATCAATCGAGGCGAGAAGGAAGGGACAGGGCAGAGGAGGAGCAGAGCATGACCAACCGAACAAGATGGCAAAGCGAAATGACAGTGACAGTAACGGCGACAAATGTCGCATGTCAGCAGAGAAAAGCCAAACCTCGAAATGCAGAACACAAAAGTCAAAATCGCGCGCCGCAATCACATCGTCCATGTCGTCCACATTTGACCAAATTTCCATGACCCGGCGCCGCCCACAAGCACCCGCCGGCACCCATCAAACCTCAACATCAACGTTCCATTACACCTCCCAAATCCAGTCCTCCGCCTTTCCCCAACCGGCCAAATCGTCAAGGGGTTCCAACACCGCGTGCGCCAACCTCATGTGCAGCCGAACAAGAAAGGCTAAATCAACACAGCACCGACGGTCCTTCCATAAATCAATGTCGAAAACGAATCGGGAGAGAAAGCTGGAAAAATCCGATCGAATGGGTCCCGCCGTCGCGATGTTTCGCGACCGTCACGTTCGACTCTGCCTATGCATCCATGCGCCTCCCAAACCAGGTTAAGCCACCCAACCTCCACGTCCACCTTCCTATCTCCCGCAATCTGAAGCAATGTCCGACATCCCCAGCCCTCGAGCCCCTCACGCCCCGTACCTTGACACCCTCACACATCTCCATACCTCAGAACCTCCTCATAGCACGAGGCAAAGTCGGCGGTGGAGGTGGCGCGGGAGTAATAATAGGCTCCCTAACCTCCCTCTTCACAGTAGCCGTCGCGCCAGTACCGCACACAGCAGTAGGCGTAACATACCCAATACTGTCCCATGCATTCCCATACGAGCACCCCGCAATCGGCGTCGGCGCACCCGCCGTGTCCCCCGCATCGAACCACCCGCTCTCCTGCGTAACCGTGCTCGGACTGTCCGTCAGGCTCGTAGGACTCAGACTAACGACGCTCCCCGTCGCAGTATACGTAGGCAGTAATGAAATGGCGAGACCGTTGAGACCGTTGAGCGATGTAGGGGGGAAGGCGGAGTAGGATGAGGCTTGGACGGCGTCGATGGTTCCGGCGCCGGAACCGCCGGTTTGCCAGGCTGAGTAAGTTCCCGGGAAGATATTCATCGAGGCGCCGAGGGCGTCGCATTTTCCGAGAGCTTCGCGGGGGTCGGTTGGCATCCAGCCGTTTTCGAGACCGAGTTGGTAGGACCAGAGGGGGGCTTCGACGGTTCCAGAGGTGGAGGAGTTACCGATCTGTGGGCCACAACGATGTAAGTAAGAGAAGAACGATGAGTACGTAGAGTGAAAATTGTAGTCGAAGTCGGATAGATGATGAGTTAGTGGGTGAAGACATACCTTCCACGTCCAGAACCAGAAGTTGTGCGTCGCGTCCATGCTCGCAAGCGCATAGTTCTTCAGCCCAGCCTTGAACGTATCGTTCCAGCTCTGCCAGTCGTTCATCTCATCACAGTCGCCTCCGAAATGAGTCGTACTGTTCACGCCCTCGACATAAAGACCGCAGTCGTTGTATCCGTTCGACCATTCCCCAGCAACGGTGACGCCGAACTGGACCTGACTATATCATCACCAACAAAGTCCGTGTCAGCCAATAGACACCGACGATAATCAAGTCAGGGCGAAAGAAAAGCACACGAACCTGGTATTGATACCCGCAGCCCAACTATTACAAGCCTGCAACGGCCAAATTCCTCCCGGCTCTCCCAGCCCATCATCCGCCACAAGCGGACTATCGTTCGGCTGGCCATTGAACGCGAAATACGGGTGCGTGTCCATCATAATCCGGTCGGACCCCGGGAGGAAATCGCCCCAGGTGTTGACGCCGAGGAAACCGTCGTGGATGGCGATGTAGGGCCCGTTGCCTTCGCCGACACCGGTGATGTTGCGGATCATTTGGTGGGCGTTGTAGTAGCTAATTGACCCATTCATCCATTCGCACATCCCATCCCACGTCAGCGAAAGTCAAAAGTCATAAACAAGTTAAAACCAGACAAGACAAACGAGACCATGGGGTAGCGGACCCGAACGAGGGAGAGGCAGGCAGAGAAGTGACTTTTGACTTACAATGTAGTGATCTCCTCCCTCCCGATCGTCGCCACCAAAGCCTCATTGACGATCCCGAACACGGGAACGACATCCTTGTACTCGTCCTGGGAGATGAACTCCGTAATTACGCGGATGTACTCCAACGTTCGCTGGGCGTTGGCGATGCCCATGATTCCGTTCATGAAGTTGACTTGGCCGAATTTGCCGGAGTGGTTGTAGCCTGTTTCGGTTCATGGTTGGTCGGTTGGTTGGTCGGTTGGTGTGGCGAGGATGGGCGATGGGGCGATGGGGCGGCGAGATATAGAAGGGAGTCGCAAGGAGCCACGCCATGTCGATCATAGAATGTAACGGTAATAATTCATTCGGAAGGACGGGCCATGGATGAAGAGATGAATGGAATAGCTCAATCAGCTCAGATACGCTGTCACACTCACACAAAAATCACGAGCAAAAGCAAAAGCGACGTACCATTCTGCGAGCCGGGAACGGTATGCAGGTCGAGGTAGATCCTGAGTCCATACTTCCTCGCCCATCCGATCATCCGCAGGATGTACCTAGAGCGTGGAAGAACAAAAAGAAAATACGGCGTGGGACATGTCAGTCAATCGTACATTCACCATGGACTCAGAGCGGTAAACGAGAAACGGCCAAGCTCGAGGGATACATGGACCAAGAAAGGTCCAGAAAAGGAAGCGAGTTTGAGCACGGGGGAGGAGAGAGGTTGATCTCGATGCAATGCATGATGAGATGAGCGAGGTGAATGGTGTATGACGTTTCACATGCAAACTGCACCGTCCACCCAACACATAAACTGCAATCCCACATTCCGCACGTAGCTCGCGGCCGAAAACCGCAGCCACAAGCCCATATGCCGGAACAAAAACGCCCACGAAATAACGCGAAATGAAATAGAAATGAGACACTCACTTCCAACAAACCCCCTCAAGGAACGGCTCCCCCTCCCACGTCTCAATAGCCCAGTACGGAATCGGCAGACGGATCCAGTTCAGGCCAGCCCCAGCGATCTGGGCGACGTCAACCTCGGTCTACAACCAAATGCAGCGGATGAATCAGTATATGGGGTTATTAGACGTGAAGAGGATGAATGGTGTTCGGTCTGGAGGAGGGCAACGGAAAAAGGGAATGTGGAGGTGGTTTGTGGATGTGAATGTGAACGTGATATGTGAATAGTGTATGGGAGGGTGCGAGTGAAGTTTGTAAGATTGCGATCCAACTTTATTTCGGTTCAGGTGCAGAATAAGGATAGGCGGGGAGTTCGGTACGATGACTTCACATGATGATGGATGGTAAAGTGAAAGGAGGCATGGTATAGTATAAGTTTTGGCAATTGTATTGGAGGATGCCGAAAAGGGGTCGAGACCCACAAGAGAAAAAAACATCCAAACAAACGCGGGACAGGACGGAAAGAATGTCAAAGGCAGAGGTAAAAGAGCACTCACGATGAAGGTATTATAATGATCCTCCAACTGGTTCTGCAATCCTCCGCCATCCGACGTGTCGTTCGCCATGAGCTCGCTGAGAGTCCACTCATCTTCGGCGCTGGGATACTTCTGGAAGAACGAGGGCGTGATAAAAGGCTGCAGATTCCGAACACGACCACATTATTATCGTTAGAGTTACTCGTGATATTGCAACGGTCAGGAACATGGGAGGAGAATGGCACGAACCTCGATGACAAACAGACCTCCGAGGTTGACGCCGTAGACGAGGTCGGTGCCCCATGTCCAGGTCGAGTTGAGGGGTGGCGTCCATGAATTGACTTGCGCGTTGTTGCTGAATGGATCCGCGGGATCATCGACCCCTGGAAGACAGAACGAAAATCATGGTCAACATCCATCCTGTTGAAGACCGAGCACCAATACTGCAGCGAGCCACAATGTGGCGTATCACGTGCGACGCCACCGGAGGAACGCGACCCTCCGAGTCCTCGGATGTGGCGCAGCATTCTGCACGACAGAACAACCTCCGTTTCCCCACACAGGCAACCCCTTCTCCACACCGAGCACCCACCGCGGCTGCGCTACACAGAAAACGGCAAGAAAACACTCACAGAAACCGCCAAACGCATTCGTATACGTGAATTTCTCCCCAGTAGCCGAATCGATGACCTCAGTGCCATTCCCACCCGTCGTCGCCCCCGTTGGCGAGCTTGGGTTCGACCCGCTGCCGCCTCCCGAAGCGCTCGAACCACCGCTCGTACTATCGTTGTGGGGTTTGATGACGGTAAAGTAGACGGGAAGGATAACAGCGAGGACGATGATGATGATTGCCGCAGCGGTGATAAGCCAGAACAGTGGTCGTTTGTAGATAGGCCGCTTCCCTGAACGTGTACCAGTAGCTGCAGCGTCTGTCGTGCCAGCAGTCTTTTCGGCCTCATAAACAGCATCAGCACCAGCCGCACCAGCGCCTGCAGCTTCTAAGCTCGTATCGACAGCAGACGAAGAAGCGGTAGTACGCTTTTCGTTTTCGTTGAGGAACGGGGTCGAAGCATGAGGAGATGTGACATCTGCTGTAGTATAAGCAGAGTCTCGAGGCTGAGAGGCATCGTCGACGTATGATTCTCTAGGGGTGTTATCGAGAGAAGGACCGGGCTGAAGATAGGGCGCGGATGGGGGTTCGAGCGGGGTATGGATGTCTGTGCGTAGCTGTTCATCGGAGAGCATGCGCATCGGGGTCTCGCGCGGCGTCGCGAACACATCGTTCGTCGTCGCCTGGGACACTGGCCGGTTGGGGTCGTCGGCGGACATTGCTGGCTCACGCGCTGGAACGTCGGATGGGGATCGTCGTGGTCGAGGACAGGACGACGTGCTGGCTGGCGCTCCACTCTACGCTCTTGCGGGGGAGGCACGAGAGCGGCTCACACGCATGATCTATTTCTATTTTCGCAGCTCTAAACGCGTTAGCGCAGGGTATGTTATTATCCATTTACGGCTGCGCCTCCGCCGCTAGCTTCACTTGAAATAGAGATAGAAAATTGCAAGAAAGTTCTAGCCTTGCGTTCACCCGCTCTGCGCCCTCCTTGCTCGCTGTCTCGTTCAGCGACGCTTTCTCCTTAGCCTGCTGCATATTACCCACTGCATTTGTGGCGGTGAATAAAGCCCGCTTTGAAACGAAGCAGATGAAACCCCGGATCAGCTGCTCTCGCTTGTTGCCGGCTGATAATGGCACGCATCTGCTTCCGTGATGTCATCAGGTCGTCGGCTCGTCGATCCTGCTGGCTTTCTCTGCATCCTCCGCAGAGCTCGTTTACGCACTCGCCAGTCCGCCATCCTCAGCTTGAGCTCGACGTCCATGAGCACAGTGCCAGACCCTTCCATATGTCTATCCACACCTGCCTAACTTCGCAGTGCACTATGGTGCTCTCCGAGAGTGCCATAAATAGTCCCCGGAACGACGAGTAGTCTTTCCTCTCACGAGCATATCCCCTCGAAACGGCCCACGTCACTGTTGGGGAGCATAAATAGCAGCTATGGGAAACGTTGGTCTATTTTGCGTGCTCGAGTGGGTCATGAGTACAGGTGAGTGATATACGGTCTGGTACCTTTCGAACGTGAGCACCAGTACTTATGGTGCACAAGACGATGTGGCCCAAACTCTGACTTGCTCACATCCTTCTATCGAGCACGCCAAGCCGCTCGATTCCAAGCTCACTGCGTGCGCAAAATTTGTTGCATTATTGTATCATCCTGGTTCCGGGGCGATATGGGCCGTCGTCCACTTTTTTGCCACAGGGCCTCGGACGACCTGTGCATGGCACGGCGAGCTCCCGAGTCCGTTCACGTGTAGACTGTCCACATCGAACCACTCCTTTGTGAGACTACAGCAGAGCAGCACTCCG